ACTAAAGGAAACGGAGAAAGAGCAGTAGAAGGTAGGTAAGTACTCGCTTAGCTAAGGTTAAGTAGGTTGAGAGTTTGTTAAGTCTAGCCGACCCTAGGGCCGGGGCCGCTCACGTTTTGAGGCAGAGGCAGAGACAGCGAGCGCTCGAATGTTGGATCCGGGAATGATGACCTTACTCATCTTTGACACCCAGAAATGTGATTCTGCCATGCGGCTAGGCTACATTGATTTGTAAAGTCCTAAGAGGAAGTCCGGATGCATTGTAGAGCTAGGCGGCCCCCAGGAGAGAGTGATGGGCACTGCAGTCCTCGAGGCTAATTTTTGAACGCAAAAGGACGAAAACATTGTTTGGATCAACTTGCAAGGCCATGGAACTGGCTATCCTTTGTTAGCAATCCAGGAGCGAGTAGACTTGCGAAGAGATGCTACACTTACGTCGTCATCAGATGTGGCAAGGGCAAGGTTGAGATCCGGCCAAAAGGACAAGCTACATGAATCTATCTATGATTCTATTGAGTATTGCCAGCAGTGAATATCGTAGCTAATGATGGAGTAGACGGAGAATGAGTTCGACGCTTCAGGTGCGTAACTCCTTCAAACACATGCAGCCCGCTTGCTGTTCATGAAACCCTCATACCAACCCATCCATTTATGGCGGAATGTCGACGTACATCAACGAGAAGGCTCCCTTGGTGGTAACGAATTGCGATGTCGACGTCCTCTGTCAATAATCAGTGCAATGTCCTTCGACATTGGAGATTGCGCGACTCACCTGTTCTTGGGTAAGGGCGAGGAGCGTCTATCTCTGGAATCCAGCGACCTCTTTCGCGAAGTCACAGCATCCCGACCATCTGTCTCTCGACGTTTGTAACGGTCAATTTGTCTCTTTGGTACGTCTTTTCTGTCACGCTCGTATCCTCGATCAGGTCTGTATCGAGTGGCGGGATCCCGTTTTGGACTCCGACTTCTTCGAGGACTGTCGCTTCTCCGAGAACTTCTAAGCTCTCTTCTGGGGTCTTTTGGGGGCTCTTCCTTGGGTTTGCGCTCGCTTTTGGGTTTAGGGGACTCTTTCTTGGAGCTGCCTGATTGTGACTTCCGCCCGAATGGTTCCATTATCTTGTCGGCATATGGATCTGCATTTGTTCAGCGATACGGTCGGGTCGATACAGACTGAGTACTTACGGTCGACGGCGGCAAAAAGGCCCTTCAAACCGAGTGTGATGATCTTTGGATCCATTGCGATTGTTACGAGTCAGCTATTCTACAAGACAGCAGCTGCAACATACTTATACCGTTAGACAGTTCGCCCCCATCTCACACAACGTTGACAGGACGTTCCAGATGAAGCATCATCCTTGATGACGCCGGTGTGCATTGTGGTGTCGTCCGGTGTGCTGTCAGGATGTTTCCTGGCAGCCTCGAGACCGGGGAATGCCTGTCTGGACTCAGCAATCAGATCTCGAGGCCATCTCCAGCCCGTAGGAACGCATGGCGATATCCAGGCTATTGGGCCGATCTAGACTTTCTTCTCGAATGATGCCCAACTGCTGTACAACCTTCGGGGTGTGTCTCTTTGGATGAGAACATCAGCGTTGTCAAGTCGCATCGATCTATGAGAATACGGAGCGTTCGTAAACACCGTCGGGTGCCATAATAGCTTTGTGAACAGCCGCTCATCGATTTTACAACGTCCGATATGACCGAGACTGTTGAGAAGAATGACCACACTTCGTGGCAAAAGGAAATATCGAGGCGGTGTCGAGAGCAAGCCACGCACCACCAGCGTTACATGCCGGAAATGTGAAACATGTAGCGGTCTGATCTGTCTCTGCATTATCTGCGCTTGTCGCGACAATTCTGAGTTGTGCATGTCATATAGTCGGTGCTGTCGTTGTAGTTGTAGTTGCATACTGGACTCCGAGTAGTCATCGCTTTCTGTTGTGAGCTTGCTATAGTGACCAACTACACGATCATTACTGTAGCCCCTGACCTTCTCAAAACGATCGACAGTGCCTTCGGTGGAGTAGTTAGAGTGTTGGCATATGGTCTGGGTCCGCCTGTGGTAACCATGCGCAGATGTGATACCGTATGCGAAGCGACCATACCAGGCTGTGCCTTGCAACGGCGTGTTGCAGTGGGCCACAACACAGTTTTCACAGCACGATAGTTTCAATAGAGATTTTGAGCAATATATACATAGTGAGTACCCGCGATTCCCGAGGGTTTCCTGCAACTCCAATCGATTTCCAGCGGTTCCGGGTTCCAACCAGATTGTGGACCGCGGACTTCAAAAAGCCTATTACTAGCTGCACCTCTTATTGCAACAGTAACAGTCAACAAGATGTGCATGTCGAATGTTCTGATGACAGTGGAGAGCATCTCCAGAGCGGTACATGCATGGAAAACGTTGGTAGCGTCCAAAAAGCCCTTATCCGCGCCGAGGGTTAATTGAGCTATCATATACCACATTGGCTTTTCCAGACTCTCAACAACAACCAATCGGATCAATACAACGATCCCTGGATGCCAAGGGCGTTGTAGCAAAGTGGTTACTGCGATTGACTCGAATACGCTCTATCGTAGGCTTCAACTTTGTGAGCAATATTCCGACATCAATTCCCTTCGGGGGCGTAGGTTCGAATCCTGCCAAGTACGTTCGCTGTGTCCTATGCACGAGGAAACATATCTAACAACCCTTCCAGCGTCGCAAGCCAAGGAATTCATTTTTGGTCCGTGAAGGTCATTTTTGGTAGAGCAGGCTACACAGCCTCGTCCCTTTTGTAATTTAAACCGCAGCTACGATGAGGAAGTTCGGTCAAGTACTCTTCATCCCATATAGTTGGTCTTGTATCGGTATTTCTCGTTGTTGCAACGTTCTGTGCAAAAACCGTCGAAAAAGCCAGCACGTGACTAACTTCCTTTTTGGGACAGAGAAAATTTGTCACCGCCAATCACAGCACACACAGACTGCTTTCCGCGGGCAAGTCTGCCGACACGCCGACCTTGAGTCCTCACTGAATTATTGACTGCGAAGAAATAGAGTAGACAGAATGCGACTAGGATGAAATGCATGTCCGTTGCGCGGCTTCGTAGCTAAGGCAAAAAATGACTGTTTCTGTGATCGCAGCAATAACACGATGTTTAACAACAGCTCATCAAATCCAATCGGAAATTGATTGACACAACCGAACGATGGACTTCGTGACGCTCAGACTCCCGAGCACAACTTTCGACTTTTTGCGCGCAACTCATAAGATCACCCCTTCCTACATGTGACACGATGTCACAACCCCAAGAGCAGCCTCCTCCCTCTCAGCGAGAGAAATATGCGAAAGCAGTCCACAATGCCGCGTTATTTGCGGTCATAGCCTGTCCGGTGCTTGCTCTAATTCCACCTCGAAAGCTCGACGTCTACACACTAGGACTGGTCGGCGTTACTGGCTATTCAGCGAACTATTTGGTTGCGGAATCAACTGGAAGGACAGTATGGCAGCATGTAAGTCGGCAAGCGATCAATACTCCAACAAGACTTGAGAAAGAGCAAGGCAGTGTGGTTGGAGAACTTCAGAAAGAGGGCCGTGGATCACGAGAGACTTGGAAGATGCAGAGACGGAAAGAGATTGAACAGGATGTGGAGGAAGGCAAGGGCTTTGGAGATATGATCGTAGACCAAATCTGGCACGTGTGGAATCAAGGGAAATCGGCAGATGAGGAAGAGGAGGAAGAATGATGGTCGAAGAGCCAGAGTCTATTCCATATCGTTTTCTACCAAGGAGACACAAACCCGCCACAGACGCTGAAAGATTTCGAGAGAAATCATGGCAAGATGGAGACGAGCGATCCCTCGAGCCAGACCGCATTCCACAATCACCACTTTGGTCACCTGGGCATGGTCAGCTTGGAAATCACGGAGATGGTGATGAGACTTACAGATCCAACCCTCCAGCATCCTCTCCGCCCTCGTTGTCAACCTTCTTGACCTCACTCGACTCCTCTCCATCGACATCATCCTCAACCACCCCGCCGGCCTCCTCCTTTTTCGCCTCAATACTCCCAACAGCTTTCTGCACCGCCTCATAGACCATCGCCCGCAACTCATCCACGGTCAGCGGAATCAACAACGTCCTCCTGGGGTCACTCCTCATTGGCGGCGTCTGCATCGGCGAAGGCACACCACTCAACGCAAGGTCGATATTCAGTGGCGACATAGGACCACCTTCTGGCGTCGGCGTGCAGACACGCGAGGTGATGTTGTGCGGCTCTTGCATCATATTCTGTGGCATGAAATGCGGCGGCATGAGGTATGGCGTGCTCGTGGGACCTGCGCGAACCGGCTGGGTTTGCGCGCGTCTCATGTCTGGTCGGTGCGGGTCTCGCATTCTTCGAGAGTATGGATGTGGGCGCTGTTGCTTGCTTCCTCTCGGCACGCTCTTGAGTTGGACAGCCTTGTTCGCCATAGGATGACCAAGGCAGTGGTTGTCGCGGTGGAGGATCATTGGCGGAGGTGGTGGTGGCATTGCTGGTCCGCCTGGCGGCTCGGAGACGGAGCGGCGATGATTGAATCGTGAAGATGAGGTTTGGTAGATCGGATTTGGGTTGGCTTCGACGGATTGGTAGTATGGAGTCATGCCATCGAAATGTGGTTGAAAAGAATCGTATGGAGATGCTGCCGGCCCCAGCGTTTGGTCAAGCCCGCCCATCTGGCCGTTGTAGGAGGAGTTGAAGTCGTTGTTAGGCGTGGCAGGGTTGCTCAATGTCAGATGTGGGTCGATGCTGCCTCCGTTGCTCGGGTCGAAGTTCGCGTTGAATTCTTGAATCGGCCCCAGTGCTCCATCTTGACCGCCAGACGTGATATTCCAGTCTTGGTCAAACGGCGAGCCTTGGAAAGCGGAAGAGTTAGCAACATCAACATCCATCATGGCTGATTGGCGTGAATGCCGCGCGGTATTGAAGCAGGACGTGGTGTCACGAAGGAGACGGAGAAGATATGCGAACTGGTAACACGGCAGGGAAAGCTATATACGGTGAACGACTGTTCGCAGCAGCGTCCGCATATCCACGCGCATCCTAGCCCTGTCCGCCAATCCTTTGTCCAAAGCCATTAGCTGCCGCAGATTTGAGACATACCGAGCGGTGCTGCCCAGGAGATGCAGCCATCCGGCGGGCGAGGCCAGTGCCAGTGCATGAACGTGTTTGCTCGACCTGCATTTCAGATCCCGGGCGCGGTGACTTCAAGTCAAAAGCCAATGGCGAGAACGTGGTCATGGACGGGGTGGCCTGTCGAGCTGCAGAACTGTATGTTGCTGCCAGACATGCGTCACTTTTGGGGCAATCGAACTTCGTGCGAGCTGTATGTTTCAGTCTGCGATGCAGTGCGCGTGCGAAGGCCAAGCATAGGATCCAGTCAGACGGGACAGTGGTAATCGTGCAGGAGAACCATCCAGAAGCGAAGTCTGATACTGGCAGAGCGAGTGGTGTTAAAGGCGAAAGGACAATAACCGTGAGAGGGAGGTTTGTGAGAGTAAGTTCAAGTGGAGTAACTGATATCGATACCTACGCTCCCCAGCATCCTGTCGCGCTTCTTCAGGTCAATACCAGCACCGAGACTGAGCAGCAACTCTTTCGCGCGACATTCCCACAGCAGTCCGACTTTTCCGTGATTGTCCACACGAGCCTTCAGCACCCCATTCACGTCGGCATCGCTTCGCGCCCAGCCAGTTCTGAGCTTCTCGGTTGCCCACATCACCTCCGCCTCGGGTTGCTTGCGGTGCCACAGCTCCATGCCCACAACTACCTCACTCTCGTAGCTGTACACGTTGAAGTCGAAACGCGAGCAGAGCGCCAAATTGGAACCTGCTTTGACAGCGTATGTAGAGCTCAGATTGCCCATCAGAGGATTGATCGTCAAAGCCATGGTGTATGGGAATCCGGTGTGAATAGGAAGAGTGGTAAATCGCAGACCCGTACTGATCCCGCCGCTTTTGTTGAGTGGGCTGAAATATGCCTCTGCACCAGCACTGAGTCTGCCATTTTGGTGATCCCAGGGATGAGCAGGAGGACGTGATGCAGGTTGGAAATTCGGGAATCGTGGATCAAAGCCAAAGTTGTAGAGTCCTCTCACTCCAATCAAGGCAGAGTCGGTTGAGTACAAATACTCTGTACTGTATTTCCCAAAGTCATTCTGCAAGACTGCCAGTAGTGAGCCACCATTCGGAAGATTGCCATCAGAAACGCAGTTCACGCGTAGAAGGCGTGTAGGCGATATGCGTCTCAGATACAATGCTTCCAGAGTGCTGGACGGCAGGTACAGTCTCCCATACAGCAACGCGTCCTTTCGCTGTCCCCTTTCCAATAAGTCTTTCCACCGACTTTCGCCCGGTTTCTCCAGCTCTTGCAAATGCCTGTACCCTCTGACTAGGCTGCTCAAATAGACCTCGCTGCTCCGGCTCGCGACTTGCAGCCCAAGACTGGTGTACAGGAAGCTGAGCGAGCCATCAACGACCCCTCTGCTCCCCAATGTATAGCTGGTCGCGAAATTTGGTGCTGAAAGCGAGGATACGTGGAGGCGAATGCCGGAGGGAATTCGGAAGTCGAGGAGGTTCGTCGAGGTCGTGGTCAAGGAGGCATAACTGTTATCGACATTCCAGCGCGAGGTGCGGTGGAAAGCAGTCTGGACATAGTCCATGAAATCCAGCATGATGGCTTGGTGAAATGCATCATGGCCACCTCATAGATGCGACATCTTTGGCTGCTGCCATGTGGAAGTGCAGCAGATGAAGTCGAAGTTCGAAGTCCGGGGTCGAAGTGAGGAAGCCAAATTATTGATTAAGCTTTTGGCTAACATTTCAATAAATACGAAAAAAGAAACCTAGGTACGAAACGAGACCTAGCACAAGCCATCTGCGCTCTCGTTACTGAAAACACAACTGCACTGCTTTAGGAGATAGATTGGGCGTCGCTTATGGTTCATCAGCTTGGTGCATATACCAACTCAGCACCGATCCAAATGATACATCTCTCCGAACCTCTCTCAAATGTATCCGAATGGCGAGCTTGCTTCACGAGGCTCTAACCTTTTCTGCTTTACGATCACGCTGTGGGCTACTATTGTAAGATGATGGTGGTGATGATGATCCCATAACTATTTAGCAGCCGCGACCATGCTTCACTTTTCGAAGAAGAGTTCCTGCCCAGCACTCATATTCCTCATTGGCGATCATGGCAGCAGTACCTGAAGACGCAAAGTTCTCTTTGAAAGCCCACTTCGATGGCATGGCCCCAATCTATGACGGTTTCGGGCCAATATGGTACGAGATGGGAGGCTCTTTGCTGGCGAAGAATCCCCATCCGATCTCATCGTCCTCGATAGTCCACGACAACGCTTGTGGAAACGGTGTTTGTTCGTCGCTCATTCTCAAGGAAGCCGATGCGAACAACACACCTACCATCTACGCAACGGACCTCTCACCAAGGATGATCGCCGAAGTCAAGAAGCGACCTGGTCTGGAGAACGTGAAGGCCGAAGTGATGGACTCTGAGGCTTTGGCATTTCCAGACAACACTTTCACCCATTCCGTCGCCAGCATGGTACATCCTACTACACTGCGTCCGGATGTGCTCACAAGGGAGATCTTTCGCACACTTAAGCCTGGTGGAGTGGCTCTCTCGGCGCAGTTCGTAAGCTACGGATGGCTAGGATTCACGCAGGACGCAATTCGAAAGATTCGACCAGACGCGCCGCCCTTCCAAGGTCCTGTGCCAGAGGAATGGAAGACAGTTGACTGGTTCAAAAACCAGTTCGTGAACGCCGGGTTCAAGCCAGAGAATGTGGATGTATCCAAGATCACGATCAGAGTTGCCTTCCAAGATATATGGCCAGAGTGCAGAGCTCATATGTGTAAAGCTGTGGTCATGATGATGGCAGGGAGTTGGAGCAAGGCTGACAGCGAGGCGCTGTACGAGGAGCTGATGAGACGATTCGACCCAGAGACGTCGGACGGCGACGGATTCGATCATGAAACGTTGTTGCTGGTCGCTAAGAAGTGAGCAATTCCTGATGCTGACCTACCGATTACTGTCATATATCCTTGAAGATGCATGTGATGCTATGCAGCATGCAGCAAGTAAACATGATCAATGCGAAAGGACCTTGGAAACCGATCGTAGTACTCCTCACCAGATTGGGCTCTTGGTTGTGCACCCAACGGATGGTGGACCGAGAGCGAGTTGGATTGATGATGAAACTCGTTCGTGCCCAAGCTGATGCGTGAGTAGTCAAGCGAACCTCATCGGGTAGATAATGCATATCTCCTCGCGTAGATAGAGCGGAATCCGTATCCATGCCGAACTGGCCGACGTGCGCTTCCGTGTCTGTTGGTGAATCCTGTCGTTTGGACCGGACATCCGGGATAGTAGGCCCATATCGTCAGAGCATGAGGCGTCAGTCAGCCGCTTGCTAGTCGGTAGATGAATTTTGCAGCGTTCGCTACAGGCGCAGTTCGGCATGACATGGGTCGTACGGTTGGCTGGTGTTCTTCCTTTTCGTGGAGGCCCGCTGGCATTCGCTGCAGCTACGAGGGACTGCATGTGATGGTTTTAGCTGGCCATACAGCCATGCCCATCCCGAGCAGCTCACACGTGTATCCAGTACTGGCTACGAGCGAGCATCTTGGTTGTAGGCAGCCTCAAACACCAGGTCATTCGTACAGCTTTGTTGTTGCCAGGCCCGAGAGTCAGGACTCGGATGTTGACGGGAAGATCTAGGAGATCTGCACGACGTCAAGACCAGGCACAAGGTTCGCAAAGCTTTCTCGGTCTCTCACTCAGGCGTGCCCCTGCCGAACGGGTGCAACACGCGCTCGTGGCGGCCACAGCGGCTTCAACGGTTTGGAGTCTCGTACGGCTCGTGGCGTGAGGTTTAAAGGATGGGGGGCTGCCCTTCGTGGTCGCTTCGTTTTGTCGGGCTGTTGGAAACATAGCTGAAACTATATGGACCTGACTAATGTTTACTTGAAAAGACCCGCTCCCCTGTGCTAGAACGCGGTCTTCTCAACTACCTTTTACACGGTCGAGTATGTTTAATTACCACTCCTGCGAACGACGACGGTGACCTCGAACCAGGGCGTTCGGTGTTGGAGTGTGCAGCAAGATACGCAAGAGCAGGATTTTGGACCCGATCATTGGGCCGTCTGAGGCAAGATGGACCCAACAGACGAGAAGGCGGCATTGGAGAAGGAGACTTTGGGAACGCAAGAGCAAGCAGAGGCAGACATTCGCGTAGAGCAACCACCGGAAGACAGCCGCGATGCGACATCGAGCGACCCCGAAAAAGATGCCATTGAGAAAGAGACGGAAACAGACACATCGACACCAGATCCAAAACGTTTGAGTGCTACACTCGACGTGGAGGGCCGAGCAAAACGAGAATCGATCGAGTCCAGAGTATTCGGCAGCGTACGCGATTCTTCCGTCCTTTCTGACAGCGATTTTGGAGACTTCGACGATGCAGCGACGCGGCCTTCTGATATATCGCCGCAGACGGCGGAGCGTCCTCAACACAGCCGTGGAGAGACGACGGCATCCGCCATATCTGCGATATCGCGAAGAAGCGGAAGAAGTCTGCCACCTTTGCGACGCAAAGAAACAAAACTGGCGCAAAAGGAGGCTCATCCATGGCAACATCTCGGCATCACCTTGGGCTTGCCAATGATCCTCCTCTTCGATCTGGTGATCCCTTGCATTATCTACTACACCTGGTACAACAACCACAGAGACAAATGGCGACGTCAATGTAGGGAGCAGTATCCAGATCGCGAATGTCCCATTCCCAAGCCAGAGTACGACAAGGACATTCTAGGCTATGCCATCATCTGCTTCGGATTTGGCGAGCTTTGGATCCTAGTAGCCCGAGTTTGGAGGCTGTTCTTTCGGCGGGACGAGTGCGCGCCGCTCCTCTCTCGAAGCCGATGGGAACTGGACGCGACATCGTGGGTTTATGGTGTTGCGATGATCATGGCCTTGATTCCTTTCGTGGTTGGATCGTCCCTGGAGCTCCCTCACCTGTACCTGTACTCGCCTACCTTCATCATGGGGTTCCTGGGGATTTTGATGGTAATCACAACGTTTGTACCATTCAAAATTCCGATCGGAATCAACTCGCAAGCTCGAGGGACGCGGTTACGTCCTTTTATCTATTACGCGGCAGAGGACTTCATGGCCGTGGATGGATTGCAGGACCGTGAATTTCGAATACGATACAACGAGCGATACGAGAGCAACTCGATGTTTCGACGATTCTTCCTGTATCTGACGCTGTGGTGGCTGCTGGGGGTCTGCATATACATTGGATGCGTGTCGGCGATCATCTGGACGCTGGAGTTCCATTACGCGTTTGGTGCGTCGTTCGGCGTTCTGTTCTCTTATATCGCTATATGGGCTATCGTGACGGCAGTATGGGTGAAGCTAGAGATGAAACGAGAGCATCTGGCATATGAGAACGACGAAATAGAACCGTAGTGTAATAATGATGAAGATACAGTCAACGACCGAGGAGATGTCAGCCGAACTTTGGTTCGATTGGCTTCATATCCCCTCCCTTCCATGGATGACTTGAGCGTCATCTCCACTTCATCCTCGTCACACTGATGAGGTGAGAGTGCTACATGTGCACGTAAAATCACGTGCGCCTCCCACGGCTGATGTGTTGCCCACCTGCCAGGCATCCCTGCACTCGGGCTTTGTTTCTGCACCTGCTCCAACACATCGGCGCACACGTTCTGGTGGCAAGCGCTCCGAGCACCTTGGTGACTGACGCCATCTGAACACATCTCCACCCGCCGGCGACTGTCGCGACCTTTAGCCGCTCGAAACCGAACAAAGAGCACCTCTTCTTAATCAACGATCATCCTGCCTCTCGACAAACTCGGCACGCGCGATATGCAGGCCAACCTTCAGGGGACCAACATCTCATATCGCATCTTCCATACCGCCCTCCCCAAGTGAAAGCTCTCGGCTGCCGCCTTCTCCGACAATCATCACCACAAGTCCGTAACAGCTTGGATACTACACGACATCACCGCCGACTGACCGTGCAAGCGGCGGCTGGCAAAGTGGAGCGTGTGTCACAGATAAGGCGACTTTACTCAGGTACGTCTGCCACACCGCACCACTTCACCACTGCTTCCTCGCAACCTCTCGCCAGAGGTTGCATGACTGCGTGGGACCTCTACACACCTCCTGCGGGATCGAGGCTGAAATTTGGCTGACAGAGTCTCGTTTATCAGAGCTCAAGATACAACCCTGAAGTCGACACATCCTCTACTTTACCTGCGATAAGGCGTAGCACACAAAAATGGCGGGGTTCGGACGCTCCGAGTTCGTCGACCTCATCAAGCCTCTTGGAGATCGTTTGAACTTGTACGACCCCACCAAGTCACCCACCGAGCAACCGAAGAATGATGCCGCAGAACCAACTCGAGCTGTGCCACAAGCCTTTCTCGATGCTATGATCGTTCGGGAGGAGGTCTTTGTGAAGGAGCAAAAGGTGCCTCTTGAGAACGAGCTGGACAGTGACGATGCCCGCAGCTTCCACTGGGTTGCATACGCCTCGATACCCGCAAAGGCCAACACCAATGGCAACTCCAGCAATGGTGACCGGCGTACGAGCAACAGCACCAAGATCCCGGTTGGAACCATTCGCCTCGTACCTCCACCACACGCTCCTCACGATGGCCATGAGCCAACCCAGCAACTTACTAGCAGCAGCGGGGAGAAAGAGGCGTACATCAAGCTGGGAAGGCTGTCCGTGATCAAGGAATTCCGCAAAGCAGGCATCTCCAAGTTGCTTATTGAGACTGCCTTGGCTTATGCAAGGGAGAATCCATACGAGGTCGGACCCCAGATCGACCCCGCATCAATAGAGGCTATGAAGAAAGGGATAGCCCTCAACTTCAAGGGATTGGTGTATATCCATGCGCAGGTTGGTGTGCAGAAGGTTTGGAAGCGACATGGCTTTGAGCGGGACGAGGGCATGGGAACGTGGGACGAGGAAGGTATTGAGCATGTTGGAATGTGGAAGCGGCTGGACGTCTCTGACTCTCGGAGGAAGAGCAAGATTTGGCTGGCTACGAGCAACCCTCTCAGTCCATGAGAGAGCGACACATACGAAGCATGAGAGACGACGGCATTGCGAACGGAGTTGGGAAGCGGTTATACCCTTATAGACTCGGTTTGCATGATAGCTGATCAATGAAACGGCCGAGTTGCGTGATCTGAACCTAGAAAGAATCCTTGCATTGATGTTTCTTTCACTCTGTAGGATATTCAGATACGCTTCGATTCCGGTGGAAGTGCTTCGACAGGACCTCCACCACCTTGTGCTTTAGCTCACTCATTTCCGCATCAAGCTCCTGAACCTTGTGATGCTGGTTACCATAACAAGTCACGCAGACGGCAATGGCAAGCTGAAGAGCAGCAACGGCGATTTCTAGGTGCGTCAATCGATGAATAGGAAAGCTACATTGCTCACATTGACTCCTGGTTTCCCTGTCATCGGCATGGTCCGCGATGTAAGCGTGGAATTGGTAGAGTAGCCAGTAGCTAAAATGCAAACCAGTCAGTTGATATCTTCGAACAATGAGGTTGAAGTAGCTCTTACGCGTGACACAACTTGTGGTCCTTTGCGGCCAGTTGGACTAGATTCTTAATGTATTGCTCGTGGAGTTTCTGCAACTGCCTGAGGTTAATGTGAGTAGTATGGATGCTGAGCTCGAAGTCGTCGTCGAGTAATGGAAGGGGTTTGATCATCTCCAGCAGTTCAGCAGTCTCCACTCGGAGGGAGTCGTCAGTTCCGTGTTGCGCGTCCGAGGGGCCACAGGCTGAGCAGGTGCAGGTAATCTGCAACCCGAGCAATTGTCGAAGATGCTGCATTCTCTCGGCCTTCGGCATCAGAAAAGTGTCAACATCCTGCTCGTAGCTGATCGTGATCTCCTGGCGTTCGGCGATATGTTGGAGAGCTCGAAGGATCATCTCATGGGAATCTGGGTCCCAATGTTGGAAGGCGTTTGGTATGCACGAGTGGGAGACGCGAGCAATGTCGGCGTTGGCGTTGAGGACGCATAGGTGAGCTGAGTAGGACATGATGGGTTGGCCTTTGAGGATGTTGGTGCTCGCGAGCAGTCGTGGAAGGCCGTCAGGGCCGTTGAGAATGATGTAGCTGGGTGGATGGGCGTTCATATTGCAATATCGTTGCTGAAGGTCTTGAGGTTGAGAGCGTCCTTTGGCAAAGCCATGGTCATTGTCTGCTTACGTATTCTTCGTATTTGACATCAGTTGTTAGATGTGGCACTACTACTGTCTCGAGAGTCCTCGAGTGTCTCGTCTCATAGTAACGAAACATCGTGCGTATTTTGAACGCCATGTCTAGCCCCTTAATCGAGCACCGGATACGAGACCAAGTCGTAGGGCAGGCGGTATCGTCGCTGATAATATGTAGTGCCACCAAAATTTTGCAGGGCCGTTGTTCGTGTTCGAGACGTGAGGTCAAATGTCAAAGACAAAGTCTTGGCATGGGCCCCTTTTTGATCACCTGTCGATGTTACTCAATATTTTTCCCCTGTTGAACCCAAAGAGAAGAGCCAAAAGGATATGCACGGTGGCATTGAGATATGACCCCATCGTACAGGTACACGTGTTCGGTTTGAAGAGTCGTCATTCTCGCAAAAAAACGTTTGGAAGACGATGTCCCCGATTCATCGCCAAGAATTGGGTATATCATGTCAAAAAATTGGTATATTAATATAAAACAAGGTCGAGTCCAAATTACACGGACTAAAAGCAAAACTTCGGGCTCAACCGCGATTTGAACGCGGGACCTCTTGCAATTGTGCTCTTTTGAAGCGCCCAAAGCAAGAATCATACCCCTAGACCATTGAGCCTTTTGGATGAGTGGTTGAGCAGTAACCAATCGATAAAGGACGAAAATTCTTGAACAGATATGAAAGCTCAACGGATCAACGTTAATCCGTCGCGGGGAGCTTTGAGCCCCAGGAGACTATTCTTGGGGCGCAGAGTCTGCTGCGAGAGATGGCTAACTGAGATCTTGTCTGGACGTCTTCCCTGATATATCGAATTGTGTTCTTCAGGAGTGTCGTTGCAGAGGATATTGCTTGACTTCTTTCGTGCCATTCAGTTGCAGCGGACCAATGCACTGGCAAGAGCATCAATGGCATGCCTTCCTCCAGATCCAATCGTTCGACTCAATAACGTGTAACATTAGGTTGTCCTGCAACGATGGCCGAATTAGACATGTCTCGTATCAGGCCCCGAAACATGTTCAGCCGAATCCTTCCAAGAACTTCCTTGCATGAGACTCGAACTCAATTGGCACCTCCAAGTGTCAGCTTCCATGAGCTCATGCAGTTGCCGCGTCAGATATCACATTTAGCGAGCTGAGAACGATTCCAGAGTCCGCAGCGGGCATATGAGGCGGTCGTCTCGCGAAATGGGAAGAGCTGGCAGTTTCGTTCTGTTTTGACCGACAACTGTTTCGTCGAGTGCGACTTAGCAGCCTGCTCTTTGCTGTCATCGAGTAGTACGTGCCTAGCATGGCTCAATCACAAGTGCCGATACCAGCTCTCGCAGCTGTTGCCCGATTTGTTGGTGTGGTCTTTCCTACGATGTTCTGCGGCATTACAAGTCAATGTAAGGAATCACTGAGCCTTTGACCTACCAAGACTGACACGAATGACTTCCCATCAGACAGCATCATCTTCGTTCAGCCGATCGTCGACCATGCGCCAACGAAAGTGGCAGCAAAGCAATGGCTTCAAGGCTATCAATTAGGTCCAGTCTGGGTGCCTCCAATAGTTGCACCAGGAACCGCAGCAAATGTCTTCCTCGCCATCATAGCCAAGACGCCGTTGCAAAGGAACTTGTACGTTGCGGCAGCTCTTTGCATCTTCAGCATAATGCCGATAACGTTCTTCTACATGGAGCCTGGCATCAACGGGGCTCTGAAATGGAAGATCCAGAGCCTGCTCAAGGATGAGGGCATGAACTGGGGAGAGACGAGCATCTTCGCGCCATCGGTGACGAAACATAGCGCGACTCAAGCAGCTCGAAGATGGGCAGAGAAGACGGATCTGAAGGAGTTGATTCGCTTCTGGAGGAGGATAAACGATTTTCGATACGTTATTGGAGGAGTGGCGGCGCTGTTGAGCGGATACGCGACTTTCTCCCAGCTTGGTTAAGAAGACGTAGGCGAGGAGAGGCCGTGGGTAGCGTATTGAATCGTCCTCTTGGTAGTATTCGACGCGAATTGGTAGTGAGAAAGGGAGGGAGAGCTCTCTCCAACGCCCATCGGCTATCATCGGATCCGCAACGCTCGAAAGAAGGGAATCGCGTTCCGCGCTGCAGCTCTCCAATTCCGCCTTGGACAACCCCACCAAGTTCCGAGCATGGGGGGAAGTCTTTCAAAAATGATATTTCTTTTGACGTTTCCAAAAACGCGTTGGAGACGTGCCAGACTCGAGAGCTTCGTGTTGCTGCTCTACGGACCAGGCTGACAACATGGCTGACGCGAATGGATCCTCACAAGCCGAATTACTCTGGCGACACCCCTCACCACAGGACTCGAAGCTGTGGGACTTTCTCCAAAGAGTAAACAAAAAGCACAACAAGAACTTCAAGACATATCACGACCTCTACCAATGGAGCATCGACAGCGTCTCCGATTCCTGGGGCGAGATCTGGGACTATGTCGGTGTTCGAACCTCGCAACCGTACAAACGAGTCGTCTCGGATGAGAATACCATGTTCCCGCGACCAGCATGGTTTCCAGGAGCGAAGCTGAACTTTGCAGAGAACTTGCTATTTCCAACTCAAGAGGTCGACGAGAACAGCCCGGCGGTCATTGCAGCGACGGAGACGACCAGGGAGACTGTCACATGGAAAGAGCTGCGAGAAGGAGTACGGTATTGCCAGGCCGGGATGAAGTCTCTGGGGCTGAACCCGGGCGATCGAGTTGCTGGATACGTTGCGAATCATACCAATGCACTCGTGGCTTCGCTGGCTGCATCATCACTTGGAGCAATTTGGACAGCCGTCAGCCCGGATACTGGTGTTACAGCCGTCTTGGATCGAATGGTTCAGATCGAGCCGAGTTTACTATTCACGGACAACGCAGTCATGTACAATGGCAAGACACATCCTGTTCTACCGAAGGTCAAGGACATTATGGAAGGCCTGCCGAGTTTGAAAGCGACGATCATATTCGATACGGTTTCGTCAATGGGTTCGAAAGTTGAAGGACTCTCAGAAGAATTGAGCAGCAAGGTATATGGATTCGAGCTATTCGTCCAGCCAGCGTCTCCATCAGGAACTCTACATTTCGAACAGCTCGATCCAGATACGCCAGTATACATCCTCTACTCGTCAGGTACTACGGGAGCACCGAAGTGTATAGTCCACGGCGCGATTGGTACCCTGATCCAGCACAAGAAAGAACACATCCTTCAATCGGACATTCGACCTGGTGATCGCCTCTTCTACTTCACTACTTGTACCTGGATGATGTGGCACTGGCTGGTATCTGGTCTGGCCGCAGGTGCAACACTGGTTCTGTACGATGGCTCTCCCTTCCAATATCTCTCGAACGGAGAATCTGTCAAGGACGACCTGGCGATGCCTAAGCTCATCGACGAGATTGGAATCACCCAGTTTGGAACCAGCGCAAAATATCTGTCAGTGCTGGAACAGCGAAATGTCTTTCCTAAGGAACAAGGGTTGACTCTCAAGACCCTGAAGGCAATATACTCGACCGGCTCGCCTCTTGCGCCTTCAACGTTTCAATACGTGTACAAAGCGTTCGGTCAGATCAATCTCGGATCGATTACTGGCGGCACGGATATCATCTCGCTCTTTGGCGCGCCATGTCCGCTACATCCTGTCTACACTGGAGAAATCCAAGTCTTGGGTCTTGGAATGGCTTGCCAGGCGTGGGACTTCCAGGGCAAGGATGTCAGCAAAGAAGGCGAGCCCGCAGATCTTGTCTGTGTGAAACCATTCCCATGTCAACCGGTAAAATTCTGGGGCAAGGATGGCGAGTCGAAATACAAGGCATCCTACTTCGAAGAATTCCCTGGTGTATGGCATCACGGCGACTTCATACGCTTCAACCCAGAAACAGGCGGCTTGATCATGCTTGGTCGATCAGACGGCGTACTGAAACCATCTGGTGTTCGTTTTGGTTCTGCAGAACTTTACAACGTCCTCCTGAAGCACTTCCCAGACCAAGTGGAAGACGGCCTTGCCATTGGACGAAGACGAGAGCAAGATGACGACGAGACCGTTGTTTTGTTTGTCAAGATGAAGGCTGGCGAGAAGTTCAACGATCAACTAGTACAAGATATCAAGAGCGTGGTCAGGAAAGAGCTTTCAGCAAGACATGTGCCTGGAATCATCGACGAGTGTCCTGATATACCCGTCACGACCAATGGCAAGAAGATCGAGAAGAGCGTCAAGCAGATCTTGTGTGGGTTGAATATCAAGACGAGCACGAGTGTGGCCAATCCGGATTGTCTGGACTTTTATCGACAGTGGACAGAGACTCATTGAGGATGGAGATCGATCGAATTTCAAATGACCTCGATCACTGCATGCCTCTAGAAGGGAGGAGGTGCCCTTTTGACTCGCCAGTGCTCAACGTCGATATGCTGCTGAGGCGAAGAAGATGTAGCTACGAGACACGACAGTTGTACGTATCAGTACCAGCAATGTACTCAAGCCAAGCCAAGCCATACCCTCAAGGTCTTCCGAAACGTTCTCGTCATATCCCGAAGCATTGCCAGCTGTGAGCGGTGTCGAGTGACGTTCGCTGCCCCACGTTGTCCCTCATCAGTTGCGATTTTCTTCAACTCTTCTACCAGCTACAACTCTTCACTTTGAATCAATTCTTCTCAAACGTCTCCCCAAAAAACACCCAATCAAACCCCAACCAACCCAACCAAAACACCGCAATCATGGCTCGTCAATTCTTCGTCGGCGGCAACTTCAAGATGTACGTCCCTCCCCAACAGCTTCACCGACCCCGCCATTGAAGACACGAAATCTAACACTCACTCACCCTCAGGAACGGCACGATCCAGTCCATCAAAGAGATCGTGCAACGCCTCAACGACGCCAAATTCGACCCCAACACCGAAGTCGTCATCTCCCCGCCCTCCCTCTACCTGCTCATCACCCGCGAGCATCTGCGCTCCGGCATCGAAGTCGCCGCCCAAAACGTTTTCGACAAGCCGAACGGCGCCTTCACGGGTGAGATCTCCGTCGACCAGCTCAAGGACAGCAACATCACCTGGACGATCCTGGGCCACAGCGAGCGTCGCGTGATCCTGCAGGAGACGGACCAGTTCATCGCCAGCAAGACCAAATTCGCGCTGGACGGTGGCATTGGTGTCATTCTCTGTGTGGGAGAGACACTGGAGCAGAGGGAGGCGGGCAAGACGAATGAGGTTGTGCTGAGCCAGCTGAAGGCTGTGGCGGACCAGGTCAAGGACTGGAGCAAGATTGTTGTGGCGTATGAGCCTGTGTGGGCCATTGGTACGGGCAAGGTCGCCACGACTGAGCAGGCGCAGGCTGTGCATGCCGCCATCCGCGAGTGGTTGAGCAAGGAGCTTGGTGGCGAGACTGCGGAGAAGACGAGGATCATCTACGGTGGTAGTGTGAGCGAGAAGAACTGCAAGGAGTTGGCCAAGGAGAAGGATATCGATGGCTTCCTTGTCGGTGGTGCTAGCTTGAAGCCTGCGTTTGTGGATATTCTCAATGCTAAGCAGGCATAGAAGGCTCCTCGAAGTGGGAGATATAGATGTGTGGTGTTGCGAATGGGACAGCAAGGCGTCTGGAAGATTGAGGCCAGTCACCCATGTAGCTTATGAAAAGAAATGAACAGTCCAGGTCAAATCACCAACACCCTCTTTCACTTCGTATCTTCCTCAACAACCATATACGCCCTCGCGAAGTCCATGATCCCAACACCCTTCGTGCCAATCTGCCCTCCCAGACTGCCAAACACCTCGCTCGCAAACTGAGGATTCGTCCCCAAGTTCTCCCTCTCCGAGAAACTAAGCAGCAAGCTGTTCATGCCCACATCATACACCTGTACACACATCAGCACATCAAACACCCCAACGAAGCATAAGCAAAAACCAACCCTCTTCGCCGCAACATCAACCGCAAACTCTCTCAACTCCCTCCCCTTCCCCCTCGCTTTCTCCCCCTCTAACGCCTCCAAAGGGCTGAGACTCAACGCATCAAAAGCCTGCCTCGCCCACTTGATCGCATGGCTATAATTTGGCTCATCGCTCTTCAAAGCCTCAATCTCGGTGCTCTCCAACCTCTTCGCCACCATGCGGAGGATATCATTCTGAAACTTCGGCGCGTGAAGACAGGATCCCATCCGCCATGCGTCGATGAGGCCGAGGGTGAATGTTTCCACTTGGAGGCGTTGGTGGGATATGCGAGCGCGGGCTTCGAGTTTCAATTCCGTTTCGGTGGCGGGGGTGGTGGGCGAGGCGGGTGGAGGGAGGGCGCAGTCTTGCTGGAGGGTGGGGAGGCGGCGGTTGAAGAGCCAGAAGAGGAAGATGAGGCCGGAGGTTGTTTCGAAGGGGGTGAGGTCGAGGGTTGGGGTGGTGTTGTTGTCGATGCGGGTTGAGGCTTTGTCGTTGTTGGCGATTTGTGTGAGGAGAGAACGTTGGACGCCGTAGGGGCGATGGTCGTGGTGGCGCACGAGGACGGAGACGAAGGAGTCGGAGGAGAGGTTTTCAGAGGCCCAGGGAGCGAGTCGGCCGAAGGTCTCGATCTCGATGGGGAGAGGCTTGTTAGTGGAGTGTAGTAGTCTGATTCGTGTTAGGCATCGTGCTGTAGGAATGCGGCCGATGGGAGGCATAGCGATAGCTCAATCAGGTGGGAAGCCATGTGAAACGATTGCCGGAAATGTTATCAAACGTGGAAGCAGACTGTGCGATGGAAGGTGGATGAATTTGAGGAAGGGGACGTCGCCCTCGACTGGAAGGTATTCCCTTGTCTGTCACTTCAGCTGCTACTTGTACACGTGAAAAGCTCCCAACCCAGCCCCATGCCATGCAACCAGTGGTTTTAGATGAATCTCGCCATTCCGAGAGGCCATTTCTTGCAAGTACCTACCTGCTATGCTATAATACAAGCACAGTCAACCACCCAAGAAGGCGGCGTAAGCACGGGAGAAAGATGCAGCCAAGCAATGAAGAAGCAAGGAAAACGGAGCCCCATTCTTCCTTCCTCTCCTCTTTGGTATCCTTCTGTCATCGTACAGTCGTCGAGCCGGTTCTTACCCTTGATGGGGTTGTCCGACTCACCTGATAAGCTTGGAGGCCTGTAGCGTCGAGTAACTGCGGTGAGCTGGTGATGTCAGTATACTCACCCTCGGGATGTAGTCCAATAAAGGGGGTATCTTACCATATCTCACCATCTCGCTTGCGACGAGGCTAGTAACGTCTCAACAGCCGTGGGGGGTCATTCTAATACCGCCGCCGCTGCCGGGAATCGTCGTAGCCGCCGCCGTCGTATGGTCGCTTCTGGCCACTGTTGAAGTCTCGGTCGCGATCCCGATATCCCCCTCGTGGGGGAAGCGGCTCGTAGTTCGCGTTGCTGAAGCCTCCTCCTCTGCCTCCACCTCCCTGTCGTGGTCCAGATGGCGCTCCATCAGGGCCGTTCTGGTAGCCTACTCCACCACGTCCGCCGTAGCCGCCTCCACCTCTGAATCCTGGTCCTTGGCGACCTCCTCTGAAGCCTCCTCGGTCGCTGAAGCCTCCGCGGAAGCCTCCCCTGAAGCCAGGACCAGGTGGTGGACCAAAGCCCGGCTTGGAGACGACTGCTTTGGTGTAGTGCCGACCGCCGAGACCACCGCCGAAGCGGCGCGGTCGCCAGCCGTTGACTGTCCGGCCACGCTCGACGTCCACCAAGCACCGACGACCCTTGATGCTCATGAATTCACCGTCCTTGTACGCGGCTGTCGTATAGTTAGCTTGAGAATCATGGATGTGGGGGATTAGACGCGAGAAAACTGACCTTTGCAATCTGCCTCCCGATCGAACAGAACGAAGGCATAGCCACGCGACTTGCCATCTTTACCAGGCTTGCCGCTGCGGTCCTGTACGATGCGGATGCGCTCGATTGGACCGAAGCGACCAAATTGGTTTTCAAGATCCTTGGTAGATGCATCGTATGGCAACCGGCCGACGAACAAAGTCTTGAATGCGTCTCCGCGCACATTTGAGTCTTCGCTGGGCTTGTAGAGCTGCTTCACGCCCTCGGTCACTAGCCACTTCTGCTTCTTCTGCTTCTCGAGCTTCTCACGGTCAGCACGTTCCAAATGCGACTCGGTCCATTCCTCGTCTTTGGCCTCTTCCTTCTTCTCATGGAGAGCAGCGAGGAATCCAGCTACGCCATCAACCTTGGCGGTACGTCGGTCTTCGGGGGCGTGGTCGCTAGGGTTGAGCCACCGAAGTGGTGGGCGCGGCTGAAAGAGGGCGAGAAGGTTGGGTGGGAGCTTGTCAGTCATGGTTGTGAAGGCGACGCAGCTGCAACGGCGTGTTCGAGTTGGCCCGTGAAAATATTCGCCTGAGTCTTAGTCAATGACTGAACATGTACTTTGCCGATGCACAGAGTTGGATGTAGAGCGGCTGCGACGGCGGCGCGGTATGGCTGTCGAGGCGGGTGTCGTCTCGTGAGTGGTAAGGAGAGATGCGCAGCTGGCGCGATCGTGGCAGGATCGTGCAGATGTCGCGTTCGTATTAAACCCTCGTGTGCTTTCACAGTGTACAAGTGAGCCGACGCAGAGTGAGTGGTCGGCCGCCCAAGATGTGATGCGACGACGTTGTTGTGTGTAGTATGAGGGAAGGTCAAGTCGCGATTGAAGTCGAGGGAGGAATGAAGCTCGGACCCGCTTCTTGGCTTGGCGCTGGGACTCGGCGATTCCCGTTTCCCGACGAGCTCTCTTGTTGGTGATGGCATCGCGCTGGAGGAACAGCCGTGGACACAACTTTTCAATACCTGAGCACGATAAGGAAATTTGTCCCAAGCGCTGATGAACAGACAATGACCTCGAGGCTGCTGTCCTCGCGGCTGGCCTCGTCAGCTACCAGGACTACGATTGCTCGACCTTCCTCCCAAAATGTAGCGACGATTTATGCGAGCGGCGCCCTCGCTGCCGAACGGTCGATATCACACGCTGCTCTAGCACGATCTGGAGGCGTCCTGAGAGGATGGCGACAACGGAAGCCATGGCCTCTTCTCGTCAACACCATCCACAACCTGCCCGCCGTTCGCCATGCTTCTTTCGCCCGAGCCATCCCCAAGCTGGCCATGAAGCTCGCCAGGATACCTGCAATGTTTGGCGCCGCTATGATTGGGGGCATGGCATATCTACAATACCAGGCTGCCCAAGGATGGACATATGCGACAGACGTATTTGGCAAGGCAAAAGACACCGCCAGCACTGCTGCTAACGGCTTTCTGGAAGGCGTAGGCGATGTGTTTTCACAGATGGGCAAGGGCTACGATAAGACGAAAGAAGACGTGAAAGGCGTTCAGATGCCACAGTGGATGAGAGACATCTACGAAGGCAGGACAGGCAAAGAGGAGGGCGGGGAAGGGGGCGGTGGTGGTCCTAACGAGCCAAAGGAGAGCGGCACAGGAGCTGCAGTTGCAGGTGCCGGCGCTGCAACAGCTGGAGCTTTCGCTCTGGATGCAGACGGCGAAGAGGACAATCGATCAGTGGACGATGCTGCTCGCGACGATCAAATGATGATGCTCACTCGCAAAATGATCGAGATTCGCTCATTACTGCAGACGATCGGCCAGTCAGAAACACTGACCTTGCCATCGATTGTAGTCATCGGTTCCCAGTCCTCAGGCAAAAGTTCCGTGTTGGAAGCCATTGTAGGCCATGAGTTCTTACCAAAAGGCTCGAACATGGTCACCAGACGACCGATCGAGCTCACTCTGGTGAACACTCCGAAAGCACATGCTGAATACGGCGAGTTTCCGGCACTTGGGCTTGGGCGGATCACGGACTTCAGTCACATCCAGAAGACTCTGACAGACCTCAATCTGGCAGTTCCAGAGAAGGATTGCGTTTCAGACGATCCAATTCAGTTGCGAATATATTCCCCTAATGTGCCCGATCTGTCGCTCATCGATCTGCCGGGATACATCCAAGTGGAGGCATTCGACCAGCCAACAGAGCTGAAGACGAAGATTCAGGAGCTATGCGACAAGTACATCCAACCACCGAATGTCATCCTCGCCATCTCTGCGGCCGATGTTGATCTGGCCAATTCAACAGCCCTGCGAGCTTCACGGAGGGTTGATCCTCGAGGGGAGCGAACGATCGGTGTAGTCACGAAGATGGACCTGGTTGATCCTGTTCGAGGAGCCCAGATTCTTTCAGACAAGAATTATCCTCTGCGGCTGGGCTATGTTGGTGTAGTCTGCAAGATCCAACAAGAGTCGAAGTCACTTTTCTCAAGAGGCTCTGCAAACATCACCAATTTGATCACGAAGAATGAGTCTGCATACTTCAACGCGCATCCGGAGATTTTTGGCGAGGACTCAAAAGCCAATGTCACGGTTGGCACGCCAGCTTTGCGCAAGAAACTCATGCATGTGCTAGAGTCCACCATGTCGGCGTCGCTGAAGACCACAAGCGAGGCTATACACCACGAGCTGGCCGAAGCATCTTATGAGTTCAAAGTCCAGTACAACGAGCGACCTTTGAGCGCCGAGAGCTACCTGGCAGAGTCCCTCGACACCTTCAAGCATGGTTTCAAGAAAGTGCAAGAAGCATTTGGCAGGACCGAAGTTAGAGAGATCGTTAAGCACGAGCTCGACCAACAGGTTCTGAATTTACTGGCGCAGAAGTACTGGAACAGGCCAATTGAGGATCTCAGACCTCAAGACCCACACGTTGAAGCTGTACAGGAACCTCTTGAAAGCCTGCCAAAGGCAGATCCAGAAAATTCACTGTGGCACCTAAAGCTCGATGCTTCGACCTCTACCCTGACAAAGCTTGGTATTGGCAGACTAGCGACGTCCGTCACTGCACAGGCGCTACAATCCGCAGTGGAGGATCTGATCAAGTCCACCCCTTTCGCATCGCACCCATTCGCTGTTAGCGCAATCACCCAGGCGTCAGAGAACATATTACGAGACCTCAGCTTTGACACTAGTGATGAGCTGGAGATCTGTGTCAAGCCGTACAAATACCGCGTCGAGGTCACCGATCAAGAATGGAAGCAAGGCCGCGAGAACATCGGCCGCGTGCTCAAAGATGAACTGAAAGACTGCGAGAACGCTTTCAAGTACGTCGAAGAGCAGATCGGTGGACGACGAAAAGCTAAGGACGTCTTGAACTTCATCGATCGTGTGCGCAAGGGTGATATTGTCCTCGAGGGCACTGGAGTCGGCGGCGCCGGCGGCTTCAGCTCAGCTCTGCTGGAGAAAGGCAAGGAAGCTCTCTTCCTCCGCGATCGAGCTGACATCCTGAGGATGCGTCTCGCTGCTGTCAAAAGCAAGCAATGTGCCGTGCCAAAGAACAAGTACTACTGCCCAGAAGTCTTCCTAGACGCAGTCGCGGACAAGCTCACCTCCACAGCGGACTTATTCCTGGATGCAGAGCTACTGAGCAAATTCTACTACCAGTTCCCACGTGTTCTCGAGAAATGGGGCCGTGAACTAGACGAAAGCATGATTGAGCGATTCGCAAGAGAAGATCCCAAGATCCGACGACATCTGGACGTCGTCAAGAGGAAGGAGCTGCTGGAGCATGTGCTCAAGGAGATGGAGAGCTTGCGCCAGCTGGAAGCGAGAGAGAAGAGGAACTCCTCGAGAGGCACACAGACCGACGAAGGAGGCAAGAGAAGAAGAGGATGGGGAATTTTCTAGACAAGAGGCGAGTGCTTTTGGTGTTTGGGCCTGGCGTTCGGGGAATACCGCGTCCTTCGAGGCGGAGAATGATACCAATGACAGCTGCTGGATCTGTGGGGTTTGCTTCTATTAGATGAAAGGCGTGCATAGCGTTCTTGTGTATTATCCCACTCCATTCTTCAAAGTGTTCAGCTTCACGATATTGATGGCATCCTTTGCTTTATCTGTTGCATCTAGCCTCTATTTCTACACAGGGCGCTGGACCAAGCGGTGCATCTGTCCACAATCATAGCCGGACCCAACGTGACCGTCACCTCAAAGGAACGTTGGACTTCAAAAACTCTACAATCTTTCCTTGGTCCTCATCTAACTTCGGTATATCATGACCACCAGGATGCTTCAAAAAATTCGCCTCTCGACAAACTTTGATCAACGCCTCACTCCTCTCGCTACGAACCAAAGAATCCTTCTCGCCAATGACATGAAGCAGAGGAACGTCTATGCCTGGCTCGTATACGCTATCGTACTGCGGGAACCTCGCACGGAAGCCGCTAAAGATGACACCTGCTGAAGGAGTGGGTAGTTGCGCGGGCATGTGTTTCCGTAACGGATGATTTGCGAGCTTCTCTTGTAGCAGAGAACATAACATGCCAGAGAAACAGGCGCCTTGACTGAACCCCCAGATGGCGTGCACGGGTCCCTTCTCCAGCAGGAGATTGCCGATGAAGTCGAGACTCTTCTCCAGACCGTAGAAGCCTCCCGTTTCGCCATTCTGCCAATTCCCGTCCCGCGAGAACCACCATGCTCGATGCCCTGAAGTGCCCATGGAAGTGACCAAGTCGGTCCACGCTTGGTTCTCGGGTTTGGAGAGGTCCGTTTGCGAGGAGATGTCTACTTCGTGGGGGCCGTCGGGGAAGATGAAGTCGTATTCTGGGAGAGCTTTTGTGATCCGTCGGAGTTGGTGCGCGTGGACTGTGCCGTTGGATGTGAAGCCGTGGAGGCAGAGGACTTTTAGCCTGGTGGACATGGTTGATTTTGAAGGATGTATCAAGAGGACTTGCACGATTGTCGGAAGAGGTGAGGTTGGTTTAGGGGCCGGGATTCAGCCGAGGTTCGGGGGTGATTGTCGCTTTGTGATCCCTTTCTCCTGGGCACTTCAACTTGTGAGAAGTATCATTCTTGACTCGATACTGTGACTCTCGCAGACCAGAGTCCAGGAGATGGTGATGATACTGTCGCAAGGGAACGGAAGCAGCACCAGCCTCGAGTACATGCAACGCCTTTGCTTACTGACCAGCGGAAGCACTTCCTGTCTCGCCCCAAAGGTCCAGATCAAGTACGATCAACACATGGAAATCGGACTATATGTTGAAGTCAAAGATGTTGCCACTGAGATCGAAGATTACCGCGTACTGGACCGAATGCTGAACAGCGACTCTACGCGGACATCGCACCTTTTGGAAGAGCTATTCTGGGCCTTGGGCAGTTCAACCTCCTGAGAAAACTCCTTCGCAAATGGATGATGGATACTATTTCACTGGAGAGCAATCAACCGAGTACCTGAAGAGCAAGCTCAGAGACGTCTATGCTGGGAGATCGACTCGTTTGCGCTGCACTAGGATGTTCTCTGGACGATCGATCCAATGGTTAATAGACTCCGCCAGGCTAGCCATGATGATTCGACCTATGGAGAATCGGCGCAGTTGTTTCGGTCATGTTGAGCACGTTCTGACAAGTGCGAACACCCCATAAGTACGGTATCGAAGCCTATGCACCTTAATGTCCTCACGCTCTCATGCATCGCGCAGAAAGTGAGGCGTCGAATAACGACTTCCACATCCACCTTGCAGCTACATTATTCTGACCTTTGCGGATCTATGGTAATGTTCAGACCAAGACTTGGAGATATAGCTATGTTCGCCTGTGCAACATGAGGTTGATTGACTGCATAGATCCGGGGCTAGAAGGTAATGGTCGCCGACCACTATGGGAGCGCACACTTCAATAAGGTTTGTGGCTTGCAGCATGGCAAGGGAGGCCGCCCTCAGGACAGGGCGCAGCAGACCAAGAGCCGGATACCCTTCTGACTTCCACAGATGATAGCTCATCGACTTGGCCTTCTTCATTATCACACTACAAGCACTTCTAACCACTGCATTGAACGTACGGACACTGATACCATTTCCACAGTCGCCGACACTCGAAGTCCGACTTTCGTAAGGCTCCAAGATATACCATCGAATGACGGGGCGTTGAAGAGACAACCATGGGCCTTGTACAATATGCCATATACGATCGGACTCTGAATCCAACATGCAGAGCGTGTGACCAAGGGATTTCGAGATCGCCGGACGACAGCACATATTACGCCTCGCGAGTACAGACCCAGCTTTACCCAGGCTACCGCTCGAGGTCACGACGAGCCAACAGCTTGAGAAGCGCCTTGTCAGAAGGTTCGACACTGGTCGATATCATTGAGAGCTCGAGCTCTTCCCGTGCCTACGCGAGGAGCGCTCGGCCAGCATCGTCCAGGATAAGCTACGATGCCCCTAGGACAGTATCTTCTAAGCCAGTTCTGAGTTCCATATATTCGTCGGACACAGAAAAGCCGGAGTTTGGCTCAGGCCTACTTTCTCCAAAATTAGAGAACGAGAGCTTCGACCTGATCAAGGAAAAAGAGAAACTTTACAAGAGGCTCAGAAGGGCAGCGCGTTCGAAGATAGAGTCGTTGAAGACGAAAAGCTCAATGCGTCGAAAGACTTCAACTAGTCCTGTTGATCGACAGCTACGATTGAGCGAGAAACGGAAACATATTCGCCTTCTACGCTTGCAGCCTTGTGTCAAGGCGAGTGATCCAATCGTCTGTAAACTGGAACGAGTCTCCCTGCTTGGCTATCAACACCCGTCCTACGACGCACTATCCTACCGATGGCAAGACGCTAGTCCACTGGTTAAGATTGTCGTTGACGGTGTACAAACGTCTGTCTCGCCGACAGTGATGGAAATACTTCGGACACTTCGACGACCCGATGAGTCTTGCCTCCTGTGGCTGGATAGCTTGTGCATCCGACAGCAAGATACGATTGAGAAAGAGAAGCAAATCCGCCTGATGCCAGACATCTACCGCAAATCGAAACGAGTGGTCGTGTGGTTGGGGGAGAACGTTGACGAAGTTCCTGGCGATGTCAGCAGGTCACTACAGGCTATTGACATGATCAACAGAGACATACGTCGTGAGACGACACCCGAAGAGAGCATGCAGGACAAGCTGTTCAAAGTCGATGGAACTCGACAAGCAGCAGACATGTCCAGTGATGGCTACCGATTGCTCTACGACGCGGTTCTCCCTTACTTCAACAGCGAATGGTTCTCGAGGCGCTGGGTCGTCCAGGAGGTTGCTTTGGCTCCGAAAGGGGTCTGCTACCGCCGAGGCTTCCAGACTGATCTTACGGATGTCCTACGCGCTGCTGCATGGTTTGTTTACAAGTATAGAGACGAGGATGTCCCGGAGCACCGAAACATCAGACACGCCGCTACTATCTTTCGATATGCCGATCCAGATTTCGCGTACTACCACAACAAGAAACACACCCTGACTCCTTGGGATCAATACCTGAAGCGGACGCCCGGCCAAGCTCGATTCCGACATCCTACGCTGTCTGTACTTCTCACCGATTTGAGAGACCAAGACGCGTCCGAACCAAGGGATAAGATCTACGGTCTACTGAGTCTGACAGAATGGACCTCCAAGGGCAAGAAAATCCCCGAGTCGCTTCAACCAAATTACAACAAGCCCGTGGCTGAGGTCTATCGAGAAGCAACAAGAGAAGCTATTCGCTCTGCTGGCAACCTTAATGTGCTCGAGTGTGTCTCTCGACATGAGGCGCTGCACCAAAAGCACTACATGCGTGGGTATGACAGAGACGAACTGCCTTGCTGGTGTCCACAATGGGATCGACCGTTCTCACATGATCGAGATTCCTCTGGACTGGGTGCCCACTTCCGAGCAGATGGTGGTCGGCCACTGCAGATGGCGAAACCTGGCAGCAATGCACTCCCATCTGCTATTCAACTTCAGGGATTGTATCTGGATGAAGTTGTAATCACCTCGACTGTCATGCGGCCTGATGTACTCTGCTGCCAGCCTGGGATCCTACCGCAAGCTCAGGGACATTTCTGGCCGACAGTAGTAGCCGAAAAGAGCGTGAGACAACGATATATCAAGCAGGAAGGAGACGAGTCCTCACTCGCTGTGGCGCTCCTGAAAACGCTCGGCGCCGGCGCCGAGTTGCACGACACCGCCCAGGACGAAAGCCTCCTTGCCCCTGACAGCGAAGACTGGTCCTGGCCTCGGAATCAACACGACATCTTCAGTCGAATGAACAAACCCGCCCTGGAGAAAGCCTGTCGCAACCGACGCTTCTTCGTCACGAAAAGCGGGTATATGGGTATCGGGCCGAAGACAATGAGGACTGGCAATAAGCTCGTTCTGCTCTATGGCGGCAAATGGCCTTTCTTGCTGTTTCCTACGATCGGCGACTACTACTACTTTGTTGGGCCTTGTTATGTTCATGGTATTATGCATGGCGAGGCGTTGAAAGAGCATGAGTCTGAGACGAATCAGAGTCGGGTGTTTGAGATTCGATGAAGAAGGAGTTGAAAGCAATGGCCGTAGCATTCAATTACGCCTGGAATGGAGGCTATTCTCTGTCTGTAAATCTTGCTTGATCTCTAAGACCCGTCACACTATATTCAAACTGAGTCTCAGTAGTACCTTCCTCCTTGCGCTCGCTGGACAACGAACTGCGCTGCTTGCGGTGCGTCTTTAGCATAGCTCAAATGTGCCGGCAGCACCAAGAAGCCATGATAGCAAATATTGTCGAGTGGGTCGCACAAAACGAGGACTCTGTCCGGCGAGACACCTTGTACTTGTTCGCCGTTATCAGGATCTCCGAAGATCTGAAATCATGTCAGACGTCGGAACTCATCCCTATCGATCAGGAACAAACTTACCACAACACTACTAATACCCTGAGTCCCACCCGAATTGGAGAGAAGCCTGGCGGCATTATGCACCAATTGTCCACCTTGACTGTACCCAGACAAGACTATGCTAGTGCTGGGACACTGCCTCTCTGCCAACTGCACCAGCTGCGCCATGCGTTGAGAGGCGTCTTGATCACCACCAGCGAGGAAGCCGGGGATGTCGGCTGGGTAGTCGACCTGGACAATGTCAGAAAAGACTTCATCAATATGCTGGAGAATGGGAGGCTTACGCCTTGAACAGCCACATTCTGTGCTCCAACTGCATCTGCTACTGCGTCGAAGAACGGCGGTCCTGCGAGCGTGCCGACGTTGCCTTGCTCGAGGGTCCCACGCGCAAAGATGATGGTTATGGCGCGGCAAGGCGTGCCGTTGAGGAGGTCGTTTCGGAAGGGTGAGTCGAATAGACGTTTGGAAATGGGGGCTGTGGAGGCCAAAGGCAATGATAAGAGAAGGAAAGAAAGAAGCTTCATGATGAAAGACTGACTAGTGTATATGTCATTTGTACACGAGACTGAACAGTTCGATGGGTTGCTCAAGTTTTATAGTACCTTCGTAGGCGCAGATTGAAGGACATTACTCGCGTGCTGCCTCTGTCACCGTGATACCAGAGCTCAAACGTGAATTCACGAAGCTGTGATGGGGACGCGCGCCATGCGGTATCAGAATGGCCATCTCCTCAAGAGCGTGGAGGACGGGATTGTTTAGTGAACTGTTTCCGTGCTCGGTATTTTGCTCAGTCGACATCGCGTATAAGCGAAGACCGAGGACGTACATCGCTGTAGATGCTGCTGGTTGGCGGCATTGGCGATATCAAATGTCTCTCCTCGTCAAGGAATGCCAGGCAAGAAACGTTCGAAGCCTTACCGAGGAGGTAGAACTGTTAGGGCAAGCAGGGCGCCCTCGTTAGGAAAACGAGATGGCCAGCGTCACCATCCCTGAGACAATCTGAAGTAAGTGTCGGAATGGACATGATATCCGTGGCCGCGCATTCTCTCGACCGAGGAGCCGCAGTTGAGTGTTGGTTTCTCGGACTCGGACCCATGATAATTTTATGTGGTTTCGGGGATTGAGATATTCGTTTGTTGTTTCGCCTGGTTCGATTCGGTGATTGCAGGTTGTGATTGACCTCAAACGAGAGGACAGCTACTCTGTCTGTCAGCACTCCGGCGACGAATTCACCCGGCGTCCGCGATAGTTGAAACCAATGTCCGCGACAAAACACGTCGAGAAGACCGGTACCTAGGTAAGCGACATGATTGTTTGGAAAGCCATGATCGAGTTTGGGAAAAGTTCGCAGAGCTTAGGTATTCAGACACTTGCTGCCGCGCCTTTAGACTCGCCTGTTGATACGGCCATACGCCCCCATCCTGTTGAATGCTTCACGCATCTCTGCTGTGACCCCACAAACTCCTACTCGTTACAAACATTTTACTTGCTCTCAGCCTCCTCCGTAAACTTCTTGTATCCATCCGCGTCCATCAGGCTCTGGAGCTCATCCGGTGCGCTGACCTTGATCTTTGCGAGCCAGCCGTCCGCCTCGGGGCTCTTGTTGATTGTGCCTGGCTTCTCTTCGAGTACGCTGTTCGCTTCGACGATCTCTCCACTGACTGGTGTCATGATATCGCTTGCCGACTTCACGGACTCGACAGCGCCTATCGAGTCGCCTTTGCTGACCTCGATGCCAACCTGTGGCAGTTCGGCGAAAACGACGTCTCCTAGAGCATGTGCGGCGTAGTCCGAGATTCCAATCGTGCCTGTTCGGGGACCGAGTTAGTCTCTGGAGAAAGATGTTGGAGTATAGGATTGTGTCGTACCAATGGTGCCGTCTTCAGATAGTTCGACCCATTCGTGGTCTTCAGTATAACGCTTTTCCCATGCTGAAGGCTGTCAATCGCACATTCCCGGTCTTCAATGGCAGATCGTCACAAACCTTTTGCACTAGCAGCAAAGCTCCGAATAGCAGGGCGGAACTGGCTCTGAGCTCTGAGGCGTAGGTATTGCGGTCTGCTGCATCGTGTGAGGCTTCCGGAGGAGGCGATGGAGCGGGCGAACGAGCGAGATACGACAAAGGCGGCCATGGTTGTGGTAAGAGTCGTGGTATAGCAGGAAGAGAAGTTTGTGTCACTGCGGTCTCCGAAGTGGTGGTTGGAGGTGCTCTTGGACGGAGCTGCATCATTGGCCGGGCCGACGTTGCGGCTACGGCGGAGGTCAATTCGCTCGACTTCACGTCTTGCATGTGACAATCTTTTGCAGTGTTATACACCGAAGATGTTGTACGAATTAATAGGCGTGGTATGCATCTATCGATACGGATCTGCGTGCCATCTTCTAACGATTCTTAGGTCCGCCCAGGCCGCAGCATAAACGAAATCAAAGAGTACGCCTCCTAACTTTCACCTCGACCTCTTCCCCTTCTAACAGCACCCTTCAGAATCACTCGAACGACCGGAAACATCATCCTCTCCGCCGGCGGCGTAGTTCGCGGCATCACAAACTGGGGCGTCTTCATGCTCCCAAAGCCCGCGCGAAAACAAGGAGCAACCTACCGTGACGGCCACTACTTCATCCTTCGATTCGACTCGAGCGCAAAGACCCAGCACGCCGTGCGAAGAACGCTTGGACTGGATCCGCGCATGATCAGATATAGCGTGGTGCAACTGGGGAGCAAATTGGAAGAGATCAAGGACGTTGCTGGGAAGGCGGATTGGCAAGGCATGAGTTCTGTTGATCGGGAGTAGACGAGGCGGGAAAAATTACTGCCGGGCAGGAGGGATGACATGTAAAGATATGGGTGGGCATTGCTGGCTTTAGCGGTTGCATGGGCGGCGTTTGGCAGGTATAACTCTCTGGCATGAGAGTGGAAAAGTGTGATGATACCAGCTGTTATGCGTTTCTCGTGTTAACGGTGAGGGCACCAACATAACGCATACGCATGGCATTCGGCAGAAGATAAGAAGCATGTAGTAGGAGCGTGCCTAAGAAAATGGTCCAAGCTATTGTCCAGGAGGCACGACGTGAAACTCAAAATTGTTGAACATTTCACGCATGGGTCACGTTTTCAATACTTTTAACATCCGCTGCAAGACTTTCATATTCTACAAATCGGGCTTTTGACGACGGTCATGTCAAACCCGAGACCATTGCTACCTCCAACGCCTCGCTAAAAGCAATCCACTTAGAAACCGCCGCGGCCAAGTGGGATGTTGTTGGGATTGTCGGGGTCCTTTCTGAACTTTGGCAATCTCTGCGCGGCTTCCAACATGTCAGCAACAGAGGGAGAGGACTCGGACGGCTCTCCTTCCTAATAAGGCCGGCCTCCTCTGCCTCTGTAGCCGCCACGTCCTCCACCGTAGTCGCCTCCTGGTGGTCGCTCGCCCCTACGCCACTCACCCGGTGGTGGACCCATACCAAAGCCACCACCTCCCCGCGATCCATACCCACCACGATAGCCTCCTCCGCCTCTACCATAACCACCTCCATACCCATTTTCTCTAGGCGGTGGTCCTCGCGGCGGGCCACCGAAGTCTCTCGGAGGTCCCCTAGATCCTCCCGGAGGCGGCAGCGGCGCCACTCGACCATCCTGTCCCGGTGGGTATATCGTGCAGACAACGTAGTCCCCAATCACAAACCGCGCATCCGCAAGCGTCTTGAGCGAGTCTCCATCCAAGCTCGCCTTCAAGCCCTCCATATCCCCATCTTCCAATTCTGCAGCACTTCCACCAATGACCACGCTGCCCAATGGCTTGTCAATCCACTTCCCACGTCCACCTTCTGCCACAGTCGCGCGCGTGTCGGGGAAAACAAGCTTGTACTGTATCCGCGTGCCCACAGCTGGGTTGGGTAATACACCTGGTGGCAGAACAGATGACATGAGTCCTGTGAGTTCGCCAAGGGTACAGTCGGGCCAGGTATACGCCTGTAAGCTCTTCTGGCGGAGGTTGGCTGGGAGGAGCGAGGAGTAGTCGGGGATGCCAGTAGTATCTGCTGGTGGTGCGACGCTGAACTCCCAGGGATTGAAAAGTTCTCTCTCGCGCCAGTAGACGCGGAGAAGGAAGGGCGATGTCACGGCGCGGTCGATGTCGGTTTTGGAGTCGGGTTGGAGCGCCATGTTGAACTATCGATGGATTCGAAAGGATTGTTGTTACATGAGTGGGCGTCTTTCGAAGGGTTGAGGTTGCAGGTTGTGGACGTGAGGTGTGTTGGTCGAGTCGTGGGTGTGCATGTGAAGACGCGCGACTGAAGTGAAGCTCTTCAAGCTCTTGCAGCCAGCCGGACCGTGGATCAATTCACCAGTAACTTTAACCAAAACTTCAACGACCGACTTCCACCTTTCTTTATACACTCACTACCTGTCGCATAACCGACAATATGGATTTCGCAAGTCTCATGAAAAGCCAGATTGGCTCATCAACGAAGCCAAAAGACGAGCAAGGCGGCAAGAAATATCTGAAGCGCTCTGAAGTTGAAGCACAGCGACAGGCCGACTACCAGCGAGAGCAAGAGGAACTCGAGAAGGCAAGACAAGAGAGGCTAGAGAAGAAGCGCAAGCGGGATGAGGAAGAAGCAGATCGGAACAAAGCACGCGAAGAGAAGAAGCAAAGACTAGCAGAGGAAAGCAAGCGACTCCGAGAGGAGGAAGAAGAGGCAGAAGAGAGAGTACGACGGAAGCGATTAGGTCTCCCAGAACTCGAAAAGAAGGCAGACAAAGAAGACACGCCTCTACAGGACGATGAGCACGACATCCCAGAGGAAGAACTCCTCTCCAAACTCCAAGAACTCCACGAACCACGCTTCCTATTCGGCGAAACCCACCTCCAACGCCTCAGACGCTACCGCAAACTGAAAGAAAAAGCCCTCGCCCCGAAACTGAGCAAAGGACCCATACCCACTACCCTCGAACTCGTCCCGGAAGCAGAGATGAAAGTCCCCGAAACCGTACCCAAAGACCCCGCCCAGCGAGACTTCCTCCTGCGCCAAATCGCCAGCTATTTCGACATGCTCCTCTCAGAATGGCAGTCCGCCCTCGCGAGGCGAAGCAAAGAGGTCAAGGAATCCTCGACCGGAAAACAAGCCTTCAACTCCTTCCTCGCGGCGCGAGATAACCTCCGCCCGCTCTTCAAGAAAATGGAAACCAAAGACCTCCCGGACACTCTCCTCGCGCCCATCCTGGAAATCGTCCATCTCGCTCAGGTCAAGAAGTACGTCGCCGCGAACGATGCGTATCTGAGACTTTCGATCGGCAAGGCGGCTTGGCCGATTGGTGTGACGATGGTGGGTATCCACGAGAGAAGTGCGCGGGAGAAGCTGCATGAGACGGAGAAGACGGGCGGACAGGCGCATATTCTGAGCGACGAGGTGACGAGGAAGATGTTGCAGGGGATTAAGCGGTGTTTGAGCTTCGCGCAGACGAGGTGGCCGCCGGAGGATATTGGGCAGTTGATGGGCTAGAAGACGTTGATAATGAGACATGACTACCTTGATCGCCGCTGACTTGGGGCGAAACCCGTTCCTATTCGTCTCAAAGCTGCTACCTTTCACACTATCGCCTTTACCGCCGTTCTCAAGGCCTCATCGACCATCGAGCCTCGTGTTCGGCTGCTTCTCTGCTTCTACTGCCACAACGGAGCAACGGTCTCGACTGCCCTCTCCACAACCGCCTTGACGCGATCCTTCAGCGCTGCCTTCTTGCACTCGATCTCCAGCTTCTCCAACCACACCGTAGCAATCGTCTCGTCCACCTTAATCTCAACACCCGGAACAGGAATACCCAACGCATGCAGCCGTGCCAGCTCAGTCGCCTCTGCCTTCTCCCGAGCCACGTCGTCCATCTCCATCGCTACGTCGTCTCCAGCAGCGTCTCCATTAGCAGCAGCGGTTGGAAGTTTCGGCTTCGAGATGGGGTTGACTGCGTCTCCACCGAACTGTGCCTCCAAGAACATGAAGAGCCTGTTCAACCTCTCTTCGGGAGTCAGGTCAGCGTGAGGGTTCTTCTTCGGAAATGCGCCATTCGTCTTCGTCTCCACCGGGCTGTCTCCGAATCCGTCGTGAACGTGCTCGTGGGCTTTGCTGCTCTGCTTCACGGCGGCGGGCGAGCTTTCGACTGTAAGTAACACGGCCATGACGGCGTCGGCGATGCTGTCGTTGGTCGCGTTGCCTTCCCACTCTAGCTCGATTTCGCCCTGTGCTTTGCAGTTCACGCGGACAGCGCCGCCCATGACTTCGAGAGTTGTGTCTTCGTGGCGAGGGAGTTCCTCGTCGGCAGCTTCGTTCTTGGATGTGCCGTTTGTCTCTGGTTTCTCGGGGTTCGTGGTTGATACTGTGCCGAATGTGCCTTCTAGGGCCCACTTGATCAGGTCCACGCTGGCGGATGCGAGCGTGATACGTTGGCGACAAACGATTGTCGTGGTGGTGAGGCCAGCGTATTCTTTCAAGTCTTCGGGTGCCATGAGTGATAGCTTGAAGTCGTTCTGCACAAGCACGCCGCTGACCACCTGACCGAGCCCCTGATCCTCAGCCTTCAGCTTCTTGCTCTCTCCAGCCTCGTCGTCTTCATCGTTCGAGTCTGGCGGGCTTGGTAATAGAGTAGGAGGCTGGATCTGGTTCGCTAATTTTCCAACGACTCGTGCGACCTTGTCCTGTCTGAACGGTATGCGAACCTCTTCGCAGTTGGCAGGCGAGTAAACTTTCATCTTCTGCAAGCCGAGCAACCTGCTCTTGAGACGATTCATGTTGTGTCTCTCGCCATGCACCAAGATCACAACAGGTGCGTTGACCTCCTCAATGAATTCTCGGTTCTCTTGCCCGTCAACGTGCACGGCAAAGTTGAATTCCTGGACGCCACATCTTCGTGGAATCATCTGGATCTCACCGTCAGCCATCCCGGGTCTCTTTCCCAGCGTCACGCCAGCGCTACGGTTTGTAGTGACAGCAGGAATGGTGTCCGGCTCGAGCATGATCTGCTTGGCCATAGTGCCCTCAACACTGTAGCCAGTGATGATAACACCGTTCTTCGCATCTGGTGCCCATCGTTCCAGCAGAGCTCGACTCGGTCCATTCTGTAGCATACCAGGACTGGCAAGTACCACGCTTCCTCCGACATCCTCGAAGCGATCGACGCCTTTAAGTGCTCGTACGTACTGGAAGTCCCAGGGCCCAGCGCTTCCGCCATCACCAGCAGTCGCTGCGCTTGCTTGGAATTTGGCCTTGATGCTGTCGTTCATGTCGTCGACATACGTCTGAAATACAACCATGACCTTTCGAGCAAGCCCTGATGCGTAGTAAATCGGGAATCGTCGGTATTCTTCATGTCGCTGCCAGTAGTCTTCCAGGATAAGAAGCAATTCTTGTGTATTACCAACAGCAGTGGTCGGCATCAGCACCCTGCCACCGCGATTGAGTATCGTTGTGATGGACTTGATGAGTGCATTCTCGCGCTCCTGTCGCGGCGTCCGGGTCGATATGCCGAATGTCGATTCCGTGATGAGGCAGTCAATTTTGACGTTCTTCGGCACCGACGCTGGAATCAAATGGCGATCGTTCTCCCTGCTGTAATCACCTGTGAAGAGGATGTTGAGTCCAGCAATCTCAATAAGGTACATGCAGGCCCCCAGGACATGGCCCGCTGGGTAAGGGGTGAACCGAATGCCATTGTGTGAGTGTGTGGTGTGGAAGCTGATGGTCTGGATCAAAGGTAGCGTGGAGAGGATGTCTTGTTCAGTGTAAAGCTGGCTGACATATCCGTCCGTGCCCGATGTCGACGAAGCGGGAGTATGGGTATTGTGCACGCGAACTGCGTCCTGCGTGGTCCACTTGTAAATAGCTTTGGTTGGGTGGGTCATATAGACTTTGCCAGCAAAGTTGGTCTTCGCAAGAACGTAAGGTAGTGAAGCAGAATGGTCTTGGTGAAAGCTAGAGCAGGCGGTGTTAGCGTGATGCCTGGAACTGTGCTCGAGGCTACATAGACGCTGGGCAGTCACCATGGCAGAAATTGGAAAGGAGGACATGTTGTATACATCTGGTATACCGTGGCTATAAAGCTATACAGTCCTCGACATTGTGCTCTCAAGTTAGGAAGTAGACTCCTACGAGTGTAGGTCGGGTTGCCGAGACGCGCTTTCTGCTGGGCGCGCTGCAATGCTGTACTATTTGTTGAATGCCATGGTGACTGCCACCTCCTTATCTTCACCAGCAAAGGAGAGTGTTATGAACTTACTGAGATATGAGTAGCAAGTCTACCGTACTCAGGTCGAACTCGTCGTAGAAAGGTAACGCCCCGAGGCCTTCATACGAAGGGTGTATGCCCGCGTCCAGCATCACTGTCTTGCCTTTGTACTGTATGATGTGACATGATCGGCCCACTTCGTTACCACCACCCAAAACCAGAAAGGTCAGCTCGTCTGAGGGATCGACTGGATCGTCTTCTTCGGCCTGGGCGTTCATAGCCGCGTGAGGCCTCTTCGCGGCCATGTCGGCGTGGAGGTGCGCGCGAGGCGCGAGGCGCGATGTGATGGAGGGCGCGGCGTCAGTTGAGGAATTTGTACGATTGAGTCGGTGAGGCGCTTCGATGTTATTGCACGTGGTTGTCCGATGTGAAGATGTTGTTGTCGTCAGATGTTGAAGTCGAGGTGTCGCGACGCAAGGAGACTTGATCGTGTGAAGTGACCGTGCACGGGCCAGCATGCGGCGATGCGCCGCGAGGTTGGCCGTCAGTCACGCTGAAGCCATGCTCTCTCTTGCAACCACACCACTCCAGGCCCACCATCGCCGCCACCCGCGCCAGACGGCCCCAGAATACATCAAACGGCACCCTGCACCTCCGAGCGACATCTTCACGACGACATTTGTACCACGAGCCGCCATCTGATGACGACCGACGAGTAACGAGCGACGAGGAGGCGCACCACCTCACGCGAGGTGCTCACGACTGAGCCTGCGCCCTCCACCCCATCTCCATCTCAGCGGCGACTGATCCGGATCGTCTGCGAATATGTCGTATTCGATGTCGCCGCCGGCGCAAAAGCCGCCTCCCTTTCCCTACCAGCCAGCAGGCTCTCCTCCAACTGCGCAGTCGCCGTACGGCGCACCGCCGCCCAAACGACAGAGACTGTCACCGGATCCGCGATCACCGCAAAATGGAACGCCAACATATGCGAGCTCTCCACATGGCTTTCCGCCTTACGCATATGGCCCACAGAGTGTACAGTCTCCGTATAGTCCTTCCAGTTTCGCAGGATCACCTCAGAACTCCTTCCACACGCCGCAGCCGTACCCGCATCAGCAGTTACCATACTCTCCGCAAGCACAGACGCCGCAGCAAAGACCGTCGCAGATCAGCCCCCCGCCTCCGAACAGTTCGCGAGACATGCCTCCACCTCCCCGACCGGTGAAGGAAGAGAAGGACAATGTGGAGGACATCGGGGACATGCTGTCCGGTAGTGGCATCAACTTGAAGGAAGAAGAGAATTACTTGCATGGCATGTGGAACAACAGGTTTGGTGGAGGCGACAGCTTTGCGACGAACCAGTCTACGTCTTTTGGCTCGAGTACGATGAGCCCGAACAACAGCTTCAACTATCTCACCCAAGGTACGTCATTTGGGAGTTCAGGACCAGATGGTGCCCTTGCTGGAACGCTGGGAAGACCTCAAACACGGGAAGAGATCGAGGAAGAAGCCAAGAAGAAGCGTGCTGAGGCCGCGAGGAAGAAGGCGGAGCGGGATCAACACCACCTCAATAATCAGTTCTTGGATTGCAACTGCGTTAGGAACCGGATGCATGCCCGAGCAGCTGAAAATGCGGTGAGGCTTGATGTACACGGTGTTTATCTTAGGAATTCGGAACTACAAGCTCAGGTCTTGACCAACGGCGAAAAGTCTGACGGACTAGTAGAGATCAAGCCAGAGAGCAAGATTGAGGCTGGTGTGCCATATGAGGCCATTCTTTCGTTCATCAGCATTGCCGCTGGGGAGCGGCTGAGGGGCATGTTGGACGAAGCATATGGGATAGCGCGTGCAAGACTGTACGGTGACCACGGGCGTGTGATTCCACCTGAATTCGCCGACATTGCTGAGGGTGAGGGCAAGAAGAGTCAAGAAACGGTCGTTCCAGAGAGTGTCACTGGCACGTCATGGGACAAGACGCAGGACTCATCAACGGTGGCAAATGGAGAAGTGAACGGGAATGGCGGAGGGGACACGCCTCAGCCTGTGCAGACTGTCTCTTTTCAAGGCACGCTCAACGCCCGTCTTCGTGAGCTCGCAGACCGTGATCGACAGGCTGAGAAGGAACGATCAAAGAAGCGCGAAGCACGCAAGAAGAAGGCTGCCAGTGAAGGCGGAGGCGACAGCACACCTGCTGAGACACCTGCCGAAACGCCAACTGCGACAGCTCCAGCTGAGGCTGCTGCTCCCGTGAAAATGACCAAGAAGGAAATGAACAAGAAGCAGAAGGAAGCTCAGACACAAGAAGTCCACGCTTTCAACCAATCGAACCAGACCGCAGCGATGATGGCAATGGGAAAGAAGACCAGTAGATATTCATGGATGACTGGAGGAGCTTCTCAAATGCCGACCAACCGCTTCGCCAAGCCATCTGGTGGAACAGCGACACCAAAGGCCCAAGCTGATCCTGCATCCTCGGCTGTCAAGAAAGAAGAAGAGCGCGTGCCGACCTGGGGCGACTGGCGAGAAGATTCGGTCGACGGTAAGGGCATCCAATTGCGAGACTGGGCCTGGGTACTCGAGCGAGACGGCAAGCAGAAGAAGGCGTTGCAACGGGCTTTGACCAAGTTGAAGTAGGGCATATCTCTTCATCCGCGGAGGCGCTCATCTGGGTAGAGGTTCCTTCTCAAGCGTTGGTGTTGATGGATTCCGCATAATGAGCGAACTTGCAATGCTTTTTTGCCTAATTCCCTTCAGCCAAAAAAAGCGATCTGAGATATCCATCCCCCCAGCATTGTTTCGATATGAGAAAGAATGAAAAAGGACTAATTTCCAGAATGCCGTTCAAGCTACACGAACCTGTCTTGGCTTCTCTTGGGGTTGTGGTACAGAAATCCTGAACTGCTTCAGCAAACAAAGGTCTCAGGAGATGCTAGTTACACTTGCTGGGTAAGTGAAGCCACGCCACAATATCACAAGCAAACAAATTTTCGCTCATAGAAGTAAGTGATGGAAGTCAGATGTGACTCGCTTCCAGTCTTCACGAGATGAAGTAAGAGTTTCTTGCACATTCCTCATTTCTCCGACCTTGCTTGCTCTTTCCTTCCACACCTCGTTTGTCGCCCCCTGAAACACGCGCCTCTCGCTCCGTGATATCATAGGCAAAACACACGAACACCTTTCCAGCAGCACACCTAAACAATCAGCCGCCTACAAGCAACATCTCACCACAAACAAGGCGAAAACACACAACCACCAACCAAAATGTTCATCCTCACAGCCCTCCTCACCTCCCTCCTCCTCCTCCTCCTCCTCCTCCTCCTAACCACCGCCCTCCCCACCGACACCGAAACCACAACCCCCCGCGACGCGACACCACCACCCTCCTTAGAAGAATTCCTCTCCTCACCCATGACCTTCGAGAAACGCCAGTCCAACTCCAGCAACACCAACCTCCCCTCCGCCACCGTCCAACTCTGCACCGCCCCGTCCTTCAAAGGCGAATGCACCAATGCCACCTGGCCCGTCAACCAATGCATCGACCTCAAGGGCTACGCGGGTCTGACGGAGAGTTTCCTCCCCGGGGAGGGGTTTGAGTGTTTGTTGATGCAGTGAGTTTACCTTTACGTCCCTGCCTTGCGAGATTCCTACTTGAAGATTATGGTTATATGCTTACTGTGGTGGTGTGATGTAGGGGCAAGTGCGACGCCACGCAGCCTTTCGCGGAAGTTGGGGATGAGGACGATAAGGAGGGAGGGGATCTGACGACGTATAGCTGGGTGGGGGAGTTGAGCAGTTATATGTGCTTTACGGAGATTCAGGCTTTGGGGAGGTTTGTGAGGGTTTCGAGGTTGAGGGTTGCGACTAGTGGTGCGAAGGCTTGATTGAGGAGATGATGGACGGGCGGAGGGAAGGGTGGGTGGGTGGATGTTGAGGCGGTTCGATTCGAGGAATGGTGGTCTTATACGGCACCTAGCAAAAGTACATGAGGTTTTTGAGAGGGCTTTTGGGCGGTGGAATGGAGAAAGGGGTGTGGTTTCTGGTGATCGATTCCATTGCATTACCCTAGACTCGGGTTGCTAGAGTACAGACTTGAGGAACCCTTTTTTCTAGTCTTACAGAAAGACATCAGCTCCCTTCTTCGTCTCCATCGTCGAGTAAAGAACCATCCGTTATGTCATACAATCAACCTCACGCTTTGCTGCTCTCATTCCTTCATACTTCATCAGACTGGCGTCGGATTCGCATGGTTCAGCTGAGCACCCGTCCCACGCTGAAAGATAGCCAGACCGACAGCTCTGCCCAACTTCGTGCCAATCCCATCCAAATGCCCGACCTTTGCGAAATTCATGCTCGACATCCAACGGGTCATCCACTCGAGGCGCTCTGGCTTCTCAAACGGACAGTGAATGAGGATGTTCTTGATGAGTCTCTTGGGTTCCTTGCCTTCGAGCTCGTCGCCACGAACCTCGTATCCACCACGCTCGAGATAGTCCGGATCGAGCATTGCCAGCATCTTGTCCATGAGGCAGCTCGCAATGCCCTTCAGGTAATGCCTGTTGTCTGTGTAGACTTCGATCTGGGCGGTGTAGCGATACATGCCTTTCATGTCGTTGTAGTCGTCTGCGTATGCAAAGCCGAGGACAGTGTCGGGAAGTACGATGTCATCGTCAGGAGCCCGGTTCTTGTGTCTGCGTCCTTTGAGGACTGCGCCCTTTTCACACGCGACGAGGAACGGCATCTTTGAGTAAACGAGCTCGCCGTATCGCTGGGCGATGTCGTCCGTCGTCTGTTCCTCACTCTCGGATGTCGCCCAATTATCGCAGATGTGGTAGTTGAGGATGTTCTTGATGGCGATGAAGTCTTCTGGTCGGGCGGATCGGATGAATAGCTTTTCCTGGCGAGGACGAAGCTTCTTGTTGTCCCGAGCGCGGTCGCTGTTGCACTGCTTCGTCAACAGCTTCTTCGTCCGCTGCTTCTGGCGCTCCTTCTTCTCCCGATCCGCTTGCTTGGTTGCGAGTAAGTAGTTTCGTCTGTTCTCGACATGCTTGTGGCCGCCTTGATCGTGCTCGCGTGCCAGTCGCTCTTCAAAACTCTCATCTGGGTCAATTCCTGCAATGTCGGGATGAGAAACCTCTGGAAGGAATTCTTGACCTTGCGAGAGAAGCTCCCACCAAGGTCTGACGCCTTGTAGATCTTTGTCGTCAAGGGGCTCGGGTGCGTTGGAGCGCACCAGCTCTTCCCAGAAGGTCTGCGGGTCTTGTCTTCCAAAAGTAGAGGGGATCCAGTATCGGGGTATCATGTCGCCCATCTGTTTGATCTCCTGCGAATCTTGTGGTTTGACGAATGCGTAGGTAGCTCCATCGAATTCGGTCGTGCTGGTGGAGGCTTCACGCTTCAGGAGAGTGCCAGTAAGTGCCTTTTCGCTGTTGTCTAGCCATCTCTGCACCTGTTCTTCCGATTGCCCAGGTCTGAAAGCTGATCGGAATTCCCAATCCACCGGAGGTGGCGCCCACCCGCCGTCCCAGTCGGTCAGCTTGGCGCCTTGATCGCCCCAGCCGTCATCATTCTTGTCGCTGTCCCATTCATCCTTCTTGTCGCTATCCCAATGCGCACTGTCATGCGCATCCCAGCTGCCCTTCCAGCGGTTAGGATCCGGCTTTGGAAAATCTGCTTTCGTTGGCCAGCGATTTGCGCGGGGTGGTTTCTTGTGCGGTGGAAGAGCGTGGTCTGCCATGATGTCGAGTGTTGTAGGGTCAGTGCTGGTGTAGTGCGGAGTCAAAGCGCAAGGTCGCTCGGTTTTTGTGTCGCCACCGCTCGACAATAGCGCGGTGTTTGCTATTGTGCGTGGTTGAGATGCGGGCGGCTTGTTTGCAGCAGCAGCCCGTGACGTGCACGTGGCACCCGCAGCCCTTTCCCCATAAATTTCGAGGAAGGTGTTCCTTCCGGATGAGGTGAATGCCATGATGAGTCAATCACTGGTATTGTGGCTTGAGGATGAAGTGCGGTCCTCGCTCTGGAGACGCACGTCTGGTCAGTACATGTGATATTCAAGTAAGACGTGTTAGAAAACATACTGCGCTCTCTCCGTGGCGGCTTCTTCTTCCCCTTCTTCGCCTGCTCGGCTTCGTACGCTCGCCACTTGGCGCTGTGCTTCTTGGACTTCTTGTCTCGCTCTTGATTGGAGACTTTCCACAGGAAGTAGACGACACCGAGGACGAGTGTCGTGAAGGAGAGCAAGGCGCCTCTCTTTCCTCTCTCACGTGGCATTGACTCGGGTTGGTGTTGGATCTTCTTGGAGTGAAGGACGTCGATGGTCACAGGTGTTGGTTTTTTTTTCGAAGTTGTTGAGGTCGTTCAGGTCAACAGAGTGTGTGGTTGACGTCGTTGTGACCTCGGGAGTGTTCGCGACCGAGTTGTGATCTGAATGCTCTCCACGTGCGATAGGGGTCGGTTGCACGTGACCGGTTCGTGAAGTGAAGTGATCAGTTTTGCTTCCGTCTTGCTTTTCTCTCTTCTCACCAACAACAACAAAATTGCAAAATGCTGTCGATTTTAAGGAAAGCGCGCTTGAAGGACAAAGAGATGCGAATCTTGATGTTGTGAGTGGCAGCCTGACCAACCGCGAGGGTGAGAGCTGATTTTCATGTGAAGGGGTCTGGACAACGCTGGCAAGACCACGATCGTCAAAAGAATCATGAAGGAAGATGTCAACGAAGTCAGCCCAACACTGGGTTTCATCATCAAGACAATCGATTATGAAGGGTGGGTTGCTCATAAGAGCCGTTCTTGAGCTTGTGCTAATGAATGAATTGGAAGATACAAACTGAATATCTGTTCGTGCTTCCCCTCCGCCATTTCTAGCTATCTGCTGATCCGTTCCAAGGGGATGTCGGCGGCCAGAAGACGCTCCGCACGTACTGGAAGAACTACTTTGAGAAGACAGACACGCTCATCTGGGTGGTCGACTCCACCGATCGAGAGCGTCTGGACGACTGTCGTCAGGAGTTGAAAGGACTCCTGGTGCAGGAAGTATCGTCTCCCTCATTTTCTCCTCTCCAATCAGCTTTCACTGACATGCTCCAGCGTCTCATGGGTGCGTCCCTCCTCGTCTTCAAGAACAAGAGCGATGTATCCGGATGCATGAGTGAGGACGACATACGCGAGGTGAGTGAAAACATCGGCCTGCCGCTCCTCCGGCCCGTACCAAATTTGGATCATGCACTCTTACTTAAGCACTGTTCAGGGATTGCAACTGGACAGCATCCGAACGCACAAATGGCATATCTTGCCATGCTCTGCGATGACCGGTCTCAATCTTGAGGAAGGCCTTCAATGGGTCGTTCAGGACGCGAAAGATCGCCTGTTCCTATACTGATGCTCCATGATTTCCCCTCCAGCCCTTTGACAGGGCGACAATTGAGTTCGACTCGATCTCCCAGATCTCACGCCTTGGCAGGCACTCAGGACTGTTCTGGCTAGCGTGGTGTAACGGCGTACCGCGTAACTACGACACGGCGACGCACGCCATCATCGCATGGGCAATCCGGTTGCGCACACGATTAGTGGGAAGGGAAGCTTCTGTCAGTTTCAGAGGCAGCACGGGGTCAATAATGGCGGCAGAAACAACAACAAGCTGCTGCACGGCCTGCATCAGGAAGCAGCAGCGGCCGCAGCAGAAGGGCCGGAGACTGTTTGATGATGGCAGAGACGCTGCATTCCAGGCCGGCAACAACGGGCAATCAGAGCAGACCAGGAGCCGCGCACGCACGCGTAGAGTAAAGGGATCTGACAATCGACGTGTAGTTCATCTTCGCTTCATCTGAATCTTATTATATCCGCACCCGTCGTCGTGCACTCACTCTATTAAGCTTCCACAGCCCTGAGCGACCCCGGTCTGTTGCTCACGTCGCAGGTCTGCCATCCCTGTCTCCTTCCCTTTAGTTTCGTCCATGTTGCACTTGTTGTTATGGACAACACCCACCCGCCATCCGATGGCTCCTCGCGGCCACCGCCACAGCGTGATCCCGTGAGCGAGAGCGACCTCGACCCCGCTGCTTTTCTCAAAAGCGTCCGAGAGCTGTCGGAGAAGCGCGATCGTGAGGACCAGGAGAGAGTGCGGAAGCTGGAAGAAGAAGTGCAGAAGGGACGCGAACAACGGGCGGCGCGGAGACTGGGTGAGTCGTGTGATCATGTCAAAGTCGGCTGGAGCTGTGGTGTGTGTGTCGGAGGTGGTTGCTGTGTTGACCTCTCTCTGCTACACAAAGCCACCGACTCTCCGCCAACGCGCGCGCAAGGGCTGACCAGTGACCAGAACGAGCACGATCCATCTCGCCCGATAAACAACAAACACCTGCTTCGCCCGCAGCCCGCCCACTGTCCCGCACCACCACCAATGCCAGCCTACACGCATCGCCGCCAGTGACCATGACCCCTCCCTCTTCCTCCGCCGAGGCCAATGGCCGCAACTCAGCCCCAGAGCCTGAAAAGTCGGTTGCTCCAGAAGGACGAGATGTACCAGACTTCAAGGGCTTTGGGTCAATAAAGCGATCCAGCACAACGTCTACAACCTCTGCAGCATCAAACAGAGACTCAGCTTCGGCCTCTACCCCCAGCGCCTCCAATCTGGCGCGATCAGGCACACTCTCATGGCAGCAGCGTCCGCGACCGGGCTCGAAACTCGGTGGAAGCCGGCCTTCATCGATGGTGCTCACTGGTAGTAAGCCTGTCCAGGAGCGGACTGACGAACCTGAGCCGAGCCGAGATCAAATCGCAGCATCACTGGGCGCTCGCGACCCCTCGTGGTTCAAGCAAACGGCGGATCGTGGCATTGGGTCTGCTGCATATAGAAAGAGCAAGGACGAGGCGCCTTCGAGTGAGAATGTCATGTCAGGGAGAAGAGGCCTTCCAGGAATGTCAAGAGAATCATCAGCAGATCCTGAAAGCTTGGGCAGCCCACCAATGTCGGATGCGAGGTCTGACCTCTTCACGAGAGGATCCTCAATACGTGAGAGCACGTTCTCGAATAGCAGCAGCAGGGATTCTGCAACCTCTACTTCGAGCAGAAAACCGGATCTAAAGTCACTCTTGGCGGAGGATGAAGACCAGCAACGAGCCTCGCCGAGTTTCGATCAAGCTTCAATTGCGAGCGGCGACTCTGGCAGCGTTGCGCGGACTTTGACCATGTCGAGCTCTCAGGCACGATTGACAAACGTCGGTGACAGACCCGCATCGCCCACGAAAGGAGTTGGTGGTTTTGTGCAGAGCGCGATGATGAAGCGATCGGACAGTCATAACAAACGCTGGAGTGCACAACCCGGTGCCAGTCTTAGCAGGCAGAACTCTGTGGCAAGTGCACGAAGCGGGTTGGGTGGACTGCAAGGATCGCATAGCATGCCTAAACTTGAGCCGACATCGACAAACCGCGAATCGAAGACAGAGAGCTCATCAAGGCCTACCAGCTCAAGTAATGGCTTGGGTGGCCTGCACCTGAATACCGCGCAAGATGATGAGAAATTCGTTAAGCCTGCGTTGCCTCACCACAGCAGGAGCAAATCCGTGGCATCCAATTACAGCGCCAACGATGACGGCCCAAGCGTCCCACAGTCTCCTGGGAGTCCTTCGAAACGATGGAGTCCGAACAAGTCCAGTTGGCTGGAGAGCTCGATTTCTCGGCCTGAATCTCCAAAGCCTGCACCCTCAAGGAACAGTCAACCCAGCTGGATGGCGGATCTGGCGAAGGCGAAGGCGCAGCGTGCAAGCACTGATTCCACGCTATATGCTGCTGAAGCGCAGAAGACCGTGGGAGACGAAGGCTCAAGGCCCGGATCCCCCACTAAGACCACGCCGTTTGGCCAGAGTGTCCTGAAACGTTCAGAGTCTAAGGATCTGTCGCAAACAACTACTCCCACGAACAAACTTAAGCCTCTACGGTTAGCAGACAAGTTTACGACGTCGCCAGCCAACCCTTCGCCGCCTGCAAGTAAGCCAGAAGAGACAGCTGCCTCTCCCCCGAAACCCTTGGGCGATCCTATCGACTTGGAGCCGAAAAAAGGACTCACTCAGACGTCAACACAGCTGCCTGACATACCAGTGGAATCAGCGAAGTCGCCGCCACCTGCTGTCGCAGAGAAGCCAGCGAGTCTTCCAAAGCCTGAGCCGGAGACCCAGTCTGTCAAGTCGCCGCCTCTTCCAAGTGCTGAACCTACTACCCCTAAGACTGGCAGACGCAGTCGGAGTTCAACGCTGAAGTCACCACCCATCAACAAGAGCAAGGCGAAGCCAGATACTCCACCGAAGATGCCGACTACAGACTTCCGCAGCCAGCTGAAGTCACGACCACGCCCTGAGTCGAAGCCTAAAGATGAGCCTGAATTCTTGTCCAAGTTTGGCAACCTGCGGAAGACCCAACAGGAACGCTACGTCGCGCCGGATGTGCTTAAGGATAACATCGTGCGTGGAAAGTCTGGCCTTGCCAATACGACAGGACCTGTCAAGACTGAACGCAAAGACGAGCTAAAGGAGAGTCTACTGGCCAAAAAGGGTGACATACAAAAAGCAAAAGAAGAAGGCCGTGACCTACCTGGTCAGGCGCACGAGAGGAAGATTAGCGGAGCACCTCAAGCGCCTTCGAAACCTGAAGCCCTTGCTAAGCGAGAGTTGCTTGGACGCTCTGACTGCGCCAGGAGCGTACAGACCACTGAGAAGACCAGAGAAGCGACCCCTGAAGCTCTCACACGACACAAGAGCTTGAAGGAGAAATCAGTGTCTGAAGCGCCGCCGAAAGTGACACCAGCCCCTGCACAGACACCGGAACAGATACCGGTACAGACACCTGCACCTGTACAGACACCTGAACCTGCAACTGCCGAGTCGACCTTCCAGCCTCTGAGTAGACAAACCAGCGAATCAAGTTCTACAGAGACCAAGCCAAGTCTTGAGAAGTCGAAGTTGGCTGCACGCTTCAATCCTGGACTTGCTGGCATACTCGCTCGAGGGCCACCCTCAAATCGAACTTCTAGGCCCGAGAGTCCAGCGACGCCAGGCCGATCTGTTCCTCAGACCACGTCAAGCGAGCCTCCCAAAGCTGGTGAGCCACTGCAAGATGTTCGAAAAGACCGCGCGAAGGGCCCAAAGCGACGCAAAGGTGCCACAAAGGCTACCACTTCTACTCCCGAACCCTCATCAGCGCCCCCAGCTGACAACGGCCCCAAGGCGGACGATGCCGGCCTGACTCAACCTGAGATCCAGATGCCGAAACCAGTGAGTGTTGAGTCCGCAGCTCCAATCATGCGATCGTCGTTGAACAGTTCTCCCTCGATCGAATCAAGCAGCGATCACCAAAACAAAACGCCGCAGACGAGTGCAGAGGCTAGCGTGCCGCCCACTAAGCCGAAGCCACCTGCACTGCCAGGCTCAGCAGCGTCTGTTATGATGGCATCTCTCAACAAAACTCCACGACCCATTAGCGTTGGCCCATATGGACAGGAGTCCGAGAAAGCCGCTGATCCAGAGAAGGATGAAGACACCAAAGCAACGCAAGCAAAGGCAAAGCCGGCAGCACTCCAAGGGTCTGCAGCATCAATAATGAGGGCATCGTTAAGCAAAAGCCCGCAGCCAGACAAAGACTTTCAAGAGGAGGAGAAGCCAAGTACTCCTACGAAGCCGACCTTCACTCGCGGAGCTGTTGATCTGCAGAAGCCAGCAACGCCCTCCAAGAGTCCTTCTCTGATTGGTAGAGGAACGTTCAGCCCGGAGAGGTCCAGCAACGAGACCGCGTCGCCCAGTGTAGTTCCAGCATTCAAGGGCTTTGGTCCTCGCAGATCGACCAAAGGCTCCCAACCGGAAGAGAACAAGGAAAACTCGCGGGATAGTATACCTTCCGTCAAGGCAGCGGCTACCCAATGGGGGCGTAGACCGTCTCCTCCTAAGAGCGATGGACCTTCTCAAATCCAGTTACCAACAAGGAAAGACGAGGAAGCTGCCATGAGGTCGGCTGGATTGCTTGCTTCGAGTCCAAAGAAAAGCGGTCTTGGAATCACTGTTGAGAAGAATGGAGACCAGCCCTCACCACCAGCCTCTGCTGGGCTGCCACCCAAACCTGCGAAGTCCTCGCGGACGGTTAGTGGCCAGCTAGCGGAGGCTTCCCCCAATAAAGGTCAGTAATCACACTGGCGGCGAACCCCATCCTCTCCTTGCTTGCTTGACCTTCATATTCTGACGAAGAGCCGTGCAGTCACGTAGCGCTTCCAATGGCTCTGATGACTAACGACCTGCAAAGGCTTGACGAATGGCAGTCCCATTCCGGATCAGCCCAGCACTGCCACGGGCAGCCTGCTCAGGACTTCGTTCGGCACAATACCCAAGTATCGAGAGCCGCTGGCCATAGACACGCAGACAGTGATAAGCCCGAGTCAACCCGTGCCTGAGACATCAAAAACCTTACGCAAGAGTGTGCAACTAGTCGCACAAGACGGGGCACTGAAGTCACTGGCGCCGCAAGAGGAATATACGCATTACAACGAGTCGGCCTACCTCTGCACGCACACTTCCACCAATCCCAAAGGTGTCAAAACTTCGCAGATCTACTTGTGGGCTGGTTCGCGTGCCTCCGAAAGCAACGTCGAGACCGCGAACACAGCCGGCAAAAAGCTCTCGAAGGAGAATGGCTCTGCCAGTGTCCAGCTTGTGCGTCAGGGCATGGAGCCGGCTTCTTTCTTGCACTCAATGGGCGGCATATTTGTGACTCGCCGTGGTGGACGGGATAGCGCAACCAAGCAGTATATGCTATGCGGTCGCAAACACCTCGGCCACATTGTTTTCGATGAGGTGGACTTTGCGATCGACTCGCTGTGTGCTGGCTTCGTCTTCTTGGTCTCTTATCCTGTTAGCCTGCAGCAGACAAAACTTTACCTCTGGAAAGGCTCTTCCTGCTCGGCTGAAGAACTGAGTGCAGCTCGACTTGCTGCAATGGATTTGAGCGAGACTGGTGAAATTATAGAGGTGGATGGAGGTGTTGAATTCCCATCCTTCCTCAAGGTCTTTGGCGCCAACACCACCAAGTGGAATGTCCCCAAGGTCTCCGACGTCTGGCAATCGAAAGCTGCATCGCCCGACAAGTTCAAGTCACGGCTTTTCAGGATCCAGCAAGCTGAAGCCAAAACCGGCCTCCTCACGACCCTATGGAACAGACGCCCAAGCTGGAACAGCCTCTCACCCGCTCGCTCACCCGCAAGAGACGCAGAGGAAGTCAAAGTCGAAGCCAAAGAAACCACTCCATTCACACAAGAACAGCTCGACGTCGACGGGATCTACCTCCTAGACGCGCACAGCGAAGTCTTCATCCTCATCGGCCCCCTGCTCGCATCCCACCCAGACCGCATTCGAGACACTCTCCTCGGACAAGCACTGCTCTTCGCATCTGACTACACCATCATGTCAGCCTCGCTAGAAGACCGCCGCTCCATACCCAAATGCTCCGTCTTATTCTCCGGCGTGCCGCGGGATGTCAAGATGTTGTTCAGACACTGGGATGAAGGTAGAGGGCTCTGGGGAACCGCTGGGTTGATGGCCGGGTCGGCGTCGCCGAGTATTGGCAGGGATGTGAAGCTCATGCCTTTGGATGAGATGTTGACGGAGGTTTGTAGGGACTAGGAAAGCTTTGTGGGTTTGGGAAGGGGTGTCTTTTTTGGGAAACACGGACAAAACATCATGTATAGAGGAAGAAGGCTACTTGGTTGGGTGGAGATTGCATTGTGAGCGTTTTAGTTGTTGTTTTTGATGCTGTTGCATGTATACAAACCCAAGTTTTGGAATATGGCACTTGAATACACGAGACATGGCAGTGCTTGATCAAGCCATCCAGCTTCAATGTAGACTCTCACTCGTCGACTGTCACATGTTAATGTTCCCCTCAATCCCTCATGACCCGTCTCATCAGATATCGATACTACACGCCAATGGCATGTCCCACATTCAGACCGTCCGTCTATTTCATAACTTTGACATTCAAGGGGGTATCTTTATCTATCTCCAAGTACAAACACATACACATACACATACATGCCCAATGCCCACACACGCCAACAAAAGCTTTTGTCATCCTCATCATTCATCCATCCATCCACCCACCCATCACCTCCTCCTCCCCCTCCTTCTCAAGCAGCAGTATACACCCTCCAACTATTCCACTGCCAAACCGCCGTCTCAAACGCCGTATTATTACCCGCCACAAAATCTGAACACAACCCCGGACAATGATCCTCATCGCTATACACGCTCGTGGCGCCCGCCCACGTCCCGCATAAATCAATATTGGCGATGATGCTCTGGTTGCGGAAATGCGAGCTGATGTCGCAGTTGGTGTTGGGGAAGTCTGCAAGGGGGGTAGGCCAGGTGCTCGGGTCCGGGGCGGTGGTGTTGGAGACGTCGGTGGGGATGTCTGAGGGGATGGAGGCGCGCGGGAAGAACCAGATGCGGATTCCTTCGGGGCGCCATTCCATGGCGTAGATGCCGCCGCCGGCCGTGTTGAGGGCTTGGCCGTAGGTGGAGGGGGCGCCTTGGACGCCGCAGCCGGCGTTGTTGTCGGTGCCGTTGTAGCAGTTTTTGGAGAGGACGGTGCCGGTTTGTTTGCGCTTGACGTTCATTTTGCAGTCGGAGGCGGTGTGCAGGGTTGCTTGGTTGCCGCTTGTGGCTTGATTAACTGCTTCGACGATGTCGATTTCGCCTGGGGGGTTCGTTAAGATTGATATGGGTTGAGTGGGGATGGGGTGGATGCTTACCGTTTGTTGGCCAGTTGTTTGGGTCGCTGAGCCAGAGGGCGTTCCATGTGCTGCAGCCATATGGGGTGTTGACGATGTCGAAAACGAAGAGTCCGCTGTTATATTGCTTCTTGCTTGTGATGCGGACTGAGTAGCGACCTGTGCTGGCATCCGTGTCCGTTGTGTCCACTCTCAGGATCGCAGACGAGGATGAAGCGTAGGTTAAGTTGTATTGTTGGGAATCAGCTACTTCCGAATCGACGTAGTGGACAAATCCTGAAGTTGGGTCGTATCCAGTGAAGTAATCGAAGTTATCGAAGAAGCCGGTCCCAGAGTAGGTATCCTCGAGAGTGTATGCGAGAGCAGAATAGTCAGGGTACGAATTCTCTCTCGTCCCAATAACAGCTCCAACGATGATACCTGCGATCACTACTACAACAGCCGCGATCACGCAGAGTATGGTGACTTTGGACCAGTTCTTGGGATTCCATGTCGATCCATTCGGCGCGGTCTTTCCCAGGCTGTCTATGCTGTCGTACGGTGGTGGAGGCCCATGAGTCGGACTGTATATCATCTCCGTCTCTCGTGTGTTGACATTTTGATACATCTTGTGTGCAAATTTGAAGAACGAAAAGGGAAGCAAGATCAAGACACTCAACTTGTCAACGGCGAAGAATGGAAAGAGTCTATCAGTAGTGTCTGCCTGAAACGACAAGAGCACTGGGGGAGTGGCATGTCCGCGCGTCGAGACTCTTTTCCTGATCGTAGCAGGCGCGCATTGGGGATGTGGTCGAGTGGCGGCCACGCGTAAAGTGGAGCGCTGTGCTGGGAGAACATCCATGCCGGAAAGCGGCCGGCAGCCTTCCGTGGAGCCTTCACGTGGAGTCTTTCACATATGGCGTGCGCCATTCGCAGTTGAGCTGCTGCCAGGAGTGATAAGATCGATGAGAGGTGTGTAGTCGTATTGCTGATGTGTTGCTCGCCGGTGCTGCTCGACTTCCCTGACGGCTAGCCGTTTCTATTTATGAATTGATGATACGAAAACAGCCTTGGCCTTAATTCATCGCCACCGAGTACTGAGATACATAGGGTTGAATGTCAATGGAGTAGGCGAATTGCCCTGCTAATAATGATATGTTCGAGTTGGAAGGTGTGGGAAAGTATGTCCTTATCGGCAAGAGTCGCGGGCCACTGTACAATCCACAACGCATGTACGGCAGTTGCTGCTTGAACTTGGAGGAAGGTGCGGAAAATTGACATGTGAATGGGATGCGAGTGAAGTGAAGTGAAGAGAGGATGGAACGTCGTGCGCCTTGAGATGTGCGTGAGAGTCGGGCCACCTTCCTGCCTTCCCCATGAAACGTCCCTGGTCGCTAGCAAAAAGTTAGACGAGGCAAACAACCGCACCTGCTGCAGGCGTCACCACCAAACAATCCAGAGCAGGCTTCACCACAGCACCTTCCTTCACAAACTGCAGTCGCATCGCAGCCTTCACGGGATGCGAGTCACGCGTGTCGCTCGCTAGGTCCAAGACCTTCATGTGCCGCCAGTAACCCGCCTTCCATTCACTTCGGAATCCGCGTTTGGTGGGTCCTCTGCACGACCACACTTAACACCACCCTTACGCTTCGAGACGCTTCATAATTACACGCCTGGACAAGGGCGACGATGGACAACCGCCCAACCAACAACCCTCTTTCTTCAGTACCCGAGAACCCTTCTCTGGACGACGACGACAACTCATCTGACCCGTGGCCCTCCCACCACAACGCCCCCCGCAGACGACTGCAGCCCCGCCAGCCTCGTTTTGCGCTTGAGCCTGGCGCAAGCAGCAGTAGAACCCCACCAGCATTCAATCTGCGCGCCCAAGCGGCTGAATTCGTCCCAAGCGTCACTGCCAGGATGCCGACTAAGAGGAAAGCCTCTTCGTCCGCAGGCCCTGGAAAACCGGCTGCCTCGAGCGCTCGTAGCACCTCTTTGACTCCAGACCAGCCTATAATCCGCGGTGAGGATCTGTTTGGTAGGGATGTGCTCGTCCAGAAAGACGCCGATTCTTCTGTGAGCTGGCTTGATGACGATGAGCATTCAGAGATCCTGGACATGAGCGTACAAGAAATCCGCACCTTTGCTCAGAACAACCCCCAGGCTGCGCAGCAAAACCGTGATGCTATTCGCGAGGCTTTGACGCTCGCACGCAATCGTCCCACGGAGAAGAACAAGCGTCCTGCGGATATGTTCCCAGGCACTTCAGCCATGCTATTCAGCTGCAACAGCACCACCAGCACTTCAGATCAAGCAGTGCAGCTAAATTGCCTGAAATACCTACCATTGTGCCCAGCGGGACCTCTCGCTGGTCGAGGTGGAACCATCACTAAAGACACCAATCTCACCGTCCTTTCAAGCTACCGTGAGCGGCTCGATTATCCATCACTGAGGCCAACACCACCCAAGAGAAAGTGGCCGCTTGACGAGCTGCCCAAGGAAATCTTCGATCTTATTACCGACTTTCTCGATCGGCAGGATGTCAAGTCCATGAGGTTGGTCTGTCGAGAGTTCGAAAACATGGTCTCAGACACATTGTTCAATGCTTCGGTCGTGCCGTTCAATACCGAACTGTACGACATGATCGACGAGGACGCAAAAGTATCGACTAGATCTTCACAAGCTACTCCTCAAGCTATGGACAAGGGTAAGGGCCGAGCTCGAGACGCGCCTGAAGTGAGCCTGGACACATTGCACGCTGGCTTGCAGTGGCAGAACGACAAGAACGATGTAGAGGGAAAGGTCTATCGTGGTCATGGCCTTCGTGTCTTCCAGGGATTCGGCCCGCACATCAAGCGATTTGGCATGAGCTTCGAGGTTGCCGAAAGCCAGCTCGCTCGGCCTCCTGTCAAGAAAGAGCTCGATCTCGTCGAATCGTACCATGGAGGTTATGAATGGCCGCCACAACAGTACACTCGCTTTGCCAACTTGGCTGGGTTGGAGCGAACTGCCGATGAGACGCTCCGTATGAAAGCTGCGTTTGCCAACTTGACCAAGGTTCAGGAACTCGGGTTGTCTGTCGAGAGCGGTCTTGGCTGGCTTAATGGGCCAGACAAGAGTCTGCGAGCTCGCATCTTTGAGCGGCCTTCTCCTGTATTTGGTCAATCGCATGCGCGGCTTCCCGAAGGACTACAAGAAACCAAGGACTTTTGGGCAGCGCTTCAAGCCTGTCATACCAAAGTCGGCGGCAACTCAAGTATGAAAGAGGTCACACTCGCGAAGAGGAGTATTGCCAAGCCAATCCCTGAGCTGCCTGGTTTGCAAGATACTCAGTTTGCTGATCCGAGTTTGTGGCCCACCGTTGCGGCAGCTAATATCAATGCCGCCACTTCTACCTGTGGCTCTCCAGAGGAAATGGCACTCGAGGGTGTACTCTTTACAACCATCAGCCCCACTGAATCAGGTCTACCTTGGGATAAGTGTGCATTGGCTCCATCCGAGTTGAGGAAGGAGCAGAAGGAGTGGCTTTTGGAGACTGAGTGGGCTCAAAGAGCTTTCTTGGAATCCTATATCCTAGCGATCATCGACAACCCTCTCGTGGTCGCCAATGTTCGAACTCTCAACGTCGCCAAGATCTCCAGCAGCTTTCTGCCGATTCTTGGGAGGTCGTCGTTCTGGGACGCTCTACCGAATCTCAAGGACGTCACAATCCACGTCAAGCCAGATTGGAGGACTGTGGAGAAAGACAACGCTGGCTTCGCGGAGACACGTGCACTGAGCCCCTCTGAGGCTGTTCGCTCTTTCCACAAGAGTGTTCTGAGAGACCGCATCTGCCTTCGCCCATCCATTACCAAGTTGAACATCGGGTGGTTCGGTGGTGGCGAGCACGCCGAGGGCATCTTCGCACGTAACAACAATCTGCTCCCCGCCCCAATCACTGCACCCGAACATTGCATTGCACCAGCAGCAGGCTTCGGCCTGGTTTTCAAGTTTGTTGAAGAGCTGACGCTTCACAACTGCTGGATGACTCCGCCTGCTCTTGAAGAGCTGGTCAGAAATCATTCTAATAAGAGCCTCAAGAAGTTGACACTCGACTCGGTCTCCATCACAACTCATCCTCGCTTCCCCACCGGAGGGCAGGCCGGTCAGGCGCAAGCAATGGCAGCAGTGCAGGCTGCTGGTGTTCATCAGCCCTTGTTGAACTTCCAAAACTTCCCCAACCAGCAAGCCGCTGCCCAGGCTCCTGGCGGCGCCAACGTTCAGCAGAACAACGCAATGGCCCTCCCACCTCCAATCGTGCCGCAAAATGCACCGCAGATGCAGCAAATGGCCTTTCCATGGCACGCACTCGGCATGGCAAACGCCCCACAGGCCGGTCACTTCCAGCAGCACGTCGCAAACCAGCTGTTCCACCACCATAACCAACACAACCCTGGCATGCTCGCCAACGCTGGTGGCATGAACCTACAGGCGATGTTTGGTGGCTCCAATCCGGGCAACAACATCCAGCAAAACCCTCCACCACCACCACCGCTTCCACATCTCCCACATCTCCCCAACCATAACCAGCAAAACACCCACTGGAGCGAAGCGCTCCGCGAGGGTTCATGGCCAGATCTTCTCAACAGAATCTCTCCAGGTCCCATCTTCGACGACTACAAGCCGCAGCCTGCTCCCTGGGAGGAGCAGCCACCACCACGCCCAGAGACGACTCTTCAAACAATCGAGCTCATCTCATGCGGCTACGTCCGCCTCACGAACAACAACGCCTTCGACCAGTTCGCCATCCAGGCCACGGATGACCACCACCTGTCCGTCTGGTTCCGCCAACGACAAGCAGCACTCTCGCCAGCCATGATGACGACTAACGATCGATGCATGGCTCGCATCGTGCAGCATATTCCCAACCGTGAGCTCGTGGCGCTTCTGCTGGCTTGGGGTCTCCGAGAGGGATGGGCGGACCAGGAGAAAGCGGAGGAGTCAGAGTATGACGGGCTCTTGCCAGGTGGAACGGGCAGGTTGTCGGGCGTCATCGAGAAGGGCATGCCCCTCATGTCGGTGCAGGATCGGGTCGATTGAAGTGCGTGGACGGATGTTTAGATGGCTTTTTCACGACACTGTATGAGTAACGAATGGCAAACGACGGGGAAACGGGGAAAAGTAAGCGTAATCATGTTGGAACGGCGACGAGGAAGGACTCATGTACGATAGCAATCAAACTTCGAGTGTCGAGCGTGAATCAAGGGAACTGGCCCACTTCTGAAAACAAAATCTCATCTTCAAACGTGTCAATTACCCAAGTTACCCAAACTAGCAAAAGCTTTTCGAACAGCACGCATTCGATGCATGCTTTTTGAGGAGCATACTATCGAAGACGATGCCAGCGAAGAGCGTCGTCAAGCCCGTGCACGAAAATGGCATGTGCGCGCACACGCTCTGCTTCATCTCCAGACTCCCCCAGCGCCTTCTCGATGCAGAAACAACAAAGTCTCAGGGTATGTCAATCAATCCAACGCCCATGCTCCTGTCCCAATTGCTTCCTTCGTTCTCGTGCGCCGCGCGCTCTCGTGGTTAGGAAGTCTTGTCTGCTTGCTGCTCTGCTCGCTGCTCGCTCGCCGTGTCTCGCTTTTCGCAGTGCCGCTGTTGCACTGCTGCATCCCATCTCTGCGCCGCTTAAAACAGAATGAAAAGAACTTACCGTCTCAATATCCGCCGTCACCGTGAAGGTTGCACTTTTGGCTCGCAATCGGTGCTAGAAGTATGTCGGCTGTGGTGAATGTTAGTGTCTGAAAGTTAGTGTGTGCATGCTGATCTCCTTCCGGCGGGGTGATGGTGATGAAAGCTGTCGAGTTTGTTCGCTCCTCGAGAGCCAGTAGCGGGTGTGACTTTACCCAGACTACTTTGCAAAGCATCTAGTCCGAGCGTGCCTTCTTCAGCTCTGGCTCGTCGTCGAAGGTCAACACATCCTCATCAGCATGCTCTTCGAAGGACCGCTTGCCAGAATTGGTGGATCCTTTCGTGGTCTCTGGTATGGCGAAATCGTCGTCGTCGTATCCAATGCCGTCCTCGTCTACAACTCGGTCCTGGGGCTGATTGTTCGGTTCAGCAGCATTGGAGTGGCCTGGTCCATGCTCGGTGTTGTCACCATCGGCCAAGTCGAGAGCCGTATGGAATTGCTCGTCGTCTTCGTCGTCGTAATCTATAAGGTCAGCCTCATCGAATGCCTCGTCTTCGTACTCAATGAGACCATCGTCTGGATTGTCTTGCTGGGGCTCGTTGTTGAATTCCTTGGCTGCTTCGTCGCCTTGAGGCTGCTGCTCATCGTTCAGGCCGAGCAAGTCCTCAGAGTCCGCAGCACCTGGTGCTTGCTCCTTTCCATCGCCTGCAGGAGGCTGAGGCTCCGAAGTGGACTCTGGTGCATGCTCATACTCTTTGCTCACGTTTTGAGCATCTCCTGCTTCAGCTTCGCCGGCGTCCGCGTCGTACTCAGTGAGGAGCGCGGAGAAATCGTCGTCGTCGGTATTCGCATTCGGCTCTGAAGGATAACCCGTCAGGTCATCGTCATCATCCCAGTCGATCAGATCTTCATAATACTCACCAGCCGCATCGTTCGCCGTGTCACCGCGAACGGTCGTTGAGCTTGCAGCAGAATCCGGCTTGACGATCTCAGCAGGCTTCTCCTCGGTGACTTCACTCTGGGCTTGGTCCTTTGGAGCTTCGACGGCCTCTGCAGTAGGTTCGGCCTCCTCATGCTGGCCAAATTCTTCCGGGTCTGGGTATTCCTCGTTCTCGTTGTAGTCCTCGTAGTTGATCTCGAATTGATTACCTTCCTCTGTATCTTCGTAGGCCTGGTGCTCCTCATGGGCTTCTTCTGCGAGCTCGTAGCCTTCCTGAAATCCAGCCCCTTCGCTGTACGGTGCCTGTTCCTCTGTGTATTCATGGGCGTGACCATCGTGCTCCTCGTAATGCTCTTCGCCAGTAGCAAGGTTTTGCTCTTCTTCGACAGTGTACTCATCAGTAGGCTCAGCCTCAGTATCGGCGTCTTGATACTCTTCATTCTCTGCGATGTATGGTTCAGGAATGTTGGAGATGCCCTGCCCATCGTTGACAGCCTTTTGCAGACTGCCCACGGAGGTGGAGAACTTCGGCTGCGACGTGAGGGTTACAGTAAGGGGAGGAACATCTTGCACGCCATCGTTGAAATGCAGTTGCTGCCAAACGTCGATGATCTCGTTGAGACTGGTATTGAACGTAGATGAGTTGCCCTGCAAAGAAGTCAGTACAAGCTAGAGTTTTGGGGGTAAAGCTGACGTACCTCAACGAGCATGAGACCCAAGCGGTCGAAGACGAGAACAATGTCATCGCCTTCTGAAATTTCCTCACCTAATTTGACTTTGAGTCGGTTCCTACAGTCTTGCATGAGGTTCGAAAGGCCAATGCTCGCAAGATTATCGTTCTTCAGGAGTCCGTCTGGTTGCTTGCTCGACTTGAACATGGGCATGCAGTAGTCACGGTAGTTGACAGTCATGGGATGCAGGCCCGTGTCAGTGGGAGTGGGTGGTCCGTCCGGCACTTCACGCGCAGTCGTATCAAGAGTACCAGGTAATTGTGGGAGCGCTTTCAACGAAGTCGTAGTGTCGTCAGATTTCTCTGGCTCAGCCGCGGTAGCTTCGCCTTCATAGAGCAGCTCGTGGCTACCATCGATGGCAGCGTCATCAACAGCTGCAAGTGCTTCTCCTGACTCATGTGGAGCCGTCGATGATGCAGTGGGCTCGACATTCGCGTTAGACTCAGCGCCAGTATCGTGGGAATGCTCTTCTGTTACTGGTACCTCGACCGCCGCGGGCTCGGCATTCTCGCCGGGAGCCACATTTTGCTCCTTGACGTTCGCGTGTGGCTCTGTGAGCAGCTCTTGCTGCTTGGTGACGTCTTCGTGTGACGTGGTTGGTGCAGGCGCAGCCTCAGTAGGGGCACTGAAGCCTGTCTCGGTGTTCTGCAACGTGGTATCGTCAAAGAAGGGCTGGCCTACATCCAGGTAGCTATCATCGTCGTAGTCGATGAGCTCCTCATCATTCGGCTCAGGTTGAGCGGTTTGATCAACTGGGATATCATCTTGCATTACTTCTTCCACCAAAGTGGTGGTATGGTCTTCATCGTCCATCATTTCATCGGTCGCAGTAGGTGGGCGCGTGGGATCGCCATCTTCGAGCATGCGCTCGTCATCGGTCAGGTGTGCGGCACCAGGATAATCATCGTAGTCAATCTCGATATCGGCGTCAAACATGTCACCTGCGGCGGGTGACGAAGAGACCTCCATGGTGTCTTCAAGTGCCGGGGCGGCAAGGGATGTGAAGGCGGAAGTCATTTTGACGACGAGTTTGGAGCCTCCGCTCGGCGCAGGACGCGTCTATTACTTTCCAGTATCTTCAAGAGTCAAAAGGTGGGTGAGTCACGGACGATGAAAGTGTCGAACACGTCGGAAAGCGCGTCAAAGCGGCGCTCCTTGTTCGGTTGGCGGTTCTTTGTCAGATGTCGAGGTGGTCGCTGTTGGCATGTGTATCCGCGGAGTCGGATGCGGTGAGTCGTTGTACACTGTCAAGATGCCGTCGTGGTGTCGTTGGTCGGTGCGGGTGTCGAGGGCGGGTGGTGGGTGTTGAAGGAGAGAGGATGGTGTGAGTGAAGTATGAAAGCGGCCGAAGGGCAAGTGCGCGGACGCTCGGACCATCACGGGCGATCCCGCTCACTGCCAAGCCTGGAGCGTGGGAAGGAGACAAGCTGGCATCAGACACGAACAGTGTCGGGTCACCATTGAACAACCATCCTACCCCATACACACCCCAATACTCGCCCAAGATGGTGGTCCTCAGCGCAGCCATCACCACCCGATCGGGGAAGCCCATCCTCGCCCGACAGTTCCGTCAGATGCAAAGGTCGCGAGTCGAGGCTCTCCTGGCATCTTTCCCCAAACTCGCAGATACGGCCTCGCAGCACACCACTGTCGAACAGGACAATGTTCGCTTCGTCTACCAGCCACTGGACGAGCTGTACATGGTTTTGATCACCAACCGCCAATCCAACATCCTCCAAGACATCTCCACACTCCACCTATTCGCACAAGTTGTCGGATCGATATGCAAGAGCCTCGACGAGCGCGAAATTGCACGATGCGCCTACGAACTTCTTTCCGCCTTCGACGAGGTCGTAACGCTCGGTTACAGGGAGAACTTGACTCTGAGCCAGATCAAGACGTTCCTGGACATGGAGTCGCACGAAGAGCGCATTCAGGAGATCATTGCCCGCAACAAGGAGCTTGAGGCTTCAGAAGAGCGGAAACGCAAGGCGAAGCAGTTGGAAATGCAGCGCAAGGAAATGTCTCGTGCTGCGAGAGTCGGCAGTGGCAGCATGGGAGGCATGCCGAGGACACCCAACTATCCCACGTACACTCCACCGCCCGCTGCTCCCAGCATGACCGACTCTTACGACTCGTACAACGCTGCTAAGAATCAGACCTTCAACAAGCCGCTTGCTACACGAGGAAAGGGAATGCAGCTGGGCAAGAAGAAGACTACCAATACCATGTTCGAGCAGGTTCGCGGCGACCTGGGCCCAGAAGCGGAGGCTAGTGCACCGCTGGCTGGTGTACCTACTCCAGCTGCTCAGCCTATTCAACCGTCCGTACCTGCGACAAGGGGCAGCATCGACAGAGAAGGCATTCATGTCACAGTCGCCGAAGCCATATCTGCTCGTCTGTCTCGAGAAGGCGCCGTGGAACTCTTCGAGGTCAAGGGTGATCTCCAATTGCGAATCACTGACCCTAGCTTGACTCAAGTCAAACTTGACCTTGCTCTTGGCGATACCAAAGGCGCCCAGCTCAACGCACATCCAAAGGTCGACAAGGCGCAGTTCAAGAACAACAACACGATTCAACTTACAGACACCACCAAGGGTTTCCCAGCCAACAACAGCATCCAGGTGATGCGATGGCGGCTCGTGGCAAAACCGGATGATGTTCAAGAACCCCCTATCAAATTCACGGTCTGGACCTCAGAGCTTTCGCCAAACACGTACAGCATCACTGTCGAATACGAGCTGACTGGCTCTGACCCTCTCAAGGATGTAACTGTGGTCATCCCATACGCGACATCTGAGCCTTCCGTCTCGAGCTTCGACGCTGTGTACGAGGTCAGCGGAGACAGCATAGACTGGACCATTGGCGATGTGGACGATAGCAATCCTAGCGGAAGCTTTGAGATTGAGGCTCAAGCATCGTCGGAAAGCGAGTTCTTCCCGATGCAGGTGCGCTTCGCAAAGAGCCGACCATGGGTGGATGTCGACGTGAACAGCGTGACCTTGTTGAACATGAACCAGGATGTAGGGTACAGCAAAGACATTAGGTCGGTAGCTGAGAGCTACACCATTGTCTGAAGCGACGTTAGCTAGGAGTACTACGAATTAGAGGAATGAATAATTAGAATCACAGCAGAAAGCGATCAGCGTTACTTGAGCAACATTTTGAACATTTTCCACGTGACTGCGCGTCTGCTGAAACACGCTAGAGTTCTGCCCTCGACTTCAACCCATTGCCTCCTCCTTCCCACACATGAACCTGTCACAAACCATACACGCTCACTCATATGGCCCAAGAGGAGAGCAGCACCAATCCTAGATTGGATCAACTCACCAGCAAACGATTCCCAGCTCCCATAAAATTTCCATTTACAGCCTACTCTCACTGCCACGACCTGCTCGCAATCGTTACGTCCATCTGGGATGTCAACGTCTTCCGCATCACAAATGGGCAGCTCGCCTACCACATCAAGCAAATCAAAAAGGAAGTCGAAGTGACTGCCTTGAGCTGGAAAGCGGATGGGACTTGTCTTGGCATCGGCTGGAGCAACGGGCATTACGCGATTCACGATGGCGGGACTGGGAAGCAGATGCAGCTTGTGAGCTTGCAGCCTGAAGGCGGCGAGGATGAGGAGTGGTTGCTTGATTTGAGGATCAAGGAGCCTGAACCTGCGAAGCCTGCTCCTATTCAACAGCCGGCGGATGACAAGCCTGAACCTGAACCTGAACCTGAACTTGCGCCTGAGCCTGAGGAACCAAAGCCTGAGCCATTGAAGGTCGGATGCTTTGGCTGGATGGGCCATGAAGCTGGCAGGAATGTGAGACGAAAAGTCACAGAAGAGCTCACGACAGATGACTGGTACGATGGGCTTGACGAGATCGAGGAAGCTGCTGGGAGTGCTAAGAAGAAGCTCGATGCAGCGTTGATGGACTTACCACGAGCTATTACGACACTGGACGTGACGAAAGTTCTGCCCAAACTAAGCAATATTCAGACCCATTCTACGTCCAATACGAAGGTGTTTGGAGCGTTAAACAAGTTCGGCAACCAACAGGCAACAAATACTTTGTTCCATACCCGCAAGGATACGGCATCCAATGTTGTTCAGAGTGTACTCGTCTGTCAGGAAGATGGTGTTGTGCAGGTCTTCCTCGATGAGACGGTCAAAGTTGGAAGCAACTCTATCCCGGGCAAGCCCATCATGCACGCCGCTCACCCAGAGAGCGCCAGCCACGCCATTCTATCAGACACAGGAAACTCGAGTTTGACTCTGAATTTGCTGGACCTGCCTCTACAGGCGCTGAGCGGACCACTGCTCCATGTGATTGGAACCAACAACAAACGGATACAAGTGCTACTGGAATATATCGTGCAGACAGTGCGGTGTATCGAACACGATTTCACAACCAGCATTGCATTGCCGCAAAGGCTGATCGACAATCTCTCAGCCTTTCTAGAAACTGAGCTTGAGTCCGATCCAGTGCTAAATCTCTTCAATTTGGCAATGACTGGCGGCTTCAATGAACCCCTGAAAGAATGGTTCACCAATGCCATTACCCGCCGCCACAAGGACTGGGAACAAACAATCAATTCAATGTACACACATCTGCAGAATCACGTCTTCATCAATCTCCTGCCTGCGCTGGACCGCATGAGCATAGCCCTCACCACTCTTCGTGGGCTCGCGAACTTTTACGAAGGCTCAAGCAAGTTCGATTGTCCGGCTGAGTTGTTCACCAAGATCCTCGAGCATGTCGACAGCTTGCGGCTTGTTGCACAGAAGATGCAATTGATCATCCAGATGGAGCACCGCCAATTCCGCGCATTCTACAAATGGGTGAAGATGGATCTTGAAATCGCAATCGCAGGACCACTATCGAACAGCGCGCTTGAGATTGAAGACCGAGAAGTGCCAAACTTGGACTATGCTCTGCTACTGCCCTACATCAAGGAGACGTTAATGCGCAGCAGGCTGACGCCCCATGTCGAGACTAGACCGGAAATAGGAGAGAGCTGCAGTAAGGACGAGTTCTTCCAGAAACCCATCATCCAAGACATCAGCTACGAGCGGACGAAAGAAGCCCTGCAACAGCTCAATGGCCTCAAATCAGACGCAGAACTGAAGATCAAGGACGTCCACGATCCATGTTCTCTCCTCAACCTCCCAGCCCTCACCGCAGGCCTCATAGGCCACGTCCGCCTCGCCCTCACACGCATCACCGAATGGCAAAGCCGCATGCTCTCCCACCCAACCTCAATACCGCTCCCTTTGGACCCCGGCACAACAATTCTAGACATGAAAATGAGCAGCCAACCCCAGCAAGACGAAGACACCCAACCATCCTCAAGCACAACCTCCCTCCTCGCCCTCCAGCCCGGCTCCAAAACCGACCTCCACATCCTGCACATCACCCACTACTCCACCGCCACGGGCAGTCCCTCCAAACGCCCCTCCCCAACCTCCTCCTCTACCCAAACCACGCACTTCTTCCCCGCGAAAGGCGACCTCCTCGACGCGAAATGGATCCCCTACACCAACAACACCTCCTTCCTCACCCTCTTCAAATTCCTCGACGGCCACACCAAGATCACCAAACACAGCCTCTCGCAGGAAGACAAGGAGACGTTGGAGTCGGAAGAAATCCAGCACGTCTTCGCGGGGAAAGAGGGGTTCAGACCGGTGAAGTTGATCGTTGGGGGGAGGAAGGGGAGGTTGGTTTGTGTGGTTTTGGGGAATCGGGGGAGGGAGTGGAGGGTTTTGGATTTGGATGGTGGGGTGAAGATGGATGATGGAGATGGGGATGAGATGGGGATGAGATGATATTGGAGTGAGAGTAGTGGTAATGAGACGAGTATCGCAAGTTCATCGATCACGCTTGCATCTCAGACTATATCGCAATGCCGCAAGTCATGGCTCACGAAAGGGGGTGGTATCACGATCGTCAAAAAATTGAAGGCTAAAAAAATCAGACACAAAATCCAGAGATTTTCATCACTTCCATATCCATCAGCCCTCTACTCTTCATTCACCACTCGAACAGAACCAATCATCTATCCATCATCTCCTTCATTCATCCTTCCCTTCTAATACCTCCTCCCCACCTGCGCCGTCCTCACCTCCACCGGACTAACATCATACTCACTCGACCTCATACTCCCCGGCCCCGCACCATGATCCCTCCTGCCGACCTGACTATACCCATCAATCTCCTGCACATTATCATCGCTCTGCCCGCCATGCATCGTAATCCCATTGGCGGCACTACTCTGCCTCCCCACATAACTCTGCGTAATGTCCGAGTGATGCCAGGGGCCAGGACCGGGTCGATGGGGGGATTCTGGGGAGACGACGAGGCCTTCGCGGGAGGGTGGTGCTGCTGCGGGGTTGGTGCGGTGGAGGATGGGCGAGACGCGGCCTTCGGAGTCGGAGTAGGCGTTTTCGAGGTCGGCGGTGTTTTGGCGGCGGGGTGGGGAGGGGGCGAAGGTGGGTTCGGGTTCGATGGAGAAGGTTTGGGTTGTCGTGGATTGGGGGAGGGGAGGTATTTGGGGTGGTTGTTGCGGTAGATGCTGCGGTTGGTGGGAGAAGGCACCTGCGCCGGTGCCGTAGTTTGTTGGTTCGATGGCCAGGGGTGCAGGGTTGGAGGTGTGCTCTACCGGGTCGGCGAAGGGGTTGTTCGGCTTCGCCCATGACTGCTGGTGGTGTGGTTGCGCAGGCCGCTGGTCGAAGCTATTGATCGTGCCGGGTGGTGGGCCTGCTGGAGCCTGGTATCCTTCATAGCTTGACCGATTCTCCTGCGGTTGTCCCACGACTGACGCACCAAATCCACTGGCTGGCGCTTGTTGCTGCTGATGTCCACCGAATGTAGGCGCTGGTGTATACACTCCATTCCCATTTTGCGCCCCAGTCGCCGGAGGAGGCGCAAAAGCACCATACCCATTCTCAGTCGCAGCCTGTTGACTCGGACTCTCTGCGGCCCCCATCGCCCTCCTCGCAGCAAGCACAGCTCTCTGATGCCGAGTAAGCGCCAGACTCAGCTGCTCATTCGTCTCAATCAACGTCTGCATCGTATCATGGTCCGGCGCCGGATCATCGCAGTTGATATATGACTGCATGCTCCGCTGAGCCCCCTGACACCGCTCACTGAATTCTCGAATCAGCTCATGATTGAGAACATCCTCCGTCCGTGTCGACTGCACAAGCTGTAGCAGAATCTTCGCCGTATTCCTCGCCTCCTCAACGCGACTAGCCAACTCAGCAGGCGTTGGGAGCGTCGTCCTCCCCGACCTCCTCCCGCTCCCACCACCACGACCAAACTGCTGTTCCTGTCCAGGCTGCTGAAACGCCGAAAAGTCCCTCGGCTGCTGCGACATCCTCACACTCGAGCGATGCCCCAACGAAGCATTCTGCCCCTTCTCCTTCCTCCACATAACCAACAGCCCCTGCAATCCCTGATCATACTGCTTATCCGCCTCCAGCGCATCCAACGTCTCGCGCAAAATCTGCTGCGTACTCGCGTCCTTGCACGACCGTAACGTATCCTTGACCGCCGCCACAAAGCTCTTATCAAAGTTCCGCGTGAACGTAGGGCCCGGGTTATCGCTCAGAATCCGCACGAGCATGATGGCGTTGTACTGCACATGCGGTTTGTTCTGATACTCCTTCCCCAGGAACTTGCGTATCTGATACGCCGCGCTCGCGGCGGCGGAGGGCGAGGATTCGGCGGACTCGACGATCACAGGGAGGTGCAGGACTTCCTCGCCGCCATTGCTGGCAGAGCCGGATTCGCAGAAGAGGCGCACGGCGCGGCCGGCGTTGGCTTCGGGGGAGTCGGCGGGGGCATTCTCGAAGTTCTGGGTGTTGCTCTGGCTGCGAGGGCCGTGGGTGGAGAGACCTGTCGCGAAGGCAGGATGTCAGCTTCTCAGCTTCACAAGAAATTCGTGGGAGAGCTCCGGGAAGGAAGGGAATGACGGGTCTCTCACTCACTCTTCGTCCGGTTAATGAGCCCTTGGAAGCGCTTCATGTTGATTGACGCGGGAGGGTGAAGCAGTCGCAGGGTTGATCTGGAGAGCCGAAGCAGCAGAAACCGACGACGAGATGTACGAGATCACAACAAGGGTTGGCGAGTTTGAGGCTGTGCTGTGTGTGCCCCGGACGAACGAACAACAGCTTGGACCCTGACGACATCACCTCCGGCGCCAACGGCTTCTGCAGGCAGACAGAAAGTCCTGCTGCTCGCCCTCCCACGCGTTTCATCGAGCCAAGCAAAGGGTTGCGTACTCTCACACCTCCAATTGACAAATGCCCGAGCCACGGGCAGTCTCTTGGTCGTCACGCGTCCAATCTGAGGCGAGCACTGCTGCACACCCAGCTCAACTCGTCCACCGCCATGTGATGCGCCGGCCGGAGCGAGCGAGCTTACGTCGAGCGTCACGGTCACGCTGCAACGACACACCACGACGACTACTGAAGGCAGACATAGCCGATGTATTGCCGAGCCAAGCCAGACATGTACCACAGATACCAACATCATCTGTACTCGTAACGCAACGCATCATATTCGTGCTGTATCATGATTTCGTTCATCCTAGCTCCTCCGCTATGCGCTGTGTGCCACTCTTACACGTATCCTAGGTCTGAAACCTTTCCATTCTCATGACGCTGTCGCTGCCTTCTAGTAATGTCTGCCCATCTAGCAAATGCCATGGGACTTGCCGTGCTTGCCCTTGAGGGAGTGCTGCTCGTCGCCGTAGTGGTTGTTGATCTTCTTCTGCCAGGTCTTGACGGCCGCGTGTGCCTGGCGATGCTCCTTGTGCTGCTGCAGCTTCGACTCATCCATTTTCTTCAACTCGTTCACGGCCATCTGCAAGTCGCAAACCAGTGCGTCGCAGCGGCTGCGGGAGAAGTCCTCACGGACGACCACACGCATCATCTTCAGCTTGCCGGCGTTTGGCGCCATGGTGTATGCGGGAACGACCCATCCACGCTCACGCAGCTGGTGAGCAATGGCAAACTCATCGAATTTGTGGTCGTCGTCTGGGTTGAGACGGAATGCCACCAGTGGGAGACCCTGGCCCTTGGTCTGCGACATCAAGAGGAATCCCATCTTCTGGACAGCCGCGGACAAGTAGTCGGCAGTACGGGTCAAGTTGAACATGATGCTACGGTATCCCTTCTTGCCCAGACGAATGAGCTGGTAGTACTGTCCAATGACTTGACTAGCGCCACGGGAGAAGTTGAGCGTGAACGACGCCTGGTCTGCACCGAGGTAGTTGATGTTGAAGATGAGTTCTGAAAAAACATTAGCACGGTGCTCTCTACAAAAAAAATTGAAGATTGGGCTCACCCTTTGGCAGGAACTCAGGATCACGCCAGACCACCCATCCAACACCTGGGTAAACAAGACCATACTTGTGGCCAGAGACGTTGATCGAAACGACCTTTTCAAGTCTGAAGTCCCAAACAAGGTTGGGGTTGACGAATGGGGCAACGAAACCGCCAGAAGCCGCATCGACGTGGATCGGGCAGTCAATGCCTCTCTTAACAAGCAAGTCGTTGATGGCCTTGGTATCCTCATACTCTCCAGTATAGGTCGTTCCCAGGATCGAGCAAATACCAATTGTGTTCTCGTCCACGAGGTCGACAGCCTGCTCAGGATCGATCACATAACGATCATCCGTGCAGTAGACGTACTTCTCCTCAACATCAAAGTATCTGGCGGCCTTCTCCCAGCAAACCTGCACAGCCGAGTTCATGACAATGTTGGGGTTGCTGTAGTCCTTGCCCTCGGCCTTCCTCTTGTTCTGCCAGCGCTTCTTCATGGCCAAGGTCGCGAGCATAATGGCTTCGGAGGAACCAATGGTCGACGTCCCCATGGCATTTGTGTTCTCATCGTGGGCTGGGATGTTGAAGAGGCGGGCGATCATAGAAACGCAGCGGTTCTGGATGTCGGCGGAGACGGGGTACTCCTCGTAGTCGATGAAGTTCTTGGAGAAGGCGTCGATCATGAGCTTCTCGGCTTCGTCTTCCATGTAGGTCGTGACGAAGGAGGCCAAGCTGCGGAACAGATCAGCTCGTTGTCTTGGGAACGGAATCCTCGAAGACCTCACTTGAGAGTAGGTGTGCCATCGAGAGTCAAATCGTCCCTAAACAATCGTCAATCACTCTCCACTTCCATTGAGCCGCTCCCAATCCAGCTCACTTGATCATACGATAAGCCACCTCACGCGGCATCTCACGCTCAGGCATCTCATGCTTGGGGAGATCCGCCGCCGCGAATCTCGAGCCATAGACACTAGCCGTGAACTCATCTTCATCATCAGCAGCGTCGTCAAACTTGAGATCCTCGAGACCCGGGACGATCTTCTCCTCGAGGTCCTTGGTCGTAGCGACTCTGGCGAGATGAACCATGGTGACGGCGGGAAGTGGCGGTGAGAGGTGTAGTTCAGGTTTTGGCTAGGGGATAGATGAATGCTAGTTTCTGAGACTGGTTCTCGAGCTTGTGACCAGGGATTGAGAGGTTGATGGGGAGTAGTGAGAGCGTATTAACAGAAACAGGAACAGAAACAGAAGACAGCTCAGCAACAATCGAAAAAGTCCCCACGAAACCAGGAACAAGGCAAGAGCTCTCTATCCTAACCCTTGCCAACGCAACACCTCTCACACCTATCCGCACAGCTCCTTCCTGCTCTCCCACGCGCAAGCTTGAGGCGCTTGTGAAAGTCTGAAGCGGGCCCGGCGCCTTGCGATTGGCGCATCGTTGACGGAAGGCTTGACCGGCCTTGGCTGAAGCTTCGACAGGCCCGACCCACTCCGTCCAGTCTACGTCACTGCCATCTCCCATTCGTTTCATCTCTCAAACCGCTGCCAACTTGAATGCGGTTCTGTGGTGTTATAGGCGCCCTGTCTTCCAACACGACACGCGTCTGTCACCGTCTACAACTCAATTGGTCCCCTTGCTTGGTAACTCCTGACTGTATCCCCCTGGCCTGCTTTGAAGATAGGCATTGTCATCCGACGAGTCAGCAAGCAAGCAAGCAAGCAGCGAATGCCGGATACCGTCAAGATATGCCCTTAGCAATGCTGGGCGGTCTGTGCAGCGAGGCTCGTTCAAAGCACTTGTCTACGGAAGGAGATGCAGCGGCCGAGTGCTTCTGTATCCGAACACATCCGACTTGTCGGTATACCAGCTTGGCATTGGACTGGATCTGGTTCCGGTTACTCTTGTCTATCCCACGTGGGGTTTCGAGAACAACGGAACGCTCCACAACGGGCTCAGCCTAGTCATTGATGAACTTCTTCGGATGTCGGTCACAATGACAATGATAGAGAAAGGGAAGAGGGTCATATCCCATGCAAAAGCCGTGTATTTTCAGAATCGAAGCAGTACGTCACGTCGTGCCATGTACTCTCTCTCTCGATGGTGTTCGTACAACTACTATCGCGTACAGTCTATGCGTATGTTCGGTGGCATGGCTGGAATCATGCCTCTAGTCGTTGCGTTCGCTCGCTCACTCGCTCCCCTTACGCCTCGAAGCAAACCCGCAGCACCAATCTGCCGCAGCGGCCATGCAAAGTAACGGAAATGCACGTACGCTCTCGCTTTTTCTCCGTGCCAAACTCCACGCACAATCGCATCTTCGCGCCCATCACACATTATCTCAAACTTTTCCCTCATCTTCCCAGCAAAGAGTGTCTCAAATCACATTATGTCTTTGATGCTGATCCTGCTGCTGCTGGCGCCGCTGTTGCTGGGATTGGGCGACACTGATCCAGGCTGAGGGTGTGGATGTGGTGGAGGTCCTAGGCTGGACTGCTGAGGTTGAGGCGCAGAAGTAGGTGGAGGTCCAGGATAAGATGGCGGTGGTGGAGGATACTGGCCGGGTGGATGTGCAGACGTCGGTCGAGGCATAGCTTGACCTTGCTGCTCTTGCACCAGCTGATTCAACGTGCGCTGGATGTGATCCCACCCGCCCCAATCTTGCACCTCGCGCTCGGAAAGCGTACTCATAGACAGTTGCTCAGCCTGAAGTGCAGGTTTGTCCCCTCCGCTCCCGTTCACGATCGCTTGTGGCTGATGAAGGCTTGTGCCCGTCTCGCCGCCTGTCCAAGCCCACGCGTCATCGGAGCATCCTTGCATATCACCACTAGCATATGCCAACATCTCTTCGTCCGTCTCCAGCGTCTGGTGATTCGCTCCACTTCGTAGTCGTCCGATGAGTTTGTCGAGAAAGAACGCCAGAAACCGACCACATCCCACATTATTCTTGCGCAGATCGCCAACTGCCGCCGAGACATGCACCAATGTTAATGCCGCGCCGAACTCCCCTCGCAAGCACAGAACCAGTTGACATCTCCATAGATGCGTACAAAAGAAGGCGGGACACATTGTGCGAATGCGGCCAGCCCAGTTAGCCATGTGAGTTGGTGAGAGATACCCCTGGGCCGGTGACGTCGAAGGATGCTGTAAAGTGCGTTGCACGTAATGTGCCGTGTCTTTGGCGACCGAGACACATCGATCCAGTGAGTCTCGTCGATCGCTCGGTCGACACGCTGGCGACATGTTGTGCCTGTAGAGGAAGAAGCGCGCCGTTTGCAAACTGCATCCGGCGGTAAGAAGTCGAGGGTCCAAAGGAGCTTGGGAATGCATTGGATACGGATCTGGCCATGAAGCCATGACCGACTTGAAGTGCTCATCGCAAGTCGCGAGTGTAGAGGCTGCAACGGTTTGTGACTTCAGCGTCTTCTTGAGCTGTGCCGTGATGCGAGTCACGGGTATCACAGCGATCAATCCGCTGGGAACGGCTTGGCCAGGGGGAGGCATTACGATGCCGTTCGGTCGAATGCATTCGTCGTCTACGGGTACAGGTTCGCTGACATCGCAGTCCTCGTCGTCGATCAACAGTGGGCGGCCTATCTCCATGGAGCAGATTCTAGAAAAATCAGTCATTGTCTCATAACATTCATTCTCAGCGCATACCTGTCCCAGTTATACACGCTCCACCACACGCGCCTGCGCATCTCAGTCTCCATGGGCGGATAAGGCCCGTTCTCCGTATGAAGTCCAATGTCTTGAGAGACGCGCATGGCCGCTCCCAGCCAGACCCAACCCGGAGATCGTAGATTGACTTCCATGAAATAGATGCTGAGAAGCAAGCTCGTGCGGACGTGATCCACCGTCAACTCATCACTCCAGGTATTGATGCTCGATATGGATTTCTCCAAGAACTGCGCCCCTTCTGACTCTTCTGTCGGTGATCTTCTCTGCGGATCCATCAGTGTGCCGCATGCCAGGACAGCGTAGAATAGTGCCACCCAGATGTGTCGGCATCGCTCGAACGTTCCAGTGCGGTAGAGGTCTTCATACTCCTGTATAAACGTCGGCCAGTGGAGATGGGGCGCATACATGTGAACAGAGCCACGATAGTGGGATAGCAGATGGTCCGCGACATGTTTTGGCGGGAGCGCGTGGGTAACGTGTGAGTATGTTGGTTGCGACCCGAATTGTCGATAGGGTGGAGGAGGCTTGAAGATGCCCTTGCTGTAAGTTCGAATGTTCTTCCTCACCTCATCAAAGCCATCGATTGCGGGTGGCACATGTCGTCGTTCCCTCTTGCCTGTGTCTGGCAGGCTCAACGACGGCACTTGCGGTGCGTTCGAACTCGCCTCATTAGCACCTCCCTCCTGCAGCATATTTCGTAGTTGGTTGATCTGCTGCTTTGCCAATGCCAACTGCTTCTCCAAATCCTGCACCTGCTTGATCGAAGACATCCTCCTGTTGGTTTCCTTGGTGAATTGGCACTTGACTCCACGACTGGAGCACTCTGAGCAGCTCGAAGTGTCGGTTGCATCGCACTTGACCTTCCGCTCTCTACAAGCATCGCAACTTGGATCTTTGCGCCTCTGTCGATAAGCTCTCTTCTGCTGCGCCGACAAGGCTGCGGCTGAATGGTGCGTAGGTGAGATGCCTGGAGTCGAGATGCCAGAATCATTGTTCATGTACTGGTCTGTAATCAGACCGGGAGGCGCTGAGTTGGTAGGTACGTTGCCGTATCCATATGGCATTCCATTGGGCTGTTGCTGCATCATGGCAGGTGAAGGTGCTCTATTGCCGGCCAGGGGATGTTGTTCTGGATGGCCGTATCCGGGAGGTGGGATCGGACCATGGGAAGTGACCGAGGGAGGGTAGGGCGACGGGGCGGTATGGGGAGGATATTGACCGGAGTCCATTTTTGCAAAGAGTCGAGGCCAGTAAGAGACTTCAGATCAGACATGCAGGCCGGGAGCTTGAAGGAGTTGCCGCCAATGCGAGTGGTATTGGGCACCAATCACGCTGAAGATGAAAATTTGAGTGGCCGGTCATACCACAAGCAAGCGACAGACCCTGAGCGGCAAGAAGTCGAGTTGGCAGGTGGATGTGGGGACAACGAGTCGGAGGTGAAGTGAAGTGAATGAATGAATGCCCAGCCGGCGGCCAAAAACCTGGAGGCGCCTCGGCCCAGTTGGATGAATCAGGAAGACAGTGTTTGCTCGTCCCTGAGCGGCGAGCGCAGGCAGCGGAGGACGGGAGCGTGGAAGGCCTGTCAGGAGGGAGCCCGCAGCTCGGGGAAATGGAGGCGGGCGAGGCAGAGAATGCAAAAGGACTGCGGGACGATGGTGTTAGCGAGCGTGAAGATGTGCGGTCGTCGACGACGAAGCAGCAGCGAATGAGCGGCAGGAGCGACGGGCGTACCTAAGCACGATGAAAATGGGGTGGACGGATGGCAGCTCTGGTCATGGCCGCACAGACAGCAGACAGGCAGACAGGCTGGCGCAGAGGAGGAGCAGCTGCAGAGCGACGGCGGCGCGGCCTGCGGCGTCGTATCGTCGGCAGTGGTCGTAGGTATCGTCGTGCTATGCTGCGCGGTGTCGCCTGCAGGGGACGAGGGCGGCGGGCAGAACGAATGGCACGGCAGACGCACAGGTTTTGCTCCGGCAGGACGAGAACAGCAATGCCTCTATGGTGATGGTGGCGGCAGCAGCGGTAGTGGAGGGCGAGAGTGAGCGGTTCCAAGACAATGGTTGAATGGACGTGACGAACAGGATCAATCGCAGCAGACGCAGCCCCGGACACGCGACAAACGTGTGCAGCAGATATCAAGCAAGGAGATGAACGCTGTAGACGCCGGTTTTGGTCGGGACTCGCGGGCATGATCCAGCAAGCGACGTGCTAGCTATGGGACTACGCTGGTAGCGCACCGGTCGACGCACCACACGGCACTCGAGCCAGGCTCAGGCATGGCCTCTGCCAGCTCCACATGCCTCTCCCAGGGACGCGGCACGCCGCACGATTCAACCTACGACTGGCAGCTGGATGTGTGTAGCATTGGCACGCAACTATCGATGGCATTGACTGGTGGTGATTATCCCCCCGCAGCCTGGCCGCATCGACTGCAGCATTCCGAGCCACGCAGCAGTTCAACGAGCAGCGATCTTGACTGCTCTCGTCGCGCGCAGGCGAGAGGGAGGAACGGCGAGCGGCAGCAGCACAGCAAGCGCTGCGACTAGTATGTGCATGTCCTGCACGCGGCCGAGGCGGCGAGCTGCCTGTTGCTGCCGCTGCTACGGGGAAGCTTTGGTCTGTGTGGTTGCGCTGCTCCATCGCCAATTCCCGGACCACGACCCGAAGAGTGATCAGCAGGCCCTGCTTGTGCCTTGCCTGTGCCAAAGCGAGCCTGTCCTTGCGGCAGCCCAAGATGCTCGCTGTCCCCGCCGGACCCCAACACGAGCAGGCGTTATCGTCGTCCCCGCCCCGGCGACAGATGCGATGCGGTCGGTCGGTCGCCCGTCCGGATTGGTGGCCGGCAACGTGCCAGCAGCAGCAGGCGTGGCGCCAGTGCACACGTGAGGAGCTCCTAGCAAAACTTCGCTGCCGCCTTCTAGAAAATCGCTAGACCTCTGGCGTGCAGCCGAGAAACAGGCCAATCGAGGAGCTTGCTCCACCGCTTGGCCTGCCATTTGAGTTTGACAACGCAATTCAGATTCGTCTCGCCCGTTGCTCTGCACGATTTTTCCGCAGCAGGACACGTCTCCGTTCCCGTCTGGCATCTTCCGAGGCTCTCGTTTCGACGCGCACAGGACGAGGCTGATCAGACCTCGGAGAGGCAGCTGCGTCGACAAAGTTAGCCGGCCCATGTCTCACGACAGCATGGGCAGATTCTTCCGAGCGGCTCATTTGGAGAGGGATGCTGCCGATTGCGTGTGCCACATTTCCGCTGGCTGCCAAACACACCATTGGAAAGGGTCAGGATGGAGAATCTCTTGGTCATGCCTATCAAGACCTTCCCGCTCGACGAGCACCAAGACGGCCGCTTGCCCATCCCACTTTCACCACCCACCGGAGGATCGAGCTCGCCACATGCTGTGGCGTATGCCTATTTCGGTCGCCAAAGCGTGTGAGCCAGATGCCAGCCACGTGTCCGCGGCGACTCGTGAAAGCGGCATTGGCGATGATGTTGTGCCACACAGGCCTGACTCTTAGTATCACCCGTCAAATATCACGACCATCGGACGGGCACATCATCATCATCAACGCATGTAAGCTGGAGATGAGAAAGTACAACGTGATCGCCAGAGGCCTGCGTTCTACCGCTGTTTCAAGTCGAGATAGGGCTGCTGATCAACATCCGAGAAAACCTGGGCAATGTGGGCGGAACTCGGAAGCGCAGACAGAACGATGGCACCGGCCGTCGGCAGAACTAAGCGAAGCAGACCAAACATTCATTTGTCACGGCTGCCTCTGACCACAACAATGGATGCAGCCAGCGGCACCGGAATTGCTACATGAAGATGCTCACATGGAGTGGTCTGCGAACAACCTTGCTCGCGTCAGGCATGAAGGGGGTCGATCGGCCCCGATGATCTTCTCGAATCATGCAGTTCCGAAGAAGACGACAACATGCAACCACATCCCTGCTCTCCCAACATCCCAGCAAATGGTTCGGATCTCTGCCGTCGGTCGCCTTGACCTTCCTCCAGACGGCCCGATACTTTGCAGGCTTGCGACGTCAGCACGTAATGCCGGCTCTGCTACCGAGAGAACGACCATCAAGTTTCTCGTCACATGCGAGCGTGTGTTCCTCGTGCCCGATCGCAATGCACCTTGTTGGTGCTACTGACATTTTGTTGCCGAACTGAATCCCTGACCGCGTTGTGGCCGCGTACCTGCTCGATCTTAGACATCTACGGCCTGTGCAAGTGAAGAAATCCATCTTCAGGAATACCTGCCAAACACTTTCACTTCATCGGAGTCCGCCGCCTTCCTTGGCGCTAACAATGCAGTCTCTGCAAAACTTCGCGAGGTCATGGATCTTGGAATGAGAAAGACCAGGTCTCGTCTGACATAAGGAAAGTGCATCTCTCTTGTAGTAACACCTATCTTTCTTACACATCTTCTGAGCACAAAAAGAACATTCAAATCACCCGACCCAGCTTCAAAGGACCGAACCCAAACGCCGGACAACATGTGCCAAGACGTCACTCGCGACTTCCTCAAGGCCTTGCCAAAATGTGAGCACCACATGCATCTGGAAGGAGCTCTCACGCCGGCGGTTCTGTTCAAGCTGGCGGCGAAGAACAACATCTCACTCCCAAGCGACGATTCCGCCTTCACCTCAGCGGAAACATTGCTACAACGATATGAACGCTTCAGCTCCCTGGACGACTTCCTACACTACTACTACATCGGCATGAGCGTCCTCATCACGGCTTCAGACTTTGAAGCTCTAGCTTGGGATTACTTCGAGCACGCGGCAGCCGATGGAGTCGTTCACGCAGAGGTTTTCTTCGATCCACAAGCGCATCTGTCGAGGAATGTGTCGTACGAGACCATATTGCAAGGATTCAATGCTGCTCGGGTGCGTGCACAGCGAGAGTTTGACATATCGAGTGAATTGATCTGCTGCTTCATGCGCCATCTCCCGGCACCTGACTGCGAGGCTACGTTCAAGCTTGAGGATGTTCAGGCCAGTTATAAGCGAGGTGAGTACTCGCGAATGCGTCAGGGGATGGTTCTATCGATCAGTCAGACACCAATGCCCAGTTCAAGGGCGATCGAAATAGCCCTGACACAAAAGCTTTGTGTTCAGTTGTATCCTGACATCTCGAGCAGGTGATGTGGTTGGCATCGGCCTCGATTCGAGTGAGAACAATTTCCCTCCCGAGCTCTTCAAGTCACTATACGCCGGCGCCAAATCGCTAGGACTCAGACGGACAGCACACGCCGGCGAAGAAGGACCGTCCAAGTATATCGAGGACTCCTTGGACCTCCTGGACGTAGAGCGAATCGACCATGGCATTCGAATAGCAGAAGATCCTAAACTCATGGAACGTGTCGCAAAGCAAGGCACGCTGTTGTCCGTCTGCCCCATCAGCAACGTCTTGTTGCAGTGTCTCACGAGTGTCGCCGAGGTGCCCATCAGGAAGTTCATAGACGCTGGAATCCGGTTCTCGATCAACAGCGATGATCCAGCATATGTATGTGTATCCTCTTCTCCTCGTGGTGGTGGTCGTCGGTTTGGTTTTGCTAATGTTTCGCGCTGTTAGTTTGGCAACAACTACATCCTGGACAACTACATTGCTGTACAGGTGAGTTCTCCCTTCGACGATTCTTCTCAGCTCGCACAAATTCCCACAACAGCCTAAATCTATTCTCATCATGTTGCCCTACCCTATCCCTCCTCCGACCTGCCACATGTGCCGTCATCGGCTTTCCGACTCGGCGTTAACAATGGACTTCACGGAATTCCATTGAATTGATCGCCGCCGCGGTCGAATGCTTGGCCATCCTGTGCATCCCATACCCAAGAATAACTTCACACTCTCTTCTCGTCCTCGTCTCTGATTTCTTCATCGAGTTTCTCACGCGAGCAAGAACGGAACTGACTCTTTCTGCTTGCTTGTAGAATGCCTTCTCCCTCAGCCATAGTGAATGGAGAACTGTTTGCGAGAACAGCATACGAGGCAGCTGGTGCAGCGAGACGAGAAAGGAAGAGATGCTGGCTCAGCTGAAAAGCGTCGTCGACAACGCATAGCGGTGAGAGGGTAGGTAGAAGAAGACAATTGATGAGCGTGCGTCGACCACCTCGTGTTCCTTCTACGAAAAAGAACTGCGGTCGTCGTTCGGACGAATGGATGAAAAGAAGTGAGAAGGTTGAGGGAAACAAAAAAACAGAAAGACCATCGTTGGTCACGACAAGCGTTTCCAATGATAGCAGCAAAAATACGAGATCTCTGCCGGCGCGTGGTCGAGATCTTCCAATCCCAATCCAATCCATCCCACTCTTTGACAACTCCCAGGACCCTTACGTACTCTCACTTTCTGCCGCCAGATTTATCCACGTATAGGAAAAGCCAACAGAACAAACCCTCTGTGCCTCTCTCTCTCGCCTCGTTCCTCAGGCACAACCCCAATCCCAAAGTGCCGGCACGCTACACCGCTAGCCTGCATGCAAGAATACGAGGCAACGCACGCACGCAACCCCCTCCCACGGAAAAGTCCACGGTGGACGGTATCCTGCCGTCTTGCCGTCGGCGAGCGGGAAGGGAAGGGAAAAGGATTCAATGCATTCACATTCACATTGCACATTCCTTTGCCAGGCATCCATTTCTTCTTGCTGTCTTGAAGCGAAAGGATTCTTTGAGCGTCTTGGCATATGTACGTACGTTTGTTGTCGTATGGTTGTATGCTGGCTGGATTGGTTGTATGCGACTGAACCTGCATGCCCAACGCGCGTTCAGTAGCGTGGGTACCAGGTAGGAAGAAGAAAGAGCTTCTTCTTCTGGGAGTCTGGCGCATGGGTCGTGGTTGAATTGATTTGAGGAGGCTGGGCGAGAGGAAGAGAGACGGAGGGGCTTGGGATACTATTGGAACTCTTTCCTGTTCAAGTATGGGGTTGTACAAATTGCTTCCTTTTCTCGCTCGCTTAATCAAAAGCTGTGCAAACTATCATATCGTACAAGGGCAATGTTTGGAGAAGTTCTGATCGCGTGCATGCAGGCATGCAGGTTGCTGGATGCAAAGATGCCTTGTGCCATGCAGTTGCTCGCCTTGCTCCTCACATGCCCATCTTTGCTCCATTGACGCCTCGTGCTCTGTCCTTCTCCCACCTCTTGCCAGAGATCGTAGTCTCGCTCTTGGATCTTCTTCTCACACGCTAAGACACACACGCCTGCCGTTCTTGCTCTCTCAAAACAATCTTCAAACTCCGCTCCAATTGCATGCACACACACCCTTCCCAAAGCATTTTGCGCCAATCTCGCCCACAAGATGCAGGTCATTTCGCATGTCGTAGAGTCTGCCATTGCTGACTTGCTGTAAATCCCGCCCAACAAAAATGATGATTTTTTTCAAAGGAGAGTCGTTTCGCAGTCGTGTCTCGCAGTAGATGCGTCGTTTTGTCGTCAAATAGGCCGTCCAGAGGAATTTGCTACAACAATGATTACAAGGTTTCGTGTCGCTCGGTTGATATGTCCCACAAGGAATTGCAATGTCGGTCGGTTCGCGGTGGTTCGGTTGCAGATTAAAGGTAGCCGCTTTGCCTCGAAGCTATGCCAGTGACGTTGTTGAGGGTGTGGTGTTCGAGGCACATGCGGCTAATACGGATGTTGGTGATGTTGGTAGTTTGAGGGACCTGCCTCAGATGATGGATCGTTGGAAGGAGTCCTGGATACTCGCTTAGCCTCTGGTTCCAGTCCTCACGTCCAAATAGGTTGTGGTGTTACGAACCCGCCGCCTCGAAAGCCGCTCAAGGAGTAGCCGTAGAGCTGATCGTCTTGCCCCGAGAACGATTGTGGGGGAAAGCCAGGTGAAGGCATTGCTCCCCAGCTTTGCGTACCGTATGTGAAGCCCGATTGGGAGATGGGGACTTCAAGATAGGGGGACTGTGCTGCGTGTGCCTGCGCTGCGGTGCTGTGCAGCGGAGAAGGTGCAAATGCCGGGCTGAGGTTTCCAATGCTCGTGTAGTTCAACGTCTCGGGGTTGACACTGTACATGCTCGTTTCCTGCCTAAATCCCCCCTGCTGAGTGTCTGCCATCCTTCTTCTAAAGTTCATCGCCATCTGCCGTGGGAACTGCATGAGAGATGCGATTTCAATCGAGTTTTGATCCATCGCACGTTGAGACTGCATAGCGTCCGTGACGTTGATGATCGTTTCCAGTGGGGCCAACGCGATTCTCGCGCAGAAAGCCGATCCAAAATCCGGATACACCGGCTCAAGAGCCAGAGCGGTTGCGTAAAGGTGAGCCAGCGTAAGCATTGCGGGTCCCTGCCCTCCCTGCCGCTGCAGCAATAATACTGGCACCCAAAAGAGCCATTTCCTGAGAAGGTACAAGTGGCTGAATTGTTCATCTGGTGTTTGCGCCGGGGCCGAGGCTTGCAGGCGCTGTATGTACTGAAGAACTTGGCCTATCCAATACGCCTCGGATTCGTGGCCGCCCAAGAATCTTTGGAGTTGTTGCAGGGACTGGATCGCGGTCGAGAGGATCGAATGCCGTTCTCCAGCTTCTGGAAGGGTCGCCTGTCGAGTTGCGCCGTATGGGCCAATGATTAGATCCTCCTCGTTGATGTATTCGGCAAATATCGATTCGTGTTTCCAGGATTGCATGGCCGTAAGGACGGACTGGATACCGGCGCGGAGTGAGGACCAACTGCGCCTGTGGGATGTCAGCCTTTGACGTTTTCACAGGATGAATTGGATTGCAATCATACCAATCAGTTGCTTGCCAGAGCAGGAGAAGGGAGGCAGCCAAGACCGCGTCTGCGTTAGCATGTGAGAAGCTACCAATAGCTTCATGGAGACCACGAAGCGCAATCGTGCCATGTTGAATGTGTAGGTTCCTCGTTTCGTTGGAAGAGCGGCTCCAGGCCAGATGATTCGCCGAGAAAGAGAGCAACGCGTGCATCACATATGGATAAGAGGATGCGATACTGAGAAACTTGGGCACTTTCTGCGTCCAAATTGTGAGGTTTGTGGTACCTTTGAGCATGAGATCACTCGAGATGGAGGAGAGATGGTCCATCAATCGAAGCTCATTCTTCGAGTACTCGTGTGTCTGCGGTGGTGGAAAGACCTGAAGTCCTGGATAGGGAAAGCTACCCGTCTGCTGCCAAAGATCTATTCGGTTCTCGGTACTGGGCGTGAATACAAGTGAGGCTTGCTCCGGACTCGACTGGCTTTCTGCATCCGATCCCACGCTTTCCATGTAGTCGCACCGTACCTGATGCTTGGTGCAATTTCGGCTAGCACGTGGTTAGCAGACCCTACGAGTGAGGACTTGATATGCTCTCACCATTGGGGGAATGTTTCATCACAGCGAATATGCCGCCGTTTGCAAGTCTTGCAACCCTTGCGGCTTTTCGTGTGACTCCGTCGTGACGGTCCGGTGCCTTGGCCAGCCATATCGAAGCGAGATGTGTTGGTAGTCGAAGCTAGCTGCGGCGAGAACGTCCTTGGGCCCCGATCGACGTTTGTGTACCAGGGCGTCCGGTCACAGCGTGGAGACTGAGGCAGCTGAAGGATGCGTTGGTGGGCTTAAGCGTTGGAGTGGGTGGCCTGCTGGTGCCTGCAGTTGTGGAGAGGTGTTGGTCGATCAAAGCGAGTGTAGGAGGTATATGGATGTCCTGGGCGAGCCGGCGAGGCAAAAGCGAAAGTTGTGGTGGTGAGCGAATGTGGAGTGACCAAGCGAGTGAATACCAGTGCAAACTCTGGGCCCGATGGAGACCGATCGGGAGGCTCTATGTACTGACAGCAACGTGAGAGGTACCTGAGCTTAACAAGTAGTCAGGCAGGTCGATCGAGGAATGGGTAACGTGCCTGAGAGATGCAGTCGAGGACCTCGAAATAGAAGATAGCGGGCCTAACTCAAAAGGATTAGCAGAAGAACCACCCTGTTCCCTCCTCGTGTTATGACATCTTTTCGCAGCCGAAGGGACCTGGTCCGTCTCCAGCGAGGAAAAGAAGCTTTCGCCGTGCGCACACACACACCTCGCCGTCAGCAGCGCTGGAGGCGATTCGCTGGTCGCTAGGCCTGACGGACGAAGCCTGGTCGGCTTAGAGTTTCCCTCTGGCCATGCATGCAACATGTGCCCGCTACGCCAGCGCCCTCCCACCGCCGGAACGGGCATGTCAGGCAGGCTTGGGCCACCCTCCTCACCCACGCGCACGCCCGAAGAGGCAGGATAGCTGCAGAGGGTGAGGTGATTAGTCTGGCAGATCTGCAGGAACTGTCGCCGCTGGGCCAGAGGAGGAAGGGCCAGCGAAGCGTCCGCGGGCATCCTGTTCGCCTCTGAAGTTCCACAGCGAGGCTGAGCAGGACACAGAGGGCAGCGGGTGGGAGGAGGGTGGGAAGCCGGTAAGCATCCGACACCACCAACGGCGACCGGACGCAGGAGCGGTGCCAGTCATCAGTGGTGCTGATGCTGGAGCGCGCGCGCGGGCGAGCAGCGCAGGGCAGCACGGACGGTCGACTGGCGGCATCTGGTGGGAGTCCTGTGGTAGTGTGGTCGCTGGTGGCAGCGGCTGTGGCTGTCGCGTGGGCGTGGTGGTGAAGGTTGCAGCAGCAGACGACCATTACCCAGGCCGTGGTGCGTCTAACGCAGCCGCCATGCCGCACTGGGCTGGGGCCCGACCTATTTTGGGCGGCCTTATTATTCGAGGGCACTGGAGCCAGAGGGAGAGAGCGAAAAACGGAACATCACCAAGTCGTCGTCGAATCATGGCATGCATGCCCGCTCCTCTCGCTGCTGGCCTTGGCGCCGTCGGTGTCGTGTGTCGTGTGTCGACGGCGGCGGCGGTCTGAGCGTGGCTCTATTCTAGCTTTCCAGCATCGTCACCTCTCACGTCGACTGCACACGCCTGAGCGGGCGTCGCACGGTAGATTGCCCTGCCAGATCTACTGTGGACACGACACGGCGTGGATGCCGTCGCTGGCACTTGTTCCGCGCTGCTTCTCGCGTGGAAGCACTACGCTTCTAGGAAAGCCTGATGGGCACGGCAAAGGTCACCGCCGCTGTCACTGACAACAGCTTGGCGCCCGTTTGCTGTCTGTCTGTCCAACGCCTCTGCCCTACCTGCGATTTTTAGTCCCGTGCACCCTCGCTCTCTGCTTTCGGCGTCCTCTGCCTATTCGCCCTCTATACACATGGTTGCCTTGGCGAGCAACCTGCCGCGGAAGATCCGGCTCATCCATTCGGGCTTCCGTCTGACCATCGGGTCGCGCGCTGAGCAAAATTCCATGTCAAATGGCCAGCATCTTGGATCCAGCAATCGCCACACCTGAGGCTGAGCGCACAACGGCTGGCTTCGCACACTGACTGGTCGATGGCACGGTAACGGTAGCAGTGCCGTGCCGTCGAACCAGATGCACGCTGCTGTGTGACCGAAGAACGGGCGCCGACCAGCATATCTTTTCTGAGACACGCGACTTACTTTTAGCCGTCGACGCTCAGGACGCCATCGTATTCTCCCACAACAGCGCTGCTTTCAGACATGGTCGCGCGCGCCGTGTGTCCAGTGTGTCGTGTCGTGGGAGAATCGGCTCGGGGACGCACGAAAACCGCCTCGGGCAAAACAGACAAAACATTCACTTCATCGTTCTTGCCACTAGTCCCGACACAGCCTCAGGCGAGCTTTTTCGCCTCTCAAAATAGATCGCCTCGCATACGCGACCCCATTGCGGGCGGGAAGGATCCCACGCCCGCGGACGTTAATCACCTGCATATGAGACAGACCCATCTTCTTCTTCGATGGTCGCCGTCACGTCTGCCATCGACCTTGCTGCCCCGCCGGAGCATTGAGACCCCGAGCGTGAACAGGGATAATTTGCTCGCCTGTATCTGCCGAGCACACCTCCACCACCACCACCACCACCACCACCGTTGTCCCCGATCCCTGCCATGGCCAGGTGGTAAATGTCTCTTGTGGCGCTAAAAGCCCTATAGCGAGCGTGGCGTGGATTTTTCTCGCCCGCCGCGCTGACATGCCGATGACTACGCAACCACCTGAGAGCATGTCAATAATCTCACTGCCATTCCTCCTCCTCGCGGATGACCACGCGTCGAGGCCCTTTTATTGATCACGCTCTGCTAGTCTCGATCCTTTCGACGTGCTCAGGTCAGTGAGCTCTCTCAAGAGGCTTCGAAATCCGCAGATCTGCATGGTCGCATGACGCAGGGTCTCCTCATCTCAAATCCACTGTGGGTTCTCCAAGGAGCATGATGGAACAAACTAATAAACTAGACTTCACCTTCTGACCATTTTCCTCTCCTACGGCACAGCTCGGCTCCTACAAGGTCGCCAAGCTCACACGGAGCTTTCACTTGTCACGGCGGTCGTCTCCATTGTCTTGCGGACCTGCTTGACTTCGCAATTGTCACCACTTCTATAGTCGTATTCGGTTCCAACATGACAACAGCAGGCCGAGACAGTACCCAGCGTTTCAACTGCTCTATCCCGAGTGCGAACCCGATGCCAGTGCGATGCTCTATTCTCACCGCTAGTCGCAAAGTATGATTGATATTTACTTCTGATTCTTTACGCAGCTGCATGAGCATGTTGTGAACAAGATGGACATGGCAACACATCTTCTATGCAACCTGGCAGGGGGAGGGTTCTAGCGGACTAACTCACATAGACCAGGATGATTGAGCTCTCAGCACCAACCAGACACATGCCGGGCGACGTATCATTCGTTGCTCAGCGAACCCATACCACAATATCTTCGGCGAGTCACATTGTCGTCTCAAGGCGGAAATCGCAGCACAGCCTCACGGCGATCAGCGAGACACCCCTGTCCGACCAGCTACATTTTTACTCTGTTCCTGCATGCAGACGTCCTTCCCTCCACGTATCTGCGCGAGGATGATGAAGCAACCCCAAAACGCTCAATCCTACCTCGTACATGCCACACCGATGTATTGGTTTTCGCAGTCCAGGAATATATAGGTTTGCGAGGGGTCTCTCATCCACACGCTTTCGCATCGTTGCGTTGTGAGGATTGAGGCGGTGCATGCAAATCGCCACTCGTGGATTCTCATCATCAGCGAACAACGATTCATCGAGCCAGCAGTGAGCACCACGGCAGTACCATCAAATCGGTGCCGGACAATAAACCTACGCGAAGCTATTCGCTCCTTCGTTTGCAGTTGCTCTCGGGGAGCAGAGCTTGCATAGTAGTCCTGTCGAATGACCGCAGGTGATGGGGAGACTCACGTAAGAAAACAATCAATCATCACTCAAATGTGGACACCGCGGGACCAGCGCAATGCAAGCCAAGAAGCCGGCGCTCAGATTGTACACAACTGCATGAGGGCCCGATGCACGGTAGAGAAAAGTGAGGGAGTTTGTGCAAAAGCAATAGAGTTTTCGGAGGCAGGGGGTGGGATCCTTCGTTTCGCTTCGCAGGCGCGGATCCGGTTGAATCGACATGGGCTTTATCCTAACCTCGGGCAAGCTCCAACTCTAAACCACCGCACTTGTCGGTGGGCATGTGGTAGCTATGCCGTTGGAGATACCAATAGCTGTGCAATTGGCACGCCGCATTGACGACCAAGATGGCGAATTCATGGCAGGCCATAGCTGCACGCAAGCAGCAGGAGCGAACCTCACGCATACCGCGAGAATGGCTGCTAAAAGAGCCGCCCTTCACCTATGCCCCCAACGCCATTAACATCCCGCGTCGATGCGGCCTTCTCACCGAGCACGAACTGTCCATCACAGAGAATCACGACGCCACCAGCCTCCTGGTCGAGCTGTCCAAGGGAACCCTCACAAGCGAGCAGGTCGTGACCGCCTTCTCGAAGCGAGCGGCCATCGCCCAACAGGTCTGCAACTGCTTGACCGAGATCTTCTTCGAGGACGCCATCGCGCGTGCCAAAGAACTCGATGCCTATCTTAAGAAGAATGGCAGACCAATAGGTCCGCTTCATGGCCTTCCGATCAGTCTCAAGGACGGCTTCAAGGTCCGTAGTTACGATGCCTCTGTAGGTGTCGCAGGGCTGTGCTTCGAGCCTGCAGCCACGAATTCTGCGCTCGTGGACCTCCTCCTATCTTTGGGGGCGGTACTGTACTGCAAGACGAACATTCCATTGACGATGGCAAGTGTGATAGGCTGACTATCCTAGACTTAGCTGAATCTCCGCTAACCCTTGCATGGATAGATGGCTCTTGATTCGCACAACAATGTGTTTGGTCGCACGCTGAACCCGGCTCATCACGAACTGACGGCGGGTGGTAGCTCTGGCGGCGAGGGTGCATTGGTCGCGATGAGAGGCTCTATACTTGGTGTTGGTACAGATGTCGGGGGTACGAAAGCTACGTCTCGCAACCAAAGCTTTTTCTGACCATCTTGCAGGTTCGATACGAATACCTGCAGCTTGCAACAATCTCTACGGCGTCAAGCCATCCCACGGACGTATCCCGTTTGCTGGTCAAGAAGGCGGCCAGAAACCGGGCAGCACCAAGCTAGGAATAGAAGCAACAGCAGGGCCGATAGCAACGACCACCAGAGACTGCGCAATGTTCATGCGAGTGATAGCCAACGGTGGTCCCGAGTTGTTCGACCCTGAGGTGGTTGCGCAGGGCTGGGACCAGCTGGCGCTACTCAATACGAAGCAGAAGCCACTTCGTGTTGGGATTGCCAGAGGAGATGGGCACGTCAAACCTCTACCACCAATAGCGAAACTCATGGATGACGTCGCTCAGACTCTGCGTGCAGCACCTGGCCAAGCCATTGAAGTCATGGATGTCGACGTCTCGCCAATACTTTCCCGGTGCTTGAAGACCTTCAACGGCATCATGTCCATCGATGGAGCTAATGCATGGTTCGACCACATGGAAGTGACTGGTGAACCACTTTCCCCGTGGCTGCAGGGACGACTCACGCGTCGACCACAGAAGTCCTTGGACGAAGTACGAGGACTCCAAGCGGCACGAACAGAACTGCAAACGACCTTCCTCAACGTCTGGAAGGAGAGCGGCGGCTACTGGCTCACCGACGCCAGCGAAGCGCACATCGGCGACAGAACCCTCGACGCCCTAATCTGCCCCGTAGCACCCCACCCCATCCCTCCCATCGACAGATGGAACACAGCAAACTACACAGCCGCTTTCAATCTCCTCGATCTCTCCACCGGCGTCGTCCCAGTCCGCGCCTTTGACAGTCAAGATCTCCAAGGTGACATACCGAGCGACAAGCCCCTAAACGGCTGGGACAAAATCAACCGAGAGCTCTGGACCAAAGTCGACAAGAACGTCTACTTGGGTAGTCCGCTAAGCGTGCAAGTGGTCACGCCTCGTCTCACCGAGCGGAGACTCGTAGAGGCTATGGGTGTCATTGACGCTGCGTTGCAGCCCCTGCGCACTAGTGGACGAAGGGAGAGTCGACTGTAGTGTCGCCACAGCATTTGCCATTGGACCGAGCGGTGGATTCAACGTGGTCGGTAAGTGACGATACCACATGGCACTCGGTTAAAAATGGAAGGATCAACAGGCTGAGGCGCGGTGCTAAGGCGCTTTCGTTTGCATTGGCGTGGCGGCAAGTTCCTTGACTTGTGTGCGCATCACACGAAGAAGACATTTACGAAAGATCTACTGCACAGCAGTGGTGAAACCCAAGAGGGCGCAAGTAACACGGGCAAACTCCGTCAACCTATCGTCATCCAATTGAGAATTGCAAGAATTTCCACCAGTCACAGACATGGAACTTTTGATATATCTGCTACCAGACTACTCCAAGTCCAACCGAGCCCAAAAAACAACCAGCCCCCGCCGCGCGCCAAAAACAGCCGCCATGTCAGACACTAGTTCTACTCCCCCTTGGCCTCCGTCCCATTGACCTTAGCCTCGAGGTTCGCGACTACACTCGAAGACCCGGCATCAGGCGCGCTTTCCGGCGCACCATTGAGCTGGCGCTTCTCGTCCCCGAGATCCGGCACGACGTCCAGGTTCTGGGTATTCGAACGCTTGGGTCGGAACGGCACAGGCGTGGTGGGCCTGCTAGAGAGGAACTAGAGAAAGTCGTATTATTAGCATTTCGTGGTTCATACCAAGTTTCATAGGCCATCAGTTGCCGGGGATTGCCGATTGAATGAGATTGGGAGAATGTACTTACCGACGATGCAGCGCCGAGCAGAGCGAAGAGAGATGATTGCACCACATCTTCGTGAATGCCGACACCCCAGACTTTCTGGGCCGAACCAGACGCGGTACATTCAATGTACGTGGCGGCTGTCGTGTCGCGGCCTTTGCCCGTCTGCTTCTCGATAGCATGTTCCTTGTAGTCGGCGATGTCCAGGTCAATGCCGAGATTGTTCAGGGCGTTGGCCAGAGCAGACAGAGCTCCATTGCCGATACCTTCGATTTGGTGTTCTTGACCGTCGATTTCGATGACGCCTCGGAACTTTCGACGCAGGTTGCGGTTTGAGGCGCTCTTGCCTGTGGTGGGTGGTGCGGGCGAGACTGAGCGGTCGGTGGTGATGTCGTAGTCGACCAGGGAGAAGCGAGGGTTGCGGTTGAGGTGGTATGCTTCCACGAAGAGATCTTTGATCTCGTTGGCTAACAGCTCGCGACCCAGCATGTCGGTCTCTCGTTGCACGACCTTGGAGAAGGCGACTTGGAGACCACGAGGTAGATCCAGCTCCAGAGTCCGCTTGATGATCCAGGCAACTCCTCCCTTTCCAGACTGGCTATTGACACGAATAACAGCCTCGTATGTCCTGCCGATATCTTGGGGATCCAGAGGTAGATACGGCACCACCCACGGATCCTCAGGACCAGCCCCTTGCGAATCCCTGAGATGGAAACCCTTCTTGATGGCATCTTGATGTGATCCAGAAAACGCACATACAACCAGAGATCCTCCGTACGGCGCACGTGGATGTACTGGGATCTTGTTGCTCTTCTCCACGATATCAATCACGCTGCCGATGTCTGAGAAGTCGATGCCTGGGTGGATTCCCTGGGTGTAGAGATTCAGACCTAGAGTGACCAGATCCACGTTACCGGTTCGCTCGCCGTTTCCAAACAGCGTGCCTTCTACTCTGTCCGCACCAGCCATTTGTGCCAGCTCTGCTGCCGCCACCGCGCAGCCTCTGTCGTTGTGTGGATGTAAAGAGACCGAGACCTTCTCCCGTTCTGTGATGTTTTTGCAGAAGTACTCAATCTGATCGGCGTAGACATTGGGAGTCGACATCTCGACCGTCGCGGGTAGGTTGAAGATGATCGGGTTCGCCTTGGTAGGTTCCCAAGCAGCCTTGACAGCCTCGCATATCTCAATCGCGAAGTCTGGGTCTGTATCCGAGAAAGTCTCAGGCGAGAACTCATACGCCCAATCCTCCACGCCCGAGTTGGGATCTTCCTTGGTGATCGATCGGGCATACTTTGTGCACTCGACCGCCAGCTCCTTGGACTGCTCATTGTTCATGTTGAACACAATCTGCTGGAAACACGGACTCGTCGCAAGGTACAGATGTAGAATCGCCTTCTTCGCACCCTTCAGACTGTCCACCGTCCTTCTGATCAACTCTTTCCGGCACGGCGACAGAACCTGAATCCACACATCGTCCGGAACCACTCCGGGCGTTGTCACCAGTCGTCTCGTGAAGTCGTAGTCGGTGCCTCCGGACGAAGGGTACGAGACTTCGATCTCTTTATATCCGAGCTTCACTAGCATTTGAAAGTATCTCCATTTCTGCTCGCCGTCCATGGGGTCTACTAGGGATTGGTTACCGTCTCTTAGATCTGTCGCGAGCCATCTGGGGACCTTGTCGAGGGTTTTGGAGGGCCATTGCCGGTCGGGCAGGTTCAGTGGTTTGAACTTGCGGTATTTCTTGGATGGGTCTTTGAGCCTTGAAGAGAGGGTCAGTCTGGTAGAGGTTTTGTTCAATGGCACATCCACCTACATAGGCATATTGAAGTGGGCCTCGGCAGGGTGTGCTTCGTTTCCAGGACGTACTGGCTATGAGAGGAAGGGTTGGTAGTGTGCGACCAGAATGAACGAAGAGCCGTGGTGTTTGCCGGGGGTTTATATGAGCAATTGGCAAGGTGATGTCTGAGTCAACGCGAAAAGTGAAATTCGTGAAATGACATCTGAATCCAAGTGTGGGGTCGCGGGGATGCGATGATGATGATCGCTCAATCCTTCAGGGCGTGCATACATACATATGAAAGTGAATACATTGACAAACAGTACCCTCGGTGTTCCGGTCAAAGTGGAACGTCCTATAGTTGAAGAGAAGTGCTATCTATCCGACTTTTCACAAGCGACTACGCTGCTATTTGCACTCCGACCTGCTTAGATGGCTTAGAAGTAATGGGGATGAATGAATGTTCCACTTTGACCGGAACAAGGAGGACAAGTTTCTACCGCCTCTTCGCAAAAATCTGATTTGCCCTATATCTGGTTTAGATAAGTAGAATTGGTCAGTTCAATCAAGTCAAATCACCAGCTCGAGCGCCTATGGGAAGTACATCACGCCTTTGGCTGCTGCATTTATCCCGCTTCTATCCGACTCCCGAAGTACAAGCACATGGTCGTTCCAATATGGAAACCAAGAACGAAACCACAAGAGAGATCATAGCTTCGACTCCTGCTTCGGCTCCTGCTTTAACCTCACGACGCCCTGTATGAAATGTCAGCAATGCATCAACAACGGTCTCGTAAACATGAAAACATACCTCCTGCACACAACTCGCCACCAACTTGCCGTCTCTCGAGAAGATCTTCTGGAAGACCAGGCCTCGTCCGTCGCCAGACCACGGAGTCTCGGATTCAGCCAACAACCATTCGTCTGCACGGAAGCTCCTTGGCTCGTGGAAGTAGATTGTGTGATCCAGCGACACCATCATCCCAATCTCTGGCCTCTTCTCTTTCAACCCCACAATCTCCCCGTCCTTGATCTCAAGTGTTTTAAGCTGATTGATGATGTCGTCGTCAATTCCCTCAATTTTCTTCAGCGTCTCCAGGTCCATCTTCTTCAATCGCTCGAAGACGTCTCTGGTCATCATCTGCTTCCCGCCAGATGTCTCCTTGTTCTGCGACGCTTGGCTGTATCGCCAGAGCTTGTGTGTCCGCGCCACGGTGCCGATGAAGTATGAGTCGGACATGTATGCCAATGCGGAGAGATGTGCTTCGTGGCCGCCTTCTTCGCTGATCCTCCCCCTCGCTCTGATCCATTGCCGTGTGCGCTTCTCGTGCGGATTGGGACTGTCGTTGTTCACGATATCCACCCTCTGCGTCACGAACGGCGACCTCGCGCCTCGGTAGATATCCACCGTCTCCATATCAATCGGTGGAGGCACCTCCGGCATCTTAGCCTGATGCTGGACCAACTGCTTCCCTCCAGCGCCCTCCCTCACGAAGCTCAATGTCACCGTGAAGATAGGCGCACCGCGTTGTCGTGCCTGCACCGTCCTCGTCGCGAACGACCGCCCTTCTCTTACGTGCTCCACGTGGTATATGATGGGGATCTCAGAGTTTCCGTTCAGCACAAAGTAGCAGTGCATGCTGTGCACCGCGAAGTTCTCTGGGACCGTCTTTTGCGCGGCAGCCAGACACTGCGCGATGACTGCGCCGCCGTAGATTCCTCGCGCGCCGGGGGGATGCCATAGCGGTCGCGTGTTCGTGAAGAGGTTCGGGTCGATGTCGTTCAACTGCGTCAGTTCGAGGACATCCTCGATTGGGGCCTTATCTTTCGAGGCCGGAGGGGGCTTGATCAGCGTCGGCTTGGACATTGTGGTGGGTGGTGATGAAGTGAAAGCCAGGAGTATGATTGAAAAGATTCTTGTTCTTACTTGTCCATGTTTCTACGCCCGTATTGCACATGCGATCGGATATTGTTCGCGTATAACATTGCTCTCTCGGCGTGACTTCTTCTCTCAGCCCGATCAACCGAGGCTGTACGCTGACCTTTCCGAGCCCCGAGATGACTCCGTGAGCAATGATGCGCCCCCCCCTTTTAGTGCACGTTCACATGCAAAGACCCTCAGTATATTCGTTTGTCGTATAGCTTCACAATATGACTTTGAGAGTAGATTCTTCATAAATGCGGGTATTCCTCCAAGCCTTGGCCGGAGACCAGCTCAAGCACGGTCACTTCTTCTTTGCTACCCAAAAGGTCGGCTGATAGACATTCTGCAGCATACTGCTCGGGTCTTGAATGTATCCAGTAGCAGGCGCATCTCGCTGCTCGACAATTTCAAAACCGTATTGCGAGACCAGACTTGTGACTTCGTCATTTGACAGCTCAAAAGATCCAGGCTCACCTATCCCTTCGAAATCGCTTGGCGTACCCTTCGTCTTACCCTGTGCCTTTTCGCGCTCAGCTGGAGTCAGTGTAGACTCGAAGTGCCAAAGCAGTGGGCCTAGATTGATCCACACCCCTCCTGGGCGGAGACAAGTCTTTATTGTCTCGATGTAGTGGATGACGTTCGGCGCCGTGTCGATGAAGAAGCAAGTTGCTACGGCATCGAAGGTGTCTTCATAGTCAGGCTGGCGATAGACGACGCAGAAATCGCCTGTACTCATCGACATTCGCTCGCTGTAGTGCACTTCAGATCCAATCTCCTGCTCTGCTGCTTCTAGCGCGGCGCCTGGGTGAGCGTCTGGAATAGCTACGCTTCGAAGCTGGTTGGCGCGAGTGTTGTGGTTGCTGAAGCTCAATGCCCATGGAAAGAGGGTGTGTTGACCAGCTCGCTGGGTATAGTTGAGTAGGTATTGCGAAGCAAGAAGTTGGTGGTATGAGATCTCGTTCCCTTCGACTGTGTAGCCGGCAAGACACATATCGAACACCAGTCGACCCAGGCCAGCACCAGGGACTAGCACTCGGATCTGATGTCGCTGAGCAGGGCTTTCCGCGGGTAGATAAGTATTAAGCGCAGCCATTATGGGTGCGAAGGATGCATGTCTCTCAGGAAGCCCTTCGGCAGACCAGTCTCGATACATCTGGCGAATGGTCGAGCGAGCCTTGTCCATGTCATTCTGTGTAGCCTTGCCTTTCCAAGTCTCATCGGAAGCACTTAGCCCGAATCCAGGCATGATGGCGTCGAGGATTGCTTCAGCAATATCTGCATTGCTGTCGATTGCATTGTCGACTGCATCGAAGGTCTTGGGGAGTGAGAATGGTGCTGCTGATAGAAGCTCTTTCTGCGCAGCAGGCAAGGCATAGAAGGACTGTCGTCTCAGATGAGTGATGTTGTAATGAGCGGCGCGACGATACTGCCTGTCACGGTGGGAGAGCGTAAGAGGGTGCGATGAAAGGACAGCCAGGACCAAACCTTTTGTTCACTCACATACCTAAAGGAGTCGAAGGCGGCGTGCAAGACTCTACGCTCTTCAGAATCCGCCAGTGGATCATCGTGGTCAGCCATCGACTCTGCCCCTGACTCGTGCTCTGCGGTCATCGTGCGCTTGCTCGTGCGGGAGAGTTGTTGAAAGTTGGTGGTTGACGGCAGAAGTTGCTTGCTCGCGGCTGTGGCTGGGGCAGAAAAACGCGCCACACGGACCAAGCTTTGAGTCCGGCGAAACGACGCGAACATCCAAACCACACTTCACCCTTTCAACATCTTGCCAAGTCCAATATCTCGCCATGGCGGCCGGCGCACGCGCAAAGCCTCTCGCCAACGGCGTTCACGACGAGAGCCAGCCCATCGAGCTGGCCTTCCAACTCCCGCACAGCCCAGGGCTGCAAGTCAATTTGCACCTGACGGTCAAGGCCACCTCCATCCTCCTCTTCCTCACAAGCACACAGGCAGAGTCCGGTCAGGTGACTGCACCCACGGGAAGCTTCGTGTACGCGATGCCGGATGTACGTATCTCGTATTCGACATCGCCAAAGACAAGCCTTAATGGCTAATGATGCGGGGACAGAGGTACCAGCCAAGCCAACCAATGAGTACGGTGCTGTACAGCATGCCGTCCTCGGTCGACTTTACAACTCGCATCGCAAAGGTGCTGGTGCGCCGCTTGCAGAAGCCGTGCTACGTCGGCAGCAGTGTCAACCTGTCCGGCGCGATGGGCGGTGGCAGCGTGGACGAGGAGATGGAGGCGTTCCGCTCAATTATTGACGTTGTCTGCAAGCAAGCCCATGGCTGAGATACATGGAGAAAGGCTCGACAACACAAGCATAGCGGTAACCACCCGCGCTGCGGATGAGGCACATGATAAGCTGCGTTGCCGATGAACAACCATGGCGCTTAAGGTTGCTTTAGCTTTGATAAAACAACCACATGCATCAGGCCAAGTGGAGATGCTTCCGGCCCGTCGAGCGGACCAATTGTCAACGCCCGAGTATTGCGTTTACTCCAATGGGGAGGTGACGGAATACAGTCCGCTGTCTGATATTGGCCAGGCCGCTGAGGAGGCAGCGCTGGTCGTGCAAAGGCAGCGAGTGCAAGTGAGGAGAACTGCAGTGCGCTTGCGGATTTGCCACTTGCGAGCCCTGAGGTGCGAGGGTGGGTCTGCTCGAGCTAATCGTAGCCAAAGTACAACATCCTCTCCCACTGATAGCTTCCATTCGACGAGCACATTGCGAGTCATGCCTACTGCGCTGTCGCCCACCACACCTATCCTTGATCCCGCCCCACTCTCACTTCCGTTGCCGCGTCACATAAAGAGAACTTTTGTCCTCGCTGTGGCTGGGTGTTTGTCAAATCATGTCCTGGCCTCCACATGGTCAGAACGCCGCGTGTGGCGCTCCTTGTGCGACCTGTCAGACTGTTTCGAAGCAGATGCGCTGCACGTTCTGGGAAAGACGACGCAGAAGCATGCGCCCACACATGACATTGCGTCCTGTCGGCCATCCAGCAATCCGGAACCGCTGCACGGGCTAAGGCGATCTGCGAACTCAATGTGATAGCAGGGTTATATAAAGCGGCACATGGTCCGAGGGGCCACGATCTGCCGGTGTCTCGTGGATTCCAGCTTCAGCAAGATGATCCCTGAGCGAGGCCGACGTCAGAATCATGTCGACACGATCACAACTCATCCCGAATCCCTTTCCGCGCGGATGATATGTGTACGCAGCTTTGTCGCCGTGCAAGTGTCGGAACGAGTCGACCATACCTAGGCTCTCGCCGCCGTCGCGGTCGTCGCCGTCGCCCCTCTTCTCCGCGCCCTCCGAATCATCGCCTAGCGCTGTACCACGATGGATGAATCTGGCCTCGAAGTCGGCACGGTTGATGCAGTGTTGTTTGGGACATGTCCGCAGGTTAGGGTGACCGTCAATTGGGGCGCGAGCCACGTTGAAGTCTCCGGCGAGTACGATTTGGAAACTTTTGGACAGGAGCGCCTGGCACTCGGCTTGCAGTAGCTTGTGCACTTGCAACTTTCGGTCGTGTCGCGTTCCAAATGGCTTGCCGGTGTCTGGGTCTTTATAAGGAGCATCTGTCCCGTTCACAGCATACAGATTGACGATGGCAAGCTTCGGCAGCGAGCCGATGGCCTTCGTCTCGCAAACCAGAAATCGTCCCTCGAGATCCCAGTCGACTTCCCGTACCCTCTCGACATGGGCGTCGAAAAAGCCCTGCCTGATGATACTGCAAACACCATACACCTTGCGACCAAAGCCGCGAGCGTTGTAGTTGTCCTTTGGCAAACAGCAGAAGGCTTTGTACAAGGGTGCCCCCGGGGGCTCATCGATATCTGGTTGTATCGCCTTCTCGACCGCTTTCATTGTTGAGTCGTTCCCAGGCGCGATTTTGACTTCTTGGAGAAAGAGCAGGGTTGGCCAGGAGTAGCGCCGCAGCACATCTCTCAGGCCAGTCGACGGTGCCGAGCTATTTGAGCCGTGGATACTGCCTCTAGGCTCGAAGAACGAAGTTATTGGCCGCTGCACCAATGGCTCTATGCCATTCACATTCCAAGAGTATATACTGAGATGATCCAGCTGCACGTCAGACGTCTCTCTCGCAGGAGGACCATTGTTGGACATCTTCCGGCGTTTGATTGGCGGTGGAGAGATGTCGTCCCTACTGGCAGCCATGGCGAGGTCAAGACAAAATCACCCGATGCCACAAATCCTTGAAAGCCTGGATGAGCCAAGTGACCGAATCTGGCCCCTTTGCGCCTGGATGTTCAAGGCCACACAACACAAACAAGACAACTCCCGCGACAGTGTGATGAGATCAGTGAAGATGGTGGCGAATCGTCTTGGCGCCTCGAGCAGTCTGTCGTACCATGTGGCGCTGTATTTGAGTTGGCTATTCCGCTCCTTGGCCCAGCAATATCAGTCTGCTACCCCTTCCTTGAGATAAGACCTTGGAATCCGGCGAGTGCAATCAAAGTGATGACGCTTCCATTCACTCACTTCGGCTCTCGTCCCTGCCTCACGCAGCGCTCACACCAGGCACGCAACCACGGGCTCCTGCCGGCTGTGCCGACTCCACGGTTTTCCAGTCGATACGAACGGGCCGAAAGTGCTGTTCGCGACGTCGCTCGCTCCGAACGGGCCGTTGTGATGGGATTTTGACGGCGTTGGGCAAGAGATTCGGCTCGGCTTCGGTTGGCGGCTTCTCCACCCTAATCCGTAATATGCCTAATTCGAAGGAGGAGCACCTCCATCTGACGGACCCGTGCTTCCATACTTCAAAGCCTACATCCAAACACGGCTCATCATCAGACGACATGATTGCTGAGAGATGTGCAGCTGGGCGCAGCGCTCCGCCCCGGATGCTGGCTACATATCACGGGACTGCGAATTGATTCGACCTCTCGTCACCCGTCACCTAATGCCACTATCCCGGCCCAAGGCATTGCCGCCTCGTCGGCACCGCAAGACCAACATTCTAGCTCGTAAGCATCCTGAGGCGCGCCGTCGTGCCCATTAGTGGCTGCGCTATGTGTGGAATGCTTCGGCTTGGCCTTCCTCTCGTCTGTGACGCGTTGGCATCTCTTCTTGCGCTCAGGCGATGGCGGCGAGGACGGACACTTTCCGTGTGACACCATCACAGCTCCCACAACCCTAACCTCGTGCAGCTTTGTATCTCTCGTCGCGACCCTCGGAGGGCTCCATGCCTGCCAGGGACGATCGTTACTGATCTCTTCAGGTCTGCGCTCCGCTCCATACAGCCGCCAGCCCGGTCGCTTCTGCAAGTCACCGCATCCGTTCTCACTAGACATTTGCGCCGCAGCCTGCACAGGCCCGACGAAAGGGATCGCGAGGGTCACGCATCTCGTTGACCTTCCTAATGGGTCTTCTCGTCAAAAGGCCGAAGCTTGCAACGCCATCTTGCAGCTCACCAGTCAACAGCCAACAAATCGGAATGGGCACGTTCGTATGCGTCAAAACACACTGCATCCGGGCTGTTCTCAAACCGTCGTTGGCCTATGCATGTCCACAACGGGCAAACTATCTACAGAGTCTGGGCTCTGTTCTGAAACAGCTGCCCTGGCCGAGCCAGCACCATTAGAGGCCCAACGACGGATTAACAGACTGGAATCAATGCGATGCTACCCAACGAGAGCAGCAATGTCGAAACGCAACGCATCCTGTTCGGGCTTCGACTAGGATGGTTTTGCCATGCCTGTGCTGCATTCGTGGACGGAACTCCACATCGAGCATCTATCCTCAACGGTTTTGCAACACTTTGATCTTGCAAAATGAGAATGGGATGACCTCAATTGAACACTTCTCGGTCTTCCGGTACACCTGCGGAATACACAGCAGCACAAGTGCTGTTGGTACTGGCAGTCAGGAATGCCCTCGGGGCCTCTCTGAAGTAATCCTTCCGCGGGTCTGGGCTGCATCTGGTGATAGGTCAACTCGCCGACGGCACCGGCACTGAGCAGCTGCAATATGCATTCGATGGTCAGCTGCGTCTTCACATTGCGTGAACGATCGCTGCATGCAGTTCGCCGAGCGTTCCCTTGCACACCAATCAGCCCGTTCTTACCTCAAGAGATGTGCAGCACCCTCAAACACCCGATATCTCGTTGGAGCTCGTCGATCTATCCTTCTCGACCAAGTTCCCTGCGTCGTCCATTCCAAATAGCGATCAACAAACACATGTCGAGAAAGGTAGACGCCATTAGAGATGAGGAGCATGATGTAGCGGCGATATCAGCCTCCTTGATTGACAACGATCAGCAGCCCAAGGCTGTACACCGACCGCGGGCCCTGAATTGCTGGATGTGGCTGTCCAACATTCGCCATGGCACTGTTTTGTGGCAGATGAAAGCGCGAGATCAGCACCTTGTGTAACACAAAGTCAGCCGCAAGTGGTTGCAAGATACCAGGATGTGGAAACGACTCCGACTTGGCCTCCATTTTCTCCGTGAGAATACGATCTGGATCTACGACGAAGTTACACTTGTTGTGAAACACCCTCAAGTGATGCTGCAGCAGATACAAGGACCACCTATCGTTTGGTTAGGCCTGAATCTCCGCACAACAGGCGGCGTAGTGAGAGCGGGCGGACCAGTGTCTCGGTAACGTGGCTGCTGTGACTTAACACCACGCCCTGTAGGAGGCGCTGGAATATTCCGCGAAGCCCAACAAGTAGCAAATACCTAGGAACGGACTCGTTGCTGCAAGAAGATCAAATGATGGCCCCACTGCACTGAGTGCGTGAGACTCCCAGAACACCACCATACGGGCAAAGAGATGGTAACAAACCGAAGGCTTCATGACAATGAGGTATTTACAGCGGACGAGCGAAGTGGTAGTACTTCTTACGAAGCTCTATATGGGGATTCGGGATACCGGCGAAGTCAGAGCACACGGGCCGAAGGTCCAGGATAAGGTTCGGACTAGGGAAACCCAGATGGCCCTTGGATCAAGCTTTGGTGCCCGCACGAATTCTGACCCATGCGATGGCTCCAACAAGCCTCGTCTCTACGCGAACAACGGCGGTCGCCGACGGGCTCGAGATCATCTGTCGAGCTCGGCATGTCCATCTACTGGCGCGGTGGATCTGGTAGGCATCCAGTCGCTTGTCCTGCTCCATCCACCATTACCGCCGTCTCCCTCTCGTATATCTGTCTCCCCAACGCTCCTCTTGACCTCCATTCATATCATCGTATGACTACCTTTCTCTCCAGTCCTTTCCAAGATCATTCATACAGTCAGAATAGAATATGTCTCCATCCGTCCTTGTCGTCAACGACGGCAACGTCGTCGAGAGCACCGATAAGAAGACAACCCAAGACGACATCACCAGAGCCACCAAGTCGGCCGTCCTACATCGTTCGTTGCACGCCGACCCCCTACAAGTCGTCTCGGCACAAGGCAACTACCTATACTTGAGCAACGGCCAGAAAATATTCGATGCCACTGGAGGAGCTGCCGTATCATGTCTTGGTCATGGCGACGTTCGGTACGCTGTCACACATCCACTCAACGTTACAATCGACGACTGATCGATCCTTACAGCGTCCAAGAAGCCCTCATCGACCAAATGTCCCAAGTATCCTACTGCCACTCCCTCTTCTTCGCGACGCGAGCGCCCGAAGAACTCGCCAAACTCCTCATCGCCAGCACGTACAACGAAATGTCGCGCGCCTTCTTCATCTGCAGCGGCAGCGAAGCCATCGAAGCCGCCCTCAAACTCGCCCGCCAATACCACCTCGAGAAACCGCACCCGGAACCCTCCCGCACGCACTTCATCTCCCGACAGCAGAGCTTCCACGGCACGACTCTAGGCGCGCTCAGCGCTGGTGGCCATGCCGCTCGTCGGGCCATCTTCGAGCCTATCCTCAGCGCCAACACTAGCCGGGTGAGCCCTTGCTATGCCTACAGGGGTCTGAACGGGATCTTGGACTCGGAGGCCGCTTATGTGCGGAGGCTCGAGGCCGAGCTGGACGCTGAGTTCCAGCGTGTTGGGCCGAAGAAGGTTGCGGCCTTCATCGCGGAGCCTGTGGTTGGTGCTGCGTTGGGTAAGCCCTCCCCTTCTTTCACGAACCCGGGCTCCTGGTAAGGGGGTTATGGGTTCAAGAAGTCTAAACCGATTCCTGCAATAGGGAAATGCCTCTGACTTCACATGTTTACGATCAAACAGGCTGCGTCCCCTCCGTGCCGGGCTATTTCAAGGCCGTGAGAAGGGTCTGCGACAAGTACGGAGCGCTCCTCATCATGGACGAAATCATGTCCGGGGCCGGTCGTGCAGGCCCAGAACCCTCTGAACGATACCCGAAACCCTTGCACGCATGGCAGGACCCTTCGGTTGGTGTTGTAAGTCGAAACACGTACGAGTACGATTGAGAATGTTCAATGCTAAACGAATAATCACAGACCCCCGACCTAATGACCATGGGCAAAGGCCTCGGCGGCGGCTTCATGCCCGTCGCCGCGCTCCTCGCCTCCAAAACCATCGTCGAAACCCTCAAAATGGGCAGCGGCGCCTTCTCCCACGGCCAGACCTACCAAGGCCACCCCTTAGCCTGCCGCGCCGCCTTGGAAGTCCAGAAAATCATCCAGCAAGACGACCTCGTCGCCAACGTGCGGAAGCAAGGCGCCCTGCTGGGGCGCTTGCTGAAGGAGAAACTCGCCGCGATCCCGGCGGTGGGCGATGTTAGGGGGAAGGGATTGTTCTGGGGCGTGGAGTTTGTGATGAATAAGAGGACTAAGGAGCCTTTTGATCCGGCGTTGGGCGTGGCGATGGGGGTTCATGAACTTGGTGTGTTCCATCTAATCTATCTACAACCCCTCCGCTTTGCCCTCTATGCTAACGGATTCTATACGACAGGCATGCAACCCCCCTTCAACATCTCCCTCTACCCCGGCACCGGCACCGCCGACGGCCGCAAAGGCGACCACGTCATCATCGCCCCGGCCTACAACATCACCGCCGACGACGTGCGCCACATCGTCGACACGACGGTCGCGGTGATACGGCAGTATTTCCTTCAGAATCACCGCGACTGGTTGTTATCGACCCTTGGCGATGTGGAAGCGCCGCCTCCATCGCAGAATATCAACAAACCGAGGAAGTGAAGTTGGTTTCTTTTTTATTTACTTTTTTGTGAGCACGCATATCACGAGTCAAAGCATAACAGACAACGGCAGGGCCGCAGGCATAGACAGACGGAACGGCAGGCATAGAAACTGGATGTATGGACAGGAAGGAGGGCGTTCTGGGATCGTCTACTTTCGGTTTTTGGGGGCATAGGACGCATGCGGAACACAAACTCCGGTGGGACGGAATGGAGATTCCGAGGTTTTCCTTCATTCAGTATTTGATGAGAGCCAGCAAAGCAGCAGCAGACGTCGATTAGGTAGAACGGCTGCAACGGCAAGATACCGCATGTAACGCTAGACAACAATCTGCAAACGCCAGAGTAGACTTTCCATGCACGTACTGCAGCCGGCGATGCAGATTCAACAGCGCATGCCCCTCTCTTTCGCGCCGAGTAACCCTTGACATGAGTCGTGGCCGGCAGGACGAGTGCAGCGGCATGACTGCACGCGGGACATCATCGTGCACGTCGAGGGACCTCTGGCAACGCGCGAAACTTGATCATGTGCCGTTGGTGAGACTGAAGAGGGAACCGCCAGTCTGGAAGCTTTGCTGTGAGGTGCAGAAGCTCGCGATCCTGCAGCGAGATGGATGGCCCGAGCGTTTCCGTGCCGTCGAGACGGGGTGATGCGAATGATGAGGTGCGTGATATGGTTTGCGGGTACATTGCTGTCCGTATCTGCACCACGTGGCAGGATTCATCAGGCATATCGCTGCAGGTAGAGACCTTGCCCGGCCAGTCAGACGCTTCCCTCGGCGCTGCAGCGTATCGATCTAGAAAAGTGCCGACAGCTTGTTCCCCAAATCCGTCAGGTCGGGAACCAATGATACGTGGCAGATAGGCTCATCATTTCTTCTTCTTGTCCTTGACCTTTTTCTGTGTCTGGCCAGGCGCCTCTCCACCACCCAAGCCCGCCATGCCTGGAGGAAGTTGGCCCCCCATCTCGGCCATCATGTCTTTGAGGAAGTTCTCCGACACACCACCGCCAGAAAGGGCAGGTGAGTGGAGTGGCAGGATAGTGCCCATTTTAGATCCGCGAGGGATCGATGGAGCCGTATGTTTGTCTTTCGGCATCGGCATGCCTTGCAGACGAAACTTCGTCGGCATGTCTTCAGTCGTTGGGTGCGACTTCAGATAGTCCGCGATCATCTTGTACAGGTGATGTTCTGCGTCACACGTTAGATCGCGTCTTCAAGCTAGGCCATCTCGGACAATCCCTGCAGATGGGGGCAATACGCACTGTTCTGGATCTTCGCGCTGACTGGTTTGCCATCCCTCTTCACCTCCACCTTCACCCGCCCAGGATTCGCCCAATCCTTGGGATGCGTCTTCGTTGGCTCGAACACAATTTGCAAGCCAACGTTGTGCGTGTTCCCTATATGTGACAGCGCATCAACGATCTCGCGAGCCAAAGGATTGGGTATCGCATCCTCCTTGGCCACCCTCCGACCCCCCTCACGGCTCCGTGTGCTGTCGAAGTAGACGGGATAGATGCACTGGAAGCTCTTGCTCTTCTCCTGCTGCTCCCGCTGTAGCCTCTCGCGTTCATTGTCGCTCATCTGCGGCATCTGGGGTATTTTGGCGGCACTCGCGCTTCCGGCGCCAGGCTGCTGGCCTTGCAGTAGTGCCTCCATCATGTCCGTCGTCATTTGCGAATCCGCTTCATCAGATGATGCTGTTTGTACCAGTGACCCTCCCTGCGGCCTCGCAAAGTCGAAGGCGTCCAAGTCCATCTCCTCTGGATCATCGGCCATCGAATCGTCGTCCACCTCCTCGATCCGCGGGTTAGCCATGGCGTCGTCGAATGCTCTGAGCTGAGCTGTGTGCAAGTGGGAGGATTGGAAGTACACCAGGAGCGCTCGTGGTAACAAGAAAGGTGAGTGTGAATGTTTCGTTCAAGAACAGAAAGTCAATCGCGAGTTGATGGAGCTCAAATTGTTCCCCGCAACTGCCACATGAAGTCGAGTTGTCTTGGCAAAGTTCCGACCCCACAAGATATGGAAGACTAATCAAATATTGATGATAGATTTCATTTAGCCGTGGAGGCGAATCTCTATGAGACCGCGACCGTTTGACTGCCGTTCATATCGGTGTAGCTGTTCACGGAAAATGGAGAGGACAAGGGACTGAACAAAATGGGGCACAGTAAGTCATCAACGCCTTGCACATGCTATGCAAGCCCGACGCTCATACAGTAGACAGCAAGCAAACCCTCGTCTCCTCGGAGGACAAGGGAGTCTAAAAGACATGATGAACAGTATCAAGACCTCACCAACGCCGGTCCAGATGTTCCATCCAGCATGCAATGCATCGCTTCGTGCTGGCTCACAGGCACAGCACACTCCCAAAAGCATCACCACTCTCTGCGCGAGGACCCAAAGACAAGGGGTCGCGTCGTGGTCCAAAAACGCCATTGCTCAACTTGGCCCACTCCTTTTCGTTTCATCTCGTATCAAATCGTAGCCAGGCAGGCTTGTCCTCCCTACCGGAGGGACAAGCCTGCTACCGGCGACGGTCGCCTTGCTCCGCCAACCTCTCGCGCTCGATCCTTATCCTCGTGGCCTCAGTTCCGTCGTCTTCGACCAGCTCATCGAACCATGGGTGCTTGAGTGCCTCTCGCGCGGTGATACGCTTCTTGGGGTCGTACACGAAGATCTTCCGCAGCAGATCGAGGAACAGTCGGTTGAAGTTGGTTGTCTGCGGAATGATATCCTCCAAACGCTTCATGCCACGCACGAACTTCCTAGATTGGCGTGGAGTGTCGGGCATTGGATAGTTCAGATGGCCATTCTTGAAGAATCGAGCCGCAGAGTTCCTGTCGCCCCGTTTGGACAGACGCTGTACTTCTCGGATGAGTGAACGGTCGATCGGGTTGCCCGTCACAGCCTGCAAATGTTGTTAGTGGATGTTGCCAGATAATTCGATGGTTATTGTCTAACCTCCATCATGCCGAGATGCTCGCAGCAGTCGTGGGTCTGGAACAGAGCGTCGCCAGTCCAGCATTCGACAAGAATACAGCCAAGCGACCACAAGTCGATCGGGTGCGACCATCCTGGATGTGGGTTAGCAAGAGGCTCATATACAAGCATGACATAGGCAAGGCTCACCAATTCCTAGGATGATCTCCGGCGCACGATAATGACGCGTGCTGACGACTGAGCTGTGGTACTCGTCGTCGAAAGTTGCACTACCAAAGTCGATGAGGTTGATGTGTGGGCTGAGAAGCACTCTTCTGAACTTGGCCTGCCTTGACGTCAAGGTGCTCGACGATGGGATGTTGCGGTTGTAGGTGAAGGTTTGGTATGTGTGGTTGAGCAGGAGGATGTTCTCCGGCTTCAAGTCGGTGTGGATGAGGTTCAAGTCGTGCAAGAAGGCGATCGAACCGAGCAACTGGCGTGCGAATGCTTGAATGTGTGATCCAGGGAAAGGCACGAAGCCTCCGCTCTTGAGGAAGTCGAACACGGAAAGTCCGAGAAGAGGTGTGACAATGCAGATATGCCCTCTCCAGTCGAAGCAGTCACGGAGCTGAATACACCGATTACGGTTGTGTTCGTCCGCAGCTCGCAACGTCTGGAGCACTCTGAGTTCGATGCGACTAGCATCACGATACTGAAGGACGTCAGTTACTGGATCTGGGTGCGAGAGTTGGAGGATGAAGCGTACCTTAGGTACGGCACGGATGATCTTGACTGCCACCTCTCTTCGACTCCGCATGTCGATTGCACGGACGACTTTGCCGAACGTGCCTTGGCCGAGAAGGGAGATGAGGGTGTATTTGTCGCCTAGGCGAGTGTTCTCATGGACGATGTAATGTCCGTCTTCGTCATCCACCTTCTCAGTTGGCTTGTGCCGCTGTACTCGGGTCAGTCAACTTCTTACTATTGCTGTGCCCTCTATAACGTACGTCGTGTATGGCATTGACAATGACATCTTTCTGCTTCTTGGCCTGCTTTGCCGGAGGGACGTATTCGCCGTACTCGGCCAGGTATCCCTTTGGTCCTGGTCGTTCGACTTCTTGCTTCTTGCGGTCGACTTCTGAAGTTCGGGTGGTTCGCTTGCGCTTCTGGCCAGTCTGCGCGGTCTCTACTCTGCTTCCGCTGCTAGCTTGTGAGCCGAGCGAGGTCGAGGCTGTGGTGGCTTGCAAGCTCTCTGTGGAAGCCCCGTTCGAGTAAGGAGTGTTGGTGGTGCTGTAGGTTGCAACCTCACCACTCCCACCGTTCACACGTCTTTTCTTATCAACATGCTGTGAAGTATTTGAGCCATTGGTTGTGGGCGGTGGTGGGCGCTGAATGGTCGCTGAAGGCGCTGGGCTATCATCGTCATGTATCTCAATGATCTCGGCCGGCGGCTTGCCCCCGAAGAAAGCGACCCAGTCCACGGGGTCTTTGTGTCTGCGCTTGCTGTTTCGATCCTGAGCATCGCCATGCTGAGCCTCGTATTGCTGGTGACTCGGCATTTCAGCTGCACCTCCCACGGTTGCCGCGGGCGCACGTGATGTACTCGAGACGTGCTGCTGGTGTGGGAGCGGAGGAAGTTGTCTGTGATGTGTTTGGCTTGTCCTGCTGTTGGTGCGTCTCAAGTCCTCGAATTGCTGCTGCGGGGATCGACCGTTTGCAGCTGCGTATTCACTTCCTGCTCCTGCTGCTCTGTGGGTATATCCCGCACCGCTCTCTGGGCGATGTGGGGGCTGGAGCTCTCGATATGAGAGGTTGCTGGATGGACGAGCTGGGATGTTGTTTTGATAGCCGTTGCTCAGGTTGCTTGACGGTCTTGGGTTTGGAGGCGGGAGGTAGCGGTCCTCGATTCGAAGGCTTCGGTGATCCAGATGGTGAGGTGGCACCGTCCGGGTAGCATTCAATGTCTGAGGAGTGGACATGCTCGCGGTGGCTTCACCAGCTCATGGGGGGTTGTGGCGGGTCGAGTGTGCGTCGCGGGTGAGAAAAGAGCAGTCTCACAAGCGAGTGCAGACGTGACCTCGTCGGGCGTGTCTGTCGGTGGCAGTGACGCCTCGCTGGGACCGTCTGCTGCCGCTCACGCTGCAAAGTGGTGCCCACGTGGCACGGAGAGCTGGGCAGACGGCTTCAGATGTCGATTGAGTGGTCGTGGCCGGTGTCAGAGCAGACAAGATGCCTCGAGCGGGCGGAGGGCCTGCTGCTTAGTTATGAAACTGGCCGCGGTTTCGGCGCTCTAGCACTGCATTTTGGGAGACAATGCTGGCGGAAAGGGTGACGGGCGAGTGATGTGCAGCGAGTCGAGGGTGCAAAGCTGATATTGAGCCAGTCTGTGGGCGGTGGGAAGCATGAGGCGATGCTACAGTTGCGAGAGACCTTGACGCCGCTACAGGTGCGGTTTGCGCCGAGCAGACAGAACTTCGTCACGGTTCGCCGCACCTGCTCTCAGGCCGAATTCGACACCCGTGGCAACTCCTCACCAGCACTATCTATTCACTTGATTCATGAGCGCCCGGATGCCGCTGCCGTCATCTCCTCAGGTCCTTTCATTCACCACGCACCACACTTGGTGCACCACCGATATCTCCATCTCCACTTTGCTCGCTCTCAAAGCGGCGTTGCGGCCCGCTGAGTGACGCGATCCACTCACTCCTCGTCTTTAACGGCCTCCACGTTGTCTTCGTCGTCACACTACAGATACTTGGCGAGCACATATCTTTCACGTTGAGAGCAACGGTATCGTGTTTACCGTGCCCGCGTGTTTGACAGCCTTCATCAACTGGGAATCATTCTCAAGTTCAATTAACCTGTGTTGATCCAAAGCTGAAACCTTATTAAAGGACCGGCTACGTGCACATACCTCCATACCTTTGGCACTGCCTTGATTAGCGCACCGGCCACGACCAAAATCAACAAACAAGGAGTCCTACGAACTTGCAATGCGAAGTGAAGAGACGAGGGTGAAAATTGTTGCTCCATGGATTCCTGGTTGACCTGGTTCGTACTTGCGAATTTCCGTAGCAACCGCACCTAGCACCTTGTTGGCTTGTGCTTGATTGCTGATGCTGACAATTTCTCGAACTGGTCTCTGCACCCGCAACGGTGTATTCGTCGACGATCAGCTCGTGGATATAACTGTCGATGGACTTCACAGTGGGATAACGCCCTATCTAGCATCTCCCCAGGACTTCCAACAGACTTCCCTCCAAAAGCTGACACCTTCTGTTCGGTGGCCGTGGCAGTCCAATCTTCGCTCGCTCTGCTGCTCCAAGATGCAGGCTCGATGTAATCTTTCATCTGTAGCAGACAAGACTCGTAGTCTTAGCACACTGCTGCTTGAGGGTGCTTGATTTCTGATCGACCCGTGGAGTCTTCCAACTCTTTTCTCTACCTGTCCCTGGATACGTCTTGAAGATGTGTGCATCAGAGCTACCAACGGACGGTGGCTGCAAAGCCAGCTCAGAATACTGAGAAGTCGTTCACCCAGAGAAAGACGAGGTCAATCAATACACTGGCAACGCCGAAGTACAGGTTCATCTCAATGACACTGAACACCCAGAAAGTCCCCAAAGGTGGCGCCTGCTTCATGACGAAGAAGTAGTCGTACTTGTTGCCAGCTTGAATGAGATAGCACCCAGCAGCAGTACCCATCACGAAGAACAGAATCTGACGACCCCATTCGAGCTTCTTCGCCGTCTCGGAACGCATGATGTAGATGACCAGGAACAGAATTGGCAGGATTGTCGCAGACCGCTTGATGATTGCCGGCCAGACGATATCTTGCGCGTACTGGTTGAAGACGAGGACATCCAACGTGAAGTGGAACATCGTCAGACAGACAGCCCAGAAAATCGCATCGCCAAGGGGTCCAATAGGTTCGCCATCACCAAGACCAGCCTCGAGAATGTTGCCGCTTTCACCCCGAGGGAGCCCATCTTCATACTTCTTGTCGAAAGGCTGTCCTTGCTCGAGGAGTTCCTTCTTCTCGTCGTAGACATCCAGTAGCGTCTTTTTACTTGGTCTGGAACGGTCCGGCTGAGCCATCTTCATCTTGGGCGTCTTCGTTGGCGGCTCAACAGGCTTGCCGCTTTCCTTTGCTTCCGCCCGCCGTTCCTTTCGATTTTTCGCCTTCTCCTCCGCCATCCCTTTCAAATTTTGATGGTAACACTGGGACTTCGATGGAAGTTGTAAGTCGTAAGTCGAGTGTGAGAGTTTTGAAGTCGTGTACCTGCAGATCAGTGATTGGCTGCTATGGCCCTAGCTTTCTCGTGTTTCTATCTTTAGGCTAGCCTCGCCGCGCCAGCAACGACTCCTGCTTCTTCCAAGTCCATTGTTTGTGCCACGGCTCTCAGATCCCTGTCTGCCTCATCCATATCCCAACACCACCCAAGACCACACATTCGTTACCGCACGACTCCCGAGAGCTCTCTCACCACTACGACTACCTCACTCGCTCTCGATCTCTCCGTCTTCTTCGCTGCGCCCGCGAGGCGCCCCCAGCCGTCACCATGGGCTTCGGCGACTTCACTTCGATATGCGAGAAGACTCCCATCCCGCTATGTCCTCTCATAGGACCCAACTCGCCCATTACGGGCTCGCACTTTGTCCAGTCCAACTGCTATGCGCGCTCGATCGAGGTTGCCAATACCATCATCTTCCAAGGCGCGACCGGTTTCGCGCACATCCTGTCCTTGATCATGTTGGTGATTATGATCCTCCATGTGCGAAGTAAATTCACAGCGGTCGGTACGTTTGCGCAAGAGACGAATATATAGACATGGAGGACAACGCTAACAGGTGGACAGGGCGCAAGGAGATCACGTCCTTTTTCTACATATACACCCTCCTCACGATGTGCTCGCTCGTAATCGACTGCGGTGTCGTCCCACCCGCCAGCGGCGCCTATCCCTACTTCGTCGCGGTGCAGTGCGGCCTCGTCTCTGCAGTTTGCATCTGCCTCATGATCAACGGCTTCGTCGGATTCCAACTGTATGAGGACGGAACAACGCTTTCAGTCTGGCTGGTGCGAAGCTGCAGTGTGGTCATGTTCTTGATCTCATTCGCTGTGGCACTGTTGACCTTCAAGAACTGGGGTGGGCTGGGACCAGAGAATACTATTGGTTTGTTCGTGGTGGTGTACATCTTCAGCGCCATCTTCTTGTTTGTCTACGTGGTCATGCAGGTCATCCTCGTCTTGGGCACGCTGCAAGAGAGATGGCCGCTCTGGCATATCACGTTCGGAGTCGCTGCGTTTGTGATTGGACAAGTGCTACTCTATGCTTTTAGCGAGACCATCTGCGACAACGTTCAGCACTACTTGGACGGCCTATTCTTTGCAACGCTACTGAATCTGCTGGCTGTGATGATGGTGTACAAGGTGAGAACTCCGCATAAGCCATCTCGCGCAACGGAGTATGCTAATCATGCTACAGTACTGGGATTCCATCACCAAAGAAGATCTGGAGTTCTCTGTTGGCCAAAAACAGAACAACTGGGAAGTGAAGGACCAAAACCCTTACGAGGACATCGACAAGCGAGGGACATACTACCAGGAGAGCGACCATGGCAGCACTGCACATTTCGTCCAGCCAGGCCACAGGAACTCTGGATACGGTTACTGATTGAAAGTTGAATACGGCGTTCCCCCAATCTTGAAAAGCTGATTTAGCACTCGCATAGCCTGGCGAAGGGATGGGTATCAGCAAGACACAGGTATATATAGCCTACAGAATAATGTCACGAAACGATTGAAATCACCAAAAGTCTTGAAATCGCTATGCTATGATCCACTTCGAAACGCTAGAAGCCTTTCTGCTTGGTCAGGTCATTAATGACCATATACCTCGAAATGCCAATCCACCCCCATCGAAACCACCGCATCTGACTCTTATGCGCCGTCGTCATGGCCAACTGCGCCTTCCTCACATCCCCCGGCAAACTCACACTCAACAGCGGCGTAGGAAACGCCCCCCTCTCCTTCGTCCTCCAAATACAACTCACAACCGTCCACACCGAATCCAAGACACTACTATACTTCCTCACGACATTCGTTGACGTCAGCGTATACATCTTCACCGGCGCCTCCCACCCACTCCGCCCCTGCATCAGTCCCCTCATAAACGCCGTCGCCCCATGAAACAGCGACACATGGTTCGGATGCCCCGACACCCCTCCCTCATCAAACGTGATCAACACATCAATATTCGCCGTCGGCTCCGCGCTCACGGGCGTACTCGAAAGATTCGGCGCGAAATACCTCGTCAACACCCCCGCCACCGCCTTCGCCTCCCACCGCACCGTCATGGAATCCGGAAAATTCTTGCCATCCTCCAAAACGACCACGTGCTCGCTCGACCTCAACCCCAGCTGCAGCGCGGACTTCGCCAGCTCGTCTTTGCGGATGTGGCCGAGGCCGTCCGCGTCGCCGCTGCTGAAGCAGAGGATCACGACTTGGTTGCCCAGTTCGCGCCGCGTGAGGGCGAGGAGCGTCGGCGCGAAGAACATGGCTTCGTCGTCCGGGTGCGCGATGAGGAGGCAGATGCGTTTGCCGGTTATGGTGGGGAAGGAGCGGATCATGTAGGCGGAGAAGATCCAGAGGACGAGGATGAGGATGGGGATTTGGGCGATGGAGAGGTAGGAGGACATTTTGGAGGTTGTCGTTGGTTTTGTTGTTGTTGGTCTTGAAGGTGATGAGTTTTTCTTGTGGCTGTTTGGGGAGTTCTGGACCATGATGGTTTTTGTTTTTAGGTCTTGATGTTGAGTCGCATGGTGTTTTTGTGGGAGTGGCGAGGTGGTACACACCCCACTTTAGTGTGAAGTGTGAAGTAGCTGGAAAAGATGGTTCGTGTGAAGTCAAGTTCGGCAATTATTCCTTAGGCCCGGCAAGGCTACTCTGCATGTTTCCTCCTATCCGAATGGGATCAGCACAGAGGCAGACATGAAAAATTAAGCAAATGAATACGGCTGGAGAGATTTTCAAATTCAATTTTGGAGACAGTTGGGTATCCACAACAGGCGAACAGTGACATGAGTGCCTTCGCTATGAAAACCCATCCATAATCACAGCTCAAAACGAACGATTCAGACATTCATCCCTCCATAGCTCGCACAAAAACAATCACTTCGCCTCCTTATTATCTCCTCCACCCTTCTTCTCACCCTTCCCAAAGCCCTCCGGGTACTTCCACTTATGATCTTGATGCGAGTTGTACGACGAGTGAGGAGCATCTCTATGCTCCACCATCTCGAACGAAGGCTCATCAGGTGGCGGGTCACTTAGGTCCACATCCTCGAATGGAGCTGGTGCATCGGCCAAGTCGACGTACTCGGGTTGGCCTTGTTCTCTGGTAGTTGTGGCTTCGGAGGTGCGCTGCTGTGCTGGGACTTTGCTCTGTTGTTGTGTAGTAGGGTTGTCTTTTGGAGATGCTTGCTTGGTTGATGGCGGAGTTTTTGCTTCTGCGGCCTTGCTTGTGGGGAGAGCCTTCGTCTCGTCTTTTGATTCTTTCTTCGGTTCTGACATGAGTGGTCTGGAGTGCTGACTTACTTTGGTAATGAGATTGGATCATGGAATGTCAGTTAGCCTTATAAGAGATGTTCGTGAAAGAGATCCAACACTGTGCAATTGCTCTTCATATTCATGTGGACAAAGCCTTGAGGTGATGGCACCTTCTCGTGCATCTTGGATATCTCGAGAAGGTGAATGAGCATTGCTGTCCTGGGCCAGGACATATTCGACTGAGACTGCGCAGGCAGCAGAGTCATCCATACAACTCTCAGAGGCAGATGCAGACGCTTCCATTCTATGAGATGTTGAGCCAGACAAAGCACCTTCGACTCCTGTGAGACATCTGTAGGCCTGGTAAGACGTTTACTCAAATCGATCAAGTTAGGAGATCAAGCCGTCTGCTTAATGAAGCAGACCCGACCTGCTGGTTGGCGATTCATCTTCGAAACTCTGACCTCCAGGTTTTGCTTGAATACAGCAGTTTGCCTTCACGAAATTGACTCAGGTCAACTTGGAAGCTCGGTCCACCGCAATCTCACACATTGCCTTGGAAAATGTCAGCCATCTTCACAACACCTTCATCGCCCAAACTCACCCTTATCGCAGCAGCCCGCTCGGCCTCGAGATCGCTGCTGGCAATCCGCTTCCTAATATCCTCCATAATGACCGGCCGACTGCGCCCATTCACAAACACAACATACCGTAAACCAGGGTACTTCTGCTCATACTCTTCGTTCAACTCGCGCAACTGAGTCGCCTCCTCTGCGCTACCTTGCAGCTGGGCTTGCTCGGCCTGAGACTGGGCGCTCTCAACCTTTTTGGCTCCGAGTCTCGGGTGCGATCCCAGAATTTCTTCCAGCCATTTTGTGTCTGATGACGACGGCGACTCTGCGAGCTGTGTGAGCTGCACCCCGACTGCTGCTATCAGATCCGGATAAGAGTCAAATGTCTTCTCATGCAACAGAGGCACCGAGAGGGTGTGAAGTTGCGTGCTGGGCTCGAAGAGCAGATCCAAAATCTTTGCCCGATCTTCGGTAGGCAGAGCCGGTAGGTTCTCAATTCGCGGAAGCTTCAGCGATGCCATTGTATATTAGACGAGGGTGGGTGTGTATCAAGTAAATTGTAGGAGGTGGTCAAAGTCAATTGTTGAGCCTCGGTGCCCTGGGGTGCTGTTTTCTGCCTGTTGGCCAGTCGGGAGATAGCGAGGGCAGAGTTAAGATTGGGTGAAGACAGGCCGAACCATCGGCAGAGACTAGCCGAACCATTGATGATGAACAACACTCACATGATGAGAGTGGTTTTCTTTTTGCGAACAATGCAGAAGACGAGCGACATGATCGATGATACTTGCATTTGCCATTAACGTCGTAGCGTTGATACGTCCTTGTGCCAGTCGCGATCTGGATGACATATAGCCGCCGTGGAATGGGATCTGGCTCAATCTCCGTGGCGGCCTGACCGGGAGCAACACGATTCTCAATTGCGCCGCAAGACGGCACGGCACGGCGATTGTTGATCTCGGCGCCCCAAGACAACTCGCTTGTAACGATTCTGTGATAGGTCGTCGACCGATGTCTGCCACACCTATGACCAGTATACTGCTTGCAATACTGCTGTTCGGCCCCATGAAAGCTTCCGCGACATGTTCTACGCGCCATCGATTGCGCCCATGACTCCACCAGTAGCCTCCGTTCAGAACCCACGCCGTCGACACGCGATCGTCGACGGTTTGTGCAATTTATTTGAAGCACGTTGTGAGCGAACGTCCGGGACGAGACGTCTCGGGAATCTGGAAGGCAGACGATGGATCGAAACTTTGTTAGGGGATCCTGTCTGGAACAGCGCGCGATGCAGGGAGGCTGGAAGCTGTATGCAGGAGACAAGGCCGCAACTAGGAGGTTAGCAGGACTTGAAAAAGAGTTGTCTCGACGCTGTCATCCAATATATACCTCAGCAGGAGGAGGTAAGATTTCATCCCTGCTGGAGGCTTCGAAGCCGACTTGCACTTGTGTTTGATCGCCGGCGAGCGGCTGGATGCGTGCTAGAACGGGAGTGATGGTGCTCGTGCCAGCGCCGCAAAGGGGAGAGACGCCACCGGCCCCAGCGGCGTGGCATCCAGGTTGCAGGCCGGATGGTGAGCACTGCGCGGCGAAGAACCGCTCCTCGATTGGCCCCGGCGCCGGGAGAACAGCAGGATTGATGTGGTCAAGGGTCGTAGTGCAGAGCCTAAGTTTAACTGCAATGTTTAGTGCCAGCAGCAGGCGGGACATCGACACCAGGATGGCGACGTTGCTCTCCTGCAAGTTTGCTGCCGCGTCCACTTCCCTTGCTACCCACGCGCTGACCTGGCGAGTGCTGTGCCCATTCAACGACATCCCTTGGGACCGGCCCTCGTGCGACAGGTGTGATGTTCAGTGCGCCCATGGGACCGGCCTGCGACCATATTAATCCCCAGCAACCAGTGGCCGGCCGAGGCCTGTAGACCGCTAACGGACGCTCTGCCCGGCCTGCGCAAACGCCATGTCCCTCAATGGCCTCGACAACCCCGATGTCCAGAACGCATACCAAACGGCGGTCGCGGACGCCGGCGGCTGGTGAGTTTCAAGTAGACAGGCGTGGCAATCGCACAGCAATGGCTGAGGGTCGTACAGGTTTCTGTTGAAGTACACGTCGAGGGACGCCGTAGAGCTGCTGGGTCGGGGCAAGAATGGCGTATCTGAGGCGCGCAATGCGATCATTGGATACACAGAGGCGTCGCCGCTGTACGGGTTGTTGCTGTATCGGCGGCGGAAGATATTGATCAAATACATTCCTGACGGAACTTCGCGATTACTTCAAGGTTGGTAGATGGGAATGGTATATGTGTATGCGGGGACGAAACTGATGGGAGAGCAGCGCGAACGACAGTCCACTTCCAAGACGTACTCGAACGGTATTCTCCTTACGAAACGCTCCTCGAGATCACGACCGCCGATGCCCTCAACGACACCTTCCTCGCGGCCTCGTTCCAGCTGCACACCGCTTCGCCTTCGCACTCGTTCAGCCGACTCGATGAGATCCAGGAAGATGGTGAAGATGGCGGGGCATCGGTGGGGCAGAATGCAGACGCGAGCAAGTCGAGTGCCAGTCTGGCAAGCGCGCAAAGAAACAAGACGGAGAGGAGGTTGGAGCAGTTGAAGAAGAGGACGGAGCGAGCGGAACGGGCCAGTCTGTCGTCGTCGACAGAATCACAAGCAACTGGTGAATCTGCGCTGCCGGTGGAGCGGGCCACTTCGCCGCTGAAAACCTCCATGTCGCAGTATCTTGTGCGCGAAGAATCTGGACATACTTTCATCACCGAGCTCGAATCGCCGTTTTCTGCAGTGTCTGAAGAAGCGGGAGAGGAATCACAAGCGGTGGAGAAAGAACAAGAAGCGCAAGAGCCCTCCGCACCGCAAGAACAAACGGCTGCACCACAACAAACAGCGTCAGAACCTGCGAAATCTGCAGAATCTGCTGAGGCGCAAAGCGTGCTGGAGGACGAAACTTCACAAGCCCCGGAAAAGGAGCTGCGCAAGCCGTCAATTGACACTGTTGTTCCTTTGGAAAGAAGTGCGACTGCTGGCGAGCGGTCGACTAAGCCATCCATGGAGGACGATCCCTATGATCTGAGAAAATATGACGAATGGTTCAAGCCCAAGGTGAAGCTGGGCCCGCGGCCTGTCAATACAGCTGAAAAGGCCAAGAGACCAGCAGTGGCAAGGGTTTCTGCGCTTCCTGCGAACTTCAAACCTGCGATCAAGAAGCAAGAGCCAGCGAGACCGAAATCTTCTGGCCAGGAGTCAGTATCGACTGCATCCGCTCCTCGAGCACCTGCCCCTACTGCGCCGACAGGCTTCGTCCCTCCTCCGATTCCTGATACTCCCGAATACAAGCCTCGACCGATTTCGCGTGGCAGCGTAAAATCGGCACCCTCTCACAAATCAACCATGACCCCCGACAAACTCAGATTGATGAAGGCCATTGAGCTACGGAAGAAGCAGCTCCGGAAGTCCCAGGAGCAACAGGCGACGAAGCCACCCTCAGATGATGCTCCCGAAGTTCCGAGGATATCGGACGCACGAGTGTCGAGTCCACAGGAGACACGGTCTGAAGAACCCCAGGAACAAGAAACGGAAACCACTACCGACGATGAGAGCCATCCGCAGTCAACCAAAGCCGATTCCGGCATCGAAATACGAAGTGATAAACACGACAGTCAAGATGAGGATCATCGCGGAGCTCCCATAGAGCAGATGCCTGTCCTGCAGGAACAAGGCCCACCAGATGCGAGTCATGCTCTAGCAGGGGAACATGCTTCCCCACTCGACACCGATGAACGCTCGAAGGTAGGGGAAGATATTGTCGAGACTACGTCCTCAGAGCAGCAGGCCGACGAACTATCTTCAGTTGAGAGCCAGACCACAGAACGTCCTTCGAGACGAGATCATGTAAAGGAGGAGAGCGCAGCTGTTCCAACAATCGTCATGGAGGATGGATCACGCCCGAGGACTTCGAATGGAGCAGAGCACACTGAGGAACGAGATAACGAAAGCGAAAGCCATGGCGATGAGGACCTCTCTACCAACAGCGAGAACTTGCATGACGCACCAACATCACCGAAACAACAGGACAGCGACCTAGCGAAGCGAAGGCGAGGTTTTGTAGAGCCTCTGCAGGTTGAAGTGCCCTCAGGAAACCCAGATGACTTTTTGTCGGACGATGATGATCTGCTAGATGAACTGCACGACGCCACATTCGAGGAGGCAACACCAATTATGGTGGCAAGGTCACCTCTCACTCCTGGGCTTCCCATAGCACGCAAAGCGAGCGCTGATGGTGGTTCTGTGCGTTCTGTCAACATCCAACGACCGGCCACAGCTGGAGCTGAGAGATCTGTCGATGACCGACCTTCTCCTGAGAGTGCAGTTCCCGCCCTTTCACCCACGCCACCACCAGAGAAGTACGATCCCGTTACTGGTCTGGCGAGGAACGTCTCTTCGGGCATTTCGAAGCGCATCCAAGCACTCGAAGCTGCAGGATACAGCAGCATGCAATCGCGGCCTTTGACTCCAGAAACTTCACCAGGCGGCTACCAGGAGGCGAAAGAGCGAAAGGCTTCCGCTAAACGTCCGACTTCTTTCAGGAGACATAGCAGCAACCGTGCAAGCCAGATGCCCACGTCACATCCTTCCGCCTCTGTGGTTGCCCCTAGCTGGAGCATTCAGCATGATCCTGCAACGAACAAGAATTCCGTTTCTGTCACAGCTCGCATCGTACGTCCAAGCGTGATAGACGAGTCCGAATCCGACGTTGGGCCTCTGCAACACTCAGAGCTCATCATGAACCGTCAGCGAGAGTCTACTGCAACGACACCAACGACTGGCGAGCCACCGTCGCTCAACACGTCAAGGACTCAGTCTGTGCAGTCGATGGAGTCAGCGCACACGCTGTCTCCAATGTCTCGCAACTCTGGCGAGTTCAGAACCATGCATTCGGCAAGTCGATTTGGCAGGCACAGACAAGCCTCATCGCCAGCTCTAGACGACTTCCCCCCACCGCCGTCAAGCAGCAGGAATCAATCGCAAATGTCGCTCGCATCGAATGACGAGAACGTCGCTCCTAAGGAGGGCGGCCGAACGAGTCGTTTCTTCAAGCGCATGAGCACCATCCCCTTCGGCGCGTCGAAGAGGAAGAGCACCGCACAGTCCAACAGCACCACGAGTCTCGCCAGCAGCGACGGCGGCAACAAACCCAGTCAACGAATCAGTGTAACTGCGGAGAAGGACACGCCACCCGCAGTCGTGGTGGGCGATCTGAACGTGCAGTTCCCTGACTCGCTGGTAAGTACCACAAACCCCCAATCCTGACTCAACCCAACCTAACAACAACCCTCACACAGCTCTGGAAACGCCGCATCGTCACAATCAACGACTCGGGCTTCCTCCAGTTCGCCATCGCCCAAGCCATGGACATCCACAAAGGCGTCGCCCTGAAGAAGTTCGCCCTCACCGACTTCAAACCCCCTTACGCGCCGGATCCGGATAGCCAGGAACTCCCCTATTCGGTCGTGATGGAGTTCCACGACGGCACCACCCTACAGGCCGCCTGCGAGGATGCCATGACGCAGCGGCAGGTGCTGCATCTCCTCAAGACGTATTGGAGGGCTTGGGCGGCGTAATCGTAATTACTCTCTCGACTCGACCTGAAATATACCAAGCCTCACGCCCAGCCGAACGAACAACATAAACGACACACAACACTCTTTCTTTTTCATACCACGGACAGACGAGCTGCGCCGATCGGCTCTACCTACTGTATTTCCTACCTCTCTCTCTCTCGACACAGCGTGATAGCGTTATCGCTGGATACCACATCGAATCTGAACTGCTCGTGTTTTCTTGTTTTCTCATTGCTTTGTATATAGGTCGCAGCACTGGACTAGCAGCAGAAGGAGAGACACAAGAACCAGGATACGTTGGGAAACGAAATGAAAGAAGAAGAAGAAGAAGAAGAAGAAGAAGAAGAAGAAGAAGAAGAAGAAGAAGAAGAAGAAGAAGAATCCTTTGTATTGTGTTACTGAGGGGTTGGTTTGAATTGAAGTAGGAATTTGGAAAGATTGAAATGTATCAGAATGTTTGAATGTTCGAGAAGCTTGGGCTTGAGCCGTATTTCCTGTCTTCTTTCTTGCTGTCTATTCAACTGGCATTGTACATCGCAGCCCTTGTGGGCCCACGGTCCATTCTCCAGCCGCAACGGCGCTTGATATGTACAATTGTGCATCGCCTCTAAGCCTGCTCGCGAGGATGATCGCATTCCAAAGTCTTTCTCTACACCAATTCGCCTTGCCATTTCCAATTCCTACAGCTTCTCCTTAACCTCCTTGCTCAATACCCGATCCTCAAACCTCCTCATGAGCTTATTCGTCTGCTCCGCCAAACTCAGCGTCAAGATCGTATGCGGCAATATCCTGGCCAAATGCGCGAAGAAACCCTTATACACCGCTAGGATCCCCTCAGTCTTCACGGTCCGGTATAAGCAGTCGAAAGCTCCCGAGTAGAGGTTTCCGGTCTGGTTGTACATCCGGCTCATGACAGTGTCCGGCGGGTGCATGAAGATACAGACGACGACGCCTGACGCGGTCGAGGACATGAGGTGCAGCGGCGCGCCGTCCTGCATGTTGAAGTTCCGTTGGAGTAGTCGTTTCGCGAAGAAGTATGTCGGGAGTTGCACCGAGGATCCGAATCCCGTCCGTACCATCGCGGGGCCTACGCCTCTCCACAGGCCTTTGATGCCCTCCGCGCCGTAGATCTGCCGTAGCCCGTCCCACGCGTTGCGGTATTGATGTTGTGTCCCTACGGGGAGGAAGGGGGAGAAGGATTGGAGACGGGTCTTGACGAGGAAGAAGGGTGAGCCTAGGAAGGCTCCGAGGATTCCGGAGGAGGCGCCGGAGAAGATGTTGATGGGGAGGGATTGGTAGGCTTTTATGTTCGCTTCGCGGCCGTGGAGTGGGGAGCGCGTGAGGTAGAGGGAGTTGAGGGTGGTGCGGATGGGGTCGTAGAAGCCGAGACGGCAGCCATTGAGGGTCATTTGGTAGATGTACTGGGATGTCATTATTAGTATGTGCTCGATCGCGTGGTTTGTGGGATTGACGTACGGCACAACTGAGACCGCGCAGCAGTCCCTTGAGGCCTTCATTCGTGTAGATGACCTTCACCCCGTGCAGCACGCCCTTGTATAACCGCGGCGCATCTCGTTTTGCTTGCAGCTCTCCTTGCAGTTGTAATCGGATCTTGACGGTCTCGAAGGAGTGTGTGACGGTGACGGCGCCGCATGCTGCTATGCCGCCTGCTATGAAGGAGCCCAGTGTAGTCGACATGTCTGCTCTTGCTGCTGCTGCTCTATCGTCCCAGCCTCCCGGTCTCCGCTTTCCTCAATGCCCTCGGTCCTTTATATGTTATCGCAGTGTCATACGGCCTTGTGTATATGTCGGTTATCAGGGCTGACGACGGTAAGCGAAGACGACCAGGCGTGTCGGTTCTCTGAATAAGCACCGAGTGTGGTATGCAGTGGAAAGGTTAAACGGAATTCACCTCATTCATTCGCCGAGTTCGGCAGCTGCAACCCTGCGTCAGAAGACAAGCTTCTCTTCTCCGCGCTCCACCGCGATCGCGTGCGTGTCTGGCTTCAACTTCGCTTCTCGCTACAAACACTGCGCCTTCACATTCACCTCGCCTCCAGAATGGCGCCTGAGCCACCGTCAGCACCGCCCACCGCGCGCGTGCAGGACATCATCTCGACCTTCCGCCCCACGAAGCTGTTCAAGAATCCGCCGGGCGTGCAGTACACGTCCATCGACTTCGACGACAGCGGCGAGTTCCTGCTCCTCTCCCGCACCGACGACACCATCCAGCTCTTCAACACCAAGGCCGGCGCATATGCCAAAGAGCTGAAATCGCAGAAATACGGCAGCGCCCTCGCCCGCTTCACCCACCACAGTACCTCCATCATCTACGCCTCCACGAAGCTCGACGATGGCATTCGATACCTGTCCATGCATGACAACAGCTTCCTGCGATATTTCAGAGGCCACACCGACAGAGTCACGAGCTTGGCGCTCAGTCCCAGCACGGATATGTTTCTGAGCTCCAGCATGGACAACACACTCAAGCTCTGGGACTGCCGATCCGCAAACGCACAAGGCTCGCTCAACTTCCATTCGCCATGGTTCACTGCGTATGACGCGAGCGCCAGCGTAATTGCAATTGCCAGTCCTCCCGCGCAGATGGTCTGCCTGTACGATCTACGACATTACGACAAGCCGCCGTTTGCGAACTTCGATTGTGCGCTCTTCGAGGACCGCTTCAAGTCTCGGGGCCAGAGACCTGGTGAAGGGTGGACGGGGATGGAGTTTAGCAATAATGGCAAGTACTTGCTCATCACGACCAATGGCCCTGGACACTTCCTGCTCGATGCCTTTACTGGCGACTTCACGCACTACCTCTCCCGACCCAGCGGCGCCGATCGATCCCATTACGCGCCTGGCGATGAGCTCCCGCGCAGCTCGGACAACACAACGCCTTCATACTTCCAAAGCTCGGCCAGTTTCTCGCCTGACGGGAGATACGTTATTGGAGGAAACGGGACGCTGAATGGGCTTCTAGTGTGGGATTGTGAAGCAACTCCAACCACCGATAAAGTGCTGGAACCTACGACCGATCTACCTAGTCAGAGGCCAGCCAAGGTGGTGGCGTACAACCCCCGACACAATCTGATTGCGAGCGCGGACAAGGACATGATGATGTGGCTTCCAGACCTGGACATGGCGTAGAAAGTTGGACAGGAAAAGAAGATTCAGGGGTGATTAGATCTTATTTGGGTGTGCGTTCAAGCGAGGTGCTGGAGGCGCATAGGATGGATGTTCAATTAGAAGGAAGGGTTCTTGAAAGACAGTCGAAAGAAAATGGACCACAGCACTTCTACCAAGCTCAATGAGCATGAAATACAGTGGATTCTGAATCTGAACTACCCACAAGACTCCTCGCTAAGGTATTCATACACACGTCTCATTCCCTCACAACATAGCCACCAGCCCAGCGAGACCCAGCATCCCCACGCCCGCCGCCGTCACAACCGCACCACCAGCCGAGCTCGTCGCCGACGCTCCACTACCACTCGCACCACTCGCACCACTTCCACTAGCCCCACCCGTCGTCTGCGCACCGCTCGCCGCCGCAGCATTATTCGCACTCGCCGTCGGCACAATCATCCCCCCACTCGTATTCTCACTCGCGAAACTCCCCATGCCACTCGACGCACCGCTCGTCGCCTCCGCGATGAGCCACGCCGCGGTGCCCGTAACGCTCGGCGTGAAATACAAACTCACATCCGTCCTATTCCCAATCGCATCGCTCATCGTGCTGGCCGTGGCGGTCGCCGTCGCGGGATGGCTGGCGTTGTAGCTATCCGCCCAGTCGAAGAGGTAGTCCGCGAGCCCGAGCGTCGGGGTCGCGGACGCGGCGCAGTACGCCGAGGAGAGGGACGCGAGGGCGCTGGCGTCGGAGAGCCCGTCGTCGATGCCCTGCGGGCTGCCGTGTGCAGAGTAGCAGTTGGCGCAGCCTTGGACTTGGGCGAAGAATTGCGATTCGCAGATGCAGGTGCGTTGGGTGGAGTTGTTTTGCTCGGGGAGGGAGTCGTCGTCTGAGTCATCGGAGTCGTCGTCTGAGGAGGAGGATTGGCGTCTTCGGAGACGGTTGTAGGGGCCGCTGCTTTGGGCGGCGGTGAGGTAGTCGGGGCCGTAGATGCATTGGTATTCGATGGCTATGACGGCGTTGCAGGGGGCGTTGAAGTCGGGCAGGCCGCTGGAGTTGGAGGGGTTGCAGGCTTCTTCGGCGGGGCTGGAGTATGGAGAGGGCTCGACTGAGGAGGGGGATTGCGCGGTTGTGAGCGCGATGGTCGCGAGGAGGGTCGCGGTGGTGGCGTACTTCATCTTGAGCGGATGGACGTTGGTGTTGCTTGGTGAAGCTGTGGTGCTATGTGAGAGAGTGTGGTGGTGGAAGGAGAACAGGCGCGTAGAAAAAACGAAGGGGAAGTTCTCAATAAATACTTCTCAAACAAAGAAGAATGGGACGTACTCCCTTCCTATCACCTCGGCGGCAAAGACTCACACGCGCGTGGTTCCTGCAATTTTATATTTACAAACGAAGGATTGAAGGTCAGGTCACCACCCAGCGGAACACCAGCTAGGATGGTTCCGGTGAAGAGAGAAATTATAGGGACTAGTGTCTGGACCGAATCAGGAAAGCTGAAGGGGAGCGTGGAGCCAGTGGTACGCGAAGGATTTCGCGGTTGAGGCTGAGAGAGTTGCAGACGGAACGTGGCCGAAACGGTCTTTTCCTCTCGCGTGACACCTGGGGCGATGAAGAAAAACCTTGGAAAAGCCTTTTTTTCTCATGATTGATGCTTCATGTCGTGTTTCCGATGTTCGCTGCGTTACGTGGATGACACCGTCCTTGGTCAGCATCAGTGGTCTGGATTCCCGTCTTTCTAGGTAGGCTGCATGTGCACAGCCTCGTTCGTGAACATCGTTTCATCGTATCTATTCAATATATTGCTTGATCAGGGCTCGTGAGGTTATGCGTGTAATCATGACTTCTTCTCCTCTGTGAAGGCCTTTTGCCGCTGCCGGTTGTTCCAGTTGAGGGTTCGCGAAATGCTCTCGACCCAGTCTTCGTTGCGGCGGTCTAAAGGTAGGACACTCGGGAAGGGGAATCTGCTGGCTGAGATGGTTACGTAGTCGCCTGGTCGGAGTTCAGACCTATGAGCAGATTAGCAGTTGAGACATGGAGATGGCATGCATTGTCTTACCTCTCCTTCCCATCAAAGCTTGCCCAGCAGCTGGCTCTAGCATCGTAGGGAACGCCAATGCGAAGCACAATCGTGTCGGGCAGAATGATCGGCCTGAAGCTGAGCGTATGCGGCGCAATCGCAGTGACGAGTATAACAGGGTTATCAGGATGACACAAACTGCCACCAGCGGCGAGGTTGTACGCGGTTGATCCAGTTGGTGTCGCCACGCAGATACCATCTGCTTGCACAGTGGTGAAGTGCTCATCATCTCCAAACACCTCGATGCTCGTCATCGTCGGACAAGGTCCTCTATCCATTACGATATCGTTCAAGATGTTGTGGCTGCCGTCCGGACGGTGTGTCGTTGCATCGTCACTGGCATGGCCGATGAGCTCGTCGATCAAGTCTCTCGAACACTGCTCTTCGTGGTCTTGTCGATGTACTGTCCGCATGATCGTCGCTTCGAATCGTAGGCGAAGGGAGACAGTAACTCCTTCGTTGAAGGCTCGTTGGAGGATTTGAGGGTGCTTTTCGAAGTCGAATTTGGTGAGGAAACCCAAAGATCCCAGTGCAAAGGACATGACCGGAGGCACAATCCGTTGGAACAGCCATGATGCATACAGGACGGTTCCATCTCCTCCAAGAGCAAGACATATCTCGAATGTGTGTGGTTTCCTGGCGCAAAGCTCGTTGTTCCAGTACTTTAATCGTTCCTTGTAGGACTGGTCCTGGGCTATTAACCCAGGTGCATCGAAGGACTTGCTGTTTTGCATCGTGTCCTCCACCCAGACGTTGTATTGCTTCCCCTCGGCATTCTTCTGTTGCAAGAGCCACTCGGCAACATCTCTCGTTTTCCTGATGAGCGTCTGATCGTGTGCTTTCGTAAGGAGGAAGACGTTCCGAACTTTAAGCAACAACCTGACATGCCCCAGCTTCTTGCTCAACTCGCGAATTCCGAACGCCATATCAGACAGTTGCTTCTTCGTCAACAGCCTCGACTGGGTATGTTGTCCATCTTGAGGGTGTTCAGTCTCCTTGTCGGCAGGTTTATGTAGCCCCTCATCCTTGACTTTCATCTGCCCAGCCTTCGCCTTCTCTTCCAGTAACGAATGCACGAAACACGCGGTCCTCTTCCGGCTCGAATGTGGCCGTCGAGCAGAGTCCGGTACTAAAGACGCCCTCCTCCTCTGAGCATCTTGCCGCTCGAACACAACCTCGAGTTGTTCCGAAATGCCTTCCGAGTCGCTCGAGTGTAACATACTGCCATCATCCTTGCCACGGTATCAGCGCCTCTTCTTCTCCCATCCATACTCCGTTCCTCCTACCTCGTAGTGGTGATGTTGTATAAAAGCCTTCTCAAACTGATCAACATCCACACCCGTCTCGGCATTGAGATGCCTCCTCTCTTCCGAAGTCATAGTCGTCGTCGTCGAAGAATCCGTCTCGTGCGACCCGGTCAATTTATTCTTGACGTTCTTGAGAAGGCCTGTGACGCCGTTGGTTCGGGGAGGCGTGGACGCCATGGTTTAGTATTATTTTGGGGACTCGGACTCGAAACTATGGGCCGTCCGTTCGCGTCACAACGTCGAAGTGGGGTGAAGAGACAAGGATTGTGACGGCGGGCAGCAATCGATTATGCACCTCGCCGATCTAGCGCGTGGTGTCTAAGAAATTATTCATGCAGAGTTGAACTCTTCGTTCTTGTTTCGCGTGCATTGTAACATATTTTCTGGAGGCGACTGGTCCGGCGCCGATCTTGGAAGAAGAATCATCGGCTTAGGAGACTCTTACGGCAGCAGAGGCCTCGCGTCACGTCCTCTGGATCACCAATGCGCTGACAAAGAATACATTCACCAACATCCCTGGACTGGATCTAAATCCGATTCAAGAAGAACTTCCACGTGATCGCGAACATCTGGACTATGTCGAAATACACAATCACGCCCTGGCGCTCCCAACACGACCTCCTCCAAGTCCGCTCCCAACTCTACGGCACCAACCCATCAACACCAGACCAACGCCGCCATGCCGTCGACAGAGTCATGGCCTGGAAACTCCGAGGCAACCTCCCTCACGCCGTAGAATCCACAGCCCTCTTAATCGACGCAATTCTCCACCACTCCAACCCCTCAAACTCCATGTTCAGCGTCCGCGCCGTCTACAGCGCCGCTTTCACGCGCTTCGTGACCGGATTCTGTGACATTGGACGGAACAAGGAGCGTTCGCTGGAGCCGAGCAGTATGCTGGATATTGCGAAGCAGATTGGGATGCCGGTGGAGTTTGTGGCGCTGAGGCATGAGGCTACGCATGAGGAGCTGCCGGCTGTGCAGAGGTTGGTCAAGGCGGTGGATGATGGGTTGCAGTGGTTGTGGACGGTTTATTGGAGTCGGCTGGAGGAGCCTGAGAGTGGGGAGATGATTGCCGCTTCTATGGCGAAGGTGAAGGCGGATGCGAGGCAGATTTTGAGGGGATTCAGGAGTCGGAGGCGAGAGGCTGTTCAGTCACGGAAACTTAGGGATGACTTCTCGAATATTCAGTCGACTGTGCGGGCGTCGGTGGCTTTGTTTGGGAAAAGTAGTGCGAAGATGGAGGCTTTCGCCAGCGTACTGGTCGAAGACAGGCTGCTAAGCCCGTCAAAAAGAGAGTACGTTAAGACCAGTAATCTTCCTCTATAAAGAGCTAACGTTCTGCAGGCTTGGTGCTTCTCTTGAAGGCGCTTTCGTCATCTGGGACGACCTCCTCAAGTTCATCAATCGTGAGCATCACCGCTTCGCGATGGCGCTGGTCAAAGCTTTACTCGAAGCTATAAGTGTCCGTCCTGGGGAGGATACCGAGAAAGAAGCCTGTTGTATGTGGGTGACGCATATCCTTCACAGCGAACCGTGGAACCATTTCGTCACCGCACTGGAGAAGCGCCTGGTTCGGAAGGATGTCGTGATGTGGTGCTGTATGCATCCTGGACCTTGGACCCAACGGCTTGGCCGCGATGTGCTTAAAGCAGAGGATGAAGAGTTCGTGTGTGATTGGGAAGACGTTTTCCACGCCAGCCAGCTCAGTGTGGCAGGCCAAGGTGGTGTTGAGGTGCGAGCTCCGAGTCCAGGATTCGTCGCCGATGTCACTATGGAGCGGTTCTCAAGAGAGGACTTTGGCAAAGCGCCTGCACTCGACGCAGACGAGGATGATGCGGAGCTCGGTACGTGGATACGAGCAGCAACACCTTTTGCAGCTCCAATCGGTGTAGTTCGATAGACCCATATCCACCAGTCTCTGCGTGGGACTCTCTGTTGTGCGCATGTTTCTTCAGCGATCTCCCGCTTTTAACCTCCCCCCGCTTTGATTGCTTCTTCCCTCTCCACCACGCTGTCCTTGAACCTCAGCAAGAAGATGGTCTTGCCCGGCCACATCTCGTCGCCCTCTCCAGCCCAATGTGCCGTAACTCCATCGGTACTGAAGCCCGCAGCATCACACATGCCCTCAATGATGCCAGCAATGAACGCAGCGCAGTTGAGCTGGCTCATTTCCTTTGGTATGCTTATGAATGTGTTGACCAGTGGCTCATTGTCGATAATCATGTACTCGTTCTTCTTCGTATTGCTCTGCTCCAACGCACTTGCGCTCCGGTTGAACAGTGCTCGCCATAAGGTCCCATGAATGAACTGTAGCAAATCGAGCATTCGTGTCGGTCGTGCGGCCGTTCGTGAAGGTTGGCGATAAAGCAGCAAGTCGAGCATTTTGATGCCTATAGGATATCCCGCACGATTGAGCCTGGTCTCGATCTCGCTGACGGAGCCGGACTTGGCATGGTGGTAGGTGATGAGGCTGTTGAAGAGGTATGAAAAGGAGGCGAGCGAGATCTCGGTGGTCTTCGTTCGGTTGAGGTTGCGGTCGTAGATGGTCTTTCTGCTGGAGGGGTATCGCAGTGATGACACGAATGGTTTGGCTTGGGGAATTGGCGCGTGGTTGGCCTCTTGCTGAGGAACTGGAGGCGGACCGCTCATGCCTGGCATTGTCTCATGGAGATGGAGAGTGCGGTGTGGTAGTGTTGGTGGGATTGGCAGTTCACAACATCACATGCCGTCAAGCTGGAAGTTGACAGCGCCAAGACGCGGTTTAAGCTTTCCAGGTCATCAAGCAAATAGATCTATCAAACAGTTTCCTACCACAAGTCCATCATCTTTCACGCTTCATACAACTACTCTCGTTCTCATGTCGCATCGCTGAGGATGTCCTGTTGCACGTGTGCGGCCAGGAGCAGTCTGGTCCGGTCAGCACGCACTTGGCGCGATCGGGAATGAGTTCATGTGATGCATGCCGGCATCAGCGAGAACACGATCTGGCCTCGACCCATCCATCCATCCTCGACGAAGACGGAGACGCTCAATCTTCACATGCGAACTGCGGCTTTCACATGTCGAGAATCTGTTCTCGCTCACAAGTCGTTGAGAAACCGCCAATTTGCAAGCGGACAAACAGTTGCATTCCAATCATAACGGCGCAGCACCCGATCTCCAATTCAATCGGCTTTCGCGCGCGCTCTCCGGCGTCCGGTCGGGCGCCACTGAACTATTTTCTGGTCGACGCCGTCATCACCGTCGCCCGTCGCGAACACAGTCGACATGTGAAAGACGCAGACGCAGACGCAGGACTCCGCTGTCGCAGAATGTGATCAAACCATTCGAGGCTGACGAGGCGCACCGGGTCATTGCCAGCTCGGGCATTAGGGGCGGCAAGGGAAGAGGGCTGCGGGCTGTTTTCTTTGTGCGGCGGAAGCGATTGCTATTCGTGGGAGCTGCAGCTGTGGAGACGGGACTGTGCGCTTTCACATGCTGCCGTGAGGAGGAGGAGCCATCGCCCGCCGCCCACCTGATGTTTGACGCATCCTCTCATCACGCCTCGCTCGCTCGCCCAATGTAGGTTTGTATACCCTGCCGGCGACCTTGCTGCCGCGTGATCCAGTCCCAGCTCCGCTACACTCTACCCTCCCTATACTCTGCACCACCCTTTCTTCCCATCCCACTGCCGCCCTGCGTAATCGGCTTCTCGCAGCTGGGCCGCGCACGAGACGTCGCATTGGCTGACTGCCCGAACTCACGGCGTTGTCGGTCTTTCACATGCAACGACGTGCTGTCCCCGGCCAAGCCTCGACCGTCGTCTCTCCTACCTGTCATCCCTTCTTCTGACGTCGCCGTGGCCACTCTCTTTCATCTTATTCACCACCGGGCCCCATCCCGTCGCGACGCTCTACTCCACCCCGACCGTTAACGATATTACCGCTGGAAACACGATACGAGCATAGTCATGACAAGAGCAGAGCGCGAGTTGAGGGCACGAGCCACGGTCCACAGAGCCATACCCGAGATATTGAGGTCTAGTCCGAAGGCCAAGCATGGCATTTCGCAGGCCGACCTTGTTGTCGATCCTCAGCCTGTGATCAAGACTCCAACTGGACCTTCGGCGCCCATATACAGACCTGATTTGACGATTCGCGTGACGACGCAAGATCCGTTGAGCACTGCTTCAAACGTATCAGAAAAGCCGTATGGCGCGAAACGAACCGCAGATGGTCGCAGAAACGATGACTTCAAACCCAATGTAACGATCCATAACGCGGCTTCGTTGAACCGACCAGGAGGCGCCTTTTTGACCGGTGGTAATGACCAAGAAGCGTTCATCTGCGCCCGAACGACACTCTTTCCTTCATTGCACGACGATTTCTACGCCTTACCCGACATCGGTGGTATTTTTACGCCTGATGTTCTCGTTTTCCGCGACACGAACGCGATCGATCTTCCCAAGCGTGAGCGATACTTTGTCAATGTCATTTCAGCCGGAGTTCCAAAACACCCCGAGAACCGCGGTCGACATGACGAGCGCGAGGCGAGCTGTTCGTGCGGTGTTAGTTACTGCGATCGCGATCGCGATATTATGGTACGAAAGATGAAGGCAGTTCTTCGAATGGCGCAGTTGAAGGGCACGAAGCAGCTCATTCTCGGGGCATGGGGCTGCGGCGGCTCTTACAGACATCCTGTGAAGGAGGTCGCGAAGCTGTGGCGCAAAGTGATTGTTGGGAGCGCTCGTCAACGGAGACCGAACGCGGAGCAGTGGGAGGGTATCGATGAGATCATATTTTCCATTCCAGATGGCAGTTTCGCGAGGGAATTTCGACATGTGTTTGAGGATGTCCTTTCACCAGAATACGAGCCTCCTTCATCGGGCGCATCGACTTCACCCGGGGCTCAGGTCGAAGATGCAGAAATCGAACGCCTGATTGGAACTGCGACGTCTCTCGAACTTCAGATTGAGACCGCACAGAGCTCCTTCGTGAAAGGCCGGCTAAAAGAGGAACTCCGCGAAATCAACCACCGCATTGCTATCGGTCGCGCCGAACAAACCGCCCGAGGAGACGACACCACAACCGAAGACGAAGACCTCGAGGACGACTACGTGGTATCCGGCTTCCCAGGCTCCGACGGCGAAGACAACTCTTTCTACCAACTCGACGGCACCACATCTGACTCAGAATCCGACGGCGCGCGCTCCGAAGTGTATGAATTCCGCTTTGGCAACCCACCCGGCGCAGACTCGCAAACCTCCCAAGACGAGTTCGATGAACTCGAAGAGGGGAATTGGGTGGGTTATCCGCCCTCGCCGCATTTCGATCCTCAGACGGGATGGTTCAAAGGCAGTATCGATGAATTATCCGCGCATGTCCTCGGTGGTGGCCGAAAGAAAGGGAGCGTGAGTCCACAGAGTCCACTAGTTAGGACGGAGTCAGATGCTGGTGTTAATGACAATGAGACGGCGGTTGACGGGTTTCTTTCGAGATTCCAGCGGACTGAGATTGACGATCAGTCGTGATCTCGAGCCTTTCTCCTTTGTCTTTTGTGTTCTGACATGGCGTCTTTTTTCGGCATTTAGCGGGTTTTCCCTCGAAACAGCGAGAGATGGAGTTTTGCATATTTCCTGTCATTTAGCGAGTCCTTTCTTCAAGAGCTGGAGTCGGATATGGATATGATTTGGGAGGGCGTTTTTTCTTGGAGGATATCCCCCGTGGTGTCTGGCATCTGTGCGTGTATTTGACGGCGTTGAGAATTCCTTCCTTGTCAACAAGTCTTTTGAAGCGAAGAAGTTGGATGGATGCTTGTGTGTGTGAGTTCCAAGATGTGCATGTGATCTTTTCGAGACAAACGAAGAAAGTTTTCAAGACTGCCATTCCATTCAGAAACCTCTTTCATTGACGATGAGAACATCAACTCAACTTCGAGAGTGAAAGCAAGACGTACATATGTGAAGACTCGAAGCAGAAGAAAAAGACTTCGAGGTGAGTGGACAAGATATCTATCTATCCTTTCCTTATCACCTCACCTCACCCCACCCACCAAACGAGTCAGCAAAGACAGGATTCCGTTGAGTAGTCGTCCCTGACCACTTACTGTGAGGCGTGTCGTTGACGTCGACGTGGTCAGATAAAGCTCTCCCGTTGGGTTGGGACGGAAAGGCTGATTGATGATGGGTGATGGATGGATCAGGGAGCTCTGCCCCAGTCGTGGGGAACTCAACGAATTTCTGTTTCTATCTCTATCTCTAGTAACGAAGGTAGATATTTTGTTGGTGATGTGATGATGTGGAGAGTTGTGGGAAGATAGTTGTTGTTCTCGTTGTATGTACCCATCGTCACGAATAATGTAAGAGATCGATAAGGTGTTTGAAGATCTGCGTGAGATGAATGGGTGGATTCCAGCTCTTTGTGCATATCGCTATGCATTTGGTTCATTCCCAAGCTCTCCTCGAAGCCAGTTGATCTATCTCATTTCGTGACATGTTCCTACATTTACAATTCATGACTCTTCGTCTTCCGCCTCATCTTCATCTTCATCGTCTTCTCCAACGATCTTCTCGACAATGAGGTTGCCGCTCCGCCCAATCCTGTCACGTATGCTGCCTTCCTTGTCCAAATCGTACACTTCCCTCGGCATGGGCGATACCAGCTGGAATTTGTACACATGTCCGAACGCTGCAGGTTCCTGCACCTGCTTCTCGGATTCGTCCTCGAGGTAGTCGTAGCACTCCACAAAAGCGTAGAGTTCTTCCAGATCTGCGTCCGGTCGGAACTTGCGTATCACCCGCTCTCCTGATGGCATGCGAAGGCTCATTCGTACTGCATCTTTAACATCAGCACCGGGCTCTGCTGGTATGCTCTGTGCTCTCCATCTTCTCCACTGCGTCAGCTTTCGAGCTTCGTCTGCTTTGCGCTCTGCCTTTTCCCGCTCCTCCTTCTCCGCCTTCTCCTTTGCGCCTTCTTCTTCTTTCCTCTTCCGTGCTTTCTCCCTGTCTTGTGCTAGCGATCGCTCGTATGCGCTCTCTTGCTCCTGTCGTAGGTTTCTGGTCGCTTGCTGCTCTTGCCTCTGCCGCCGCACTCTCTCAAGCTCTGCGCTCTGTGTCTGAATTGCGGTTTGTAGCTTCGTAAGGAGGTCTTGTGCGGCGACTGGGCCCGATGAGGTGGCGATCTTCGACATCGCGGTCGAAGATACAGAAGGGGTGTGGACGATCAGGGTAGCGTATGGAAAGCGTGTGACATTGAGAGCGTTGCTGACTTGGTAGGCTTCGGCATCTTGGACGGTGCCTGCCCAGAGGAGAATGTTGTTGGTTGGGTTGTTGACGAACGTGGTGAACTCTGGAGCAAGTAGCGTTTCTCTTACAAAGAGAGCGTTGTCATCGTGCTCGGGGGATAGAAGAACCACAAGGAGATACTTGAGATCGCGCTTAGCAATGTCAAACGCTTGTGCGTATCCTCCTTCGTAGAACGGCAGCGTCCCATGTGTAACCCCATACTCCTCCTCGAATTCTCTGATGAAGCGTGCTGCTGTGTCGCTAGGTCCCAGCGGTCGTCTTGAAGAATCTCTTGAGGGTCTCGAAGCTCTCCCTGACCAAAAGCGAGCCAGTAGTCTGGGTAGAAAGGGAAAGAGATAACCCACTGCTCCGAACACCCTCTGGAAGATTGCATAGGTGAGGTTGAAAGGTAGGAGTATTATCGAGAAAGGGAACGGTAGCGGTTGTGTGATTTGGTTCTCGGGGGTTGGGACCACTCGAGGCGCGGCTTCGAGGCCTGCTGGTCGATTTCTCGAACTCGACGACCTCGCGGGTATCCCATCCATCAACGTCTCTGTTCTGCGCGCATTTTGTTCGGGCGGTGGTGCTCGCGCAGCCTCGGCGACGGGGTCGACAGTCTCTGCATCGCCATCGAAGAATCGGGTGATGGCGATCTGTGCGTTCCACTGGCACTTCTGCAGAAGCGGTACTGCGGCCTCGAGGTCCTGGTCCGTCACCGATGTGAACTGTTGCAGGGCTAGCTGCTGCTCCTCAGTCAAGGCCGACAGATCTGTTGAAGGCGACGTCATGGTTGGTGCCAGATCCAGACGCTCCAGACACCCGCTCGAGAAATGGCGAAATAGGTATGTGTCGTTCAAGTGGAGGATGCATGTGACGGTGGTCTTAAAGCTGTCCGATTTAAGCACAGCCCTATCCGTCACTAGCGCCGGGAACGGGACACACGGGCCCACTCAATGGCTCGCGGCCTCTCTCACAATGTATGCTACATTCATCAACGCGCATCGCGAAGCCTGGGTCTTCTGCTTTTTGGATGGCGATTTTGCATCGCTGAGCTTGACGCTTGCTGCTTTCGGTTGCGTGGGCGAAGTCGGCGGGCATCGATTTCAGCAGAGGCAGCGGCAGAGAATGGAACAGCGCACCGGACCACTTCAGCTTCAAGACGATCACCTGCTGACGCCCTTCGATTCGTGACTGCCTTTTGTTGCCGGCACGCGCCTGCTCTACATCGCACTGTATACGCCGGAGATCGGTAAGACCCCTCGCTGGGCCAGAAGTTTGGTCTTGGACATCGCCTCTGTGGATATCGTGGAATCTGCTTTGCCCCATGGGCACGAGCCGTCGCCATGCCGTCCAAGTCGAACAAGACCAAATGGAAGCCGTTCAATTTTCATGACTCAACAGACGCTGACCAGGTCCGTACGACGGACAGCGCTCCTTTAAGAACCGCAAGCAACCCGATTACTTCCTCTCAACATTCGCTGTCAGGCTCGGATCGGCGAACCGTCTCCGAATATCGACCACGTGTGCCATATCTAGACACACCACTGTGCGCCGCCGAATTGCAAAAGCTGCACGAAAGCCGAGAACGAGAAGCCGCGCAAGCAGCTGGCTCTTCTGAGCAGGCCTCAGCGCCCCCGTCGGTCTCAGCATCACTAACCACCCCATCGCCAGAGCCCGTCTTGAGGATATCGACGAACTGCCAGTCTGACACTGCCAAACCCGATTTGCCTAGCAAGCCAAACACCCCTGCCGCCGTGCCGAACTTTGAGATCCACGCTCGCTCAGATTCAGTCACGCCGTTGTTTAACGAGAATATTGTTGCAGAGACCAGATGTTCGAGTTCAAGTCCTGACAAGGATTCAGGAGCGGCAGCGAAAGGTGCGACGACCGTCGGTGATGATATGGCCAGCGCTCCAAGGGTATCAGGGAGGCCAAATCGTTTTGAGAATCGGCCTCCAATGAGCACAATCTTATGCCGCAACGGCCCGCAGTGTAGAAAGCTGCAAGAAGGTACCGAGTTGCTTCGCCATTGATGGTGGACGTGAGTTGACGAGTGTTAGGGACCTGCCATTACAACCATGATTTCACGTCCATGGCTCCTAACGGACTCAACGCGTCAGTACACGCAAGTCTTCTTCCCCCAACGCAGACGTTACTGAACAACGAAAGCTCCAAGAGATCCCTCAATGTCGATTCGCCCGCGTTCACGCCAACGCCCAAAAATGCGACAGTACAGCCAGCCAAGGTTGGCATTTCGCCAAAGACAGTCGCTGCGGCGACCTTCACCCCACGTGGTTCAGGCAAGCGGCATGACAACTTTTCCATCAAGTCGGTACTGACTATCCGTCAGGTTCGGTAACGCCAGCGGCACCATCACATTCGAAAGAGCCCTCAGGGGATTTCATCCCACAACAGGCTTTTCAGCAAGCACAGTTCCAGGAGTTTGTGCCTGGCCAGTCGTTTCTGACCTCACCACAGGTATGTTTAGAAGGAACAGTGTAGATGTCAAAGCTCAGCGACGATTAGTTGGAGACACAGCAACCCCAGTTGTCTCAGCAGATCAATGCGTTCGACCACCCCTTTCTCGCACAGCAGAATATCACCGGTCTAGACGCATCACAAACGCAAATAAACCCATATGTCCAGCAAGCATCCAACGTGGGCAATCAGCCATTCTTTCAAGATGCATCCAGCTTTAAGCATCCCCTCAATTACCACCTATACGCATCGATCGGCCCAAGACGAGAGAACTTGATGGCATATCAACGCAGTACGGCGGACTTCTTCATCCCAGACAATCTTCGAGAAGAGCTTCAGAGAAAGTCAGAAGCAACATTGCAGACGTATGCCAACAGTGCATTACCCCAAGCCGTGGAGTACTTCCACTCTTTGGTAGCTTTGGACACGAACAATACCAAAGGCGCTTCCACTTTTGGATATCAAAGCTGGATCTACAAAGCTACCTCAAGCCGTGACGGTCATACCTACGCTCTGAGACGGATCGAAGGATTTCGTCTCAGCAGTGAAGCTGCGATCAGAACCATCAATTCTTGGAAGCGTATTACAAATGCGAGCATGGTCCGAGTCTACGACGCATTTACGGGAAGATGGTTTGGGGACAGCTCGCTAATTCTCGTGACCGACTACCACCCACGATCACAAACCTTGACCGACAAGCACTTTGCAGTGGGCAGGCATACGCACCGAATTGGCGCTCAAGTAACCCCTGAGAACGATCTATGGGGCTACATCGTGCAGCTTGCAAGCGCACTGAAAACCATCCACGAGGGTGGCGTCGCAGCGCAGACCGTGATACCGTCAAAGGTGCTTCTGACGTCCAAGAATCGTCTTCGACTGAACGGATGTGGAGTGTTTGATATCATCCAGTACGAGCAGCGAAGGCCGTTGCCTGAGCTCCAACGTGCCGACCTTCAGGACCTTGGGCGCTTGGTCTTAGGCATTGCCGCGAGGAACCCAACAGCACATCAAAATACACCCAAATCACTGGAACTTGTTAGCCGGTCATACAGCGAGCGGCTGAGATCATGCATAGCGTGGCTCGTTGCACCGCCGCCATTGCCACAGGATGGCGTCCAACCGATAGAACAGTCAGCGACGTCGACGGAGTACAACATTCACACCTTGCTGAACAACATTGCGGACAAGGTTGTATCGGCCTTTGACAGCGCCCTTCACCTTGAAGACGAACTTACATCTGACTTGATGCGCGAGCTCGAGAATGGACGTCTGGTGCGACTACTGACTAAGCTCAATGTCATTCTTGAGCGACCAGACACTGGCAGTACGCCAACCGCGAATACCCCAGCGGCACTCAATCAGCCATCAGCAGCATGGTCCGAGACCGGTGAACGCTACTATTTGAAACTATTCCGGGACTATGTCTTCCATCAAGTTGATCAGGATGGTCGACCTGTTCTGGATCTAGGTCATATCGTCACTTGTCTCAACAAACTGGACGCCGGAATCGACGAGAAGATCCAGCTTGTCAGTCGAGATGAGCAGAGTCTCTTCATCACGAGCTACAAGGAAGTCAAGCGAGGCTTCGAAGCTGCGTGGGCGGAGATCAGCAAAGCGTCGAATCCAAGCCGACGTTAGGCTGGGGTATGGAAGCGATTGAACGCAGGAATATACGATCTGTGCGCTGTGCACTGTGCGAAGGATGAGTGATGAACAGATGAGCTGCACACGACTTTGTGAGGCAGTGGTTGATACAACAAGAGCAACACAGGATGTACGAGGCAAGCGTTGGAAATCAGGAGAGGCAGTTGATGCACGGATGAGAAAACACATGAAGGTAGCAATGGAAATGAGAGAATGCAATGCAATGATAGAGTACAAATTTGACCTCCTCAATTCCTTGACTGGCTTATCGTACACTGGTGTGAGTCTACTGACTCCCGTCAGCCACGGCATCGTGATCATATAATACATCCATTGATTGGGGCATCCGCTGCTCTTCCACAGGTCAGCACCTAGGTGCGAAGACTTCCGCCTGCTATGAGTGCAGTCTCGGAAACACGGAAGTAGCCTTGCCCGTGAGGAGGTTCGGCGCAGGTGTAGCGACCAGATCGGTTCCATCCAGATCTTGCTATGGCGGCGATCGACTCATTTCATGTCATCCAATTCTCTCATTCATTCAAAATCGCTTCGTGGTTCAGGAGGCACATATCCCCGCCGTAGCAAAAAACTCGAGCACCCCTTCTCAACACGCGAGAGCTGTAGAACGAATCAGCAAGCAGTCCTCTAAACTGAAGATCAACAACATGCCAGCCCATGATCCGGCACAACCCCATCCTTGACCCACACCCCATAACTTCCCATCATGTTCGCCATCATGACATCCGTAAACAACCGATCCCCCACGACCGCCACCTGACTGGCCTCCGTCACGCCAGTCTCCGGCCTCGATCGAAAGAATTCCATGATTTCCGCGTGGCAGCCGGGTTTCTTCGTCGCGTGGCGCAGGACATGCACGTCGGTGTTCCGTTCGAGGAGCTCGGCTTCGATATGGCTGGGATCAGAGGAGGTGCCGCTGGAGTTGGAGACTATAAGGAGTTTGGGGCCCGGATAGGCCTTTTTGAGGTCGTCGAATTTTGAGGCGTAGGCTGGATAGATTTCGTTTTGTTTGGGGATGGAGAAGCAGTTGTCTTTGTCGAGGACTATGGCTCTAATGTCGGGGTTCTTGGTCTTTTCTGAGCCATTTCGTTTGGTGAAGGCGTGGGAAAGGGGGATGGGGAGTTGGTCGAATGTGGAGATTGTGTGGTGGGGGAGGCAGAGGGAGGGGTTTGTGAGGAGACGGAGGATGTTGAAGGTGCCGGAGATGTTCATCTGGATATGATCTTACTAAGGAGATGGAGTTGGGCTTGCATGTGAAAGGCGAAGTCGTCTTTGTAGCTGCGGACGGAAGCTCCCGCCGCGCTAAAATTTCGTCCATCTTGAGGTGAAGTGAAGCAGTTGCGACCTCGAATTTACAGTGACATATACCAACACTCGTCGGCGCAAAACACAGTCGCAATACTCGCGACCCCACCACCGCCAACATGACCTCCACGATCGGCATCCCGATCAAACTCCTCAACGAGGCAACAGTAAGTCTCCCACCACACCGCGCAAACCAACCAAGCACTTACACCTCTCTCCCATGTCCCCAGCTAACCACCCCTCCTTCTCCCTAGGGCCACCAAGTGACCGTCGAAATCGACTCCGGCCAGACCTACCGCGGCAAGCTCATCGAAGCCGAAGACAACATGAACGTCCAGCTTGAGAACATCAACGTCACGCAGCGCGACGGCCGCGTCACGCACCTCGACCGCGTCTACATCCGTGGCTCCCACGTGCGCTTGTTTATTGTGCCGGATATGTTGAGGAATGCGCCCATGTTTCGGTCGAAGGCGAGTCGGGGACGGGGTGTGGGTTTGGCGAGAGGACGGGCGACGGTGAATCGCGCGAGGGGGCCGGGGCCGGGACGGGGTGGACGTGGATAAGGTGTTGATGGCTGAGAAGGCATGAGGACAAGTTACAACGTGGGCGAACAGGCGAAAGAAAACAGTGTGCTTGGATTGAAGGCCCGATGCTGGACACATGCTGCTGAGCTGCGGTAGTTGGAGCGTGCTTTGGCAAACGCTTTCGCTCTACAAGCACTGCGAAGACAGCGAGGGCTCTTTCTGACAGACCTCGAGAAGAGCGGCACATACCACGAGGCAGCAGATAGTCGGAATGGGCATGGAGTGTGGTGCAGCCAGTGCTTCCAAAGGCTGCCTGTATGAATGACACAGATGACATGAAATCGAAAAGCTTCAAAAGTCGTTCAATTATTTCAGGCATGGCCTTCTTCACGTTTCCGGTGTCTAATATATAAAAAGTGCTTTGCTTTCACGTGATGCCGCCGCACGCTATGCTCCGCGAAACCTCACCTCGTCTCGAATCCTTTTCTCCACCACACACCAAACATGTAGAACCTCACGACCAAGCCATCGTCGCGATGGATATCAAACATTCGAGAAGAATCCTGCTCTTAGGCACCCGGGAAGCCGGTGCGCTCGACATCGTCAAAGGTACACTTCGCCATTCCCTGCAACTTCCTCGAAAGCTAACACTCCAAAGACCTGACAGGCACCGCCCCATCACCCGACATTAACGGCTCAACCGCCGGCCTCACACACGAATGGGACGTCCAGACGCAATACTATACCGCCAAAGTGCCCATTTGGGTCGACGAAGTACCAGACATTGAGTCGTGGAAGACCGAATTCCTCAAAGATGAAGCCAAAGAAGTGGTCGATGCAGTCGGAGCTTGGATCTTTTGCTTTGAAACACCGAAAGATGGGACAATTAGTGAGGATGTGGAGAGTGCCATGAAGGGGATTCAAGAGGTCGTGGAGAGGCATGGGACGTTTGGAAGTGAGGTTGTGTTTTTGGCTGTGGCTAAGCCAAAGGGCAAGCCCGAAAAGGGTGGAAAGACAGTGCAGGAGGAACAGGAGGATAAGTGCATGGAGTATGGATTCGAGTACATCCGATACGGTGCTACAGGAAAGAATGAATTCGGGGAGAAGGTTGGATTTGAGCGGTTGAAGGAGGCTCTTGAGGCGAACGAGTGGGGTGCTGCTGGAGACGAGGACGACGAGCTCGATCTGGACGACTTGGACTTCGATATTGACGATGACGATGAGATGGGTGGTTTTGGAAGGGAAGAGGCTGAAATGACGGCTGAGTTGTTCGGGATGAAGGCTGCGCTGAATCGAGAGGACGATGAGGACGAGTTTGATCCTGCTGCGGAGGATTTTATAAGTTCGTCGTCGACACAGCAACAGGCTGAGCAGGTGGAGGATTTGAATCGGATGATGGGGAAGTTGATGGCTGTTAAGGAGCAGAGTGAAGGGTTACCGGAGGCGCAGAGGAAGAGGATGGCGGCGAAGGCCGTGAGGGATATCATGAAGGAGAATCTGGATGTTTGAGTCCAAGAGGCCTCTCATGCCATCCGAGCTCATGTGAGATACATGATCTTGTGGCAAGGCAAGACGTTGATATTTCATTAGAAAGCCAGCGTGGAGACGAAATGACCACTCGATCGAAAGATGCTCACTTCATTGCGTCACAAGTCCCATCACCTGCCAATATCGCATTTTGGAATGATGCTCAGTCGTTGATGTCAGTAAAGGCGGACTCGACGAAGCAATTGTTTCCTATTTCTGCTTACCATTGGTATAGATCTCCACTCTGCTCTGGCCTCGAACACCATCGAAAAAACCAAGAACTCTTCCCTCACATTCGATATCGACACGTTCGACCTTTTAACAACGACAATAAATCCCGTTCACACAATGCATCACCTCATCACCCTCTCCCTCCTCTTCATCTCCCCCTTCGTCTCCGCCTGGGACATCACCTTCTACTCGGGCGAGAATTGCGACCACAACCCCGACTTCAGCAGCTGGGTACGTTCCCTCTACCACACAAGCAAACTTTTCCAGCTAACCTCACTAAAGTCCTACTCCGGCTCCTCCACCGACACGTCCTGGTGTCTCCAAGCCGGCGAACCCGGCCACAACTGCGAACATCTGACCGACGCAGGCGCTACGACGGACGAGTGCTCAGAGCCCGCGGAGCCGATGCCTGGTAGTTTCCGCTATTCGGAGGGGTCGCGCTGTTGTGTGCAGATTGGGCAGGATACGGATTGTCTTGTAGGTCGATAAGGGTACTTTGTGTTGTGTGAAATTGGTGTGCTGACGCGGGTGGGGGATAGTATAAGGAGTGCAAGTATCCGCCTCCTGAAGATTGCTATCCGACGAGGTATATGCCGTTTAAGTTGCGTGGACGTAAGTGGTGATATCTTGAACTTATAATTGGCTTGTGGTTTGATGCTGATTATTGTGGATAGCGAATTACCTCACGTTTACTTGCGGTGATGTCGATGGGGTTGACAGGAGGCGTACGGTCAATGTCACGCAGAGGCATTGAGCAGGCGAGGCAATGCGCGGCGAGAACTTGACGAGGAAGAACTCCGGCAGAACAACTCAACAGTTTATAGGTTTGTCCAAACTATGCTCCTCGTCGAATTGGTTCGGCGATGTGGCGGAGTGGTGGATTTGGAGGAATGGGTGGAGTGGCACAGGTGGTCGGATTTGGGATTTGGAGGGAGGAATATGGGATGGGGGAGGACGAGGGTTCGAGTCCGGGCGGCTACACGACTGCATGATGAGAGGACTGCGAATTTACGACCGAATCGAACGAACGAACGAACCGACCGACCGAATCGAAGCGAATAAACGGCGGAAAAAAGTAAGACATGAAAAATAGGATTTTCTGTCTTCGACCTAATACACCGAGTATTAGGTCTTCTTGTTTTGCGTTTTTTGGTGTTGTTTTGTTTTGTCAAATGGATAAGCTGTCGTGCTGTTCCGTTTGCAAGGTGGCTTCAATTTTTACTGTTTTGTTCGACTTCATAGAGATTTGGAAAGAACATGGACTACGAGCCATTGGAATATCTCTTGCAACTGATCAGATATCACGAAGTCACAAGCAACCATCTTCACTACCACACATCCCTGCCGCCTGCCCAGGAGAGCGGCAATTAATAACCGCGCTCTGCTATAGTTCGCGAAACATTGACCCTCATTTGGAGTTTTGAATTCTCCAGCTTGGCGGTATATGACAACTCCTGCCCGACCCACGAAAGCGGTCTAACACGTCTCTGCTACGAGTCAGTTAAACCGAGCTACCACGCATGGTCAGTTCACGCGCGTGGAGAGGTGTCTGCATGACAGGAAGCAGAGAGAACGTAACTGATGAGATTCATTGATTGTGTGATTCTCTACAGCACCTGCACCTCGCTTCTCCTCCGCAAAGCCTCGCGGCGTTCTCCAAAGGAAGTGTTGACCAGGGTGCATATATTGATCTACCTACATTGAGCAGAGCATCCCAGTAGACATCTGTCTGCGATCGAAGCCTTTTCAATGGGCAAGCAACTCAATCACCCGGTGTTGAAATAGAAGTTCTTTTCCTTTGGTCGGGTACTGTGTCGATAAGTGAGCCGAAAGCAGGTTCCTGCGCAAGTGCGATGGCGTTGCTTCCTCCGGGCTTGAAGGTTTCAGGGATATTTTATTGAATCGGGTCGAAGGGTTGGGGGTGCGCATTGGAGTTGGTAGTCCTACTGGTCAGGAGTCGTTGTTAAAAGAGTAATCGTTAGCAATAGAGTGTTGTGAGGTGTGTTGATTGATGCTGGCTGCGAAGGGAGTGCATGTGTTGTTGGAGGTGAGGTCCATCAAATAGTCCATCAATAGCGGGCGCACGGTTGACTAGCTCCTCATCGGGCGGGTGGCGGAAGGCAACTAGCGAACGCTGGACGATCAGACGCGGCAGCAGATCACAACTCTGTTGCTGCTCGACTAGCTTTGGGGTCTGCAGAGGGTGGGCGTGGCGGTGGGTGATGGTAGATAGCGTCTCTTCCCTATTGACACATGCCCGCATGACTGCTATGAGATATCGTCAAAGAAGACTGCACATTCCGGGTGGTGTTTCTGCTGTTACTGGCCTGTGAAACGGCGGCTACGAGGCTCTTCCCGCCCATGGCGGGCCAACAACAGCAGCCCTTCGACCAGACCTTGGGCCACTCCACGCAACAACCACCACAACCACCGCATCTCCCAAGCAAAGGCAGCTGGCTCGCACGAGTATCGCATCGAGCATCGCACATCCCCAATCGCCCCAACCTCTCCTCCATCGTCAGCACATCCCTGTCCGCGTCTGGCGCCGGCACACAGCATCCTCGCAGCGCTGGCGCAGGCCGTGGCTCCTATGAGCAGCTGCCCGCTGTGCCGTACAAGAAGAACACCTCTGTCTCCTACCCCAACTCGCCTGTGAGCCCGACCGACACCGAATTCGCCGCGACGCCCATCGACCACAGCTTTGGCGATCGCGTCACTGAACAGCCTGCGCCAGCCCGACCGCCGCCAGAGCTACCACCCGTCCTTTCTCGCCAGCGGAACGGAAGTAGTACTGCAGACAAGGCCAACAAGAGCATAGACGAGAAAATGGACAGGTACGCTCGTCAGGCTGGGGACAATACCTACGACAGTGATGGGGAGGCAGACGATGAGTTTGAGCGATCGGTGTTTAGCTCTCCCATTATTGCAAGCCACTTCCACGACGACCATTCCTCAGATCACCCGTCGGATTCTGAGGATGCACGATCGCTGGTAGACGGAGAGGATACGCCTACAACACAAGCTTGGACAGATAGGGAAGGCAGGAGCCCGACGGGAAATATTATTCAATGGACGGAGGAGGAGGCAGCCGACTTTGTCGTGTCACTTTCTCCCGCATTCAAGCAGTATGGGCAGACCTTCGTGGATGAGGGTGTCAATGGCGAGGCCCTGACTGCACTGCATCATGACGAGCTACGAGAACTGGGCGTCGCGAGCGTGGGACACAGACTCACGATCCTGAAAGCCGTCTACGAACAGAAGATGCGAGCAGGCGTCAAGATCGAGGAAGAAGACTACGTGCCTCTGTCAGCAGATGGAGAGAAGGGAGATGTGAATGCTACACAGGACGACATTGCACGGATCATTGAGTCGATACGATTACGAGATGCACGGATCATAGCTACGGAATCAGAGCTGCGAGTGATGAAGCGGGACCTGGACCGGATCGTAGAGGAGAACAAGAAGCTTCGGGAAGAGACGCTGCCGATTATGAGATTAGTGAAAGACCAGCGGACACCTTTACCAGACCCAGCAGGTGGGACAATACCTTCCCCGCGTGAATTGGATCAGAACAGACAGGCACAGGACTTGGCCAACCAGAACAAGGGCAGCTCGCTGAGCAGGAAGTTCTCTACCAAGAAGCTGTTCTTGAAATCAGCGGACAACGCGAAGCAGCCATCTCCTACACATCCTCCACCACAGACGAGGGAAGTACGGGATGATGGAGGTACACATCTGGAAGCATCCGCGGCTGCAATGGCCGCCAGCAGTCATCTGACCGCAAGCATGACGAGCCAAACCAGTCCAAACAGCGTACATGGCCAGCAGTTGAGTCCCACCAGTCCTGCGTACGCCCAGCCACCGGGATCAGGAGGATCATACCACCAGCCAGGTGCAGCACCGAATCGCTCATTCCCGCGTGATGGGAATGTATCACGGCATGATCAACGAAGTTACGGCCACGGAGATGAAACGGGAGGATACTCTACAGGACTTACGGACCAGTCGACCGCACGGCTACAGCAAGACAAAGCACGACGGCAGGCCCCAACACCCAGTCCTCGAGAAGACGAGACACCCCACAGTGGTCGAGACAAAGACAATCCCCAAGTGGAAATTTTCAAATCCTTCCGCGTCAGTATTGACGATCCTTGTCGGGTCGTTCTGCCAGTGGTGAGTAGCATCAAATGCAGCACGAAAAGTAATACTAGACTGATCTTGGCGCAGGCACTCAAACGCTACAACATCACAGACGACTGGCGCCAGTATGCGCTGTACATTGTGCATGGCGATCAGGAGCGGTGTCTGGGATTGGAGGAGAAGCCTCTGCTGCTTTTCAAGCAGTTGGATAAGGAGGGCCGGAAACCTATGTTTATGTTGAGACGGCATGCGTCGCCGCAGGAGGGGTGGAGTGGGAGTGTTGGGGGTGAGCCGAAGGTGAGTCGTTAAAATATAGCAGACCTGAGCAGGACAACATGGCTGACGGTTCTTGTAGCAGACGAATCTCCCTGGAGGTGTACTTTGAGGATGAGCATGACTAGCGTTTGATGACGGGGTACCGATTTTTGGTGCCAGGCGAGCTTTGAGAGATGTGTTGCATGAAGGGATCATATATGGAGACGAGAAAGATGAAGTGGAAGCCTTTCTGCGCTGCAGCGAGCGCTCAGAGGCGGCATACACAAGTCTTAACAATCATGAGCGAAATGGTCCAAGTGACATTTTCGTCCTCTTTAAACCTCGTCCTAAACGCTGATTGTTTTGAACACCCCAAATCCGCTATTCCCCGTCGCCATGACGGTCCCAGGAATCTGCGGATGCCAATGCGCCTCCTTGACCTGATCCATATAATGCACAAACAGCAACTGCGGCGGCACATCCTTCACATCAGCCGTGTACTTGCTCTCCTCGTCGTCCAGTTCCACGGCCAAATCCCACAATGTCAAAGTGTTATCCGCCGAACACACGGACACAATACTGTCATCCGTCGGATGCCACTCCACACTCGTAATCTGTCCGAGATGAAAATTGAAATGCGCCACAGGTTTCGACTTCGCCGCCGCATCGGGGGATTTCCACTGTCGCAGGTCCCAGACGGACCACGTCCCGTCGTCGTGGCCTGAGGCGAGGAGGTGTGGGGTTTGATGGGACCAGGAGAGGACGTTGGCGTCCGAGTCGGAGACTTGGACGCTGATGGCGTATTTGCGGGATTTGGAGCGCGCGTCCCAGATTTTGACGGTGCCGTCGCTGGAGGCGGAGGCGAAGACGTTGCGTTCGTTTGGGGACCATTGGAGTTCTTCGACGCTGCCGGTGTGGCCTGTGAAGGCGTTGGTGTCGGTTACGAAGCCGCCGCCCTCCGTGCGGGTTGTAGCGAAGATGGTGCCGGCGGAGTCGCCTGTGAGGAGTTTGCCGGCGGGTACCAGGGGTGACCAGTCGAGGGCGTAGCCTTCGTTTTTCTTATGTGCGCGGATGGTGGAGCGGGGTTTGGAGGCCGTTTGGGGGATTTGGAAGCCAGGCGTGTCGAAGGATTGGAGGTGAGGGGTTATGTCGTGGATGAGGACGTCGCCAGATTCTTGCATAGCGGCCGTGATTGTTGTGGGTGGTGTTGAGGAGTTGGATTGCGGGGATTGGTGGGCGCGGATGCGGTTGGTTGTGGCGGTTAGGGGAATGGATTTCGTTTCGAGGACTGGATCGGTGTATTCTTCGTCGTCGTCGTCTTCGTCGTCAGAATCGATGTTGTTGGCTTTGTCGTTGCGGGAGAGGCCGGAGAGTTTCATTACCATGATTTGGTTGTCTTTCTCTCGGCCTTGTGCGGCCTGGGTTCCTGCTACTGCGTAGACAGTGGCGGGATATGACTTGCGATCGTCGCCGAGGTTGTCCTTGACGATGTCGAACGAAAGGCAGGGCCATGTTGGTTCCAGAGTGTGCAGCATTTCGTATGTTGAGAGGTCCGGGGCCAATGTCTGTCCTGCGTCTAGCTTGTGTCGTCCGGGGATGAATGTCTCTTGGTCAACATCCATAGCGCCTGTTTAAGGATTAGTATATCTGTCGTGGAAATGGAGAATGGAATTATTACCTGCTGCCTTCTCTTCGGCTTCCCGCTCCTCATCGGGCCTGCCATCTACACCAGCTTCCAGAATCTCGTCCTCGCTCTCAAATTCGTCCTCGAATTCATCCTCAAATTCTTCTCCCTCGGCCAGACCACTGTCCGCCACAGGACGTTCGCCGGCCTTGAGCGTTTGCGGCTCATTGTCTTCAGCAGCGCGCTTTGCCATTTTCGGTGACTGTGAACTCGGGATGCAGATATCTGATTGCCCAAGACGTCTGGAGTGGATGTAACAGAAAAGCGTGTGCAGTTGATCTTCGAGCTTTGAATTTTGAGAAGTCGTCAAAAGATTTTGGGCTGGCTTGACGTTGGCGCGATTCGCTAATCGGCGCGGGGCTCGGGGCGTGCCGGTGCAGGGGCTAAATTAAGCTTCGTCATCTTGGAGCCGTCGGTTCGGCAGCGTGGCAGCTCCTCCATTTCTAGAACAGCTGTCTACAAATCAACGCCTTCATCTCTATTTGCATTTTTGCAAACGACAAGCGCCATATCGATGCGACCGATGATCAGATAGCACCTCAATTCAGCGAACGCCTAATTGCGACCATGGCACCACCACCAGAACCTCCTACATCGATCACACTACGCGTCAAGGTCCCTCCAGGACACGTACCAGGCGGCGCTGATGAATTCACGCTGGGGTCAGATATTGCGGTTGCATCCAAGGTCGGGCAAATAAGAGAACGGATCCAAGAGGCGATTCCATCAAGTCCAACACCCGAGCGACAACGATTACTGTACGGCGGACGAGCACTCGTGGACAACGATCAAACGGTAGCCGATGCGTTGAACATTCGAAGGGACCCGTCACAGACAGAGTATGTGATACACCTTCTGGTTAAAGGCGATGGTGCGAATGTAAATCCTGTCCCGCATCGTACGGGCATGAGAACGCCAGGCAGGTCTGCAAGCCCTGCCGCTGCTGCTCAGCCTGCAGCAGGTCCTCCAACTGCAGCAGCACCACCACAACCGGCACAGAATGCGGCTCTTCCACAAATGCCGAATCCACAGCAGCTTCATCATCAGTTGCACCAGCAGGCTGTTCAGCAACAAATGCTGCAGCAACAGGCCGCGATGTTCGCTCAACAACGACTGCATGCTCCTATGTTCCAGAATCAAGGTTTCCATCAGCCCATGATGCCGCTTGGGATGCAACCTTTCGCAGGTCACATGCCTGGAATATTCCCGCCAGGAAATGGCATGCCGGCGCAGCACTTTCATGCTCAGGGCCACCAGCAACCAGCACATGTCAACAATCAGCACGCGGCAGTGCCACAAAACGTGGAAAATGGCACTCCGCAAGACAGCCAAACTCAGAATGAACAAAACAATGGAGCAGCACAGTCACAACAACCACCACCGAGAGTCACCACTCATCAGAATGCCCACGGCCATGACGTGCAGGTCAGGATCCATCAGACCGTTCGCATTCCCAATCCTGCCTTACAAACGCAGCAAAGACCACTGGGTTTCCCTAATCTACCTCACTTGCCTGCGCAAGGAGTACCAACTCCACAGGCCAACGCAAATGGTCGCTCAGCTTTGGACCAGGCGAGAGAGAACATGACCGAAATGCAACGACTCATCGACGAATTACGCAACACCGCTACCATTACAGAATCACAGCAAGCGCAATTGCAGTCCCTTGAGAGGATATCGCGCAGTGTCAATGACTACATCGATCCTTTCCGAGTTGGCAACAATCGAGCAAGATCAAACTCGCCAGTCCCTCCCATTCCTCCAAACGGGCGTTTGCCCCCGAGGTCACCTTTCGAAGCCCAACCAAGTTGGCAGCAACGAGCGCAGCAGATACGGCAAACGCAGCATCAGGCTCCGAATCCGAGCTCACAAGACGTCACATGTTACCTCTTGTCCTCGCCCAGTGGCCCGCAAGCTCTTCTCTACTCTCCCCAGCACGGCCTGTATACCGTTCAGATGCCTTCGGGCGGAAGTGCCACTTTACAGCCCACTCCAACAGTACCAACCGGTGCCTCCAATGGAAATGCAACTAACACCGCAGCCCAGCCGAATCAACAAGCAGCTCAACACCAAGGTGAAGGAGGCCAGCAGCTACAAGCACAAGTGCAGGGCCAAGCTGCTCAACAAGACCCACTCGGCCCTCTGGGACCTATTATGGGACATCTATGGCTGCTTCTCCGAGTGCTCATCTTCGCCTACTTCCTACTAGGTGCGAACATGGGTTGGAGACGTCCTTTGGCGTTGTTCGCCATAGGAATGGGATTCTGGATGATCCGAATGGGCTTGCTCGGCGATGGCGGCGCGCTGAGAAGATGGTGGGATGGCATCATGAATGATGGACGAGCACCACCCGCGCAGCAACAAGGACAACAGGGCCAGAACCAGCAGCAAGGACAGCAGCAGGGGCAACCTCCGGCTGCCAATGCTAGACCTGGGCAAATGCCTACACCCGAACAACTTGCACAGCGACTACTGGATGAGGATGCTCGAGCTCGGGATCAGGCTCGAGACCAGCGCCTCCAATGGGTGCGCGAGCGGATTCGTCCGGTTGAGCGAGCTATAGCACTGCTTGTGGCCAGCTTGTGGCCAGGAGTTGGTGAGGCTTACGTCCGGGCTCGAGAGCAAGAAGAGCGCCAGCGAGCTGAAGAAGAGATTGCGGCAAGACGACGAGAGGAAGAGGAAAGGCAGAAGAAGGAAGAGGAAGAGAAGCAGAAGAACGAGGGTAGTGGCACTGATGAGAAGGCTGTAGAGCCAGCTGAGACCGAAGCGACCGACGCTGGTGCAAGCACTCAGGCTGGCAGTGAGCCGGTCGCCCAAAGTGTTGCTACTAGCGCTGCTTAGGCGCTTGCGATGCTTTCTGATGCTAGACATTAGAATTTACTCTCTAGTTCTACAAATCTGTATTCATCATCAGCGCGGGCTGCAAGGCTTGGATATCAAGCTGAAACAGCCTGCAGCTGTGCCACGACATCCTGCATTACGTCTTGCACAAACAACCTTTCATCTTCCACTCCCAACACCCCGGTCATCCACGAAAGAACAAGCATCAGCGATCCGTGCTTCCCGGACGCCACGTTGAGATTGAAGGGAGGCCCGGTTGCGTCTGCGGATTGCGAGAAGACCATGTCTGTTACTTCCCAGCTTGAGTCTGCGTTGTCTTTACTACTGCCGTCGAAAGTGCCTAGATTGCTCATGCCGAAGGAGGCCTCCATAGGCGATGTGGCCTGCTTGATCGTCCATTCGCGGTAGTTTGACAGGAACTTGAGTAAACCTGTCGCTTGATCTGCGAGAGTACTCGACTTTTCACTCAGGAGTTTCGTCGTGGTCTGGACGGCTTCCCAGTCGGATGACACGAGTTCATGCTTTCCCGCTTCCAGGGATGATAGCGGAATGTCGACCGTTTCTGATATCGCCGAGGGAAAGTTCCCCATGCTTTCGTGATACTCATCCGGCAAGCAGCGGCGCAGATCGAGAGCCGTTTCGGTGATGAATCTGGCGTATTCTCGACCGCGGACGTGGAGGTTCCGAGCGAGCGCGCGGCAGGTGAGGTAGTTGAGCAGACCTGTCAAGCGGGCGTTGTGTTTCCTGCAGGCGGCTAACGCGCTCAGCAAAATCTCTGGTGACACGGCTGTGACGTGGACAGCTGTTTCCACGAATGCTTCGACCGAGGGTTTTGTCGCTGCGCCGCACCATGGTTTACTCGATCCAGGCTTATCCTTGCTGAAGCCGAGAAGTCTATTCAGCCATGCTGGGAAGAATTCTTCGAGAAGAGGGCCTGCGAGGAATGACCAGGAAATGCTCAGATCTCCGGCTTGTTCGAGCGCGGGAGGGAGGCTCCGGTGTGTTGTTGGTGAGAAGACGGGTCCTGCGGCGAATGAGAGTTGGGAGGAGTTGCGTAGGGCCGCGAGGAAGGTTTTGTGGAAGATCAGGCCTGATGTGCCGTCTGCTAGTGCGTGGGATGTTGCGAATGCCACGTGGAAGGACGGGGACGAGACATCTGCTGTTAGGGTTATGTAAAGACGCCATTGGGGTCGGGCTTCGTACTCTGTTAGAGGGTTGTTGTGGGCTTGTTCGAGAAGAGCTTGGATATCGGTCTGGTCGAGAAAGTGAACATGCTGCTCTAAGTCTATCTTCGAGGCCTTCACCAGCTGTGGCGTTTCCGTTTCAGAGTCGTTGACGATGGTGCTGAGAGTAGAGAGCTCTTCAATGCATTGCTTCAATGCCTTGAAAATGGTGTCCTTCGACAAGTCTTGCTTTGCATTCTGCGATCGATAGGTCCCGACTGAGATGATTGAGCCGTAGAGTCCGAGGACATCTCGGACTATGCAACGCCGCTCATTATTGCCTAAGGTTTGCAGGGTTGAAGTTAGTGGCAGGAGCTTGTGTGTATGTGAGTGAATACAGAGACTCACCTGCCGGTCGAATGACTTCCATCTCCGATACTGATCAATGGATGCTTCTTTCCGTGTCCATGTTGTTGATGTGATGTCGAATGTCTAGGCTGCACAATTTCCCGCCATCCCTTTTAGCACGGACATTATTTTGTGAAGACTGATCAATGCACGCCAACACGTGAGCGGAAGGATTGACCGAAGTCTCGCCAAGAAATCAACGCCTTTCTCCTTTGGGAGCGGAACAACACCTCCTCTCCTCTCAGTGCCTCATAACGCACTTGGAACAGCTCCGGCAGCATCATTGCCTCACGTATCTGCGACCAAGACGGCTGGTCGCGTCTGCAAACGCATATACCGATACCGGTGTCACAGATAGACACTGCTTTAACCCATTTGATCAAGGGAAGTAGAGCGCCGGCCCATTCTCTGCTTTGCTGTGTTGCTTGGACGCGTGCCAGACAAGTGGGGGCGGCCCTGCCTTATAATCCTATCCTGTCGTCTGCGAAAAGTTTGTTGCATACATTAGAAACGTCTAATCCCTTAACTTAATCGTTGGTCGTTCTGACTCGTCGAGCAATGGGAGATATCCCAGCTATGGCGTCCACCAGAGCTATGCAGGTTCACGAGCTTGTCAATGGCTGGTCCTTCAAGCAGACTGATACTGAAGAATGGCTGCCAGTCAAAAAAGTGCCTACGAATGTCCATTTGGATCTGCTGGACAACAAAAAGTAGTCCCCCTATCCTTTGATCTTGTCCGGAAAGGAGCTGATCTTGACGGGGCAGAATCGAGGACCCATTCCTCGGCTTCAATGAATTGAAATGCGAATGGGTCAATGAGACACCTTGGACCTATCGTGTCGCTCTCCCTGAGATTGACGTCTCAGAACCCGACATCAAGCACGTCTTAGCTTTCGATGGACTGGATACCTTTGCGACGGTCAAGCTCAATGGCAAAGTCATTCTTGAAAGTGACAACATGTGGATCATGCACCGCGTCGACATCACCGACCACTTACACCCCGACAAGGAGGCTGAACTCGTGATAGACTTCAAGTCTGCAATGGCCGAAGCACGAAAAATCAAAGACGCCCATCCGGAGCACAAATGGGTTGGCTTCAATGGCGACATGGCTCGATTGGCTGTCCGGAAAGCACAATACCATTGGGGCTGGGATTGGGGTCCTGTTCTGTCACCGTGCGGTCCATGGCGTCCTGTACGACTGGAGACGTACCACACTCGAATTCAAGATATCAGAATAGACTACAAGCTGGGCGATAGCTTCGAAAAAGTCAGCGGTTCCATCACTGCATCCGTAGAAGGAGAACCAGGCAGTACGGTCGAGTTCTCGGCATCAACACATGGCGAAACGATCTTCACGCATGCTGCAGAGGTGGACGACAATGGGCAAGCCACGGTCGACTTCTCCATCGACCAACCCAAGCTATGGTATCCACACGGGTATGGCAAACAACCTCTGTACGATGTAACAGCGACGATCAAACATGGCGGCCAAACTGTGCACACCCTATCGAAACGAACGGCATTCCGCAAGGCTGAGCTGATTCAAGAACCTGATGACGTTGGCAAGACCTTCTATTTCAGAGTGAACGGCATCGACGTATTCTGTGGAGGTAGTGACTGGATTCCGGCTGATTCTTTCACTCCTCGGATCACCAAGGATAAGTATAGGAAATGGCTTGAGATGATGGTGGACGGCTACCAACTGATGATCCGAATCTGGGGTGGTGGAATCTGGGAAGAGGACATCTTCTACGAGACTTGTGACGAGCTCGGGGTTCTAGTCTGGCAGGACTTCATGTTTGGTTGTGGTAATTACCCATGTTTCCCGGAGATCCTCAAGTCGATCGAGGCAGAGGCTGTCTGCCAAACGAAACGCCTACGACACCACCCATCGATTGTTATATATGCTGGAAACAACGAAGACTACCAAGTGCAGGAGCAGCTTGGGCTCACCTACGATTACGAAGACAAGGACCCACAGAACTGGTTGAAGACAGATTTTCCAGCGCGATACATCTATGAGAAGTTGCTTCCAGATGTTGTCGCTGCGCACACGCCGCACGTGCCATATCATCCTGGTTCGCCTTGGGGTGATGGCAAGATCTCAAGCGATCCCACTGTCGGTGATATGCATCAATGGAATGTCTGGCATGGCACTCAGGAGAAATATCAGATCTTCGACACTCTCGGTGGCCGATTCAATAGCGAGTTCGGCATGGAAGCCTTCCCACACATCGATACCATCAAGTGGTATGTCACAGATCCATCACAGCTCTATCCTCAGAGCCATATGATCGATTTCCACAATAAGGCCGATGGGCACGAGCGCAGGATCGCGACTTATCTGGTGGAGAACTTCCGAACGCAGACAGATCTTGAAAAGTTCATCCACCTCACGCAGTTGAGCCAAGCAGAGGCTCTGATGTTTGGATACCGTGGTTGGCGAAAGCAATGGGGTCAGAAGAGATTCTGTGGAGGCGCTCTTCTTTGGCAATTGAACGACTGCTGGCCCGTGACCTCTTGGAGCATCGTAGATTACTTCCTACGCAAGAAGCCAAGCTATTACGCGGTCAGACGCGTACTTGCTCCGGTGGCAGTAGCAGTCAAGAGAGAACATCACGACTGGAGTGTAGTGCATGCTCGGCCGGCGAAAACCCTGCAATATGAATGCTGGGTCGCCAGTTCAAGAACGAAGTTCATCACAGCAACAGTGGAGTTACGCTTCATCAGCATCGCTACAGGCAAAGACATCAAGGACAAGATCGTGAAGAAGGATGTTGTCGTGTTCGCGAACGGCACCACCGAGATGTTCCAAGGTGCTATCGACAATACTACTGAAGAGCCGCATGTACTAGCTGCAAGGATCTGGGTGGACGGAAAAATTGTCTCCAGAGACGTCGACTGGCCTCAACCGTTGAAGTACCTCGACTTCAGCGACCGCGATGTGGAGGTCAGCCCGTCGGGTGACAAGATCAACATTAAGGCAAGGAAGCCAACGAAAGGTCTAGTATTCGAAGAAAGAGAGGGCGTTCTTGTCGACGACAGTGCTATTGACGTTGTTCCAGGGGACGAACAAGTGGTCACGGTCAGAGGCTTGGGGCGGAATGATAGGTCGCTCAAGTGGACGTACCTTGGGGCGCCTTGACCAGAAGTACAGCTGAATCTTTGTTGTGGCAAAGCGTCGTCACTCGTCGTGCATAACGCTTGATTGCATACCTTCATGTTCATTGCGAGCTTTTCACGAGAGTATCATCGAGTGTATGAGTCTCCAAGCTGCGATCTCCCAGCCTCAAGCTGCTTGCCGAACAGCACCGGCCAAACCTTGCCGGCAGACCCGCCGCATCCCCCATCCTTGCGAGCGGGAGATGGGGCAAAGACTGCGGGGTGCATCCTGAACTACACCTCCAATAAAAGAGCAACCAGGGTCTGCACCTAGCGAGCCCATACAACTTGTCTGCCTGTCTGCCCATGTGGTCTCAGCCCTGCAGCATGCTGAGCGTTGGCATGGATCGAGACCCGAGAACCCAACTTTAGTAGACTCTACCCTTAACGACTCAAACGTCAGACCACACTGATGGAGTTCATATCTTTGCCATGTTTCCTGCGACTGCTGCGCGGCTGAGGCGGTAAACGATTTGAGAGACGCCAATGAGAGCGACGATGTATCACACATTTCAGGCCTCGACAACGACTGGAAGCGAGGGAGAGGGTGGCAAAGGCCGGCGACCGAGTGGCAACTCGAAGAGGATATCGACGAGTAACGCCTGCGTCGAATGTCGTCGCCGGAAGATCCGCTGCGATGGAAGCCAGCCTTGCGGACAGTGTCAATGGTACCAACATCCAGAGCTGTGCGCATACCAGAAGCCGGCTCAGAGAGTGATACCCTCGAGAAAGTGAGTGATTCGGGCATTCGTGGCAAGAAACCTACTGACGGACGTGCAAGACTCGTCGATAACTTGCAGACTCAGATCGATCAGTACCACTCTGTCTTCCACCGCCTGTTCCCAGGGAAGGAACTTGAGGACTTCCTTTCTCTTTCCCGAGAAGGGCTCATCAACCTTGCGGTCACTCTGCCAGCACCGCATGCCTCGCCGGGCGATACTCCAGATCCAGTACAGGTCCTTGGGGGTGCTGTACAGAAGTCTGAAGGAGCAGAAAGCCTTGAAGCACTTGAACAAGCACCAGAGCAGGATCCTGAGACAGACGAGGCAAAGCGCTTGCGAGACAAGATTCAAGGTATCTCCGACGATGTCAACGGGCTTTCGCTCTCAGTCGACCGAGCCTCGACCTATGTTGGCATCTCTTCCATCAACGCAGCGATGAAGGTCATCTTCAAAGCGGCACCTATCGCTCGACCGTTCATTGCGCAGACATCTGCCGAAAGTACTGAGCCCAGTAGAAGCTCTACTCCTCCACCTTATGTCCTCGATCCGGATCCATATTATCTTCCTCCTGCCGATGTGGGCGAGAGGCTCATCGACTCATACTTCGCCCACATCCACGTCCTGATGCCCCTCATCGACGAAGACCACTTTCGCCATAGCTTTCTGTACGGGACCCGAAGAGACTCTCCATGGCTGGCCCTTTTGAACATGGTTATGGCTTTGGGCGCACTTGCCAGCTCGACCTGTGAAAATGAAGACCACATTGCTTTCTACAAACGAGCGCGGGAACATCTGACCCAAGAAGGCTTTGGAAGTGGGAACTTGTTCGTACTGCAAGCCTCAGCACTTCTCAGCGGATACTACCTGCATTGGCTGAATAGGCCAAACGAAGCGAACGGCGTCATGGGCGCAACATTGCGAATGGCGACCGCACATGGCCTTCACAGGGAATACAGCGACTCTCATCGGTCGAATGCTGCAGGAGGAACTGTCATCATGAGCGGCTTGGAAGTACCTGTCGAGATCAGGAGGAGGACTTGGTGGAGCCTCTACATTCTGGACTCTTGGGCAAGCATCACGACTGGACGGCCATCATTAGGGCGAACCGGCGACGGGATCACTATCCTGGCACCGCGAATACCCGAACAGATGAACAATGCTCAGTACCTGGCATCACTCAGGCTACTGCCGATCATCCACAACATCGCGTTTTGCAAGATTGCCACAAAAGTGCAAGATCTACTTGCTGCCCACTCAATGATTGGGTTTGACGAACTTTTTGCTCTGGACGCCGAGTTGGAGAAATGGCATGATGACCTTCCGCCCATACTTTCAGACGTCGTTGAACGGAACCAGCAGAATGGAAGGAACGAACACTTCCACGGTGAAGTCAAACATCTCTCTCCTCAAGCACCCAGCACCTCGACGAGCAAGGCCTCCTTTGATTTCTCACAGCCACCAGAGCGGGATAAGACCGCCTGTCCGGAGGTCCTGAAGACGCCGAGAGCGATTATGCACTGGAGGTATCAAAATTTGAGGATCTTGATGCACCGGCCTATACTGCTGGCAACGGCCCTGAAGAGGACTCCGTATACCAAAAGGTCTACCGAGGAGAAATTAGCTGTTGGCCGATGCCGTATCGTTGCTGGTCAGACGATTACCGATATCAACGATACCGCGCAGGAGTCGCTCATATCCGGCTGGAACGCTGTCTGGATGATGTATCAGGCTGTGATGGTTCCGTTGGTCTCTCTGTTCTCAGTATTGGCATTGCCGCCGACAGCCGTCGCTGCAGACAGTCCCAACGCAACCCCTTCGGGCAGTGAAGGCTCGATTATTCCTGGTAGTGACGATGATGTCGACAAGTGGAGACGGGAAATCGAGCTGTCTATCGACTTCTTTGGCCGAATGACCCGCTGGTCTGTAGCTGCGAGAAAGAGCAGAGATGTTGTCCAACGACTGTACGACGCAACGAAATATGTCAGCGAGCATCACGCTCAACTCCACCAACAACAGGAAGAGATGATGCAGAGGAAAGACTCCGTACCAGCCGTGCAACCCCCTGAATCGACCATGACGAGCCAAGGCACATTGCTCAGCCCCATAGGAGAATCCTACGGAGTTCCATTTGCTTCTCACGATCATGCTTTCGTACAACCACAGCCATGGATAACGAATCCCAACGCCGAGGCCGCTATGAATGACTTCTGGGACGGCATGATGTGGGAGTCGTATCCGGGCGAGTTGTCTGACGCTGCGAATTTCGCGCAGAGTATGGAGCAGATGGATTGGTGGCAGCAGGTGCCCGTTCCTGTTGATCAAAATTGGATGCAATGGGGACAACCTAACAGCAACATACCGCCGTGAGATCATGACTTAACATTGTGTTGACCCTATTCTGTCGGCCTCGATATGCTGACGTCGAGCTTCGCGATTGGGGGGATGTCGATGCACGATCGTAATCAGCTGCCTCGGTGAGCTAGCGTGTGTTCACGCCTAAGAAGGCTATCTTCCCTCGACTCCGTAGCTGACTGCTCTAAATGACAAGGACAGCCTACTCTGACATAACATCGGCCATGGAGATGTGTGGCGTATACCGAAGGCACGCGAGGAGTACCTATCTTGTCCATGATTGATAAAAAGAGCATCAAGGCTCCCGCGACAGCATCGCAAGAACAATCGAACGAACCGACAATGACACCAACAATCTACCTCGTATCACTCATTCTCCCCTTTATCCTCCTCTATCAATACATCCTCCTTCCCCTTTTCCTCTCCCCCCTCTCAAAAATCCCCGCTGCAAACCCTCTAAGCCCGATCACCAACCTCTGGATCCTCTACATCCGCTGGCGAAACATCGAGAACCAAACACTCCTCAGGCTGCATCAGAAACTCGGGCCAATTGTAAGGTTGGCACCGAACGAGTTGAGCGTGAATTGTTATGAGGGAGGTTTGAAGACGATATATGGGGGTGGTTTCGCGAAGGATGAGTTTTATGTTAGGAGGTTTGTGAATTATGGGTATGGTCCTCAGCGGAATGCATTGTCGTGAAGATTGCATTTGCTGACGTTGGGGGTATAGCAAGGTCAATATGCTTTGCATGACGGATAACAAGGCGCATGGTCTCCGGCGGCGGATGCTCTCGTCGGTATACTCCAAGTCGAGTATCATGAGCTCGGCCAGTCTTCGTGTGACTTCCCGGAACATGCTCTTCGATCGCTTGCTCCCGCAACTGGTCAAGAGCGCAGAGGCTGGCAAGCCGGTGGACGTGTTCAAGCTCAGCTACGCATATTCGATGGACTCATTCATGGCTTTCCAATTCGGCCTGAAGCTGGGAAGTAATTTCCTTCTCGACACCAAAGAACGAGACTGGTACATGGACGCCTTCTTCGGTCGCAGGCAGTGGTACTTCTGGTCTGACAACTTCTCTGGTCTTGTTGGAGGCTTGCTTCGGGTCGGGATTCATCTCGTGCCGAAGTGGATCACTATCGCAAACCATGAGGCTGCAGATTGGATCCTGAAGAAATGCGATCTGGCTGAAGAGATGGTTTCGTCGGGAGAGGAACTGCCGGTGGGAGATGTGCCAACGCCATATGTACAAGAGCGCGCTGCTTTCCGCAAGGCGAGTGGAGATGGCGGCGACGGAGCTCCCGAAGACTATCCATATCGTTGGGAGCTCGCGAGTGAAATGTACGACCACAAAGCTGCGGCCATGGAGACTAGTGGTGATACCCTGACGTATATCTTCTACGAGATGTCGCGCCATCCTGAGTTGCAGAAGAAACTCAGGGATGAGCTCTTGAAGCTTGATCCGCCTTTAAAGTGCTCTCTCGAAGGGGACGCCGAGCTGCCTGAATTCAAAGCAGTGGATGACATCCCGCTCCTGGGCGCCATTCTGCAGGAGACCCTTCGACGCTGGGCCCCGGTCCCCGGCGGGCAGCCTCGAGTGACACCGCCGCCTGTGTGTAGCCTGGCGGGCTATGACAACATACCGCCAGGCGTCAAAGTGCATTCCTCTGCGGGTGTACTCCATCGAAACCCTGAAGTGTTCCCAAATCCAGAGGAGTGGACTCCCGATCGATGGCTGGACTCCTCTGACAAGCAAACCAGTGAGATGAATCGATGGTTTTGGGCCTGGAGCAGTGGAGGTATGCCTCTCCTTCAAGCGTGATATGGAAGACGCTGACTTTCATGCAGGAACGACGTGCCTGGGCAATAACTTTGCGACCAACTGTGAGTCTGTCGCCGGGACGAAGCCTAGAAAGCATACTGACGCCTTGACAGCAATGAAGCTCGTGATCGCTACGGTCTACAGCAACTTCACCACCAAAATCGTTGACGCGAAAGGTATTGAACAGGATGAAGGCTACACCGCTGGTCCGAGGGGAAGCAAGCTGATGTTACAATTCGATCGAGTCAAATAGTCGTCTGCACATTTGATCATGCAAGAATCGTTTCCCAGCCGTTTTGAATGACAACGTCAAGCCAATACACATTTTGCTGCCCATTGTCTATGTTTCTCCAGGTCTCCTTGACGATGTCGAGACAGACTCGGATGGGTTTTGGTGGTATTGCTCCGAGTAAGGCGTGGAGTCTGTCGAGCACAAATTTGCGCATGATGTTTACGTCTAGCTCCTTCGTGATGAGTGTATCTTCTAAGGACGATGACTGGTTGATGATGTCCATCGACGATGTCGGTTTGGTTTCGCAAGCAAGTTCACTAGCGAGAGCCACAAGCAAGAACGCCTGAAAATCTTTCGTACCGGATTCTGGTGGGATGCTTTCGAGCAATTTGAGCCCTTCCAATGCAAATGAAGTGAGCCACCCGTTTCGTTGGGCTTGGGTCGCTGGGACGGGTTCTGAGCCGGCAATCAGAGCATCAACATCACTATCTTGAGCAAGACGATCCGATAGTAGATCCGGAAAGACACGATACAGCTGAAGAAGGCCAATGTATCGATGAAGATCTGCAATGGCCGTTAAGTGCCACGTTGGAGTCGACTTGTCTCCAGTACTCGCTACGTCCTCTGGGTCGGGATGCTGGCAAGCTAACAACTGAGCCTCCAAAGCCCGCGCCGTGGTCAGGTCTTGAGCCATCTGCTGGATATGAGATTGCGTGACAAACTGCTGGTTGAGGCAAAGTAGTCTGTTCTTTCGCACAAGCCTGCCAATCGATCCAACGAGTGCTGACGTCTCTGGCGCAACTCCAGTCCAGGGGTGGGCGGACTGTTGAGAGGCTAGATATGGCGCAGGTAGCATAAGAGTCTGACTTGGTTGTATGGCCTCCGGATCAGCTGCATAGGCAAGGTACATCTCCCAATGGACCATCGCCTGTTGAAAGAAGCTATAGCTGTCGTCGATAGTGCCAGACCCAATCATAGCTTCGAGATGCTCTCTCAGAGCCTTGTAGGCCGTCAATCCTAGTTCTCGTGGTTGATGCCAATTGCCGGTTGGCCCAGACATCATCAATGCCAGGATAACATGGAAGTCTTGCCCGCCCTCGTTCTGTACCGCCTCAAGCGCTTGCTGTCTTAGCTTCGCTCCGATAGTGGCGAATTTTGGATTGATCTCCACGAGGTACGAGGCAGCCATGCTCTGTGCAGCAAGGTTGACTGCCAGTGAATGGCCGAAGGACTTCGACACTGCCGATCGGAATGGGTTTCGCTCACTGTCGAACATAGAGTAGACTTGAGGCACGACCTTGAAGTAGTACGACAGCAGTTCATATGGCTCGTCTCTGAGAGACCTGTGGACCTGATAGGCAGACCTTGGCATCCTCGCTCCAAGAGAACGTAGCATCGACTGTGCGTTATTACGGCGAGGTTGCCGCTGCGTCGTTGATAGTTCCATCCCGGTGGCACTATGCTCGGCTGTCGATAGCAGATGGTCTATGTCCAATGAAGTCTGATTGGAGGGAGAAAATGCCTCAAATGTCGGACCAGGGAAGACGAACGCGGTGAAATCATCCTGCTGCTGATCAGACGTAGCCAGTTGATCCAGCGAAAAGGACGGGTCCGACCAATCCAAAAAAGCCGCAGTTTCTGCTTGTGGCAAGGAATCTTGCTGAATCGTCGTATATGAAGGTTGCTCGTCCTCGTCATCTTGAGCGTCTTGGCCTGGTGTAGGCGTGTTTACTTCGTGTTTTGTGGACCATTTGAGCGACTGTGAATAGCCAGGGCATGTCACACCCAGGCGCGTACATCTGCCGCAGGCGGGTCTTTGCTCGTCGCATTTCAAGTGCTGCTGCTTGCACCTGGAGCAACCTCCCCTCGACTTCTTACCTCCTCGCCGGGTGACTTTGGCACTCATCCTTTGCCTGGATTCCATTCTGCGCTCTGTCTTCGTGTCCGTGGAAGTGGGATATCTGACACTTTGCGTATGCCATCAGAAAGATTCTGCTTGCCACCCGACATGATCCTGCGGCCTGGGCGAGAACCCGAAGCTGTCGCCATTATTGCGGATGGCGATGAATTCAGGTCGTCTTCAGTTGCCGAAATAGGTCGTCAAATACGATCGATATGGTTTGTGTAAAGTCTCGGGAACAATGGCCAAGATGTCACAATTTCCCAACCGCCAGTGCCAAATGTGACCTCACCCAGCTCGAGCTCCTCGCTTCTTGTACTCTTGTCAACAGAGATGGTTCTATCCGCGGCCAAGCTGCCCTATCGATGTGCCTCTGCTCGTCATGACTTCCTTCCTGTTTGTGCTCCTCAGGCCCAGACTGTACTTACGATTCCATAACCACAGAGAATGTTGACTAGGACAATCATAGCCCGTTCTTTCACTCACAAGACATGCCGAGCTCCCTCAATCATTCGTAGGACCAATGCTACGGCCAGCGAGAAGAAGCCCAAGTTGGTCGATTTAAGCCGAGAACTATACCATCGAAGTCCAGCTCACCCATTCCATCCGCCTGTGATCATAACGCCATGGGATACCCATCAACCCAAGCAAGCTGGCAACACGGTCCTACGCTCCGCCTCATATGCAATCTCCATGTCAGATCATGCGGGAACTCACGTTGATGCACCAAGGCATTTCGATCCAACCCCTGGAGCCTTGTCCATCGATCAGATGCCATTGGAGAACTTCTATACCTCTGCGATATGTCTCGATCTATCGCACGTCGAGCTTAAAGCTACCATCAGTGTGGAAGAGATGGAAGACGCTTTGTCCAAGTCTGGTGAGGAGATAAAAGATGGCGATACAGTCCTTCTCTACATGGCTTTCAACAAGCGGATACCGTTCAGTGACCCCAGATGGCAGCACGACTTCCCTGGGTTGTCGCTCGAGGCCGTGTACTGGCTTGCAGATAAGGGGTGCAAAATCTTCGGTGTCGAGGCTGTTAGCCCTGCCCCTGAAGGCGAGCCGAACTTCCAAGCACGCAATGCATGTGGAGAGAGGAACATCACGCATATTGAAGGATTGGACAATCTTGAGCAAGTCGTTGGCAAAGGCAGGTTCAGATTCATTGGCTTCCCTCTCAAGATAAAAGAAGGGAGTGGTGGTCCTATGAGGGCTGTTGGTCTATTTGAATGAACAGAGTGCATCTTCACCTCGCATTTCCTCTACTGAAAGGCGCATTCTTTGCTATCACTCATTCCCTAGGCTACCTTCTCGACTTCGTTCACAACTTCTGCCTTGCCTGAGTCGGACCCTGTTGGGCCTCCAACTGAGTTGTGCCTCTCTGCATAGTCTTGCATTTCGGGCGGCAAGAACAATTTGTCGATGTCCTCGAGAGATATGTTACTTGTCTCAGGGTAGAAGAAGTATATCGCCGGGAAGAAGGCAGCCTGGTGAATGTTAGCTACTGATACCATGATATAGAGAGAGATGGCTTACATTAGTGCAAGTGAAGATGATATATCTGCAAGTCAGTGGTAAGCAGCACGGTCAAGCAAGTCACATTGGGGATTGACTTACGTTCGCCAGTCAATTCGATTGATCAGGACAGGAGTGATCATGACGATGAACTGCAAGTAAGTCAGCAATAAGAACTAAGTCGTGACAAGGTTGACTAACGAAGTTCCACAGCCAGTGTGCTGAAACGGAAATAGCAGTTCCACGAGTTCGGGCCTCGAGAGGCAGAATCTCAGGCCCGTAGACCCAAGGAACGACATTGATAGTACCGCCGAAGATCTGTAAGAGCCATTAGTCGCCGTTTCTTAGGACTGACTGTCTTGGCAACTTACGAGCATGTATAGGAAAAAGAACGCAATGGCTGCGGACGAGGTGTTCTCGTTCCCTATGCTCAGCAAGATCGTGATCATCATCATACAGAAGCTGAGTCCAGCGACTCCCCAGAGCATTGTTGGTCGGCGACCCATTCAATCCAGCGCTAGTGCGGGTGCCGTGTTACCGACGATGAACATCAAGTTCACGAAGCCGGCGATCAGGAGGGATGTATTCCTGGACAGTCCGACATTTTGGACGAGGACGGTTGGCATGTCTGGGTAGGTCAGCGAAAGCCCAGCATTACAGTAGAGTTGTAAAACTAACAATAGACGACCAGGTTGATGCCACCCATCTGATTCATAAACAACCCGAACCAAGCGAGACATACTCTTCGACGCGTCTTGAGGATGTCGTCCTTGAATACGGCGCTGTACTTCTGAGCGCCTTCCTGAACCTCCAGGGAAATGGCTGCTCGAATAGCTGCCATCTCTTCTTGGACGTATGGGTCGTCTGGTGCAAGGTCGAAAACAGCACAAATCACTTCGGCAGCCTCTCGTTCGCGACCTCGCTTGGCTAGCTACCGAGGAGACTCTGGTAGTCCCCAGACGACGAACACAACGATGATCGCGAAAATCAGCTGAAGAGAGATTGGCACCCTCCAAGCTGCATCGCTTTGGACATAAGACATTCCATAATCGACCCAGTAGCTCAAGACGATGCCAACCCCTGGTGAAAACCATCAACTCTGCCTTGTCCACGCGGTGGAATCAAATAGCTTACCGATAAACCAAATCTCCCACGATACCAAACGACCACGACTCTCCTTCCTGGAAAGCTCAGACTGATACATTGGCACGGTACTCGAGTCAATTCCAGTGCCAAACCCAGTGATGATCCTTCCAACGATCAGGTGGGCCAGAGTGAAAGCGGATGTCTGCAGAACGGCGCCAATGATGATCAGCACCATGGCTAGCCAGATCATACGACGTCGACCCAGCCAGTCTCCGATGCAGAAATTGATACCGCAACCGACGAGGGCGCCGAGACAGTAGGAGCTGACAGTGATGCCGGTGATAACATCGCTCTAGATACATTGGTCAGCTTGGGAATGCTACTGTAGCTTCGAGAGAGGAGTCTGACTGGATTGCCGAACTGGTCACGGAAGAAGGGGTTCTGTAAGAGACCGCTTAGGACACCTTGATCTGTGGACAGGATGATTAGCTGGAGAGTCTTTAATTTGACGTGCCCCGTGTTTGAACATACCATATCCGAAGAACAGGAAAGCACTCAGGCAAGCAACATACAGCGCTGCCCTCAGAGGCGCACCTCGTCCGTAGCATCGACGCATGATAGCTCCTTAGATCAACCCGCCACGAAAAGAAAAGGAGAATCAACCGAATGCTGAACTCCAACAGCACACGAGCGTCCATACACTTAATCATATACCAACCCGACGTCACAACACTCCAATGCTCCTCCAAGAACAGAGCCAAGACCACGGCATACCCATTCTCGACAATCCAGTCTTGCACCCGGCTTGGTCGATGCCAAGCTGAGGAGTCGCGATGTACCAAGACCTGCGTACCGCACGACGTGATCGGCGTGCTGGCCATGTGGCTCTTGTTAGCGTGGGATTTGGTGAAACAATCACTGCATGCTGTGGATTGCCCCATGGGGTTTGCAGGGGCGACTTGCGGCTGAGAGGATGTTTCATTCCCGCTGGGAGGAGGGGGTCTTCTATACGGACTATCATTGGAGTATCATCTCCAAGAGACATCTCTCGACGATGCCAACGCGATCTCGTTGCTCCTCAGACTTTATATCCAACTCCGATAGCACTCGCAGTCCAGCGAGGCTCAAAGCCCGTCTCACCCCAACGCTCCTTGGACGTCTCATTCCAAGATCTGCCTGACGTCGTCTCGTTCCATGATCCAGTCCGATTGAGCCAATGTTGCATGTGTTTGTCGGTTTTATACGACGGCGGGGTGTCCAGACTGTGTAGTTTCCACTGCAGACACTTCCAATTGATCGTACCGCCAGGCGTCCACTGCTCCAGTCCAACTTCGTCGTCTGGGTTCTTGTTGCCTGCATCCAAAGTCAGTATTCATAACTTAAATGTCACAGTGGCCATGGAATGACTTACAAGGGTTCGACCGCATAACAAAAGCGTCGTAGAAGTCCTCAATGTTGAGTTCACTCGGATTCCGGAACCCCACGAGCTTGTCCTCTTCCCCCTTCCCACAGGCCGTCTTGAGGTACTGGATCGAGAGAACAAGCCATCTGTTCTGCATCTGGGCGCCTCCTGCGGCTTGTGGCGGTTCAACGTAGGGCCGTACTTCTGTTTTCAGGACCTTGAAGCCATTCCAGTTGTCCGAATACTTCACGCTAGAACCCGTGGGCTTTGCGTACAGTCCGGACGAAAAGGCTTGGCGGTACAGAGCCTGGGCCATGTCCGCGACGGTTTGCACGCCGTAGTAACCGGCAGACTTAGGGTCGTTGCAGGTCATGGCGTCGGTGGACACTTTCTGATCGGACGGTACGGGGTACGGCGGATCTGAGGTCTTAGGGGGAGCAGTCGTCTTCGGCCAACTGCTGTAATCACAGACGTCGATCTTCTGAGTTGTCTTTCCGCTGACGGTCGCTGTGACGGTCTTCCTCGTTGTTGGAAACTCGCCGGTCTGAGAAGCTAGCGAGCACTGACATACATATTGACCAATGCCTCCGGCTTCCACTGGAATGCACGTTGGCTTGGTTGTTGGAGTTGGGAACATATTGTCGAAGTATGACGCCAGGTAGCTGGTCATGGCGGTGACGTCCTCGCTGGGCATCGGTGTGCCTTGGCTGAGGGCGCAGACGAGCTTGTAGCGAGGTGCTTCCTCCTGAGTATCTTCTTCGTCGTCGTCAACCGCCTGAGGATAGTCTTCCCTCATCTCCAGGTTGATCTCAATCATGACATCAGGCTCGATAATGAAATTCTCTTCCAAAGCAAGAGCGTGTGTGATGTTGTAGATCATTTGGCGCCCTGCTCCGTATGTGATGAATTTGTTCCTCAGCGTGGCGTTGTCAAATATCCACTGATCCATGTAGCCATTTCGCGTGAACTCCAGGGCGTTGTCGTTGATGCGGTTGGTGAGATGCTCTTCTATCAGCTGCTCGAACTCCACCCTCGCCCACTGAGGCATCAGGTCACAGTTCAATCTTCGGCCGTCAATGGGCTCGCGATGAGCACATAGATTGTTTGCATCTTTCAAACCTTGGTCGAGGATGCTGCTATCCAGATCGATGTGGATTTGAGAATCTCCGCGTCTCGCACTCGCAGTAGCTGAAGGCTTTCCAGACGTTACCGGACGTGTCATCGTCTTTTTAGTCATAGTCGACGATGTTGATCCGAAAGTCACCATCGTCTCTGTGAGCACGGTGGTCAAAGACCAGGTTACCGTGGGCGTCGGTTTGCAGGTTGAAGTGAGAGAGATGGTCGTCTTGCCAGCGCTTGTCTTGGTCGCGAATGAAGTGAACCACGAACATCCGTTCGAGCTTCGTGTGGCAGGCATCCACTCATCCACCTCGGTGTCCTTGATCCAACACTCGCGATGATCGATGTGTGCTTCCGGTCTACAAAAAGATCAGTTCACTCATATCTTCCAAATGGCCGCGTCACCCGGCTGCGCAAGTTGTTGGACTTACATTCTCCAAGTACAGCCCCCTTCTCCTCGCCCCGCTGGCGCCGCACTGAGAGTAACGCTGCTCTTGGTCTCAGTAGGGATCACCTCAACTGTACTAGTTGGTCCTGATTTGGAAGAAGGTGGACCTTTGGTCGAAGCTTCCTGCAGAGGAACACACTTGTCACCATAGGTATAGATACACGATGGAATCGCATCAGCATAGAGACAGGTCGATGTGACTGGCCACGTCTCTGTTTTCCAATAGTAAGGTGATTGGTAAGTGAGCCAGGAGCAGCCTCCAGATGTCGGTGTCTTTGGTGGCACGCAAACACTCGTTGGGTCTAACTCATCTCCCGACCAATGTTGGTTGTACCAGAGGCATGAGGGCAGGCTTTCCACGCATGTTGTTGTCGTTGAGGTGCTAGTCTGACAATGGCCGTCGCCTGGCCAGCAGCGGACCTCTGATGAACTGTATTTGCAGTAAGAGTGGCAGGAAAGCTCGCCTTGCGGGAAGGCGGCTCGTTGGGGATCTAGCGATACGCATGTCGATGTTGTTGCGTACACAGGCTCAACCGTGTTCCGGAGCCAGCCGTATTTCGTTGTCTCTGACACAAATGGGAAGATCGTGGAAGACTATGATCAGTTAGCTCGGGAATCCTATTGGTCTTGGAAGGACGCCAGACAGCTCCAATATAGAGTCTTCGGAAAGTATCCCTGATTTCAACTTACGTATAAGCAGTCTGGTAAGTGGTTTTGATCGAGACAAGTAGTCGAAACAGTGCTGAAGTAGTCGCAGTACAGCATGTTCGTCAACGAACGACATCCCTCCCTGTTGATCGGACTGTAGTGCCAGAAGGCTGTAGTAGTACATGGTAGAAGCTCGCAGGTCACCGGATTCGTAGTTTCGGTGGATGGATATGTCCGTGTGTTCGGGTTAGTAATGATGGCATGATTGACTGGAGTCACAGCGGGCAGCAGCATGTTGACTGGCGAATTGCTCGGTATCGCGGATGGGCTGGCGGAGGCGGGTATTTTTGAGAATGTCTCGATGACTGTAACGATAGCCGTTACAGAAACCGGAGAAGCTGCAGCATGTCCCAGGAATATCGCCATAGCGATGCATTTGAGTAGATCCATGGCAGGCCAGACTGGTCGAGGGCTCGCAGAGAGACTGCTGTTGTGCAACCAGGGCGATCGAATATGTAGCGTCTTCCTCGGCGTATGATAGTTGTTACTGTCGGCGCATGTGATGGCCTGCAGATGAATGGTCTCGTCGTAATACCGTGGGAGTGAGAAGTCGTGTATGCTGCTCGTCGAAGACTGCTGAGATAAAGATGAAGCAGGCCAACTTGTCACCTTGTCTGTCACATCCAATAGTTCTGGTACGAATAGGTAAGCAAGAACATGGTGGTTGTTGCATTTGAGAAAGCTTTTAGAGGGGAAGAATGGTGGCTTAAATATAAGGCAGTCTAGCCTTGCATGTGAACCTTCGAGAGTGTGAGCGGAAGACTTTGCATGTGCACACTGTGTGCAGGCTCGCGAATGCAAAAGGGGCCGCTTTACACTCACATGCTTTGCTCCAACTACGCCATGGAGTATTTGGCTAAGATCTTGTAGATAAACTCAAGAGGTCGAATGTGTAGAGTTTAATGATTCCTGTCCTGAAATTTGATGCCATTCTGACCAAGCTTAATCAGAACTGGCCTGCCTCAACTCTTGTGTTGCTTCCAGCGCAGTATATTCGTCCATGGAATATACCTGATCGTCGCAGCCTTCATGTCTTGGCTGGGCCTGAATCTTAGCAAGAGCCCATGCTTTTGCAATTCGATCAATTCTAGGAAAGGCTTTAGTCCAGTCCATCTCGGTCCATATATCATCCCCAAGTTCTTCCCATTCAAGGCGATGCAGTTCATCCATGAAAGGTGCAATGGTGTCACGCCTAAAAATATCTTCGTGACGATCGTTTGGAGTAACGGCGTCCCATGCCCTCTGAAGTCTTTCCCCAGAGCAGAATCCAATTGCAAAAGCCTGTGCTTCTTCCCTCAATTGATCTTGCAGCGGCGCCCGACGATCCGATTCCTGGCGTACCCAGTTGTACGCCTCGGGAAGGAGTGTTTCATGAGCAGGCTGCTTGAACCAAAACCTCTTGTCGGTTGGCAACCCAGAAGGTGGTACTGGAGTGAAGAAAATCCCTGATGTCGCTCTGTATAGCTTGTCTTTTACCGCCAGGTCGCGAGCTTGTCTTCTCGCTTTCTCCATGAAATCCAGTCCCCCATCTTCAGTGTGAAGAAATATCCATGGAGTACTGTGAGTATTTGCGACAGTGTAGATATTCGATGCTCGCTTGATAGTGATATGGTAGTACTCAGAAAGGCTCTGCCATTCATTGTTGATCTTGAGTGAATGGATGAGGAACCCTGGAGACCGGACTTCGGTCATGGCATAGAATTGTCTTGGGTTACTGACCCCCGCCAGCACAATAGGATGTTGCTTCCAGACTCCTGAGACGGATGGATGAAGTGATTGAAATCGGGTCAGGAAGTCTTTAGCAACCTTGATAATCTCAGTCCGATTCGCCAGTATGTAGTCCAGGAAGCCAGAGTTCGAGCTGTGATTCTTGACCAAGTCAAATAGGTTCATCGTTTGTATCGTAATCCCGCCTTGATGTAAAGTGTCCTCATTAAGATCGTGGATGATGAGGCTGAAATGAGTTCCGCGTAACTTAGCCGTTGCCATGAAAGGATATCCAGTGGAATGACCTTGTGCTGCGCGCAGGCTCTGCGAAATCGCTCTCCGTGCTCGGGCAGTGATATCCTGATCTGACTCATGACTCTTGATGTTGCGAACAAGGTCTTCGACATTTGTTAATATTTCAAAGGGATGGACCGCAGCGATAGGATCCACCTGAGAGACGAGAAGTCGAGTGTCTTCAAGGCAATCTATGTAAGAACAAAGATCGATCTCGTATATTTCTGTCATGTTAGGACTTTCGAATGTGGCATATAACTACCTGGAGGCTGCTTCAAGAGAAGGCTATAAATCATGTAAAGGCAGTAGCGTTGTCAGTGGAGACAGAGTCACAGCCACAATCATCCCTCAAAGACTTGTGGACACCGCCCACCAACAACATGGCTATGAGCCTGAATGTATCCCAGCAGCATTTTCAATTGCGTACCCTGCACTCAGTCATTCGCTCCGGGCTGGCGGTGTTGAGACCGGGCTGTGAGACGCACACGGCATCGATACATGGTGCTGTAACAGTCTCGCGGTCCTTCGCGAGGTGATGGCCAACGTGAATCTCTCCACTAGTGTGCATCAATTCCTCAGGCTTTGCAATGAGACTGGAGCGTCGCATTGAGAGATGGCGCCTGCAAAATGTTGAAGGACGGAGATGGGAAGAGTCACAATCGTTAGGTGAGGTGACGTTCAAGAATGTCGGTGCCTCAGGCGTCAAGTGACGTCAGCCGATCACATGCGAACACCTGGGACAATTCAAGGTTGTGAATGAGCAGCCAGGACGCGCCTCATCTCCTCCTTCACTCCCTACAGCATGGCCTGCATCTAAACAACCACCGTCCACCAAAATCCACCACAACCCGCGACTGACATCACAATGTCTTCGAACGGGTCGTCCGTGACCCTGCTCGACCTCCCCGTCGACCTATTGCTCCTCATATTCCCCTACCTCGACGCGGCGAGCTTCCTTAGCCTGACCTCGACCTGCAGAGCGCTGCACAATCCGGACTTTGTCGAAGATGCCATGTATTGGAGTGATCTCGTGCGCCATCAGTTCCGCGTGCCGAACCAACCTGTGGTTCAAAACGATGGTCGTAGATGGAAGAGGCTCTACAAACGCATGAGGACACAATCCAAGATTTTTTCTTGGGGGAACGACGACAAAGGCTGTCTAGGCCAGTCATTCGACATGCCGAACTTGCCTGGTCAGAGAAGACCGGTAATGAGAAGGTCGAGGCATATCAGTTGCCCGGGCGAGATGGAAGGCACTGAGCAGCTGGGGATTATATCAGACATGCAGTGCGGAGGTTGGAGCACATCGTTGCTTACGAGCAAAGGCGCACTCTACACTTGTGGTGTGCTTGATGGGCTGCAGTTCAATCAGCGTAGGCCGCCATATATGCAACAGCCCAAGAGGCAGCCCACGGCGCTACGATTTCCGTCAGGCATGCCGCAACCGAAAGACAGATACGATCCCGTGACAGCCATCAAGCAATTCTCTTCAGGGAGATCACACGTCCTAGCATTGAGCGACACTGGTAGGATTTGGAGCTGGCAGGACATTGAGCTTCCAGGGATGCACGTGAAATTCGTCCACCACAGCCTCACAGAAGACGGACGAGAACGTGGAACTGGGGTTGTCAAAAAAGTTGTTGCTGGCTGGAACAAGAGCGTTGCATTGATAGAAGGCAGTGGTATTGTTGTGTGGGAGCCACTCCAGTTGAGCCCTGAGGAGTGCGATACTTCAGATGCGGCTCTTGTCTTGGAGAGTACAGTCGTTCCCAGAACAAGATATGTCGAGTCCCAGAATCGCAAGACAGCCGAAGGTAGTTCTGAGGGAGAAGACGTGGGTGAGGTACAGAGCTTTATCGTGCTGGAGGACTCGATCTTGTTCAATACCTCGCTCGGCAAGGTCTTTGCGGCTCTCATCACCTGGACAGACACAGCACAAACAGTCAGCGATCCCGTAGAGCTTTCAATACCAGCCGGAGGAGAAGCTAACGCGGAGGCATCGTTCGTGACTGATATTCAGGGATCTTTCCGTAACTTTGCGGTTTTTACGAAGGTGAGCACTGTCATATGTCCAAAGAGTAACATTGCTGACATGTCACAGGCTGGCGATGTCCTGACGAGCGAGCAAGACCGCGTCATGCCGCTCCTCACCAACCAGCACACAAACCGCAGGCTATTCACGCGGATCCCAGCGTTGCAGAACAAGCAGGTCATATCTCTGGCGTTCGGAGACTATCACTTCCATGCACTACATTCCACAGGAGAAATCACCAGCTATGGGTACGAGCCTCAAAGCTGCGGTGCTCTAGGCCTAGGTGGCCATGGTGTCCCGGAGGGCCGTCTGCGTGGCATCCGCAATCGTGGCATCGGCGGAGACGGCCACCTCGTACCTCACGCCTATACTGAAGGACGAAGAGTATGGTTCGAGAAGGAGAAACAGGAATGGATCAGTTTCATCACATCAGGAGGCGCTGATCCACAGGAGGGTGCTGCAAGAGTGAGAATGGCGATTGGCAGTCCTGGGCCGAACGCTCAGGGTGAGGTTAGCGAATGGATCGAGCAGGAAGGTCGCGACTGGGAAGGGAAGTTCGGAATCAGGGGCCAAGGCGAGGAAGACGATGGACTGGGTGCCTACTTCGCTCTTAGTGTGAGCGCTGCCGGCTGGCACAGCGGTGCTCTCGTCCTGGTCAACGAGGACATGGCCGAGAAGTTGAGGAAGGCCGTCGAAGTGCCTGAACATCCGCCCGGCGAGGAGCCACAAGAAGATGTCGCGTCGTCTGCACAACCCAGCTACGAATCGAGCCGGGCAACACCCTCTACCAGCGACACCGCCCCCTCTAACGAGACCATCCTCGACCGCGCCGCAGACTGGGGCCGCTACTTCCTGGGCCTCGCACCTTACAACGTTAACGATGCAGCCTATGACCCCAACGCAGCCCATCTACGGACCAACACCACTGCTCGCAATCAACCAGGCCCTTCAAATCGGCACAACCCCCAATCTCAGAACTTTGGCGCTTCGCCAAGGCCTGGATACAAGTATATCTGGGCGGACGACCATTTTCCGCGGCTGAGGCTTAGTGATGGCACGGAGATGCCTGGAGAGGTGCCGTTTCATGAGTGGAGGTATGGACGGCCGGAGTGGAATTTGGCGTGGGAGGATGGGGAGTGATAGGACATGCTGCTGAGCAGTAGGATTGGTATGGGTATGAGTTGATGATATCAGATGTATTGGAATGGATTGTCTCCTATGAGGGCACGTTTGGCACAATGCGTCTTCACTTTCATTTTCATCTTCCTGTCATATCTCCCTGTCATTTGAAATCACTGTTCATGCAAGAAATATCCACAAACCACAAAACCGAACGCTTCAGTAGAAGAATGCAAATCCCCGAACGACTCATCATCACCTCTCAACCCCCAAAACCCTCACCCTAATCCCCTTGGAATCCAACCTCGGACTCGGCAAAAAGAAGTCATGCGCCAATTTGACATCGCTCTCGTCAGTCCCATAAAGCTCCAACTTAAACTGTCTGAACAACCTCCCCACCATCATGAAGAACTCCATCCACGCCAGATTAATCCCCAGACACGACCTCGGTCCTTTCCCGAACGCGACGAAGTATCTTTCTAAGGGTGATCCATCGGGAGCTTTGGGCGATTCACCCACCCAGCGCTCGGGTTTGAAGGCTGACGCGGAGGGGAAGTAGTCGTCATTGAGGTGCACGTCAGCGATGGTCATCGAGATGGGCGTTCCTGCGGGTACGACCCATTCGCGCCAGACCAGAGGTTCGGTGAGAACGCGAGGGTTTCGTGCGGAGACGCTGAGGCCAAGGCGGATGCCTTCCTTGATGCAGCCTCGCAGATACGGCAGGTTCTCGAGATTCGCGTAGGCGAAGGCGTCGGGCTTGGAGATATCCGGAATGGCTTGTTTGAGTTCGGTCTTGAGTTTCTGGTGAATGGTGGAGTCGGAGAGGATGTAGTATGTCGCTTGGCAGAGGGCCCAGGCGGTGGTTTCGATGCCGGCGCCGAGGATTAGTTGGGCTTCTTCTGCGAGGCGGAGGTTGGATTTCTCGGCTGGGGGGAGGTCGGATTGGAGGAGGGAATGGAAGATGGTGGGATGCTCTGGGGGTTTCTCGTCGGCTTGGAGGCCTTTTCCGACGCCGGCGATTTTGGCGCGGAGGTCTTTTTGGAGGTCGAGCAGTTTGGCGAGGGGAGGGTTCATGGCTTTGTTCCAGGAGTCCGGAAGGCTGTTTAACAGGCCGTGCATCCAGGGGAATTGGAGAGCTACGTGGCCGAAGGCGCTGACGGCCATGAAGGCGTCGTGGAAAGAATCGGTGAAGCCTTCGAGGCTGAGGTGGTCGTAGTCGAAGCCGAAGGAATATTGTGTTACAACGTCGCCGGCGAACGCAGAATAGGCCTCAGAGATCTTGCAGACGGCGCCAGTTTCGTGGAAGCGTTTGAGGCCGTTGGTCATGATGTCCATTTTGTTTTGAACGGCGGATTCAAAGCCGAGGATTGCTTTGCGGGAGAACATGTAGTTTAGAGGAATCCTTCTGATCTTGTGTAGAGTGGGATCGGATGTCGTGAAGACCGAGCCTGAGTTGCCGAATCTGCCTGCCGTCCACTGTGAAATGTCAGTGTAAGGACCTTTCTTACGCAGATGGAATTATCACTGACCTCATACTTGCTGCTCTTGTTGTGCTTGACGTAGAGCGTCTCCCAAAATGGCGGATCCTGGATATGGATCTCATCTGGCGTAATGCGAATTATTGGGCCATACTTTCGGTGCAAGTCCTCGATATGGAAGGAATATTTGCCGTTCAAGATAATCTCATAGTATGCTTCGTACCACTTGGTCAACGCTGCGAGTTTGGGCCCAGGGAATTTCGCGAGCGGATGCAAATATAAGCGGTAGATGATCAGACTGAGCAGGGAACCTAGGACGACGACCGGCAAGGTGAGCAGCAAGTTGTAGGCCATGGCGACGAGCTCGAATTACCCGTCAACAGGTAGAGCGTCGAAAGGGAGTCGTACTGAAGGAGGAGAGACTCAACAACACCTACAGTTCTTTCGTGATGCCGAGATATAGCACAACCAACAGGCCCCACACTGCCCTATCATCCTCCAATAACGCCCGGTGCGTTATGCATCAACGCGAGCCGTCTCGGTTGCCAATGCAGGCCTTGTCCAAACTCGCGGCCCGTGATTCCTTGCGTTGGCGAGGGGCTCTTGGGGCACTTACTCATGCGAGACGAGAGTCTATGCAGGCCACGTTCTTGCTGGTAGAGGGCCAGATACGCGGAAAGCTGTTCTCTGGCGCGAGATGGCATGTCGGCACCGAAAGAGATCTCGGGAGACCGTTGTTTGTGGGATGAAGAACTGAAGCGAAAAGCCTGCCACTGTCGTCCCGGCAATTTTGGCTGACCGTTGACCTCGCGTGGCTACGGGGAACTAAGGAGGGCTAAAGTTGCAAAGAGGGTTCTTAATTGCCGGTTTTTAGATTTCTCTATCTACTCTCTTAATATATATTACTACAATATCTACTGTCCTAAAGGTTACTCTATATACTTTGTATACTTAGTTTTCTCTATAGATATTATTAGTTTTATTAAATATAATATTTATTATTTTTATAAGTTAGTAATAGATATAATATTATAGCGTATATATATAAAAGGGGCTACCTTAATAGGCGAGCTATTTCAATTTTATGCAGTAATTAGTATATACAATACGAACTAACGCTAATAACATTCCGCGTCCCGTACGAGAAGGCTTCGGAGTTAAAGCTGGACTTCATTGTCCACGACGTCTCCTCACTTCGAATCGATGACATGAGCTGATGTGTCTTCCGGTGCCCCCTATGGACGAAACTCGGTCGTGGTTAGACTTGTCGCGTGTTGGGGTGGGCGCAGTACTCAGAAACGGGGGCCGCGCCTCGCTGTATACACGGACTTGTCCTCGACCAGCGGCTGCTCGCCCACCATCGAGGCCACTGATCGTCCATATGTGCCATTGACATTGGAGACGACGCGAATCAATGTGGCGGAGATGGACCTTCCACTGTTGCAGACACCCCTGGCTTCAATATATGGCTAAACAGCGCAATGGCATTTAAGCCAACCCAGACCCGGTGTTGTCTTTCTTTTTTGCCAGCAACATGGCTCGGATCACCACTTTCGTTGCGCTCGCACTCGCAGGTGTCGAAGCGCAGCTATGGAACCAAACAATCGAGACGCAATACTGCCCTGTCGAAGGCTTCAAGTACTTCAACGAAAGCACGCTTGCAACCTACTTCAACCTAACAAGCTCCAACGTGACGGCGTTCCTAGGGGTTCCTTACGGCGCGGACACAGCATACCAGGAGCGGTGGAAGCCTGCACAACCACCAGTGCCATGGAATACGACCCTGAAAGCTTCCGAGTTTGGTCCGGTATGTCCAACATCAGACAGCGGGTTCAGTGCTTCCTCGTCTGTTAGTGAAGACTGCTTGACCATAAACATATGGACCAATGCCGGTACGAAGGATGCCAGGCTTCCAGTCATGCTTTGGAACCAGGGCTCGGGGGAGACCAGCGACAGTACTTGGTGGTACGGTGGCGGTATGGCTCTCAAGGATGTCATCCTCATCACCTTTAATCGTCGTGACGATGCCTTCGGGTATTTGGCACATCCAGACCTAAATCAGGAAGGGTTCGAGCGGACAGGCTATTACACAAGTGGCAACTACGGTGTGCTCGACCAGCTTGCAGTTCTGAAGTGGATCACGACGAACATTGCCAACTTTGGTGGGGATCCTAATCGCGTTACTATTGCAGGCCAGTCCTTTGGCTCGTCACAGGTCTATCATGCGGTGAACAGCAAGCTCTTCTCTGGCTACTTTCACGGTGGTATTTCCGAGTCTGGAATTCGCTATCCCAAGGACACTCTCTTGGCAGACCTCGCCACCTCCTATGTTACCATGGAGGATGCTCTACTGAATGGACAGAAGTACACTTTCTACCACAACGTCACATCAATTGCTGAATTGCGCAAGCTCTCGCTCGATGAGCTATTGATCGGATCCGGCGATCGGGTTGGTAACTCTTCGATCTGGTGGGTCACTGCCTTGTCAGCTATGTATCCGCTCATTTTCAAGCCTGTACTGGACGATTATGTGCTGCCAAAGACGTACATGCAACAATTGATCGACGGCCCTGCGAATGATGTGCCCGTAATTACGGGCAATACACTTGACGAGTCTGGCGCGGCGACCTCCACAAATTACACCCTCGCTCAGTTCAAGTACTACAACCAGCTGAAATATGGCAGTCTATATGGCAACTTTACAAAATTCTATCCGACGAACGACAACGACACTCTTGCGAATGACCAATGGAACCAAGCGGCAATAGACACATCTCTCGTTGGATCCTGGCTCTTTGCCAGAGACTGGTACAAATCGGCCACCTCTCCATTCTATACCTACTTCTGGACACACGAACCACCCGGCCAGTCGCAAGGTGCATTCCACCAATCAGAAATCATGTACGCTCTGAATGCACTCTATGCCAATGCGGATCAATACCCCTTCTCAGAGGTTGACTACGAAATCGCGGCTAAGATGTCCGGGTACTGGTCCAATTTCGCAAAGACTCTGGACCCTAACAATGATGGATTGGATAAGGGCAGCACTGCTCGAGAGACCCTACCTTACTGGGCGCCAGTTGATCGTAATGGGACCCAGGTCGTGTTCGAACTGGGCAACGCATTCGGGAACGTTCCTCTCGCTAAGCCCGGTCACGCTGCGTTCATTGAGGAGTATTTTGCTCGTCAGGCTCCTTATTAGACCCAGAGAGTTGCGTGGGCTAGGTATGAGAACGGTTGCCGACGGACAGAGTGCAGATAAGACACAACCCAAACGCATTGTTGTATGGCAACCGAATTGATTTGGTATGTGTAGCAGTGCGACCACGCACCTCCGGGTATCGTGTTTAGCATCATCGAACATCTTTTACAGGCAGACAATGCTCACGAAACTCTCTCTTATTCTGGCCACACTCTGCTAGTAGATCGTCTGGCCAGCAGGCTTACTTGTATGCATTTGCTCGCTCTGGCTACACCACAGCTCTTCGTGCAAGCCTCATGTCCTTTCTGCCCTTGCTCGTATCCCCTCTCTCAATTTGTAGTGTTCCTCAGTGATGCATGATTGACCCTGTCAATAAAAAATTCAAGGGCATCGCGATACTTTCGTCCCTGGACAGACTACCGCAGGAGAAGGCTGAGGTGCAGAAATGTGCCGTGAAAAGGAGTTACTGTACAAAATGAGCAGAGAAAAGCGTTGCTGTGAACATTCCCGCATTTCAGTTGCGCTTCGTCTATCTAATCTATGAAGCTGCAGGCCCGCAACACCCCCTGAGATTGCTGGTCGGACGGCAGGGTACACATCTCTGTAGCAGTAGAGACCCGAACAAGCACGATTGGGTGCGCTGTCTAATAAACCTTCAAGCCTGCAAAATACTCTTCGTAAAGCTTCACCTTCGCGGGATCAGCGACAGTAGCTTGCTCAAACTCATTGCCGACCACTTGAACAGAGGCGTTGGTCCCACAAGCAGGCCAGTGCACAAGACCTGGACCGTTGGGGTTTCCAGTCTTGATGAAATTTACCCAGTAACTATTCATCGTTGCGGCGATCTTGTAGTCATTCGACGCCCAGGGAAGATCAGTGTCGTATAAATTGTTCAGGACGTAATTGATCTCAGATTCGTGGTATGCGCCCTGGGTCTGTCCTGGAGGTGCGTGGTTCCAGAAGTAATTGTACACGGTTTGATTAGATGCGTTCTTCCATAGCTGAGTCCAAAGGTACGTGCCGACTTTAGAACGGTCCGTCCATTGGGAATTGTACGCCCCAGAGGCCGTGATGGAGTTGTTTGCTGGATAGAGGTCCAAGAAACGTTGGATCCATGTGCCATTATATGTCTCGTTCAAGTCGGCGTAATACTCCTCAAGGGTAATGGTCAATCCGTAAGTCGCACCGCTCTCGTCCTTGGTATTTCCTGTCAATACAGGGACTTGATTTGCGGCTCCGTGGACCAGAGAATCATAGTATGTGCTAGGGATGGCGTAATAATCCAGGCAGGCTGTGAATGTCCACTCGCTCGTGCTTCCAAGAGTCGCCAAGCTGGTGACTAGATCTGCATAAGGCAGCGCGCGTGCTTCCGCGATAGTGCTCACGTTGAGGTAGTCGAGAAACTTGATTCCCTGTTCCAGACTTTCCTCGAGACTGATGTAGCCCTCTGCGACGGTGCTGGCCAGGGGGTCGTGAGGGTCACGTACACCGCTTTCAATGATAGCTCCCACTATCAATCCTTCGGTGAGCGGACTATTCACAATATGATATGTTGCAGCGGAGCCCGCAGATTGTCCCATCACGGTAATGTGGTCTGGATCACCTCCGAAATCTGCAATATTTGCACGAATCCACTTCAGCGCCGCGAACTGATCCAACAAGCCCCAGTTCCCGGAGCTATTGTGGCCGGGGCTTGCTGCAAACTCTTGCGAGAGCTGTGGGTGAGACAACCAACCGAACGAGCCAGTGCGGTAGTTGTAGTTGACAAACACAACCCCTTTGTCAGCCATGCCGCCGCCGTTGAATAGAGCATCTGCAGCTGTCGATTCTGCCGGATAGCTCCACATAACAACCGGAAGCTTTGCGCTTGATGAGTTTGCAGCACTCCAGATGTTGAGATTTAAACAATCCTCAGCGATGGTGTAATCGCTTTGACCAGATGTGGCAGCCGGGCAGACGGGTCCCCAATTAGACGCATAGAGCGTGCTGTTCCACCCCACAGCAGGCTGCGGCTCGCGAAAGCGGTTGTTCCCAGCCGTGGTTGCTGCAAATGGGATGCCTTTCCATACCGTGATATCCCGCCAATTGGTCAAGTTACCGGCGGGACTGCTGTTGAATGCCGGGTATCCTTGGACGTCACCATACGCAGTGTGGATAACGGTATCGTAGAGTGCAGCGTTGGTGGCTAGCGGAAGGCTGAGGAGACTCAGAAGTGTCACAAGGCTCGAGAAAGAGGAGGTGGCCATAATGATCCAGGCTGGAAATTGTCGCACAGTGGACCGTCTGAGTGCGATGTATGTTCATGCAAGGTACCCGGCTGGTTATAAAAGACCCAATCTTCCCCAACCTTGACTGTCATATGTGTCGGTGTCAGTTCGGTATGCTCTGACGTGTCTTGGGACGCGGCCTACCTTTAGCGGTAGTTCTTACCTTGGACGGTCTCATGTTGACGAACAGACGTAGCGCAGAGTTCGGCCTCGAAAAAAACTGCCGGAGTCATGGGCAACGCGGCTTGGTTATACAGCCTCTCTGTGCATCGGACGGATGATCGACTGAAGGTTGACAGCGCTTCGACACGTCCCATTTGCTCGAACCCTTGCCTAGCGAACAGAAGTGGATTTCAAAATGTCCTTCCAATGCTCGGAGATGCTGTCGGCCGAACCGAGATGGGCGCAGTGACGAAGGGTTGACACGAATCCTTCATCTACATACGCAGACGCTTGTGCATGAGGCGAAGTCGGCTTTGGCTATAACGCTGGAGCGATCCTTGGTCCGCATCTCTGTCGTTGCGCGCCTCTGCAATTGGTGTTGTTGGTTTCAAGCTCTCAGATAAAGTTTGATATTGGTGGGCCAGCGCCTGTCGGAGAGGTCCCGTTGCTTTCGGTTCGAGCCGGTCGTTCGCGGGGGCGTGGGGGAACCAGGGAAAGCCGGGGAAATTGCGCAAAGAAACGGAGGTAACGGGATGTAGTTTTGTCGAGTCTAGCGAATTGTAGCATATTTAAGCATTAAGGTACTATTTATAATGGGCTAATAGAAGTGGTAATTATTAAATAATAGTACTCTAAGAAAGATTTTAGATAAATATTTCTCTTTATAACTTCTTTTAAAAAATAGTAATTATTTCTTAATTTCTCTTAATATAAGAAACTATTATTACTTTTAAGTGTCTTATTACCAGATGTAGCTACTTACCTAGGTACGTTCTATACCTCTAGGGAATTTGAAAATACCTCTTAGTTAAGTTGGCGCTCTGTGCTCCGTCGGAACGACGGCGTGCCAAAAAGCTTGTCCTGAGCTCGAGCACTTCGACCAGTCGTCATCGCCCAATTTGTCGGCCTGCAACAGCTGAACCTACCATATCCACGATACCGACACTCTGGTTCCAAGCGATTCGGATACCCGGAGACGCGACATGATCACGCGGAGCCGGTGAGATTTTTCGTCTGTGTGGTATCATGTTTCACCGGCCTTTTTGAGGTCTAACGTGGTGCTACGACGCTTGATTGAATATGGCAGACATGGATGGCACGCTGCAGAATACTATGCTGGATGGGGGCGTGGAGGTGGATAGCGAGGTGTGCCACTAGTACGATCTATCCTGAAACCTGGTCAGCTAACGTACAGATCAGTCATTCTCCAGCGACTCTGGCCTTGGATCTGATGTTGGATCTATCGAGAGCACATCACTCGCTTCTTCGATATATGGCTACAGATATGAGAACGGCAGACGATATCATGCCTACCGAGAGGGGGCTTATCTAATGCCCAACGACGCACAAGAACAAGACCGCCTCGATCTGCACCATCATATCTATCGTTTGGGACTGAATGGTGCTTTGCACCGCGCACCTATATCGCCTTACATCAAACGAGCCCTAGACTTCGGCACCGGGACCGGCATCTGGGCCATTGACTTCGCAGACGAGCGACCAAACTGCGATGTGATCGGAAGTGATCTGAGTCCAATCCAACCAGAATGGCTTCCCCCAAATCTAAAGTTCTACGTCGACGACATCGAATCCGACTGGACTTGGGCACCTCACGAAGCCTTCGACTACATCCACGGCCGAGGCATGGGAGGCAGCGTGGCCGACTGGCCCCTTTTATACAGTCGAATCAAGGAGAATCTCAAGCCAGGCGGATGGGTGGAGATGCAGGAGTATGAAGCGTGGATCTCGTCAGAAGATGATCCGGAGTTGACGAAAGCGCCGAATGTCAAACAATGGCAGGAGCTTGTGGATGAGGCGTCTTCGAGGTTTGGGAAGAGGATGAATGTTGCGCATCTTCAGAAACAGTGGATTGAGGAGGCGGGCTTTGACGATGTGACAGACGACATTGTGAAGGTAGATTTCTTTCCCCTGTCCTCACCGGCAGTCGCGCTGACATTCTGTGCAGATTCCCATCGGCCCCTGGGCCAAGCACCGAAAACTCAAGGAAGTTGGCCGCTACCAACGAGAACACATGATCGCCTGCGTCGAAGCCTTCACCCTAGCACCCTTGACCCGTGTGCTAGGCTGGAGCGTTGAAGAAGTCCAAGTTTTGATGGCGGGCATCCGGAACGAGTTCAGCAATCCGAAGATCCATCTTGTGACGGTATTTCATTATGTATACGGCAGGAAGCCGATGAGCTGAGGACGGATAAATGATGGGAGGTGGGCTGTATATGTGAACACGAGGATATCTATTGGGTGGACGGAGGTTGGCCTCGGAAATGGTCTGGGACCTGGAAAGGCGGGATGCTTGCAAAAGCTGTTCTGGATCTAGCATGGAGTTTTGGGTGCTTGCGACATTACAGAAGCAGGGAAATGTCATCACAGAAGGGAGTTTTTGAGAAATGGCTGACACGAGAAGAGGGTGATGTACGAGGCACATATCAAAGAGCAAAGGCTTTTAAATTTCTACTTCGTCATCCAATGTCCTCGTTGTCGAACGCCGCGCCTTACGCCGGACTACAATAGATCGGTCTACGACAGAATCGACTGCAGCTCCTTGGCAACAGCGTCACCGACCTCGCTGGTCTTCGCCGAGCCTCCAATGTCCTTGGTCTTGATGCCCTTCTCGATGACGATGCGAACAGCCTCGTCGACCTTCTTGGCCAGCTCGGGCTGCTGGAGCGAGTACTTCAGCATCATGCCGATGGAGAGAAGCATGGCGACGGGGTTGACGATGCCTTGGCCGCTGATGTCGGGGGCGGAGCCTTTTGTATTGTTAGTTAAGGGCTCTTCAGGGTGGCCATTGAGACGTACCGTGAATTGGCTCATAGATGCCATTGCACTTGCTCTTGCCATCAGGCGAGGCCGTCAAGCTAGCACTTGGCAACAACCCCAGAGAACCAGGGATAACGGATGCCTCGTCACTGATGATATCGCCGAACAGGTTGCTAGTGACGATGACGCCGTTGAGGGCCCGTGGGTTCTTCACCATCAGCATAGCAGCCGAGTCGATGAGGTGGTGACCGATCTTGAGCTGTGGGAACTCCTTCTCCATGACTTCCGTCACAGTCTTCCGCCACAATCTGCTCGTAGCCATCACATTCGCCTTGTCTAGCGACCAGACCGGGGCGGGAGGATCCTCAGCGAGCGCGAGGTATGCAGCTAACCTTGTGACTCGCTCAATCTCCGCTCTCGAGTAAGGCTCTGTGTCCATAGCGAACCCAGATCCATCGTCCTCCGTGCGGTCGCCGAAGTAGATACCTCCAGTAAGTTCACGCACGATGTTGAAGTTGACACCCCTGCAGACCTCCGCCTTGAGGGGCGAAGAGTCCACGAGAGTATCGGAGGCGAAGAAGCATGGTCGCAGGTTGCCGTAGGTCCCCATCTCCTTCCGGAGTTTGAGAATGCCTTGCTCTGGACGGACTTTGCCCGTGCCCCATTTTGGTCCACCGATGGCGCCGAGGATGACTGCGTCGGCTGCTTTTGCGGCTTCGAGAGCTTCGGTGGTGAGTGGCTCGCCGGTTGCGTCGATTGAGGCCTTGGGAATGTCAGATGTGCTGATGAAAGTAAAGGCAAGTGACATACACCGCCGAGGAGATGCTCCTTGATGTTGAACTCGACGTCGGCATTGCTCTTTTGGATCACGTCGAGGACCTGGAATGATTCAGTCAGAAGCTGTTCTTCTTTGAGTCCTTGAGAGTTGACACTTACTTTCAGCGCCTCTGCTGTTACCTGTCGTAGGTCCAAGTGTCAATATCAAACGCTGATCTGAAAGCGAATAGGTCAGACACTCACTTCAGGACCGCAGTGATCACCTGTCGAAGATGTTAGCGAGGTTCCACTGAGCACGCCTTTGCAAAAACTTACCACCAAAGACGACAATATCGTAAGTAGGCATCTTCGTCAATGAAATATTCTGCTTGTTCAACACAAAAAGGTGGCTTGTTGGCCTGATCCAATGTTCAAATTTAGAGCTTGGTGTCTCTCCGGTGACTCCGATGTCGGCCAAGACTTTTGAGACCTCACCTTCAACGGCCATCCCTGTTTTCTTTTCTATCATCACCATCACAACATCTCATCTCTCGATTTATCATCGCCTCAGAAAATGCCTCGCTAACGATGACAAGATACGCAGAGTCTGACAGGACGTCAGCAATTACCCGTAATGGGACTCGCTTGCCGTCTTCGCGGCCGGCTTACCATTGGAAAGGAGCACGACTTCCTGGGTCCATCTGCAAGTCCTGAGAAGAGCAAGGTATCAAAATCTTCGGCAGGCATCATTGGCCAATTCATGATGCTACAGTGCCCACCGAGCGACCTGCATATCCGCACGGCAGATTGCGCTCTAGCTTTCCTTTGTCTTCTCAGACATGCTTGGCATTTCTTTCAGCCCCCTGGACACTGCACTGTAGGACAGGAGACATGCACCAATTCTGTCTTATTCCCTACCCGTTGAAGAAGATATCAAACGTCGACATGCTAACGTTACTTCCCGCCGGTTTGATTCACAATCTCATTCGCTATTCTGTATTTCATACTCTTCATCTACACACATGTTCCTTTACTACGAAGTCTTCCCCCCGATATGGCCAAGAGAGGCCTTGTGGTTCTCAAGCGGCCTCTTTGTTCCCCTCGCCTTAAGGTTCTTGACGAGGCTGCAGGCCAATAACCGCTGCGCATTTACTCGACGACGAGTCACTATACCGACAACGCATTCACCTATACAACGCGTAACGCGCGACGCCCATGATGGATCCTCCAGGCTTTTCAAAGCGACCTCTCAAAAGGCTTCTTGTTGTTCATCACAGATACTATCATCACCAAAACCGAAGAACACAGTCCCGACAAAACAGACCCGCATCTTCCAACATAACCATTACCCAGCAGACTTGACAGCATCGTCATGCAACACAACGCCCTTCCCTCGGACGATCACTTCCCCCAGCGCAACAACTTGCCACGCAACAAATTCCACGGCAGGAAGCCTCGCAAGTCGAGATGCCGTGCCCAGCAGCGTGTGCCTCTTGTCCACCTCGTGAAGCGCGGTCAGGCTGTTGCGGTGGACGTCGAAGGCGTGATACTGCCCAACGAGAAAGGCTCGAATAAAGCTGGCGCAGGGCGTATCTCGGTCGTCGCTGAGGACGGTACCGTCCTACTTGACAAGTTTGGCTACTATCCTCCAGAGAAGCAGGCACGACCTCATCCGCAGCGGCTCAAACTCGGTAGTTCTCTGACCTCCTTCCTGAGAATGGTGCCGAGCCCATGGCGGACGTCTTACAGGAGGTCAAGAGCATTTTCGACGTAAGCGGCTTGATCGTTGGTGATGACATCAGCAAGGAGATGAACTTCCTCCGAGACATTGGCTGGACCAACTACCAGACTCGCAACACCCAGACTGCTGCAGCTTATGCCTGATATCATCCGACAGGGAAGCCAAGTCTCAAGACTCTTACCAAGGAGGTTTTGGGAGAGGACATTCAGACGGAGGAGCACAGCTCTGTCGAGGATGCTCAAGCTACGATGAAGCTCTACCGTCGTGAGCGCGCCTCGATCGATCAGGCACAGGCCACGGTTCTTCCAGCAGCAGCTACTTCTACCTCAACCACCTCTGCTATGGCTGCTCCCTCAGGTGCCATTACTACTGCCGCCACTACAACGGCTGCCACGGCCGCTCCTTCCGTGACATCCTATGCCGCTATGGTCTCTCTCGGTGTTGCTTCAACAACGACTGCTACGACCGCATCAACTTCGACCGCTGTTTCGTCAGACACCTCCGATGATGGCTATTCCTCAATTCAAAGCACCGCAACTTCTACTCAAGCTACTTCCATGTCGACCGGCAATGCCGCTACGTCTATGCCGGTCCAGTATCAGCCTGCATTGCCTGATCTTCCAGGATTTGGCGGAGGCAGATCATTCAACAAGAGGACGTCCCGTTACACCTAGTGGACTTCACAACATGACACGTTTCCATCGCAACGGCTTTTCATACGACTCTTGATTTTTGTCCCCGATGAGACGGTTGATGCTCAGGGACTTCGGCGTTTTTGATTTTCTTGGAGATGGATTATGGCTGGGTAGGTAGAACGAAACTTGTATTATGACAGAATGTATCTCTCCACCTTTCTTTGTGATTCTCTACATTGATCGACGCCACATCCACTGACTAGTTATAGGACTCGAAAGATACTCGAACATGCGAAGAGCATACTCGATGCCACTGGTGTCATTGTCGGCCACGCCATCACGACCAAGTTTTTCGGCCGACTCTGACATTACTCTCCACGACGAGAGGTATTCTTCCTTCTGAAGGTCGAATCTGCTCTACCTGGAGGCTATGGATCTCGGCCCTCGCGCTTTGATTTGTGCCCCCTTTGTTAGTCCATTCGTCGGTCTTTCGTTCTTCAAGATTGCAAATTATGGCCAAGGCAATCTTTGTTCTCTTCCCCTGAAGCAGCCTTTGTGTCCCTCATCGAAACGCCATTTGCAAGGTGGAGGTCATTAAATGCTACACTCTCATTGGAAGAGTTGCTGGGCTAACAACGAATCATCTATACAACGAGTCGCCTACCATGGAGCGACAACAAAATATAAGATGCTCCCTTGAAGGGTTCTTCGAAACTCCGAGCTACGCAATACACATCAGCCTACGGAGCATAGATCTCGTGCAGTGTTTCAAGTGCTTCGCGAAGCCTTAACGAACAGCAACATCCTTCAGCATGCCTGTCAACACCGTGCCATACAAGGACCATCACCGGGTTAACAAGCCACAGCGCCGCGCTTGGCGGATTCGGGCCAAGCAGCGCGAACCCATCCTGAACACACTAAAGCCTGGCAAGGCTGTGGCAGTCGACTGCGAGGGCATCGAACTACTCAAGAAGGATGGCCACGACCTTTCTGGGAAGAAGAAGAAGGGTCTTGGTCAAGTGTCAGTCGTAGACGAGGACGGAAATCTGCTCTACGATACCTTTGCTTACCACCCGGAGAACGTTAAATGGAAGCTTCCTCCGAAGTGGTTAAACTTGGGGGTCAAGATGGGCGACGTTCAGCCTGAGAACGGAGCTCAGCCTTTGGAGAAGGTCTTTAGCGACTTGAAAAGCATCTTCGATGCCAGCGGTCTGATCATAGGTCACGGCCTCGACAACGAGTTCTCCTACCTACGGGGCATCGACTTCACTGTCTACGAACTCCGCGACACACAGAGAGCCAGTGTCTACCAACGGTACGCCAAAAGCACTGTTACAGGACCATCGCTCAAGAGCCTGAGCGTTGCTGTCCTGAGCAGGACGATCCAGGAGACGTCTCATTCGGCTGCTGAAGATGCCAGGGCGACCATGGAGCTCTATCTTCACGAACGCGAGTCCATGGATCACGAGCAGGCTGGCGTGAAGTTCGGCGCTGACCGTGTTGACCAATCTGATCCGGACCCGGACCAGTTGGATCTTTATAACGAGCTGATGGGGTTTGGGCCGGATACCACTTACAGTGCTTTTATGACAGCTGGTTCATCCAGTTCGTCGGCTGTCGCGTCGTCCTCAGCCGTACCTGATGGCGACAATGGCGAAGACTCTGCACAAACCGCCGCGCCCAAAGCTCCTACTACAACTGACGCGGCTTCCACTGCGGCTACTATGTCCACAGTCACCACCAGAAGCATGACGAGTACTCCCGCGCCCGTCCAATACCGACCTGCATTGCCAGATATCCCTAGGCTGAGGAATGGCAAGACCTTCGACAAGAATACCTCTCGCTACAACTAAAGGCTCTTTCGACAACGTCTTACACGTCGCTCCGGTGGGAGGGTCTCGCAAAGGTTCCGCTCAAGAAATTGCGCAAAGCTGCTCTGAACAGAGATATTCAGAAGAAGTCTCATTCGGCTGTTGAGGACATCCCGGCCACCATGGAGGCATACCAACTCGACCGTGACGCTATTAATCGGGAACAAATTGGTATGAAATTCGGTGCAAAGGCTTCAGCGAACGCTGTACCATCATCGACTGCATCAGCACCCTCCTCAAACCCACATTGTACGCACTGAACACACCAACACTTGAAGACATCGACACACTCATAGCACAAACAATCGAAAAACGCGGTTTTGGAGGATTTCTGTTTTGCCCCCGATGAGACTGTTGATGCTCAGGGGCTTGGCGTTTTGGGAGTTTTCGGATTTCAGGAAAAGGGGCAAGCAGCAAATGGGCTGCTGCAATACAACAGCATAGGATCGAACGAAGTTTGTATTAATACGAACATGACTCTCATTGTTTTTCACTGCTCTGTCTCATTCAATCTCTGACACTGACTGTGAGCAGTACAGCATTATTATTCATTGAGTAAACGTTCTAGGCTGAGAAAAGTGCGAGCGACAACTTTGAGCGACAATGCAACAACAATGAGTGTGCCTTCGTCAACAGCGACCTGCGGTTCAATGGTTCTCCCAATTGGCGCAAACAACGCTGACGGCTACAGCTTGCAACTCAGGGGCTGTGGCGTCGTAGAAGCCTTAGTGAATGAAGGAACGGCTTTGACTACGGGAGCTTGGAGGAAGGCGTAGGGAAGGTGGACTGCTACTTGACCAGTTGTGAATACCTTGAGAAGAGGATAGCCCGACCCAAAGTTGTTGTTTCCTGCACTTGCAACAATCACTTTCCAAACCTCGACAACCCCATTTTCGACCCGTGACACACGAAGAACGATGTCGCGCCAATCACTCAGTCTGCGCCCTCTGGTTGCAAATGACAGTGCGACTGCACTGATCGAGAGATCACCACAACCCAGTTCGAGTCTTGATCCAGAATACCTCCGCCAGCAAGCGCGCTGGATCCGCGACACCCTCGACCCGCAAGTCGCTCAAGATGGACCCGACGCTCTTCACTCCGACGAGACGCTCACACTCGACGAACTCCTCCGCAAGATCCTCGACTCACACATCACCCTCGAAGACATCCGATACAGTCGAATGCACCTCGCGATTACTGAAATCGCAGGACGGGCGACTCGATGGCCGAAGAAGCTGATTGACAAATGCGATGCGATCACTGAGATCTGGGAGAGCAAGTATGGGCCTTTGAACAAGATGGGGACGCCGCTGTACGAGTCTGGTGGGAGATTGTTTGGCATTTGCAAGCCTGAGGATTTGAGTAAGGAGAAGTTGCTTGTGAAGTGGTTGAAGCAGCCGGGTTCGAAGCTGAGTCCGGCTGTTGCGAGGAGGGCCGGAGATCTTGGGTTTACGCCCGGAGAGTGAGTATGTTCGAGTGATCTTGATCTTTTCTCAAACGCTAAAGACTATGTCAGCTGGTGGATCAGCCCTTTGTTCGCTCACCGGGCAGGCATCATCGACAGCGGTAATTCAGATGGCGGCGTAGTATCTGATCACCTAGGCGCCTATGCAGTCGTGTTGACAGACCAAGACGAAATTTCTGGCTCTGATCCTGAGACGTGCCAATATCGAGCGAGGGATCGCGATCCAGGTCGATATCGTCTGACAGCAGGCACTCCAGGATCTCGCCATCCCATTCGAATTCTGAGAAGCCATTCTTTGCACAGCTTTTGGAAGCCGAAGGCTGGGCTCAGATATGACGGGTTGTGCGTATATCCGAAACGAGCCATCAAGAACCCTTATCACTATAAGAGTTGAGGCCTTGGCTAAACCTTGAGTACTGCAGGCACAAAGTCATGGGCTGGACAATCAAGACAGACCCCAAGACCTCCGAGACCGTATTCCTCATCACCTTCAAACGACTTCCCAACGAAGTGAGCATGGACACGGTCCTCAGTCGACCTTTCACAGACGAAGTCGAAGACTATACGGAGTACAAGCGTCTTCGCCACGTGCATCGTGAGAAGCAGAAAGAGTCCTCAGCGCCCGGGTTGCAGTTCTCGGCAGATGGATCACTCGATATCTATCAGGACGAGACGGCACAGAGCCCATTCCAGGAAGCGTTCACAGACCAAATGCCCGATGAGTTTGCTCCAAAAGCGAAGGGAATAACGGAGGTATCGCCAAATCAGAAGAGATAGGTCTGTTGCCGCGTGACGGTTGACGGGAGATATCTCGGGACGTGCTTTCAAGACGCGAGTGGATGCAGACTTGGCTATTCTCGTGTATAGATAGGGTCGTGCTCGCATAAGCTCTCACCGCTTCGGTGTCTATTGTCGCAAAATGGATGCATCTCATGATTGTCCAAGATGGCCAGACGGCTTGGATATTGGCATGTCGCCATATCGCAGGAGCAGTAGGCATTCGACAAGGTGATCGCCAAATGCACTTCGGTCCGATAGGGGGTTGCTTCTTCTGATCATCGCCTGATTTGTGTCGTTCATTGCTCCCGGACCTTGATGTTGTTATGTACAGGACGAGATGCAGAAGTCATATCCCGGGCGGCTATTGACATCGGCAAGCAGAAACAAGGTTCCCGAACCGAGGGCCAAGCCCGCACGCCCCCAAAGAAGGTCCGTTTCGCTGCAGCGGAGTGGAGTTGCCGAAAGGCACGGCTCAAATCACAACCCAACCTCAACCTCAGCTGCGTCTTGCCCCCAGAGCATGTGATGAAGAAGTTTTGCGCCGCTCCACTCGACGCCCTTTGACTGGAGTTGAGCTGCTTCTCCGTGTGGAGTTGAGGGTGGAGTCTTTGGAGTTGCACCATGGGGGAACCGGGGCCATCGACTGCGACCTCGACGCGATGGCACCGCGGCGAGCGATAGTAAGTGTACCGTGCTGGATGTTGAAGTATATTTTATAATGCCCTTCCCATCGTATTCCTCCCTATCTCTCACTCTACTTGCTTTTGAATCCAGCCCTTTTGAATTCAGCCAAGATGAGCGCTCACGGTCCACCCAGCGAACGTATCTCCAACGAGGAGCCAAACATGGACAAGCAGGCCACTGAGTTCCTCGACGAGATCGAAGCGGCTCAAGATGCTGGTAAGCCCAGCAGGGCACTTGAGGCTCCTCCTCTGGTCAGAGACATGAGCCCGGCCGATCGAGAGCGACTCGAGAAGAAGCTCGTTCGGAAGATCGATTTCAGACTGCTGCCACCAGTCATTATCATGTACATCATGAATTATCTCGACAGAGTGCGTACGAGCCTGCTACCATGGAATTGAAGATGGCTAACGATCGATAGAATAACATCGCCACAGCACGACTCGCTGGTACTCCTGGTCTGGAAGAGGATCTCAACATGACGGACTCCCAATACGAAACATGTGTCTCGATTCTTTTCGTCGGCTACATCTTGATGCAGATTCCGTCAAACCTCTTCCTGAACAAGATCGGCAAACCAGCCATCTATCTGCCCGCTTGCATGGTGGTCTGGGGTTTCATCAGTCTCGCAACCGCTCTTGCGAAGAATTTCGCTGGCCTCGTGTCCATTCGGTTCTTCCTCGGTTTTGTTGAAGCGGCGTACTTTCCAGGTGGGTTGATGTATTGAAGATCTTGTGAGGTGAAAGTACTGACCTGGCGTAGGCTGCCTCTTCTACCTCTCTTGCTGGTATACCCGTAAAGAGTTGGCTTTCAGATCGGCTGTCCTGTACTCTGGATCTTTGATCTCTGGCGCTTTCGCTGGCCTGATAGCAGCAGGCATCACCAGTGGCATGGACCGAAAGTTGGGCTTGCCCGCCTGGAAATGGTAAGTCCGAAGTAGTCAATCGTCCAGAGCTGCTCTAACGATCGCACTAGGCTCTTCATCATTGAGGGAGCCGTCACGGTAGTCATTGCTGTCATATGTCTCTTCATTATGCCCAATTTTCCGAGAACAACTCCATGGCTCAGCGAAGAGGAGCGCCAGCTTGCCGTATGGCGCCTGCAAGAAGACATCGGTGTCGATGACTGGACTAGCAGCGAGGAGCAATCGTTCTGGCACGGTATGATTCTGGCTTTCAAAGACATCAAGGTCTGGATCCTCATGATCTGTCTCTTGGGCATTGTCTCTGCGGCTTCAGTCACGAACTTCTTCCCGTCTGTGGTGCAGAGTCTGGGCTACAGCAACTTGATCTCACTGCTCTTGACTGCACCCCCTTACGTCCTGGCTGTTTTCACAGCGTTCGGAAACGCCATCCATGCGGACAAGACTGGAGAGCGGTTCCTGCACATTAGCATTCCGCTATTGGTGGGAATGGCTTCATTCATCCTTGCGGCCGCTACCACGGGTACTGCACCTCGCTACGTTGCTATGATGCTCATGGTGAGTTACTCAGATGCCATTATGACTATACCCAGTTGACTGACTTCATATTAGGTCCCCAGCATTTACGCAGGTTACGTCATCGTACTGGCATGGATCTCCAACACCATCCCACGACCTCCAGCAAAACGTGCAGCAGCACTCGCCGCGATTAACGCCGTCTCGAACGCATCATCCATCTACGCCTCGTACATGTACGGCGGTGCCCCTCGATACATCGTCGCATTCTCAGTCAACTGCGCTACGCTCTTCTTGGCCATCGTCATGGCCGCAGTCCTCAGAATCTTGCTAGTTCGCTTGAACAAGAAGCTCGATCGTGGCGAGCCTGTCGATGGAGCCATCTCCGGTGCATCCGTTGGCGAAGGCGATGCCATGAGAAAGGGCTTCCGATTCCTCGTTTAGAAATAGACTAGCACCGCATGAGCAGGGGCTTCGCGATGAAAGATGTTGATAGAATAGAGATCATGCCACTAACGAGGTACGAAATTAGAAAGGTTTCAATTGTTGAACTCTTCGCGCATCTCAAGATCATCGTTGTTTGGTGAGATAGAGGTGGGAGGTAACACGTGAAGACATGGAACAGATGAACGCATGCTGACATGTCTTGATGGTAATGATCGTCAGTGACCTGGACACCGCTGGCTGTCTTGGTTCTCAGGAACGAGGCGGGTGAAGATGGCAGTGAACGGGCTCGTGTTGGATGTACTGGATCCCAGATCTCTCGCGAAAGCTGTTCGACTCTTGCCTTGCACAAACACTTGGCCGGCTGGTAGAAGCCGCCGAATCAGAGATCCATCGCAGTTACGTTCGATCCGAACTCCAGAAAGGTTCGCAGATCTCGCTCCCAGGCAGCATCGTTCTTTGGGCCCGCCGAACTCCGTCTCGGTCTTTCTTAGTCTTGCCGTCGTGCAGACATCCCTCACGAACATCGGGCAGCCAGAGAATGGATAGCCCACGTGCATAACGTTGGCAGCGTTCCTGCCTAGGTGGAGCCAAGTCGATCATGTTTGAAGTGTTCTTGTGCGTCTAGCGGAGAGGTGCATCCGGTGAGACGTGCTGGGTTCTTTTGCTCGATCGAAGACTCTGAAACGTCGTCATGCCTGGGGACCGTGCGCCTGTGTGTGATCTGCACGTGGGAGAAGCCTGGTGGGAGGAAGTCCGTCTGACGGTGCGGTGGGGATCGGAGGTATTTATGCAAGCGAAGACGGCGTCGATGGAGTTGGATAAGATTAGTGAGGTTCTTCGTATAGAATGGTTTGAAAGGGGTGGTGTTTCTAAAAGTGGCGTCTATAAGGCTGGTCACTGGATCTGAGTTGAACTCTATCCGAACCTCAGACACATCTCATCTCCGTGCGTCGCGTGGCAGAGCTCAGACCGAACGTCTTCTGCATGGATAGCATTGCCGAAAAGCGGATCGAATGTTCTTCTGCCATGTTTTGTCGGTCTAGTCAGGCCTATGTAGACGATGGTACCTGGAGTCTGTTCCTGAAGACTGGTATCAGCTGTGTAAGTCCACGCGAGCAGTTCCCACCACAAACCATGGTGCTCTTGCTCAATAAGAAGATACCAAGACGATGATGCTGTCAGGATTGCCAAATGAAGGACGCGGAGGGTGGACTGACCTTGACATCAATCCGCCGGCTCCGTCGACTCAACTGGCTCTCCAAAAGATATAAAGATGGCCAGCAGAGCCACTCTGTCGACCTCTCATCCAGCAACGACTCGACAGTCTACAAGGCCATTCAATCAATCAGCTTCACCGGAAACCACTTCTTCGCTTCGCTCAACAACGCGTTTGACCCTTCGCCAACATGCAGTTCAAGTTCATCGCTGCCGCCCTCGCCTCTCTCGCTGCCACCAGCGTTATTGCAAACCCACTGCCATACCCTGAGGTGCGTGGATCGTGAACAAACTGCAGAGAAAGACTCACTGACAGCAAATAGGCAGCTCAGGGCGCTGAGATCATGGCTCGTGCCGAGCAGGCTGAGCAAGCTCAGCAAGCTCAGCAGGCCCAACAGGTAAAGCAAGGAAAGCAATTCTTTGGTGGTCCAGGCGGCCTTGGAAACAACTGGGGACAGCCTGGATTCGGCAACCAGAACGGATTGACCGCATTCGGTGAGTATTGGACAACCGCCAAAGTGAGAATTTTCTTCGCTAACTTCTGGCTAGGCTTCGGTGGCGGCGGTGTCAGCCTCCAAGGCAATGGCTTCAATGGCAACGGTGGCTGTCCTCCGCAGCTCCAGTGCTGGCAATGCAATGGCTTCAACCAGGGCTGGGGAGGAGGCCAGTGCGGCTGGGTAAGTGCTCTCAACTCATCGAGTAGCAAGAAGAGAAGGTACTGACGTGCCATCTTAGGGTCAATTCCAGGGCTGCCCTTGCTGGTAAGCCCCTGAAAGCAATACGGACGAGGCGAACAGGATTGGCAACAGTGTTTCCGGTTGAAGCGGCGATAATGTCTACAAGCCTGGTGAGCCCATTCGTGTTCCTTGTTGGAAACTTGTTGGCGAAGATTGAGCAGAAGACGATTTGACGAGGAATGGTCTAATGCCAGAAAAATTGAGGTGTTTGGGTGTTTTATGGGGCAGCGTCTTATAAAAGAGAAAAGAAAGTAGGGAGTATTCAGTAGGGTAGTCATCCAACCTGGTTGCCTTGCATGGCTCTTGAAATTGAATAACTTTCTTTTCTTGCGAATTGCTCTCAATGAACCTGTCAATGTCCTCGTCGGAACACATGGAATCATCATCCCTTCAATCCCAAGAGCGGCCGTCCTCTTCGTCGCAATTCGGAGTAATTAAACAGCTTGCGAGTCGTCGGGATGTAGGTGCCATCTTGATGAGACTGTTGTTGAATTGAAGCATTGAATTGATGGAGGTGTCGTGGTCGTCAGGTGAGGTCGCATGAAAAGCTCGGACCAGGCCGAGGGTAGCAACAGCCGGGGCGGAACAAGCGCGTAAGGTAAACAAATCGACCGGTGCTGCAGGGATCTTCTCTCCCAAGAACACACTTTTGGCAGAACTTCTACCACGGGACATGTTCACACCACAGTCGTCATCCTGACAGAAATTCTGCTATGGCATCGCCTTCGACCTTCAGATTTCCCGCGCGGGAATCGAGTGCACTGCAAGCCCTGTCGCCCGAGCGCGTCAACACCCGCCAAATATCTACCGCTTCGACCATGACGTCTAAGAGCTCCTACGCAGAGCCCGAGGCCACCGAGAATGCGTCGCCAAAGGGATCGCCATTTCGCAAGGCAAAGCAGCTATCCAGATTCAGTCCCACCAAAGCATCGCTACCAACATCGCCGTCATTGCCCGAATTCAGAAGCCATGTGCGGACCAACAGCGACGTCCAAGGCCTGGTTAAGCGCTTTGAGCATTTGGACGTTCGCGACCGGGATGCTGAGATTGCGGAGAGGAGCAAGAAGCATGAGCTTGAGTTGCGACGCGCGCAGATTGCGCGAGAAGAGGCTGAGAGCGATGTGAAGAGGATGCGAGAGGAGATACGGCGGTTGAAGCGGGAAGGCGATGAGGGTCGCGATAGGGAGAGGAAGGTCATAAAGAGGCTGGAGGTTGTCTCGGTACGGTGGAGAACTGAAACATGACGAGCTATGCTAATGTCTTCGCAGGAGGAGTTCACCACCTTCAAAGACTCACATGCGTCGCAATCTTCAGTCTACGAGAAGGAAGTGCGGCGAGCCAGGAAAGAAGCGTTCAAATCCTCGTCTGAGATCCTGAAGCTGAAAGAGGAACTGAAGTCTGCGCGCAGTACTCTGAACGTCGCACAGTCGAACCTTGATATGGAGAAGCGAAAGATACAGGTGCGCGAACAGCAGACCTTTGATGCGCAGTACCAGCTGGTGGCAGTCCAAGAAGAGCTCGAGAAATTACAGGCGCGGATGAAGATCGTGGAAGAGGAGAAGGAGGCGCTGAAGACAAGCCTGAAGGAGGAAGAGGTCGCTCGCATAGCAGCAGAGGGCTTGATCGCACTCCCTGGCGGGAATCAAGACGACGATTTGCTGAGCTCGCCTAAGAGACGGTCTCCGGCCAAGAGACAGCCTTCTCCATGGTCAGATGACAAGGAGAATGTCGGCGTGGTCACGAAGAAGATGCTCGAGCTGAAGCACCTTGAGGAGCAGTTGGAGATGGAGAGGATCAAGAGGGAGCATGCGGAAGAACTAGCAGACTTCTTGCGCACGGAATGCCGATTTCAATGCTGCAATTGCCGATCGACCCAGCCAGGCCACAACGATACACTGAGCATCTCAAATGCTTTTACGGAAGCGATGGAGAACATCAGGAAGAGCATGCGCGATGTTCTCTGCCAACCTCTTCGTGTGGACAGCGCAGACGTTGCCATGGATGAGAGCAAGACTGAGATCATCACACGAGTGGAAAATGACGAGGATGTGGATATGGAGCATACGCCTGAAGAAGCCGCCAGAGAGGAAGCAGACCATAGCTTTGCGATGATCGATGAGCCACAGCCATCAGAACCGACCGCACTGCCAGAAGCAGAGACACCAAAGGCGCCACATCCGACCCCAGTTGACCCTGAGCTTGAAGCAGAAGAAGACGTCCCCGAAGTTGGCTCGACAACAAAAGTCCCGCTGGCCCCATCGAGCCCTGAGACACCAGCTGCAGCACAACCTCCTACGCCTTTCCATCAACAGCGATCCGTTCGAACCATCACTCACACAACTACGATACCCATGCATTTCACACCGGTCAAGCCTTCATCGACTTGTGCCATCGAAGATGCAGAACTCATCCCCCCGACTCCAAACCCCCTATCCCCACGAGACCGATCTGGATCAGCTCCCACGTTCGACCGAGCAGCCGCGCTGGCAGCTATAGCATACCGACGAGGTCGTGCGAAGTCCATCGCCAACGGCCACGTCACCCCACGAAAGCAGATGATTGAAGGAGTGAGTATCAAGGAGAGGAGAGACATCAGTGCACCGGCGCTTGGTCAGCAGAAGACGGGTGGTGCTAATCATGTGAAGGGCGCGGCTACTGTTGGCCGTGGTGTGGCTTCTGCGAAGAGGTTGGCTTGAAAGACTTGTATAGGGGCGTGATTTGGACATTAGGGAGACTGGAGTGGGCATTGTGAGTTTATCAGCGCAGGCGCAAAGGCATGGAGTTAGAGATAGTGTTGAGGGCTTTTCGTGTATATTCTGTTCACTTGGCCCGGAAGTCGCTCCTGCCTTCACCTGTGTTTGCTGCGACTCACTAGTGTCTTAGCGCGTCACTAGCGCGACGGCCACGTGCGTTGTAAAGTCGACTTCACTTCTTTCCACTCCTGCTTCATCCAGACACCAAACACCATCTCCGAACGCAACGAGCCACTTCCAAGATGGTGACCAAGCGGCAGCTGACGACAGTGCCCACGGACACCACCAACCCCTCCGAGGACTTGCAAGCGATGTACGTCGCTGCTCCTACCATGCATACTTCCTCGAGATACTGACAGGTAAGCAGCTCGGACAGGAACTCCACAGAATCACCACTGCTCAATCTCCAACCTGAGATCCGGAACCGAATCTTCCTCTACGCTCTCGGCAACAGCACCATCCATCTATGGACTGATCCCAAGACACATCAACAGCGATATACCGTTTGTTCCGCGAAGAAATGCACTGAGGGGCTGCTTGAGCATGTAACAAAAGCTAAGCGGCCCTTCTATTCAACATTTCGAAAGTATTCGTACCCATGCAACGACAAGGAGCCGATCCGGCTGCCCCTTCAGCTTCTGCAAACTTGTCGCCAGGTCTATGAAGAGGCGGCTCTGATCCCGTTCTCTACCAATCGCTTTCAAGTCGGGGATGAAGCCTTCAGGGAGTTTGCATATCGGATCATGGCTTTTCAGAAGAGAGCAATCAAGAGCTTGAGTTTGCTCCTGGGTTTAGCATGGGGCTCTATCGAGAAGCATGTAGCCATGGGCTTCAGAAACCTTCAAGAGCTCAAAGTGGTTGTGCTCCATGGCATACAACCGCAGACGCACAGAGGGAAGATCGAATGCTTCGCAGGGCTCCCACTACTGGAATTCTCCATGCGAGAGTTCCGAGCCAGAATTGGCGAAGTACAGTCCAACGATCACGTTGCTATACGCTCATATCTGTTGGAGAAATGGCACACGGACAGAAAGGTGAAACATGCAAAGCAACAGAAAGAGAAGCTGATGGCACAGTCGTTCAAGGAGAAGTATGAGACGCTCAAGAAGAAAGACGACGAAGGACTGCGCCGAGCTGTGAGCGATGGTGGCGAGGGATCTGCGCGTGCTTTGCGGCGACTGAAGCGTAAGCGAGGCGACGACGATGGGAGCTAGGCGATGCGTGGCGCTGGTTTAGCTTTCGATTCCTGTGCTACAACGTGTGATCGGGGCTGGCTGAAGACTAATGAGATGCATTGGAGCTGCGCGACGCGGCTGAACATGATCAGAGAACATGATATTGCACCGGATGGCTGAATGATGGCGAGAGGACGAATGAGAATGGCTGCAGCAAGACTTCGACGACTATGGTACATGTTAGCGTCGAGGTGTAACACAATTGGAAGTTTCTCGGACCATTACTGGTCGTTCGCTCTCGTCTCTGTTTGTAATCTACTCAACATGGACAACATTTCCCGCTTCATCCATCTCCACCTTGACCTTCCTCGTCGACGCCTTCCTCGGATTCTTCGCCTCAAAAATCTCGCTCAGCTCCTCCAAAGTCTTGCCTGCAGTTTCCACGAAAAAGAAGTAAATGACCACCAGCTCAACAATGATCCAAGCAATGTAGACAAGATACAGCTTCCAGCCGATCTTCTTAATACCAACGCTGATACCGTATGTGTTGACGACCATAGCGACATTCAAGAACAAGAAGTTCAGACCACTCCCCTTAGCTCGTGTCCGGTTCTCGAGACATTCAACCGGATAAAGCGTCTGAAGTGGCGTCCAGCCCCAAGCGAAGAATATCCCAAAGAGGTAGATACTGACGATAGTCCCGTATGCGAGGTTGTCGTTCTTCTCAGACTCCGCCGTGAAAGCAGTCAGGAGACAGTAACAGAACAGGCCGCCGGTGAGTCCAGCGAGAAGCATCGTCCTTCTGCCGAGGCGGTCGAGGAGAGTTGCTCCGTACACGGCGCCGATCATGCTGAAGATTGGGTTGATGGCGTTGATGAGGAGTTGCGTGGAGGTGTTGGTTATGCCGGCGTTTTCGATCATTTGGGGCATGAAGTAGCTGACGACTGGACGAGATATTATTGGCAGGTTGATGAGGGAAGGGGATGGGGATGGGTACCGTTGTTGCCGGACCATTGGCCGAAGAAGGCCATTGCGATGACCATGAAGAGACGGTAGCGTGCTGCGGGTGTGTGGACGAGTTCCTGGATGGGTGTTAGCTTTCTGTGAATTCTGTGTGCTCAGAGGTGATGTACTCTGAAGTCCCACCACGGGTTGTCGTCACGGCTTGCAGCCATGTCTGCGGTGATTTCATGTATTTGCAAAGTCACAATGGGTGCGTTGGCGTCGCCGTCACCGTGGTATTTGGCAAGGATTGCAGCGGCTTCTTCTCGACGATCTTTCATGATCAACCAGCGTGGTGATTCGGGGAAGAATAGGACGAGACACATCTGATAAAACTGTCAGCAACACGTCTTTACGAATGTCTTGTCGTCTTAACGGAGTACACATACAACGACACTGGGCAAGGCACATTGAACCAATGTGGGAGTCCGCCATGCCCAGGAAGATTCGGGAAAGTGCAGGTCCGTGCCATAAGTAGTCCATCCAGCTAAAATGTTTCCAAGCCACCAGAAGTTGTTGTACATTCCAGCCATTGTGCCTCTGTAAGCCGGATGAGCCAGCTCGACGGTGTATGCTGGCCCAGCAGCAGAGGCAATGTTGGCGCCAAAGCCAAGCACGAACCGACCTCCAATGAATTGGCCCATACTGTTCGCAGACGTCTGGATGGCAGTACCGACTAGGACCAGAAGGCACCCGACAAAGATGCACATCCTTCGACCGTATCCGTCAGCGAAGAAGCCACAGAACGGGAAGGCAGCGATCTGTCCGCAGTTGTAGATAATGAAGATGATTCCAGTCGTACTGCCGGCGCCGTCCAGACCGAAAGTCTTCTGGTAGCTTGATATGGCGTTGATCGAGCCCATCAGACTGCTGTCGAACCCGTTCATTGTCGAGACCAGGTATCCGACGCCCATGAGGCAGTACAGCTGTGTCATGTTCTTGCTCCATAACGAAGGCTTCTGCGCATTCACGGCCGCCGTCAAGGCCACAGAGGCGACCTGTGCCTCCTTAACCGCCGGGCCTTTGACCTGGTCGTCGATGACATGCTCAGTGCCTATGGCCTCTTTGAAATCTTTCTCGTTGGCGGACGCCATGATGATCGACGCACCGGAGGGCTGTTCTCAAAATAAAAAGATCGAGGCCCGGGAGTCGCGGACACGAGTTGAAACAAGGAGCACTCACACACTTGGGGCTTCCTAGGATCAAGACGAGGATGTTGGAACTCTATATCATCGTCGTCACACAGACTTCGCTTAACCCCAGGTGGTCGATAGCCACGGGTTCCCCAACTCCTCCACACTCGCGTGGTTTTCGACTCCCTGCAACGTACGCTGCTGTCGACGCTGTGTTTGGTCGCTTGGCTCACATGGGCACGAGACCTCAATGCTGCCGAGGATGCTAGCCGGTCCTTGGCCGTCAGTACCAAGGCGTGCCGGAAGAATTGGTTGGACAAGTGCGAGGCTTGGATGCTTCAAAATGTCGACTTCTTCGCTTTAATGTCATCCGAAGCAATTAAGCAAGCCTGAAGCACGAGAGTCCGGAAGAGAACGTTTCTGGAGGGGATCCAAGCTGGGAACTGGCTGTCAGTCCAGACTCTGATGTCCCCTGTCTCGTAGTTCGGCGGACACCGCCAATGCCTGTCCTGACGGCGACGCCAACGCAGGCGAGATCTGGGGTGCGGAGAATGACATGCGGATGGTCTGGTCGCGTGAGTGTGGGCGAGATGGTTCTCCTGACTCGAGAGGAGTTCGGGCGTTGTTGTCGAGCGGCAAATCTGCGGTTGGAGGAGAAATAGCAACGGCCGAATGAACTTCGCGCTCTGATTGGCCAATGGCTGCAACGTGGCGGGTATGGGTTCTGTTTCTGGCACGTCTCCTCTTGCGACACCTCACAAGACCCGTGGCCAAGACAGACCATCTTCTAGTAGGCTTGTAACTTGTCTGTCTCCTCGTTGTGCATTACCTCGATTGCGGGATGTGGAGGGAAGTACACGTCTGAGAACCACTTCCAGCTTGGCATCGAACAAGGTAGGAATCGAAGGAGTGCGTACTTGCAGTTGCTGAACTCCATATGCGTAACTGAAAAGCGGAAGCTCTTCGCCATCAATCAACCAACGAACAAGCATCAGAAAAGCAAGCAAGATGGGTGACGTTGCCACCGAAGGCAAGCGGCCTGACTGGGCAAACCTCAAGGTCCTCCACAGTAACACTCTGGAGCCACGCTCGCATTTCTACCTGTACAATTCAGAAGCCGATGCCCTCTCCCGGGACATCAGCAAGGCCAAGGCACATTCTCTGTCTGGCAAATGGAAGTTCCATCTCTCCAAGAGCCCATTCGAAGCACCAGATGGATTCCACGCCACAGGCTTCGACAGCTCGAAATGGAGCGATATCGAAGTGCCGGGCATGTGGCAAATGCAAGGCTTTGGACGAGGACCTCACTATACCAACGTCCAGTTTCCGTTCGTCGTGGATCCTCCGAACCCGCCCTATGTGGAGAATGAATGCGGATCGTACATCACCCATTTTCGAGTGCCTGAGCATCTCCATGACCATCAATTGAGACTTAGATTCGAGGGCGTGGACTCTGGCTTCCACGTATATATCAACGGAGATGAGATTGGCTACTCACAGGTTGCACGGAACCCATCAGAGTTCGACGTGACCAGCTATTTGAAGCAGGGACAGGACAACCTTCTGGCCGTCCGAGTATACCAATTTACGGATGGCTCGTATATTGAGGATCAAGATCAATGGTGGCTATCTGGAATCTTTAGAGATGTCTTTCTCCTGGGCTTTCCAAAGAAGTCTCGCTTCGAGGACTTGTCTGTCCAGACTCTCTTGGATGAAAAGTATGAGAATGCCACTCTCAAAGTATCTGCGAGCATCTATGGCTCGGCAGAGGTGAGGCTGAGGCTTCTTGATGCGTCTGGTGCCGAGATTGCGAAGTCATCGCAGACTTCTTCATCGCAAGAGGTCGACGATGTCAACTTCTCGATCCCGGTCGACAATCCGCACAAGTGGACAGCAGAAACTCCGTACCTATACAAACTGGTGCTGTCATTAGGCGAGGACCAATTCGTGTCCCACCGCGTTGGATTCCGTGTGGTAGAGTTGAAGGACGGTCTCATTAAAGTCAATGGACAGAGGGTAGTGTTTAAAGGCGCTAACCGACATGAGCATCACCCACTCTCAGGACGAACAGTGCCGTACGAGTTTATGAAAGCAGATTTGTTGTTGATGAAGACACACAACCGTAAGCATGTACACGACTACAATATTGGGCTTTACCACTAACCACTCTGATTTTAGTCAACTCTCTTCGGACCTGCCATCAGCCCAGCGACCCTCGCCTTTATGATCTCGCAGATGAACTAGGATTATACGTGATGGATGAAGCAGATCTCGAGTGTCACGGCTTCGAAACGATTGCCGATGCAGCATTGCCTCCTGACGAGCAATCTTTGCCATTCTTCGAGAGACAGAAGTTGACGAGGACCAAAGCAGCACAGTGGACATCTAACAACCCTGATTGGAAGGGTGAGAACCACACACCCGCGCATCCTTTCGCCAAGCTGATCGTCGTCAGATGCGTACGTTGACCGGGCCAAGCAGCTCGTCCACCGAGACAAGTTGCACCCATCAGTAGTTCTGTAAGTCATTCTCGCCATTATCCTCACGAGTCAGAAGTAATGATTACTGCAGTTGGAGCTTGGGGAATGAAGCATTCCACGTCAAGGGTGGGAACCACACTGCCATGAGAAACTGGATCAAAGACTATGATTCCTCTAGACCGATTCACTATGAGCCAGATTTGACCGCGGAAGACATGGACATGCATTCTCGAATGTACCCAAATGTCTCTGAAATCATCGAGTTTGGAAAGGACTCATCGAAGAAGAAGCCTTTGGTGCTCTGCGAGTACATTCATGCGATGGGCACTGGACCTGGAAATATCAAGGAATATGTTGATGCTTTCTACCAGTACGAGAAGCTTCAAGGAGGCTGGCTGTGGGAGTGGGCGAACCACGGACTACTCACCAAGACCAAAGACGGCAAACCCTTCTATGGCTATGGCGGTGACTTTGGTGACGTTCCAAATGATTACAACTTCGTGATGGACGGCGTTCTCAACTCAGATCACTCACCTCGGAGTGCTCTGATAGAGTACAAGAAAGCTGTGGAGCCAGTTCAGGTCGTGTCCAGCTCCACAAGATCTGTCAAGATCATCAACAGACTCGACTTTGAGACGTTGGACTACCTCCAATGCTTCGCGACTGTGGTCACTGAAGATGGCTCAAAGGACTTAGGCCAAGTCAATATTCCTGCGAACATTCAGCCTGGAACAATAGCCGATATTGAGCTGCCTAGCGTGGCTTCCGATGCCACAAAGGAGACGCTTGTGGACCTCAGCTTCAAATTGAAAGACGATACACTCTGGGCGGCAAGCGGCCATGAAGTTGCCCTTCTTCAGATACCAATTACTTTGCCTGCCAAAGTTGAATTGGCGGAATCAGCTGACAAGCCGTCACTGAAAGCGAAGAGCGTTGGCACAATTCTTTCGATCGAGGGCGAAAATGTGCAGTGGGAACTGGACACTGTGCGAGGACATCTGAGCTCGTGGAAGAAGAGTGGCAAAGCAATCATCTCTCAACCTCTCGAGCCCAACTTCTACAGAGCCTTGACTGACAATGATGCTCCTCGCGATGGACGCGATTGGAAAGACCGAGTTCTGCATCTTGCGAAGACTGAAACACGGAGTGTGGAATTGCACGACCACGAGGATCAAGTTACTATTGTCATCCACCAGAGATTCGCTCCCCCTGTGTTGTCTTGGAGCATAAACCTGGTGACCAAGTACAAATTCACATCATCAGGGGCCGTTTCGATCAATGTGAAGGGCACACCGCAAGGTCAGAACCTACCGAAGACCTTGCCAAGAATCGGAGTGACATTCGGTCTGCCGCAGGAGTTTCAGCAGATCAAGTGGTTTGGTCGAGGACCCGGTGAGAGCTACAAGGATATGAAGCTCTCTCAGCGTGTGGCCAAGCATTTCGTGTCGAACGTCGACCGCCTCTGGGCCAACCCTGACTTCCCTCAAGAGTGCTCGAACCGCACGGACACGCGCTGGCTGAAGATTTCGTCGCCACACACCCAGCTCAAAGCCCAGTTTGTGAAATCTCCCGAGTCCAACGATAGGCACCTATTCGATTTCATGGCCAGCCACTACGATGTTCAAGACATCGACAAGGCTCAACACCCGTATGAGCTTGAGGAGAAGAAGCAGCAGGATGTCATCCTGAGGCTTGATGCTGATCACCATGGACTGGGTAAGTGTCGACTCAATATTCGGATTTGGAAAAAGGTGCTAATTTTTGTGTGTTTCGCAGGGACTGGGTCGTGCGGCCCGAAGACTCTGGAGGAGTATGCGCTCAAGACCGAGCCTTTCGAGTTCACGATCCTATTGCAGTGAACGCAGGTGTCACGGAGATTGACGAATTGAAAAACGAGGAAAGATTTCATCAGCAATAGAACATAGACGCTAACAGAATCCATAGAAGGCTTCAACATTCGCGCCCAGTGTCATCGAGGCTCCATCATTGACCACGTTCCAGTCCGCACACCTTTGGGTTGTATCTCTTGGTCAGGGGCGCCGTATCGCGCCCTGATGAGATGGATGCGGATATGCTTGGGTCAGGCGATGAATGCTTATTATTAGGTGTCAAGGCAAATAGGCCACTCGTGGCACATCAAGTCTTCGCCGAGCTGGACGATATCGAGCCTTGGCACGATGAGGAGCCATCACAGTGAGACATGCATGACCTATCAAGAGGCAGCAAGCATGCAAGGCGTCGCTCTAGATGTCTTCCACACATCTGTCAATGCGACCACAGGACACTCGCAATGCATCAGGCTATCGACTTCAGCTCGCTTTCCTTGCTTGAAGTCTTCAAGCTGGTGGCGTTTGCCAAGCAAAGAGAGACCTGACCCGAGAGTGTCGGGTAGCAGCATTCAATATATCACCACCTCAGCTAGCAATCTCTCCCATCGGTTCGAGGCACGAGCGCTTGCAGCCATCGCCAATACCGTGGGAAAATCCACGGTTCATGGCTACCACGCCCTCTTTTCGCCCCCAGCACCACACATTCCACATTGGGACAAGATAGGTTACACAAAGCAATAGTGGCTGCCGGATTGGTTTCAACATACCCCTGCTGGCCTCGCTTAGGGGGGCTAAGATTGGATGTAGGGACGGCTTGACAGCCTTTTCGCACTGTCTGTTTTGGGTGGTTACTGGCTTGACTTGTTCTTCGGGGCTACCGGTTCGCGAGACACGGTTTGGTTGATGGCGGAGCTGAATTGGGTCTGGAATCTTTGGGGTGTGGTGGCTGCCTTTTTTGAAGCTTGATTGTTCGCAAGAGGGGGGGATATAATATGGTTGTTGCGCTGTTGGATCCTTTCCTGATCGACGTCCTCAAGGATTTTGACGAAGAAGATTGAATCGTGAGCACTGCACAGCACTACGATGGTAAGATCGATGGAAGTTCCTTGCTACTGGGTGGTCATACTCATTTTTGATTACAGTCTGTCCCTCGTCACGGCGGCGGTCGTATGCCAGTGGAGCAAGCGCCTTATGTGAGTCGTCGAGAGATTGCTGCCATGAGCTCTCACTTACAGCATGGCGTACAGGAAGCTCCTCCTCGACACGGAGGTGGTCGCCTTCCAGGCCAAGCCCCTGAGATGCAACGGGACATCATCGATCACGCTGCTCCTCGTCAATTCAGCAATGTTGGTCCGGGAAGTCCAGAAGAGCAGCCGGTAAGTGACTTCAAAGTGATGTTTTGACAATGTCGCAATCTGATGAGGATCCAGTACGATGAGAAGACGGTCAACGTCATCAAAGTTGACGACTATCGCTCGAACTCACAGCCCTCGCAACGGGACTCCATCGTCGTACGCATTCTTCGCCATCTTTGCTCTTGACGGGTGGGGAGACACGGAAGGTTGACCAGAAACTTAGACTGCGCTACCACAACATGTATCAGGCAATGGATCAAATGTACGTAGATCATCGTATCGACGCTTAATTCAAAACATTTATCATCTCTTACTGACAATCTGTAGCCCAACAACGTCCATGTCGCCAACTATCGCAACCTCAGCCATCCAAATACCAAGTATCGTTGGGAATACCCAAATGCACATCTCCGCCCTCAATATGAGTACATATCCAACGGCCCGCGCTTCGTTCGAGATATCATGGGCCGTGTAAAACAGAAGTGGTATCCTGATGACCGATACATCTCGCCATACGATGGAAGAGCAAAACCTCTGTGTGTACAAGCCACGGACGACATCTATCGCTCTCCCAACAACACCACCCACCTTCGGACGTTCATGAGGAATACGAGTCCCTTCATGCTGCGCATTGCCAAGTGGCCACTGAGTAAGATGGAGGTTTTGGTTGACTTGCGAAAAGGTATTGAGTTGACTCGTTGCGTAGACCACTTCAATTACATCGACGAGAACACCCCAGCTTCCGACTATTGGTATGCTGCTGCCAAGTGGATACCTGCCACCGCGGCACTGACTGTAATGGTACGGATCGACATAAATTCACAAGTACGAACGAACTTCACTGATCGTACTTCAGCTCATGTTCCCCGGAAATGCCTCAGGACAAGAACGCAACGGCGGTCGCTATGATCCCTTCCCATACAAGTTCTACAACTATCCCAAGGCTGCACGAAACACTTTCGAAGACGACTGCCTGACCATTGCTGGCCGGCGTACTCACCACACGACAAATCCAGAAATCAAGCGTACTCTTCGTCCTAGATATCTCTGCGTCCTATCTGCCGATGACAAGATGACGCGGATCAAGACAGAAGACTGGGAGAAGAACAACAAGGGAAAGCCGCTCGATTACGTCTTCATTGCCTACACTGCTGATCAGTTCGACAACGACACTGATTCTGACGTTAAAGCACTGCATGCAATTGCCAAGACGGCTACGAGGGCAGTTGGTCTCAACACATATTGGGTTGGCTGCAGCTGTATGCCAGATAAAGATGAGATTGAGCAGGACGTTTATCGCATCAGCGATGTGATCCGTGGTGCTCATTCTCTCATCATTGCTGTGGGACCGAACAACAAGGAATCGGCTCCTTCATTCGACTTGCAGCTGGTGCAGTGGGGAACACGCATGTGTAAGTCGAAGCTCCTGAAAGCCTGCATAACACATGGGTGCCGTTCGCTAATGTGATCGAATCGTACAGGGACATGGCCAGAGGTCCTCCTAAGCCCTGGAGACTCCATCAAAGTCTTTTCCCGCGAGAATAACGACGTTGTCACCATCACCAAGAGACAGTTCGCACAAACTGTCTGGAAAGACGCAGAAGTCTCTCGCCAGCTCATCGACCATTACGAAGGGAGCATCATCCTCGGCCGTCTCGAACTTGTTACTCTGGCACTGCAGTGCCTCCAAGGACGCGAGACTTCTCAGCACCTTCATGGCGACAAGTCGTATGCGCTCATGGGCCTGATGCGCCTGCGACCCAAGATCGACAGAAGCGACACGGCATTCCAGGCTTTTGCCCGACTCAGCTTAGCCAACGACAGCGACATGCTCCTCGAACGGCTCATCAGCACCTTACCAAAGAATCCAACCCAGCATTGGAGCTGCATGGACGACGCCTGGAACTCCAAACTGTGGGACATCTACCCAACTTGTCAAATCGCCGGTATTGGCCGCGATGACACTGTCATCATCGACGGCCTGCGTGGAGCCAATGTTCGGTGGAAGTCGTTTGAGGTGGTCAGGAGTGAGGTTCGTGCCAACTTCAAGCGGACATTTACTCTGTTCTTGCAGCACTCGGCGCCGCTGTTCTTCTATGTTTCGATTGGTTTGCTCGCTGCTGGGAATGCGCTGAGGCCCTCGAATAAGACTGCTGGCGACACGTATACTTTCGTGGGCGTGGTCTTCATCATCTACTCCTTGATCGCCATCATCGGCGCTCCCTGGTTCGTAAAGTTGCTATACGGTGGCAAGTTCTGGCAGACGCAGGTAAGCCCACAGCTATAACGAGATGAACCGGCAGTGAGCTAACGATCCACAGCCCTGGCTCTTCGGCTTCGAAGGCTACCTCCCTGTTGAAACAATCGAAAAGCAAGTCTTTGGCACCAACTTAGGTCGTCTCTCATGGTCCCCGTACTCGTCCCCGCTCTCCCGCCACAAACGCAACGAACACGACGAATGCATCGGCATCGACCCAACCACCGACCCCGAAGTCAGAAGCCTGGTCTCGCAAGCCACCCACGCCACACCAGGCCAGATGCGAGTCTTCACGATCGTCGACACGGGTAACATGGAAGTCACAATGTTTCAAGCGATTCGGCCGCCGGTTGCTTTCTTGCTCGCCGGCGAAGAAGGCGGAATGCAGAGGGCTGTTGGTGTGAGCTATCAGTGGGAGACGCAGACTTGCTATCGCGAGACGATTATGAGGATGCCGACGACGACGAAGGATTTGATGACGCAGGTTAATAGGGTGAGGTTTGGGTTGAAGCGAGAGATGCCGCCTACGAGGCCGGTCAGGGGCGCGGATCAGGCTGTGTAGGGCGTGTTTTTTTGGGCGGTATCTGCTCAATGCCTCTTACCGATTAATGCCATTACCTCATCTCACAAATTTCGATGCTGTGAGAGCACATACCTAGATTTGCATTGAGACTCGTCGGCCGCATTTAATGTGGTGGCAAAGTGCGGCCGCAGAGCCCGCGCCCAAAGCGGTCACCTTGTCCGTCACTAAACCTCATCTTCAGACTCGCTTTCGCGCTGAAGTTGTTTAGAGCTGATGTCGTGGACGTTGTCGACCGATTTGGATATTAAATATCATTGTACCTGCAAGCGATAGGGAATAAACGGAAGTACGTGGTCTTGCAGCGCTGACCTGCATTGACCTCAGCCCTGCAGTTCTTACATTAGCTGCAGCTGTCCCGGAGGAAGGACTATATAAACGGCCAGCTTGCCTCAGTCCAATAATCCGTACTGTACAAGGAAAACCTTTTTGGTGATCGAGAAAGAATGCCTTTCCAACCATACGCAGATCGACACAAGAACTTGAAAGGCCCTGGTGATGAGCGACCGACAGCAGAAGAGGTTGTCAAAGATCAGGGACTAGTTGGTGGCCTTAAGGGACGGACTATCTTCATCACCGGATGTACGTCAGGGATTGGGATCGAAACTGCTCGAGCCTTGTAAGTCTGTCCAATGCAAAGAACGACATCGTTTGTAGCTAACCTTTGAAGGTATCTTACGGGAGCCAACATCTACATCACTGCTCGAGACACGAAGAAGGGCGAGCAAGTAGCCAGCGAATTCGCTACAGATCCATCTCGGCCTATCCATGTCGTTGAAATGCGGCTCGACTCTTTCGACTCCATTCGTGCTGCAGCGCAGAAGTTCTTGGCTGCGGAGTCCAAACTGAATATCCTCATCGACAACGCCGGCATCATGGCATGTCCGAAGGGCACCACCGTCGACGGACATGAATCTCAGTTCGGAACGAACCACTTGGGACATTTCCTCCTCTTCCAGCTTTTGAAGCCAGCGCTTTTGTCCGCAGAAACTCCAGAATTTCCATCTAGGGTAATATCGCTGTCTTCAACTTCTCATCGAAACTGTTCAGGACTTCCATTCGACGACCTCGACTTCTCCAAGAGCGAATACAACCCGGGAATAGCATATGCGCGATCCAAGCTAGCGAACATATTCTTTGCCAACGAATTGGATCGTCGCTATAAAGACTCGAATCTGCGGGCGTTCAGTCTTCATCCGGGAAGCATCAAGACTCCTTTGCAGCGTCATGTTCAGGATGCGGACTTCTATAAGAATGCTATTGGCAATCCAGAATACCAGGCACAGACGAAGAGTCCGGAGCAGGGGGCGGCCACGACGGTGTGGGCGGCATTGGCCAAGGAACTTGCGGGTCGAGGTGGCATATACCTTGACGATGTTGGCGAGGTTGGTGTGGCAACACCTGAAGGACCTGCTTGGAGATCTGGGCATGGTCAACAGATTTACAACCCTGAGGACGAGAATAAACTGTGGGAGTTGAGCAATAAGTTGTGCGGCATTCAAGAGGACTAGCTGTCGGATTACGGGGCCTTGCCTTCTCTACTCTTCATGAGGGGCTGTATCTTCTCTCCAAAAGCATCGATGCCTTTTAGGTAATCGTCGAAGACTATCATGATACCTTTCGTCCCAGCCACCCCCGCCACTTCATCCAGCATGCTCGCAATCTTGGCATAGGAACCCACGAGCGTGCCCATGCTCATGTTGACAGCTCTGTCCGGAAGCGTGAGTCGAGTGGCGGTAGCGTTGTTGTCAGCTTTGACATCCTTCCCAGCCTGCGATGCCATCCAAGCAACGGCGTCGACGTCCAGACCGTCTTTGTAATAATTCCATTTCGCCTCAGCCGCTTCATCGGTTTCATCAGCAATGACCATGAAAAGGACGTAGGAGCCGACATCGCGTCCGACTTTCTTGGCTGCACCAACGAGACGCGATCCAGCTTCGGCAAAAGCTGTAGGTGTGTTGTAACCGGCGCCTAGAGCGAAGTTGAAATCTGCATATTGAGAGGCGAATTCGATTCCACGACCAGATTGTCCTGCTGCAACGATCTTCGGCGGGCTCGAGGGTTGTGGAGCAAGCTTGCAGTCCTCCATTGTGAAGTGCTTGCCCCTGAAATTCGAGACTCCTGTGGACCACAAGTCTTTCAAGACTTGCACGTACTCCGTGGCGTAGTCATAACGATACCTGAGAATCGTTAGTCGAGTTTATAACCACGAGGCTTTAGTATTAACCCAAAGTAAGCATCGCCTGGCCAGAGATTCATCTGCGTATACTCCGCAGACTGCCATCCAGTGACAATGTTGATACCGAACCGTCCAGGGGCGACCGAGTCAATCGTCGACGCCATCCTCGCCACGATCGCTGGAGGTAGTGTCAAGATGGCTGTAGATGCAAACAGCTTGATCTTCGATGTCACAGCAGCCAAGGCCGACATGAGAGTGAAGGACTCCAAGTTGACATCCCAGAAATGAGTTTCGCCTCCGAACCCTCGAAGTTTGATCATCGATAGAGCGAAATCAAGCCCGACGCTCTCGGCCTTTTGAACGATTTGCTTGTTGAGCTCGAAAGAGGGTTCATATTGTGGCGCGTTCTTGCTGATGAGCCAGCCGTTGTTCCCGATAGGGATGAAGACACCAATGTCGACTGTCATTGTGGATAGGAATGGATGAGGAATGGATTAGAGTACGGTTACCGATCACGGTCAATACCTGCTGCACAGAACTCAATTCATCTTATACAAGATTCTGTAGCCACGGCGAGAGCATCGTCCCCGCTATCAGTGGGCTTTCTTGTGCTCTCAGATAGGCCACCTGCCGGCCAACCAGAGGTGTCTTGAGCGATCCATTGCGGCTGACTGAGAGATCGGCGGCCACAGGTACTTCCTAATGGAGTGACTGAGTGGCTATCGTCGAGCGATGGCGGCCATGGAAAAGCAGAGTAACACCTCCTCAACTTGATGATGTTGTCAATGCAGAGCCTCCAGCTGTGAGAAGTGTGATCACTGAAGTGTGAAAGTAACTGCTATAGTACGCCGGAGTTCATCTCGCGTTCCCCTGTCAACGTCATCCTCTTCGGCTCTTCTTGCCGCATCCTTCGAGGCATTAATTGCCAGGATACACAGGCTGAACAAGACCGGTATGTCGTCTACGAGCCTCACCCATTGAATTATTCCTTGGACGATCATAAGGACTTCTGATTGGAATCTTCCACTCATCTTGGCTTATGTCAGTCTCAGACGCCACTGCATACAGCAAGAGCGAAAGCGAAGACACAAAATTGCTGTGTACCGGTACCTTTGAGGCTATGCTATGGCTGAAGTGGACGTTGCTGCTTTTTTGAAGACTTCAACTTGATCCTCGCAGCCATGACGAGCCACAGATGTTAGAGATTGACTATTGACGATAGTCCGGAAGTACTGCCATGTCTTCGACGACTACACCCACGACAGAAGTAGTCTTTATCACCAACAAGCCCAGGCTGCGGAGCCATAACAAGTCGCGTGGAGGCTGCTTAGCATGCAAGGCCAGAAAAGTCAAGGCTAGTGATGATTCGATTGGAGATCAAGCCATGCACGTATTGACCATCTGTTTAGTGCCCGGAGAATAGACCAACCTGTCGAACTTGTGCCCGGCGGGGCGAGACGTGTGTTTATTCCGTTCGCTCGAAAGATGTTGAGGACACTCGCATCGAGGAGAACGGATCAAGTGACTTTACCTGGGACGAGGATGTCAATCTAAATGATTCTGTCAAAGCCAAAATCGCAAAACGGAGTGCAGTCTCGAGAACTGACACTCACACTCTGTCGACAGCATTGACTAGCCAAGCACCGTCTCTATACCACCTCGAATGGATGGACAAAGACGATCTTCACGTCATCGACTCCTGCAAATTCTACAACACAGTCGTCGTCAGCGACATAGCACCAGCCCACGCTCCCTTCAAAAGGGTCGAGATACCGGTCGAGTACTGGAGACACCACATTCCAAAAATGCTTCAGCACGTCTGGATCTCCTTGATGAAAAGTATGCAAGCCCACAGAGCTGGCGTGGACCCATTCACCGTCGCCGATATATGCCAATATCGAGGAAGCGGACTGAGGGAGTTGAAGAACGCCCTCCCTAGGGCAGCCAATGACCCTTATGGCATTGTGCTCAGCTGTGTGATGACTATGATGACGGCCGATCTGTACAGTGGCGGCCCATGGACCACGCATCTGGAGGCTTCGAGGAGAATCTTGGTGCTGAATGGCGGTTTTAAGCAATGCTTTGATCGAATTTGGCCTTTGCGAAGGATCCTGGTCAACTTCATCATAGTGGACGTGTTCAGCGCTACGATGTGTAGCTCCAGACTGATCGACGATACCTGTGCATCGATGCATGCCGAGTATGTTGATGTGCTGGACGACACTGACCACGATGTCTTTGCGTGCAGTCGACCTTGTCCTCGACAGTTGATCCAGGCGATTGCAAGACTGAACATCCTGCGAGCTTCGCTGAATCATCGGTCAACGAATGGAGATGAAAGCCTGCGATTGGAACTGACCGACTTATCGGACATGATTCAAGAATTCGATGCAACGAAGTGGGCGATCAGTGTATCAGATCTCGGCAAGACATTGCCACGGAAAGCCGAAGACTGTCTGGAAGAACGCGATGCAATGGCGCTATCTTCCTACGCATCCTGCTATCACTCTGCGACGCTGCTCTACTTCCTCCTATCCTGCGCAACTCCTCTGACTCCTCAGGACAAAGTGCGAGTACACGTTGCATGCCAAACACTCTCACAGCACCTTCGGTCGCTCTTCGACAGCGCAGCAGTAGATACGGAAGGGCCGCTGCACACCCAGCTCTGGAAGCTCCTTTCTTGGCCCATAATCATCGGGATGTATGTTGGCATCGGCTTTGGTATCGGCGAAGAAGAGGTTGAGGCACACCTGGAGCGTCTTCGAAAGATGTCAACGGTGTTTGGGTCCACTGATGCGGCGGATGTTACGAAGTTCATATACCGTGTTAAGGCTCAGAGGGCTCGCCGCTCAGCCACGGACTGGAGGTGGGATGATGGTTTTTACACAAGATGTGCGTTTGCATTGTGAATAGATGGAAATGGAACGGCTTCAGGCGGGATATCTGAGATCGTACTCGATGGCCATCTGGGTCGTGTTCCGCCACTGCCCATTCAGGTCGATCGAAGGCCAGCCTGGATGAAATTCTGTGGTGGTCGGCAACGTGTAGTACTCTCGACAGACACCCTCTTCTTCGCATTCGAGATCGCAAAGGCCGTAGAGTTGGCAGTAGCAATGCTGCGCCGACGGACAGAAGACGGCATCAGAAGACGGCATCCTGGCCGAAGATTACTGGCATAGTCAGCAGTTTATGGAGCTTCTTGGACTGGGTATGGCTTACTGTGCCATAAGTACTCGATGATTCGTCCAGCGAGATCATCGTTGAGTTCAGTCTGCAACAGCCAAGTCCGATATCGTTCGTAGTCGCTCTTTGGACGTTGACGGATTCTCTCCGCAGTCACAGCGAATTGTGCGCAGCAGGCTGCCCCAACGACATCGGGCACTGTGACTCCAGGCAAAAGCTCTTCGAAGGCGTTTTTGTAGAAAGACCCAGCTCTGGCATTGCGGGATGCTGGATCCGAAGCAGGCGAAGGAGCCTCAGCCTCGACATGTGGCCGTATTTCACTCGGACAACCCAGAGTCCAAACACAACGAAGATTCGCGTAGCCTTGATCCTGGATGTGGGCCAAACGCAGCCGACTCAGGACTCGCTGGCCCTCGTACAGAGAATCATCGTTGTGCCACTGATATCGATTGGCATGAGAGAAGATGATGATCTTGGCAAGCTCATCATAATTGTCGATGATGTGTGTCAAGTACACCATGCCCTCTCGTCCCTTGTTCCTCGGCACCGTCAGGGCTGCTTTGGGATCGTCGGTGACATATATGAGCTTTCTCCAGTCTGCAAACTCATCCAGCAGCCAGGTGGTGTTGTCTTTTGCCTGGCTTGCTACAATGAGGTCGACGTCGAGTGTCTGAGAGGATGCGTTGCCCAACGGCTCTTGCGCATTTCCAGAAGATGAGGATGGCCACGGTGAATAGTGTGCGGAGCGGCTTCCAACGAGGAACAGAATTAGCAGGCAAGTGCAACATATCCAGAGATGTCCAAGTCTTCGCGTTCGTGTGACGTGCGATGCGGTTGTTGGGAGCATCGTCTCAAGGAAAGGACCTCGCCACTCGATTTACACCACAGTCGACTCTGCGTACATGCGTGAAAAGGTTCAGCAGAGCAGAGCAAGGCGCGGAAAGTAGCATTCAGCTGTTTGCAATCAGCGGCCAGGGTAGGCGCCGACAAGGGCAGCGCCTCCATCTCGGCTGGTAAAGTCGCCCATGCGGTACTGTGCCACTCTTAGGTGGGCCCGACTAGGATGTGTTGAGGTCGCCGCGAACCGATGTCAAGAACATCAGGCTTTCGGCTGCAATATCGCGACGCCGCAGCAGCGGCATTGACTGGTGCGCCATGTCTTTGGAGCTCCTATGTGAAGGACTGCCCGAGCATGCAGTTTGGGGTTGGTGGGCGGTTGAACGGTATGGGCGGCTACAGGTGACGGCGGCAAATCCCGAGTTCTGGCGAATCCCCTTTTTGTCTTGCTGCTCCACTTCCATCGACTTTGGGCCGCTACGCAGTCTTCCAAGGATTCAGATTCCTGACGTCGCGTTCCGTGATCGAGGTGTGGTAAATCATTCGTGGTTGTGGATCTGGCCGACTCGAGGTGTTAAGTTGTGAATGGGCGATAGCAAACCTGATGCATTGAACGAACTGACCTACATCCTTCAAGAAACATATTTTCCCGTCTCGGTCACTATTCTTTAGACGAAACCAGTCGTATCCCTCGAGGGCAGAACTGTGGGTCGCCGGTTCGTCCTTCGCATGAATTCCCATCGACTCTTGACCCTCTTGGACAACTGCTCGTTCCAGGCGTACGTGAGGGCATTGGCAAACCCCACGAGCTGCGTTGACGCCTGGAGAGCTTTGAGCCATACTGGCGACTCGCCAACAGTCTCAACAATACGGTTTGCGATGCCAGGGATCCAGAGAATGACGTAAAGTATGGGGTAACCGTTCAAGAGCAGCATCTTCCGCAATGCTTTCTTCCTTGCAGCAGCCTGCGTATTTCCGAGAGTATTGACCCGCTGGATATCGCCGTGTGACTTCCTCCCAATCATTGCAACCTGAGAACTGGACGGCGCAATGCCATCGGTGCTGGGGCCACCACGTCTGAGGGTTGGCGAAAGTGGTTGTTCGTCGCTGTCGTGGTTCGTGGCGACGGAGAATGTACGGACGTGGCCGTGTGCCGGCTGTTTGATGTTGGGTAGTTCTTCGGCCATGTTGAGGTCCAGATCATCCTGTGTTGCGCTGCTGTCTGTGCTGAGGTTGAGTTTGCCGTAGACTCGCTTCAAGTAGAGGTAAACATAGGTATAGATGCCTATCGTTAAAAAGAAGATGGCAATTCTCCAGCCATGGGTAAGCGTATATCGCAGCACAAGATTGGGCTTTATCCAGCACCAGTTGCCACTGACCGGGCCATATGCATCAAGGCCGAGGGCAATGTTGCCTGAACGCCGTGAGCACGTACGTGGCAGTAGTTCTGAAGCGGCTTACTAGTAATCAAGGAGGGTATCCATGGCAAGATACAGATAAGCACGACTGCCCACCAAGGGGGCTCCATTGTGATAGAACTCTGGCGAACAGTGAGCAGCACTGCGAAGGAGATGATCAAGATGTTGAAATCTATCGCCTGCACGGAGAATTGTCCAATGTATCCGTTCGCGGTGCAAGCTGGGCCCCTGGTGAGCTGACTCTCCTCATTGCGTCGGGACAGCGCAACAGCGCCAGAGATGGTGTTGTTAAGCGCATTGATCCAATCTACGCGGTCGGTCAGTCGAATTGGCGTATATGGTGAGCACTCTTCGTGACAGACCAGCTATTAGCAGGTTCACAATCAGCGCTTGACGGTAGTGTCTCTCCGGAGGCAGCGCATAATAGAAGACCGCAAATATGGTGTCAGCGATGAGAGAGAGCAGAGAGCAAACGAAAGTCGGTATCGCGACAACCAGTAACAGTGGCATTTTGGCTGCGCCGAAAGACGAAAAGGAACTCAGAAGCACTCATGGTGAGATGCCGTTGAAGAATCGAGATCAGGAGTGTTTCTGTCTCGGAGGACGGAGTTGTCTAGCCGTTGTCGTTATCCTTGAAGCCATCCAGGGAAGCCGTACTGCTAATTCAGGGCACCTGGCGATATGTACCTTGGCTGTCCCCGGCGTTTTGGGGAATTCGGTTTGATGCTGAGCTTTTGGCATGGATAGTCTGATTTGGTGCCAACCTAAAGGCAGCGATTCATCATTGGATACTCTGGGGATCGTTGCATGTCTGTGATTATGAAGGTTTACTTTGTGATGAAGGAAAGTTTCTCGCATTCATGAGAGTTCTCGATCTCGAGCTGATTGTCGTCGCGAAGGGCGATTGGACGCAAAGGCATCTGGCTGACGCGTCTTGGTCAATTCAGTGACTTCAATTGCACTGCGAGACGCTGTTGCGCGCAAAGAAACGCAGTATGAAGTCGAAAGGTTGAGACGGAGTTTTGAGTCGGGCTGGGAAGTTGGCGAAGACGTTTGGAAGAAAGGGGCTAGCACGTCGATCGGTTAGGCTCGGCTCGGCTGGGGCCTTGGCAAATGCCGCAGACTCCACGCCTTCTCTCCCTCCTCACTTTAATGTCGCATTGCCAACACCTTCCTCTTCGTATCAATGCGGCAGCACTCGAAGATCTTGTACGCAACAGTATTGTGCATACCGCTTTGCCAAGAAAGCATCGATAAAGGACGCCCAGCCCGGACGAAGACGGGCCCAGAGCAACTGGTCTTGGTGACGCATGAGTTCTTTCCCCTTGACAGTTCAGTCGAGGCGCAGGCCAGTAGACAACGAAAGGTCGTAAAAGTAGCCAGGTGGAGAACTTAGGCACGAAGCGACTGATACTGATACCTCTCACGTGCGTATCCGCCAAAGTCAGCGGCTATAGGCATGCCTACGGCGCAGCAGGAGATGGGTTCGGGCGAGATTTCATACTCTCGCAGTCAGTCGCTACACCACTGTTCTTGGTTCCACCTCATTTTCTTACCACCCACCTCTCTTACCTGTTTCTTGCTACTATTCAAGCACGTCAGCATGGTTTCGTTACTAAGCTTCCTGTTCGGATTGGCAAGACATTCTGTTCTTCTACCTGCAGTCGCAGAGTTCGCCCAAGTCACCCATTTATGGCATGAAGAATCGATGTTGGATCAGAGTCATGCACTTCACAAGAAAGACTTGTGTACCGATGCTTTCGGTGCGGGCTGGCTTGGGAGTACTTGCACACCTGGGGCGACACTGCTGTGTGTACCGAAACGGGTTCCCGTGAACATGTCTAATCGTTTGCAGGTGTCAACCAAGATCAGCAGTATCCTCAATGTAGTAAATACCTTGGACTTGGCTGGTGTTGTACAGAAAGGTCAGTAAGGCAACAATCCCTGGCGTACCTCACACTTACCTATTTCCAGTCAAGGAGGATGCTACGTTGACCTGACTTCATCGGCATGCGGACGGCCAGGAGCTGTGAGCTGTACAGAGTTGGCATCTGGAGTTGACAAAGCCTGCTGCCCACAATACACCACTTGCGCCCCTGGATACAACGCTTCAACATCGTTCGTTAGATGCAACATTCAACAATCACGCCTGCAAGTAATAGCTTCATCCACAAGTATCTTACATGGCGCCTCCACGAACAGCCAGTCAGCGACGGAGGCGGCAATTTCTGCGAACTCGACAAGCCTCTCCACCACAACGAATGCGCAGGCATCATTGACTTCGACCTCGACGCCAGTCTTGACACCAGCACCACCTACATCGACTACAATATCGCAAGGCATCGATCGTAATGCACCGCAGAATCACCAGACAAGCATCAGCTCTGGCATGATTGCAGGTGTTGTAGTTGCAGCGTCTGTGGGAGTAGTCCTGCCCGTTGCGGCGTGGGTTTTGTGGAAGACGAGGTCGGGAAGAACCAAAAGTACACCTTTGGCGAGATCGATGGTGGATGCAACACCACAAGAACCTCCCGCATACAATAACGCTTGCTACGACAGGCCGGAACTATACACCAAAACGCCCAAGCAAGAACTGGCCGCTAGATGGTCAAGAACGAGGTCACCGGTGGAGATGCCGGTCGAGCGATTTTGACTCGAGATCACCTTGGGTTCGGACGGAACGATTTGTTGCCCAGGAATATAGCATACTACCTGCCTGGTTCTGTTGGGTATCTGCCACTTCATTGCATAGCACTGCCTTTATGAAGCATTCACGTCATTGGACGCCACATGTGAACGGCGCCGAAATAGAGTTTGGGACCACGACGACACCTCCTATACTGCCTGCTGAAAAGATAGCCTCGATCCTAACACCACACTCAAACACAACGACTAGGCCGCAAATATGACAGACAAACAAGATGGCCCTAGATATCCTGTCGTCACGGGCCTGGAATTCTATTCCACCGACGGCGGGTCCAAGCCACCAAAAACAACAGCACTCCGAGAAATAGACATCGAAGACTGGTCTTCGTCTCCTTCCGACGCAGCGATGAAGATCCTCTCCATACGACTCGACTCTACGCAACGACATCCCCGACGCGGATTCAGTGTCCCATTCTCGCCGAAAATCGTTGAAACAGCAATCTGGCGGCCAGAGGTTTACTACAACCTCGCTCAAAACCCAGGTGGAGGAGCCGCTGGCTTAATCGATGAACCTCCAAGATTCATACTCCAGACTCCGAGCGATCACGAGCCGTTCTGCTCGCTCGCAATGTCGAAGAAAGGGACGGTCGTGAAGGGTATATATTCCTACACAAACGACAGCTTCGAACCCACCTCCATCCTCGCAGAAGAACTCAGTCCCTCCAGCTGGCGACAGTCCGGACTACAGATCATCAACCTCCCCCAAGCGATTCTACGCCAACATTCCAACCACATCTCCAACAAACTCACGCACCTCCTCGACCAAATCGAACACGTAGAGAGCACCCTCGCAACCGCCACCACAACGCAGTCTTTCTCCCCTCTAATCACCACCCTCCACACTAGCCACCTCGCCCACCTCGCCCTCCAACGCCGCTCCCGCTTCGAGTCAACCCTCCTCTCCGCCATCTCCACCCTCGTCTCGCATTCCAAACACGCCCAAACCCCCTGGCCCGCCCTCTCCCCACAAACCTCCGCCCTCGAAGCCCGCGCCTTCGATCTCGACTTCCTGCCCGGAAGAATCTCCAACGCCCGCGCCACCATAAGCGCCCTAATCCAACACCGCAACGAAGAGCGAAACCTCGAAATCGCCGAAGCGTCCCGCCGCATGGCGGCGTTCGCGTTGAGTGATAATGCGAGCATGAAGACGATTGCGATCATGACGATGGTGTTCCTGCCCGGGACGGCGGTGGCGAGTTTTTTCAGTATGAGTATGTTTGATTGGGGAGCGCAAGGGGGTGGAGAGATTGCGAGTCGGTGGTTGTGGGTGTTTTTTGTGGTGGCGGTGCCTTTGAGTGCGGCTGTGGTTGGGGTTTGGTGGGTTTGGACGGGGAGGATGAGGAGGGGGTTGGATGGGCGGGAGTGGGTTGGGAAGATTGGTCAGGAATCAGGGGAGAGGAATGATGAATTTGAGTTGCGGATGCAGCAGGAACAGGTTGTGTCTGTGTTGAAATGACAATGGAACTATTGGACGCTATACGAAGCTCCCAACAATGTTGTCCTTCTGCGTTGGAACGCTCTCTTCTAGCGATTTCAGTCGGCTGCGCTCGAATCATCGAAGCCCTTCAACCCTTCTTCGCCTTCTTCTGGGCTGCAAGCCGGCGCTCCAGCTGTACGATCTTCAGCTGCAGCTTGGTCTCTTTCAACTGCGATTGAAGGTCCTGTTCGTCCTCGTCCTCATCCATCTCTTCTCGTTGCATTCGACGTCGCTTTGAGGGAGCTGGCCGTCTATAAGGCTCCTCTGCTGTTGCGGCATCCCCGTCTTGCTCTCGCATGTTGGAACTCGTCGCCGACTGATAGACGTCGTCAATAGGCTCCTGCTTCACTGGACCCGCTTCTGGCTCAGGACTCTCGGTGAGGTCGATGATGTCGTCGACAGGCTCCTGCTTGATGACAGTCTTTCGTGCTTGCGGCTGTGGGCTCGTGAAGAGGCCCGTGGGATTGTCGGCGTCGTCCGACTCTGGCAAACGTGACGCCTCGCGCCTGCAGGTGGAGTTGGTACCCTGGATATCCTCTTCAACCTGCTCTTCCACCAATTCTTCAACCTGCTCTTCCACCAACTCTTCAACCTGCTCTTCGACCTGCTCTTGAACCTGCTCTTGAACCTGCTCTTGATGGTATTGATCGTCAACTTCCTGATCCTCCATGTCCATTGTCGGTGCGTCTTCGCGCATCCAAACCGGTACATCGTTAGGCAGAACGACATTGGAAGCGCGTGGAGCGAGCTTGCCCCTCTGGTGCCACGAAGACGAGTTGAGGCAGGTGTTTGCGTACCTGAGTAGATTGTACGCTCGGTTGTAGGGCTCCAGATCTGACTCGATGTACCGCGTCTTCAGCTTCGGAAATTGAACAGTCTTGTTTGACACGTTGGGTACTCGTTGCATGTGTGGCATGTTCGCCACCAGACCCGTCCAACTCTGTTTCTGAAGGACGGGGTCCACGATGCTGTCGGGTTGTGCGTCAAGGTCCTCAACCATGAGGATAAGAAGGTGGGCGACGTACTCTTTCGTCTCCTCGATCTGCTGTTTTCGAAATGCTTCCCTGCCCATTCTCTCAGTCCGTGGAGTCTTCTTCTTTTTCCGGAGTTGCGTGATGGCATTCCCTCCGTCTCTCAGCTTTAGCGGGAACCGACTCTTGTCCGAGCCTGGCTTTAGGAAGTGATCTCTAATGATCCTGAAGACGGTATCCTTGCGAACTCTAGGCGCACCTTCCTCCCGATAGTGCAGGTAGTATTGTAGAAAGTAGTGAGAAAGGACAAATAGGCGCAGGTCGGCTGCATTCGTAAAGCCCAGATACGCGGCGCAGAAGTATCGTTGCTTGTCAAAGTCGATGAAGCCGAGTGCAGTCTCGCGATTGCCAGGTGTGATGGCGTCAGGGATTTGGCGAGTAGTGCCGTCGCCGATGTCGCCATATTCATCGATCTATCTCACAGTAAGTTAAAAGGTGAGGAGTGGAAGCTCCTCGCAAGTGCGTACCTCCTCGTCATCGACATCATCGCTGGCCTTCCGCTTGCCACGCCCGGTCGTCGAGGTGGCGGAAGCCTCTGGTGTGTCCTCATAAGATGAGGTCGAGTGGCCGCCCGTTCGAGGCGCTTGGTACACCGCATTCGTGCGTGGCGGCATTTTCGCTCTGCTCTCCAACCGCAGACTGATGAGGACACCACGATGTGACACCAAAGTTGTTTCGTGCGGCGGCACGTTGCATGAGCAAACGCTACGTGATCGGAATTCGAGCTTCAAGGTTTGGAAGTTTCCAGAGAACTTCAGCTAGCGAGACGCTAGCGGCTAAATTTCGGCGTCATGTGAAAGTTGAGGTGAATGGGAAACAACAGGAACTTCATCAGCGTACACCTAGCTGTCAATCGACGGGATTCCTATACTGATGTTTGTTGTCACTCAGTCAGAAGATGTTGTATAACGTACAAAGTAAATTCATGGTCGCTTGAGTTCATCGTGGTGCCTGTCCGCTGTTTTCTTCAACGTCCAGTTTCCAGGTCTCATAAGTGCCGAGAAGTTGTTGCCATCTCAAGTTTAATTCTCCTTTTTCCTGGCCGCCATCTTTCGCTCTAGTAGTACAATCTCGAGCCTCAGCTTTGCCTCTTCCAGCTGAGACTGAAGCACCGCGTCGTCTTCCACACCCTTGCCTTTCCCGTTCCCAGAGACGCCTCGTTCCGCTGAATTGAGGTCGCACGTAGTCCTATCATCTACCACCCGTAGATTGGGCTCGGGTCTCTCCTCAAGATCTGGTGATTCTCGTTTCAGAGGGATGCCCATTTCGTGAGGTTCAGGCGTGGTAGTGAGATCGATGACTTGTCTGTGGCGAATCGGCTGCCCTGATGGTAAACTCTGTGTGACTGGCCTGGCCTCGCCTTGTCGCATTCCGTTGTCCACATGGTCAGCACGCGCCGTCGTCACTGGATGGGGCTGCATCCAGTGCGGTATGTCAGCGACGGTGACGCTTTGACAGAACCTAAGCTCCATCTTGCTCATGCGCTTCCAATTGGTCTTGTTGTACGCATATTGAGCGTACCGAAGCAAGACCATCGCTCGGCTGTACGGTTCCAGCTCTGACTCCACGAAAGCAGTCTTAAGCTTTGGGTACTTGATGGGCATCTCCGTGATATGTGGAGTCGACACCACATGAGGCAGCGCCTTGTTGAGCTTCGCGACCATACTCTCCTGTGTTTCTGGATTCACCAAAAAGTCGGCCTTCGCGTCGAGATCCTCCACCATCAAGATCAGGATGTATGCCAACGAAGTGGTCCTCGGCAAAGCCCGCTTGTGCGACCCTTTCTTTCCAGACTGCGTGCCAGTCCACCCAGGTATCTGCCCTTTTGGATGGAGTTTGAATGCTGCGCCGGGCCTATCCTGCATTTTCACTGGGTACTTGCTCGCATCTGCTGCTGGATTGAGGAAGGACTCTTTGATCTCATCGAACGCACTATCAGCGAACAGGCTGTTGGACCAGTTGTCCTCGGTCTTGTATCGAAGGAAGTGCTCCAGAAAGACGTGAGATGCAACGAATCTGCGCAGGTCGCCAATGTCGCTGAAGCCCAGATATGCCGCCGAGATGGGCTCCCGTTTGAAGACGTCGTAGACGCCGACTAGTGAAGCGAAGACTCCATCTGGGTTGAAAGGTACCAGTTTCCTCACTCGTTTGGTCGCAATCTACTTTCTGTGAGATTGGGCAAAGTAGATGTAGAGAAGCGGTACGTACCTGCTCGCCATTACCATCACCTGCAACTTCGTCCTGATCTGATGGCTTTCGCTTTCGACCATTGCTCGTGGATTTCGTGCTGCTTGTTGCCATAGGTATGGTAGAGAACGTGTCTCGTGGAGGCGGTTGCTTTGCGTCATGGACTTCAAGTACTCCTGACGCCATCATAGCTGCTCCTGAATTGTGTTGTTGTATGTGTTTGGGCTGGAGTAGTAACAAGAACAAGAAGGGTTAGTCAAGTTCAGAAAGGGTTGAGCGCATGCAACTGAGTGACATGTGGTGGCCTCTACATGTGACGTCGAGACTAGCGCGACGCTACTGAGCCGCTCCCTGCGCCGCTGCATGTGAAGGCAGGAGCGAGGTGAACAGACTATGAAGGATGACCAGAAGCAGAAGTCACGACTGCGTTGAAGAGAGTGAGCTCAGAATTACTTTTAGCTTCATTTGGATTTTCTTCTATGCATGCTCGAGCATATATGCAAGGAGCAATGGTGTATCTCAATGAGACGGAGTTCCCACCGTGCGCGCTGGTTAACGCATCGGTGGAAGAATCATAGCTAAAAAAAGACATACTCGCTCAAAACACAAACCTACGCACCCTCTCTGCGCGAGAAAGTGAGCAGTAGGTCGTCCATTGGGAAAATGGTCGCAAACACGCGGATCTCCTCACTCGTTGGGGTGATGGTGTGCTTCCACTCGTATTGTGCACTCAGCTTGTGCAGCATGAGCATCAAGTTGAGAGTGGCGTAGGTCTGTCCAAGGCAGTAGTGTGGACCGGTGCCGAACACCAGCCAGTTCTTGCCCTGCTCTTCTGCGTTGCCGGTGATCCATCGCATTGGCTCGAATTCGTCGGGTCTCTCGTAGGCTTCGGGGTCGTGGAGAGACAACCAAGTGGATGGAACGATCATGGAACCCTTCTTGGCGACGTAGTTGCTCTCTGGGATAGGGAAGTCCTTCTTTACGACGTATGGAACCATAATGACAGGTGGGCGGTAGCGGAGAGTCTCTTTGACCACGGCACGAGTGTACTCCTGCAGTGACGTTAGCATGCAAACAAATCGCTTCCTGGAAAAGTGAACTCACCATCTTCTCAAGAATTTCAAGAGACACTTCCTGGTTATGATCTGGTCGAAGTCTGTCGCCCTCCTCGCGGACCTTCTGCAGAATGTCCGGTCGGTCTGCGCAGATTTGAAGCATCCAAGAGCAAGCGCTGGAAGTAGCGTCTTGCGATGCGAACAGGAAAGTGAACACAGTCATGCTGATCTCGAGGTCTGAGAAGTTCCTGAGAAGCATTGCTGGCTTCTCCTCATCTGGCACCTTCTCGCCCTTGGCAATACGCGCACGGTAGCGGTCCGAGTCCAACATCTGCACAATCCAGCGGTCCATGATACACTCTGGCTCAGCGCCCTTTTGCCTCATGCGAACACGAGCCTTGGCAGCACAGTTGGCGAAAGCTTCGAGGACCTTGTCGGCGCACTTCTTTCCATACCAGGTCTTGGTGAATGGGAGGATGATTGGGAAGTTGACCAGCTCAAGTGCAGCCGTAATCAGGTAGTAGTCGTCAGCGATGGCCTTGACACCCTCTCGCGACATGTAGTGGCCGACGAACGTGCGGCAAGATACAGCACACATCAACTCGCGGAGGTTGTACACCCATGGCTTCGGCTCTCCATTTGCATTCTGGCTCTCCCGTAGGAAGTCCTCGAAGTATTCGGCATACACCTCTTGCTGACCTGGCAGGTAGGTCTCGAGCGCATTGCGAGTGAACAAGCCATTGAGGCCTTTGCGGTATTCGACGTGCTCCTTGCCATCCAAAAAGACCCAGTTCTCGGGTCTCAGCAGCTTGTGTGCGACGTCCACCACGCACGGCTTGACGTACATTGGGCTGTTGAAGACTTTGCGGGCGGTGTCGCGGGTGGCAGCGATGATGACGAACTTGTGGAAGACGGAGACGCAGGAAAGAGGACCGGAGGTCCACTTGATGTAGTACTTGTCGAAGGAGGGCTTGACGCTATCGAAGAAGGGGCCGACGAAGGGGATCTTCCATGAATCGCCTACGAGAGGGCCTTTGTGCGACCAGTATGACACTGCCAAGTTATCAGTCCGTATCCAACGCAAGTTGACGCCGCTGCTTCCTTACTCTGATCGTATACCACGGCTGTGAGGAACAGCGTCAAGAAGACGCCGAACCAGCTGACGGGAGAGGCATTGTCGAATGCTTTGCTGAGGATGCCGGTGTTGGCAGATGCAATGGTAGCGTGGATGGTGTTTGGAATGGCGGTCGACGACGCGTTGAACGCTTCCATGACCGAAGCCATATTGCAGGCGGGAACTCAATGCGTGAAGAAGTGGAGAGTTGTGGTGTTCCTGGGAGAAAGTATGGCTGCGCTCCAATCACAAGCCCGTCGTCCCTGAGTGCGGTAGCTCTTGTGTGTCGAGAGACTCCCCAATGCCTCTTTCCCGTCTCTTTTCTCGTGCAACCCTGCGACCAGCGGGAGAGACGTCGCGGAAGACTGAGCTGCTCGTGGAAGAGAAACAGCAGCAGCAGCGGTAGATGTAATCGAAGCGAGTCGGGGCCAGTGCGGCGAGCGGTCAAATTCAAATTACCTCTGCACGGCGCCTCGTACGATGTCCAGGAGCTCAGACCACTTCTCGTGAGATCTAATCTGGCTTACCTAACAGCAGCAACAACAACATGCACATGCCGCAGTCTCGTCCTCTTTATATGTACCCGTCTCAGTCGGGTAGCAGCTATCATCGTCTACACCATCTGCACTCCTCGCCGGCCCGTCTGATGACGCTGATGGCAGCTCTCTCACGGTCAATCACTCTCGATGCTGGAAACGTGGGCCCATAATGGCAAATCTGACGCCTCCCATTGGATCTCGCCTGGCTCACGGCTTTGTCAGGGAGAGTCGACCTGACACCTCTTCCACGCCCATCCGACGTCCATTGACGCAATTTCACATGCCGATAACCGCTATGTCCAGCTCCACCGAAGACGGCGATTCCCTACTACCTGATTTGGCTGCAGCCCGTGTCTTCACCTCCGGGCTTGAAACTCCGTCGTTTAAACCCGAGATCCCGGTCGACCTCACCTCTACCGCTCTCCTCTCAACCAGAATGCACTGCATGCTTCTCGTTGTTGGGTCTTCACAACAAACATTGCAGGAGCTTCGGACGTTTCAATGCATCAGAAGCACCTTTCAATCTGGACATCAACGAGACCAGGGCGATGTATTGCTTGCAAAGCCGGTCTTTCAGCATCAGCAGGTTTGTGTAGACTGTCTGCAGGCACATCTTTCATTCTCTTCGCCCTTTCAGTCTGTCTTGGTTGCTACAGTCCACGCAGCACTGGTATCTTCCATTTTTGGCTGCTGAACCCATGAGAATAATGTCAAACCTTCCACCGCAGCAATCGAAGGCACGAGATCCACCGCAATTGCACATGAATCTCCCTTTGTGCAGTATGATATATGAGAAGCGCTTCAACACTGCTTCTTCTGCTTCATCACTCAAGTCAAGCTCATGTCCATCGAGTTTGGTTTCAAAAAAGACCGCTTCGTCAAGAACTTTCCTGATCTGTATTCTTCACCCGAGAAACCAGCTCAGCCACCTATGGCTTCCTCCGATGATGAAGTCTTGGGCGACATCTTGATTCAAGCTGTAGACCGCTCAGCCGACGATTCATCCAACCCACACGAGACCTCACCACAGCCGCAAGCTGCACTACCTTCACAAGAGACCACCAGCAATGCCACCACTTCCAGCAATCGCAACACACCCATTCCCACCATTGAGTCCAGCGACATCACAGTCACGATCGAATTCAGATGCTCAGACACTCAAACGGAGGCGGCAACCATCAAGGCCTGGCGACCCATCTCCAGGGACATCAAATCCAGAGCGTCGGAGAAAGACTTCAGTGAAATGCTGCGAGAAGCGCTACGTGAGAAGCTGACGAGCGAGCAGCAGCTGATAGACCGCCTGCAGCTGTCTGAACAAGAAGTGCATATGTATCCTGCAATCACATTCAACGACTGGAGAGACCTATATCTGACGCCAGACGTGCGCGGCACATTCAAGTTCGAAGTCGTCGAGGATCTTTTCGTTCGGCCATTCGACCCCAAAGCAATACTTGTCATCGTTGATGTCGCCATCCGAAAACTGCATTCAGAGGCAGACACGTTCCTGAAGCCGAATTGCGATCAGTTCTTGCCTCTTGGATGGGGCCCCACTCAGGAGCCGTCATACTACCGCATCCCGAACGGCAAGGCGTTGACAGGCGCTCGTACAACGCACCTGGTGAGATTCAACAACGGCATGCTGAAACCCCTGACAGTCGAGTCCTGGCTCGTCTCAGAACGCCTTCTAGGTGATGTCGAGACCGGAAAGGTCCTGAACGACTTCGAGCCGCCGATGAAACCATTTCCTCATTTCGGACAACCAAACGCTGCGTCGTTAAAGGATGCTGTCAAGAACAAGATCGAGAAGCTGGAAAAAACGTCTACGCTTGGTGTTTCTGATCGAAATGTCCCCGGTGTGCCAAAGCTCAGTTTCCAGCCATACGCCTCGAACAATCTAGGACCGCTTTCAGCAGTCGACAGAGTGATCCCAACCGCTATTCGATTTGTCAACCGCCTCTCCCAGAACCAAAGCTTGGACATACCGACGACAGAGTGGTTTCCCTACTACAGCCACTTCGATCCAGCCCGAGTCTGTACGCTCTTGCGAAATTTGCTGAACAAAGATACAGAAAGCAACAGTAATCAATCATACACCCTGTTCTCCAGAGACGAGTGCGACAAGTGGAACATAGATCTTTGGGTCATGCCTCAAGACGATGGTGAGCGCAAGATGCGCTTCTGGTGGTGTGGCAGCCTGGCCCAGTTTTTGTCCGATGCTGATGACTGGAAGGACGATCTGCGACTCTACATGGAGGCACACATTGTGCCTGTTACGACACAGCATTGCCAAAGCGAGATCTCTCAGTCAGCCCAGAAAGCCAGCCTTCATTCACCTGTGGCGACTTCTGAAGCCGGATCTTCAGGCTCCTGCAACGCAGAAGATGCAAAGAGTAGTGAGGGCCCCTCAGCTTCGTCGGACGCAGAGGCTGTCAGTGAGGATCCAGAGCCTGACGAAACTATCTTCAATCACAACGACAGTGGCGATGAAGAGGACGAGAAGCTACCGAACTACCTGTCTTGGGTGGAGCCAGATTCAGGCCCGCGTGGCTGCAGCGGCCACATTCGGACGACGTTTTCGTTCCCCAAAGAACGCTACCAATTTCCTGTGCAGGAATTGCCTGTGCAGCAAAGTGTCATCTCCTTGGACAAGCCGCTGTCTGATCTACCTGAAATTGTAGATAGCCACTTTCAAGCCGCCTCACGACCTCATGCCGCATATGTCTCTGACTTTCAACAGCGCGGCGGAAAGGTGGTTTTGGACATGGGAATATCCTTCAAGAAAGACAATTCGGGGAGGAATCACTACGTCAATGCCAAAGAACTCGAGAGATGTCGAATCAAACACTTCAGAGATCTTTTCAGAAGCCACCACGATGTGAAGGTCGGAGCAGTGGTGCCGGCTCATGCTAAGATCGAGTTGTTTCTCGGCTCTGGCGCAAGCAAGACTTCGTCGCAGGCGCAGAACTCCTCACAGACGCAAGAACAAGCAGACTCTGGAATCCGATATCATCGCTACGGAACGATTTCGTTGTCACAAGGAAACACAAATCAATCACGCCACTCACCAATGAATCTTGCCTTGCTTGCTCGTTACGATCCCGCCGACCCGTCTACTTGGAGGCCAGTCCAAGTGCCTTACAGAAAAGTGAACGGTACGTTGATAGGGACGTTGTCAGAAAAAGAGGAGAGCAGTCATCAAGAACCCTTCCAACCTGGAACGAGACTGGTCAAGAAGTATCAGGGCGTACCACAGCATCGCTCTGCTGATGCCATTGGATACCCCTTGGAAGTCTACATCAACTGGGTGCTGAAACAAGCAGTACAGCATCGCTTCTCGGAGAGAAACGTTCCAAAACTGCCCAACCTCAGCTTCATTCAATTCAATTCAGACAGTAGGATCCCGTCCCAGGGAGACGCCGAGAAGATCTATCTGGCATTCCGCATCGAAAATCGGCTCCATGAGCTTGGTCTCGAGGATGTCGCAGTGCCTAGAGATGTCCTCATGACTGTCAATGCGTTTGCGCTTGCCTCTCAAACGTTCCCACTCATTGACGGAACTCTGCAGGCGAGGCTGGAGCATTATGCGGCGACTACCGATCACAAGATACGCTCTGGGAAACATCCTTCACGACTCTTCCACGAGGACACCAAAGGAAAGTGGAAAATCATCTACTGGGTGATGCCGCAGGCAAGCACGATGCAAAAGCTACGCCCTTATCGCAAGGGTGAAGTCAAATTGGAGCAGTTTCTGGACAAGCACATGGTGAAAAAAGGTGATACGAGATTGTACATGGAGGCGCATCTGATTCCGTCCTAGGGACTTCACTGTGGAAGCTGAGACTTGGTATCGATTGAGGTTGGGTAAGTATCCGTGCCACCATCAGTCTGCATCCAAACAGATCCCGTTTGAATCCCCTGCAGGTCGAGCAAACACAACGTGCATGTCTTGGCCATTCTCTTTCCTTTCGCATCTCACCATCTTATTCCATCGTGTCACAAATCGTTCCATTCCAGTCTTTCTTTCTGATCTCACAATGGAAGATATGCATCACATCAGCAAGGCTGTGGGCTTTACAGGAAACACCATCAAGCGCTGGCTCGCCACCAGTCCAAGACCAAACGCCGAACAAACAGATGAGATGACTGAGCCGGAAACGCCTGTTCGACTGATTCAGGATGAAACCTTACAATCTAATGGACTGGATGGCCGCTCCAATGCCCCACGAAAGAAGTCCATCACCATCCGCTTGTCCTCGTCCCGCTCTGCCTCCATTCCATCGTCCTCATCCAACGAACCACAAACGCCATCCCACTCTCCAAAGATCATCTTCCAGAGCTCAATCGACGGCAGAATCTTCGCTGAAGCTGACGATGCTGACGATACCATCGATAAAGTCGACCCCTCGATCAAAGACCCAGTCCGCATCTCGGTACATGTCTCCTGCAACGGGATGATCTACGTCCACAGAGCCGTCATCAGCTTGGATTGCCCCAGGGAGGGACTGACTACAGCCATTGCAAGGCTGTGTGCCGACTGGCGCGCCTCACAGGCAGAGTACTTACAATTCCTCCAAACCCACGGCAAATGCGTCCACATGGTCGCCAACATCCACTTCGGCGACCACCGCGACTTGTACGTGAGCGGCAACGAGCAAGGCTGCCACCGCTTCGAGACTCTGCGTGACTTCTTCGACAGCGAGGAACTCCACTTCCTCGAGAGCACCGGCAAGCTGCCCATGATCGGCGTCATCGTCACCGTCCAAGCAGAGAACATGCCCGAGGGAGGAGGTGTATCAGAATATCCTTCCCCGACAACCACCCAATGGTCCCACCACCGCGTCGGCGGCTGGACCATCGCCGACAAGACCGAAAACTCCCAACACTCTCCGCTCAGCATCGGGCTCTACGCCCCCTACGACCGCGCCACCGGCCACATGCACGCCAAACTGATCGAAATCCGCGAACGCGAGATCAACAACCTCCTCATCGACTCCTTCACCAACCCGCTGAAACACGACCACATCACCACGCCCTCGCACCTCGAACCCCAATACATAGGCCTGACCTCAGCAAACCACAAAGTCCACAAACTGATCAAGCGCAACGTCCTCTTCAACGCGAAATTCCACCGTCCGGAGCAGAACGTCGCCATCCTGCCGATGATGACCTTCAATGAGTTCACGCGGCCTGAGGGGGCGGCTCATACGGATAGCATCTCGAACGATCCGATCCACCTCGCCGTCCGCCTCGTCAACGCCCTGCCTCCAAACCTCCAACACATCCACCTCCCCACCAACATCCTCCTCACCGTCCACCCCGGCAAAGGAACCAAATCCGCTATCATCACCACCCTCACATCCACCCTCCAAGCCTACGGCAAGAAATTCCTCTTCGACCATCTCGGCATCGGTCAGCTCTTCAAACCCAAGATGCACGAGGATGGAGTCGTGAGGGACGTCTGGAACGAGCATCGTCTGGATCTTTGGGTTTTGCCGCAGAAGGGCCATGGTAGGATGCATTTGTTCGAGAGGGGCAGTTTGAAGTGGTTTTTGGATGCGGAGATGGCGGCGGAGGGGGATCGGAGGCTGTATGTTGAGGCGTGGATTTTGCCGGGGGTGGAGAGGGAGTTGTGGGAGGTTGTGAGTGAGGGGGAGGATGAGTGAGAGGGGGTGGTTGTCTTGAGCCAGGTTTGGCCGTCTTTGAACGCGTGTGAAAGTATATCAGGTCTTGCAAGCTAGTTGAGTTTCGACTCTCGTCATGGGGAGTTCCAGCGATCAATATAGTACATGTTGAATACGGAATGAATCGCTCATTGTAATCTTTGAGCAGCTTCCAGCTATCCATCGTGAAGTCCAGGCCAACATGACCCAAATGTGGCAGTCTTTATTGTGTATAGTGTGGCAGTTCTGCGGCCGCAGTCGTACAACTTTGCGGCCCCTGAATCGTGGATTGTACTCACTTCTCAGCGCCTAGCAGACTTCGCCCCTGAATCTGAAGTGAACATCACTCAGTCCAGATTCAACCCAGAGCCCCGTTGAATGAAATAAACGAGGAAACCACAGATTCATTATCGAACACTTATGGCATCTATCAAGCCTTATTCCCATAAATCGACCACAAAGCACACCCATTCAGCGTATTATCACTCAACTGTCCCCCATCACTCAACGGACCTGTGAAAAACCAGTCAGTCATGCTCATCTACCACAAAACAATCTCACTCCGAACTTACATTGCTCCACCACAGTCATCAACTTCCTCCTACACTCGTCCCCCTTCGTCCCAAACTTCCTCCCCGGCGCACATCCCGTCTGGAACCCCAAATCTCCAAAAATCGCCTCCATCTTAATCGCATACCCCACAGCGACATAAGTATCCCAACTCGCGCCCTCAGGCGGCGTCTGGTAGAAATGTCCGCCGGGATTGAAGCTCGGATCTAGCGTTTGGTCTCGATCGCAGAATTGATTGATCGCGGCGACGGCGTCGTCCCTCTTCATGGCGGGGATGTCGTGCTTGCCACCGCAGAGCGTCTTCTCGTTGATTTGCGTGGAGAAGGTGTAGACACCGCATGCGTCCGTTATATTGCCGCCGTATTTACCCGTGGTGGTGGTGAAGTCCGTGTTGCAGTCATCAATGGTACGACGGAGGAAGCGCTCGCAGGAGGTTCCTTCGATGAGGTATCGGGCCTCATCGCCTTGTTGGGGACAGGTTTTGTCGGAGCTGTATTCGAGGGAGAGGACCATCTCGCTGTTGCCCAGGATTTCTTTGTAGGTTTCCGTGTTGCTGATGTCGGGCGTGCTGATGCTTCCGGCGTATTTGCCGCAGAATTGGTGGATGGCGTCCTGGAGGTGTTAGTCTTGATCTAGATGGTCGATGGGAGTACGTACGAATGCTTCGTCGCGGTTGACGCCGGTCCCCAGAGCTGTGCCTTTGCACACTAGATCCCCCGGGTTGAACTCCATTTGCAACGTCCAGTCTAGACAAGCATCCTTCACGGTACCTCCCGACTTCAACAATGTGTTTGTTTGACAGCCATTCAAAGCCTCGCCAAGGAAGAACTTGCAGTCCGATTCGTCAATGGTCCAGCTGCTGAAAGTATCTGAGCAGAGTGGATACGCAGACACGCTGACGTTGATGTTTCTTCCAGCCCCGAGGCTGATAACTTGTTCAATCGGAGTCCCTGGAATCGCAGTCTGGTTGGACTTGTCCTTACAAAAGTCGTCGATGATCTGGCTAGCTTTTGCTTGTTCGATGACCGGGATGTCTTTCGAGGGACTGACGCATTCGATGTCATTGTCGTCGTAGTAGACAGGTATCTGATCAAGGATAGACCTCATGTTCTTCGGTACAGGGTTGGATATGGCCGTCTGCGTTCCACGGTCGGTCGTGCTGCTTGAAGATGAGGTCGATGTAGTTGTTGGATCAGGCTTGGTCGTAACAGGAGGGCCAGAGATAGGGGGTTGTGGCGGGTCGACTGGAGGAACTCCGGCCTTGGGAACCGCGAGCCATGCAAGGCCTCCAGTGAAGATGACGGCTTCAACTGTCTCGCCCGTGGTATCTGTCGTGGTGATGGTCGTTGGTGTGGTCGCGGTGGCCGCTGCAAATTCTGTCAGGCTGGTAGCGTAGAACGTCTGACTCCATGTTGAGGCACTGTTGCTCGCAAATGCAATCGTCGAAGCAGTAGCACCAACGCCGAGGCCACATGTGGTTGCTCCAGTGTCCGTCGTACATGTAGCGAGGATGTCACGCTGTTGGGCTCCCTGAACAGAACTTGCTTTGAATGCCAGAACAACTCCCACTACCAACTTGTATAAGAAGGGGTTCATCGTGGAGGGAAAGCAGGGGGACGAGGGTAATGAATGAGCTGGACGCTCGGTCGGTAGAGTTGAAGGCACATTATGAACGAACACGCCTGCTGTTTGAATGCATTATCAGTATGACGGGATTGAAGGGGCAAACAGAGTACAGCGTACCGCCAAAGGAGTGCAACGTCTCAGGTAACCGCTACGGCACAGCGACACAGCCTTGTGTCGCTTGGCCGCATAGCCTGGTCTCTGAGGTCTGAATATGGGTTTGATATGTCGGGACCGATAAGAGATGCATCGTCGTTGCCGTCATTCGTTGTCTTGACGCTTGTGGTCCACTGTGTATGGCGTCCTGCTGCACTTTGCCTCACCCTGCGATATTTCGCCTAGAAGTTTAGAAGTTGGTTGCTTCGGAAAATAGCTGAACTCACATGAAGTACTAGTCTAAATGGAAGATTGTACATTGAGACTCCTGAAGCGACTCGCCGTCCTCTGTTGGGTGCTGGAGCCGCAGGAAGGCACAGCTCGCCGACAGCGGTAAGAGGCAGTTTCTTGCAAGTTTCGAGAAGGTCGGCGACAAGAGACGGGCATGGCGATTGCCCTCGATTGGCCTCCAGAACGTATCGGTGATATATAGTGGTATGCGTATCTTCAACATCGGTTTTTGGAAGGCAATTCTTCCGCCATGCTTCTGTTTCTCGCCCCTTTTCTTCTCCTGCTCCAGCAGGCATTCGCCTATGCCGTCAGCAACGAATGCATCGACCCCGGTTTCGTCGTACTAGGGATCAACATTCCTGCTGCTGTCGACGAGGCGCTCAGTATAGCAGAATATGGCGGATGGCGACTGCAGACAAATCAGCCAGCAGTGGGACAAGTACTCCAGCAGCTGTTAGGGAACGATGGAAACGCCAAGTCGATGTTCATAAGTAAGTCGAGATCTGGCCCCTTGAGACCCCTTTCCAGCGTTGTGTACATTTCCGAATAATCCTGTCGACGCCGCTAACTCGTGGACAGATCGAATGGCTGCGGTGCCTGCCGCCTTTGGCCCGTACTCTGGGCCTTTCAATCCACTCACCATGCTTGACCATACTGTGGTCATTAAATGCAAGCCCACCACTCTCACACCGGTCTTCCACATTCCGAACGGCAACATCCTCGGATGGAAAGATGATGACTTCCCCATCATGCCAATGATCAGCGGCGCAGATGATCCCTGCAATCCCAACATAGTCGCGATCATGTACATGACCGGATACTCAAGAACACAGAACCTCGCCGGCACGGCACTGCTAGGTCCTTCGCATGTCATAATGCTCTGTAGCGTCGCTCCCGGACAAGCGATGTACTGCAGAAACACCATCGGCAAGGACTGGGCTCAGCGACGGTGGGACGGCCAATCTTTCGATGTGATCGGGCAGTATCTGCCACCGACTCTGTTGCATGAAGCGCTACATGTAGCTGGCCGTAAGTATGAGATCTACTGTATTGTATGCGTTAGCATTCCACTCACAAGCCACAGTCCCGGCTACACTCCCGTCTGGAAGATCAGAGATGTATCAGTGGTCAGGCATCGTCACATCGAACCGAAACGATGACAAACAAGCAAACGCTGACGGCTATTCGACCTTGGCGTCAGGTTCGTGAAGCCCTGTGGTCAGACTTGAGCGGTTGCTAACTGCTGCCGCAGTGCTTTGGATGAAACGACACACAATCGGCTCGCAAGGTCTTTGGGGTCGACGACATCGCGTAAACAATCGTCCTGGCAACTCTCCAAATGACGGGCACCCTTGATATTTGTTCCACAAATGCACGCCTGTCTCTTTGCAAGGATCGATGAAATCTCGTAATGGTATATGTTGCTACATCGCTCTTTGCGTCTGTCTCCGTTAGCATAAAATTTCAGAAGCCGATTCGAAACAACTTACAAACTCTCCTTGCGCATTGGGCGTTCGCCGGCGAACAAGATAGAGCCCGCGGACAGCCACTTCATCGAGATGATTCAATCGTTCTTCCCAACTGTTTTGACGTACAAAGAACCCGTCCAGCCACTGCCATCGGTGCGCAATCGCCTTGCGGGCTTCGTCAATTTCAACGCATCTAGTCTCCACTTGTTGCTTATCCCCTACCAATCTGGCGGGTAAATCGGCTTGAGCAGTATGTGACCTGGACCCGATTTCGGCTTGAGCGGCGTACGGCCTTCCCGTCGTGAAGAAAGTGATATCTCTGTCCCAAGCCTTCCTGAAACCAAAGTGCAAGGTCAACTCTACGAGGTTGGACTCTCCAGCCGCCATTTCGTCCCAGGTAGCCCGAAGATCAGCAAGAGTAGCCGAACAGCGGTGCGGGTCTGGCGTAAAGAAATCTACGATCAGATGTCCTTCGCTACCTCGACATACCGTCAAGCGTTCAAGGCGAGGGAACAATGTTGTGACTTCAGAGCTGAAGCGAGAGAACTATGACAGGTCAGCGGAGAGCAACCAGCGTGGCATATATAACTTACCAGCTTTGCGTTCGGAATGTCAATATCCAAAGCGCGTAGGCTAGGGCAAGTCTTACTGATGGCATCCAAATCGTATGAAGAGACGGAATTCGGCCAAATCACTTGACGGAGTCTCAGACCGGTCAATTGCTTTCCCAAACGCTCCAGCACAGGTCCGCTCAAAATATCTGCCCCGTCTAGCAGCTCGACCTCTGTGAGAAAATAGCAACGTGAGACCATCTCCTGCACCTCACTCGAGGTCCACAACTTTTCGCAGTATTGGTCTTCGAAAGCTGCAGGATTGTGGCAATGAAGGCGGAAGGAGCGAATATTCAAGGGGCAAGGTCCATTCCTCAGAAAGCTGAAGCAAGACAAGCCTATCCTTCGTAGCTTCGAAACATCTGTAATGCTGCTGAGGGCGAAGTCCCGAATTCGACACACGCAAAAGTTGTCCAGCTCAAGCGTTTCAAGCGCAAGCTGTCGTCCGGCCAACAAGAGCGGGCTTTGCAACCACTCCATCGAGCGTACAGGAGCAAAGACAGTTCCTCGCGAAGGCCTTGTGAACACGAAGTGGACTTTGGAGCCACCCCAGAGTTTCCCGAGAGTATAAATCTTCAAAGACTTCAGTCTCGGCGACAGCACAACGAGCCTGCCCAGGCTGGAAAGTATCAGGGGGTCTTCCGAGGGTAGCAGTAGCTCCAGTGTTGTGAGCTGTGAAGCCACACGGGTCATGTACCGTAGCTGCAAATGGTTGATGATAGGCGAGTGTGACCAGACAGCGACTTCGTACGCTCGTTCGCTGCGACGAATGTGAATGTCACACGACGGCCGGGACGCCAGGACCTCGAAAAGGGTGATGGGCATCGGAGATAGTGCTGACCACGTGAAGGAACTAAGGTTCATCAAGGCCAATGCGCAACACATATGTTGCATGAGATCCCGAGAATCCGGACTCATGGAGTTATCGTCAATATATGTTGTAGAGAAGCACTTTCCCGAAATCCAAGGATCCTCAAATTGACTGCCGATTTTTGGCCATGGAGGCAAGTCGTCCAAGTACCAGTCCTTCACGACAAGATCTTTCACTCGATGCCGCAAATCCGAGTCCTGTTGTAGTCGTCGAAGCAACCGTAGATTCGCCTCCTGCATCTTGACAGAAGCCACAATTTCCAGCATTTGATCAATCAGCCTCCGAGCGACATGATTCCATTCCCAGCACACACAGACCACATCCAGCAGGTCGTACTTGGAAAGTCGAAGGAACACCTCTCGGAAAACGTCCGGATTGAGGAGTCTGATCGAAGGGGTCACTAATGCCGTAGCCATTGTCGGTGACCTCTCGTGACGTAGGTATTCCAGAGAGGAGGAGTCCAAGGCAGTCTTGGATTCGACCAAGTCGAGGTTCTTTTAAAGGGCCTGTGGGCTGTGTATAGACCTTTGGGCGGCAATTTGGAACTTGCTGTGCCTCGCGTGCCCCATTTTTAGACCTGGGCGTTAAGGCGGGACGCGATGGACCGCCGCTGAGGTTTCGTGCATCTTTGATCAAATGTTTTGTACCGCAGAAAGATAAGCAGATGCGTTTTGAAGATGGTGGAGGAGATGTTGGTGAAAGAAGGGATGAGATGAAGTTGAGAGAAGGTTGCGCCTCCCTGACTTTTTGGGACGCCACCCTGGCAGCCCCAACTTGACGTGCAAAGGTGAACATATTTCTATGCCAGCACAATCGTGAGGACGCCAGGTATTGATCCTGGATTGTTGTACTGGGATTTGCGGCCAAGAACAGCAGCTAATAGATAGTGCCATGATGGTATCATGCCGAGACGAATTAGCACAGCGTCGAAGCGCTCAGCGGCGCCGGTATGAAGTCCAAATCGTGTCAAGAAGTCGGTCGTATACAAGGTCGTTAACATCTAGGGCAGATTGCCGCCCATATGCACAAATGCTCCCCCAAAAGCTCCATTCACCAACCATCATATCGCCACCAAGGCGTCCCTTCCCCTGCCAAAACCATTCCAGCGTTAAAATTGAACAAGAATGTATCGCCAAACCTCATGCAAAGAGCTGGGTATCATCCCTCTAGAAGCCATCATCAAGTCGTGATAATAAGCCATGCATGGTGCAAGAAATCCAAATCAACAAGGACCAAAAATTGCTGTCCGGCTCGACCTACGAGCCCCGACGAGCTTCCTGGGCAGCACTGCTTCGTGAGCTGGGAGGCTCTCCGCTGCTGATGCTTTCGCTTCGCGCGAATGTGACGCGTCTCGGGGTGTCCATATCTGTCTTCATTGGCGACGCTTGGCTCGACGAAGCAGTTGCGCTGTAAGGCATCTGAGAGGTATGAGGAGACCCCAATTGGAACAGCGCTTGAAGCGCATCGCGTTCTGCTTCGATCGTCTGCGTCTCTGTGCGGATGGTTGGTGGACGACGCGGAGCCGCATTGACGGGCGTGCGAGGAGGCGACATGGCACTGCCATTGCTCGTAGTTGGGTACATCTGCGGCCCAGGCTGAGGACGCGAACTGGACGTCGGCCTGATATCAGGTGCGGGCTGCAGATGAGGCGTTGGTGCAGACTGCTGTGGAGCATATGCGTAGCCAGAATACGTTCCCGAATGCCTCTTTGAAGGCGGCTGGCCATTGACTTGGAGTGTCCCGCGGCTTGCATTTTCATAGACCGACAAGCCTGCTGTGCCGTTGCTGAGACCGCTGGTACTCGGTCGCGAGTCAACGTGAGACATGCTGTTGCGGTTGTTACGCGCTCGATGTGCGGCTAGCTGTTCGACTTCATGCAGAGTCTTGTGTTCCCAGCCGTGCTGCACCTTAGCCATGGCATACCCAAGTCGCGTCTTGAGCGTCGCTGCAAGCTCGCCCGCCTTGCTACCTGATGAAGAGATAGATTCGCGTCGCGAGTCTCGGCCTGGGAACATGGACGTATACGGCGTGTTGGAGAGGCTGTGTGCGTTCTTGACATGTCCGCTCGCGGTCCGCTTGGCACCATTTGTCGCGACCGGCGATGTGATGCTCATGGGGCTGGCCAGAGCATTGTCGCCGTTGAGGTGTGGTGTGCGATTCGCATTTTCTGGCGTTGTGTCTCGCGGTATTTGCGAGTTGTGGGCAGTTTGTGCTGCATCTTTGGCTGCCTTGGATCCGGCCGATGACGAAGGCGATGTAAGGTCGGTGTAGGCCGTGATTTGCGACAGATTGCTGTCGCTTCCCTGCAGGCCCGGAGCGATGCTGCTTCCCGTACTCTGCACGCTCACGAACGATTCCTGGGAGGCGGGAGCGGACAGCGTCTGGTGGTGATTGTGGTGGTGGTTGGAGTCGGAGTCGTGGGCCGCATGCACTGTACGCGTCGTGGCCGGTTTGTGGTGGGGTTCCCGCATGTGCGACGACGTCTGCTGGTGCGATGCAGGCGCGTAGTTGGTGGCCGTCATGGTTTCCATGGTAGATTGTCGATTGCTGGGGAGGAGGCCGGCCAGGAGGGAGTATCAGTATCGAAGGTAGGTGGCAGTCGCAGTGCGAAGTCGCAAGCGAGACGCGAGCGAGGATGAGTCGGGAATTGGCGTTGGCTGGTGACCTCTGACAACGCGGACTCGCTCAACGCCCGGGCTTCGACGCGGTCGAGGCTGGATCGAATGGGCACCTTGATGTCGTGGGTAAAGATAATAAGGCTGTTGCTAGATCAATGCCTCCTCGACCGTCAACAATTTACGCGCACAGCAAGACGTGTAAGTCGAATGGTGGAGGGTGGACGCACAAAGGGTGGCTAGTCGAGTCCTCGAGCACTTCGACGGCGTCGGCGAGAGACCCCACCGTGTTGGTCACGGGCCATCTCTAAACCGCGAATTCACGTGCCGCTTTCATCTCTCTTTCAGCCTTTCCACCGTGTTAGAAGTGTCAGTTTTAAATCTTCTCAAGTGATGATATTTTCTCAAAACCGTGCTTGTCATCGGTGTTGATTTTGCATACCGGACGTGGTTGCTCTTCTTTGGACTCGTGCAATGGCCTTGGAACATTGATTTTGCGGAGTCAAATCTTCGCCATCGCGAGTCCCTGCATCTCTCCTCTTCCCTCCACCGACGTCAACTTGAAGCACTCACAAACCCAAAAACCACAAATGAGGAGACATTGTTCGAACAACGGCAAGTCTGGTATACAGAGCCTTTTTCAAATGGTTCGATACCATGTTGAAAGCCCTGATCGCTATACGGTAATCCTAAACCCATTGACTGCTCTGCCCGAGTCTTTGACTCGCGTTTTTACGCGTGTCCCATTGCCCAGCAAATACACAGAAACCATCGCATACCCAGTCCCAACCCACACAGACATGCCCTCTGTGTCTGCTCAAACCGTGGCAGGGTTAGCATGCTCAGCTTCCCGGGCCAAAGCCTCGTTCACCAACTTCTCGGCAGGAACAGTCATCGCACGATCCAGGGGGTCTGGCATTCCGCGATGTCTGCCTTGAATCATCAGAGCGCAGAAGATGACCTTGCTGGCGGGCTTGAACTGAGTGCAAAGACTCGTACTGGTTCCCGTGTAGCCTAAGCTCAACCCGACGTTGCCGTACGCGCTGACGACCTCAAACATGATACTGAAGATGGTGACATCCGGGTCCTTTTCGACGCGATCGCCTTCGATGAAGAGAATGATCAGAGTGCCCAGAGTGAGACACCACATGTCAAAGCCCAGCTGGTCCTTGAAGAGCTCGCGAACGCGACTCGATCCGAACTTGCCTGACTTGTTGCTTTGCGAGTCGTCGTTCTGCGACTCCTCGTTCTGCGACCCCTCGGAACTCGTCACAACACCGGGCCCATGCACGTTACTAGCGCGCATGGTGATGGTGATGGGATACTAGGAGAAGTACATCAGGGCCAAATAGAGGCCTTGACGCCCGGGTGCAACATGGCGATGCTGGTTTGAGTCAGTCAGAACTGCCAAAACATATCATAGCTGGCCTGGGGCTCACTTACTTGAGAACAGCTGCTCCAGTATGTCTCGTGTTCACGGCTTGAAAGTTGGTGGCGAGAACTTGGTCTCCTACAGGGAGCGCTTCGGTCTTGTCGAGACCAACGGGAAACTCAGTGAGGACCGGACGCTTCCAATTGGCGAGTCCAGTGGCGAGCGCTTCGAAGAAGTTGAGTCCAAGCCCTATGCCGAAAAGAATCCAGGTTTGCTTCGCCGGGAAAAGCAGCAGACAGCAGTGGCGAGGATGCTGTAGCAAGTAGTTGACCGCTTCCCGCCATGAATGATCCTTAGACCAGCTCTTCCAAATTATCCAGATGAGGAAGCGCAAGAATACGGGATACATAGTGTTACCTGCATACTGCAAGAACGTCATGAGCAAAATCGGGGCGGGGGCGTCGGCGAAGTGTATCATCGAATCCGGTGTGAGGGTCATGCCCAGGTTGGTGAACATCGATACCGTAGTATAGGCTGCCCTGTGTACAGCATCAGTTTCCAAGACCATTCATCAATTCAGTATATATAAGTATTAGAACATACCACCAGGCTTTGCCAACGCCTTGCGAAGCCAGATAGTCTGCGTACTTTGCGTCTGCCAGATGGATCCAGATGAGGAGGCCGAAGAACCCAATGAAAAACCACAGGAGTGGATACGCTGCGGCGACTTAACTTCCGTACACAGGCTCTAGGGGAGGGAAACATACCAATGAGAAGTACGAATAGCAGGACAAGAGCACGTTCCTCCGTTCCGCAAAGATGCCACCACATTCCCGCTTTCGCGCGCAACGCTCTGATCTCCGCGTTATTCGCTCTTGAGGAGACCACATCTGCGAGAGAAGCAGGAGATCTTGGGTGAGAATGCGCTGTCGGAGGTCCTGGAACGAACATGATCGATGCAATGTGCTCAATCCTCTCTGCGGCTCTAGTGACGTGGGTATGGCTTCTTCTGCGCGAGTCCACGCGAGCGAGCGTCTCCATGCCGTCTGTACGCTCAGCAGGCTGCGTAGATCGGCTGGATTCGTGAGAATTTGAACGACTATGATGCGCCTCATTGGCGAAGTCTTGCGCCCAGTGAACGTGTTCGTCAAGGAAAGGTTCTGCATCGTCATGATGAGAGCCTGCTCGCTGAGCTGCGTGAACTGCATTGCTCGCGGAAGCGCTGCTGTCGTTACGGGAACCGGTGGTGCTGATGGAGGCCGCAGAGCCAACGCCAGGCCGGCTTTCTTGCACTTGAGATCGCGCAATACCAGCACTGCTGGTCAAGGGCGCGGGCGCGGGCTCAACGGGAGAGTGTCCATCTTCCACTTGCGACTGCGGCTCATGAAGGGAAGGGCCTGTCTCGCCGGTTGCAGGAGCGTCGTGTGAAGCAGCTCTTCCGAGCACAGAGAGCTCATATTCGCCGGCGTTCTCATCCAGTAAGGACTGCCGACGGCTTGCTGTTGTCGATGCCGTTGGCGTGGCTGGTGTCGGAGGCAGTGAGCGAAGCCGGCGAGCAAAGTCGATGAACTCCTTCCTGATGCGCCGAAGCCGTTCAACAACGATCGTAGCGAACCCAAAGTTCTGGGATGTGATGATCGGGAACATGTACAGGGCCCATTGTCGCCAAGTTGGCAAAGACTTCAAGTCCACCCTGTGAAACGTCTAGTCGTAGTTCCTCGAAGCAGAACAAAGGAACAGAGAGCAACAAAGGAAAGCGGCGTAGGAAAGACCCATTGTTGAGCATGCGCTCTTTTTCCACTTACACATTAAGTCCAGTGGTGGTGCAGGCGCTGACAGCCATGACGAGAGAGTCAACAGCAGACATGCCACCGTTGAGGCCAATAGTTAGCCAGCACAAACCACAGCACACGATGATGTAGAACCCTGGCGAGTGTCAGCGACCTCAGTAAGTTTGGAGACCACATCAGCCAGTGGACTTACAATGCAGCTTCACGAAGTTGGGCTTGCGCAACGAGCGTACGGCGCGGCGCACATCGTGGGCAATGGACTCGATGGAGCCACCGAGCGCAATGGCCAGGATGAGAATCCATAACATCCAGCCCATGGTGCCTGCGATGTCGTCGCGGAGCTGGCGAGCGCGCTATACTGTATCTGGTGTAAGCTTGATATCAGGGGTTTTCTCCAATCGTCGAGGCTGCACCGAGGGATTGCCGACCTTTGCGTGCTGCCGAGTTGCTGCGTGTTTGCTACGATGCAGTGTTTCCAAGGAAGAGAAGCGCAGAAGCGAAGTATTAGAAGACCAGAATGCACAGACTACCGAGTCCATGCTCCACTAGCCATTCAGAGGCCTTGAAAGTGTAGATTCACGAGTTGTTAAACTGCACATGTGTAAAAACATGTATAGGTACCTAGCTTTCACCACCTACCAAACCCGACGGCAAGCGCATTCAGATTCACCTTTTCGAGTCCTCACATGCGTCCACAACTCCAAACCAATGCCACATGATCACCCAGCGATAACACCACCGCAGTGTGCCGACAATGCTCAGCCTGCGAGCTGCAGCACGGCACAATGGCGCCCTGCGACCCTGCGGCCAGCTCTTTCGTAGGAGCACGCGACACATCCAGACAGCGACAGTGACCGACGCCGACATTGCCAGACTCGCCGCGAAGCCATTGCACCCTCTGACCCTCGCCGACTTGTGCAAGCATGGCAGGCCTCCGCTCTCCCAGCAGGCTCTGCTCAACAGCGCCAACTTCACCCTCGAGATCCTGCCCTCGCGACTGGCTCACCGCATCCAGAGTCTACGAGCACTGCCGTACATTGTAGTCGCCAACCCGAACGTCAACAAGATCCATGGCAACTACGTTCATTCCTTGTCGACGCTGCTGCCCTACGCAGAGAGGAGGATTGAGAATCTGGAGGAAGAGATCAAGTTCACAGAGGTCATGGCGGACCTGGTCCAAACCCACAGCAACACCATAGCCATTCTGGCAAGAGGCTTCCTCGAAGCAAGAAAGTACATCACAAAGGACGAGATCACCCGCTTCCTCGACGAACACCTGCGAGCCCGCATCGGCACCCGCCTCGTCGCAGAACAACACATCGCCCTGCACTTCAGCAGCCAACCCCACAAAGACCTCTCCGACAACCCTCACGACGAAGCACCCCCCTCCTACATCGGCGTCATCGACACGGCCCTCAGACCCGCCGACATCATCCACTCCTGCGAGCACATGGTCGGCGAGATCTGCGAGCTCAAATACGGCGTGCGGCCCACCATTACCATCATCGGCGACCCAGACGCCACAATCGCCCACATCCCCATGCACATCGAGTACATCCTCACCGAACTGCTGAAGAACAGCTTCCGCGCCGTGATCGAGAACGGCATGGAAAAGGAACCCATCGAAATCACCATCGCCCCCGCCCCCGCGGCCGAAAACACCCACGCCATGCACGAGAAACTGCAGAAACAGCGTGCGCTGAACGAAGAAGTCGGGGCCCCCGTCGGCGTGGTGAGCAACTACGACCAAGGCAGCGTCGACCACGCCTCAGGATCCAACGGCCCAGCGTCCGCCAACTCAGCCAACATCCGGCCGTTAGACAAACAAACCCCCGGCGTCACAATCCGCATCCGCGACCGCGGCGGCGGCATCAGCCCAGAGAACTACGCGAAGCTGTGGGAGTATGGATTCACGACGTTCAACGAGGACGAGATTATGGATAAGGTCAGTGGAGGACGAGGCGGGGTGGACGCTCTGGACGCTATCAGCGGTGGTGCAGGTGGCGGCAGCAGTCTGGCGGGTCTAGGCTATGGACTGCCACTGGGACGGGCGTATGCGGAGTATTTCGGCGGCGGCATTGCCGTGCAGAGTCTTTGGGGCTGGGGCACGGATGTGTATCTCAGTCTCCGAGGGGTGGGGAGTGTGGTGCAATGACGGATAGGAGGTGATGATGGAATGGCTGAGCAGGACTTGGTCTCGAGGGCGAATGAGACGATGGTCGAGTAACAGGCTTGACTGATGAAATACGAAGTCCAGTAAGGACTCGATATCGAAGTCGAGGAATCGACTTCAATGAAATGAGAAATGTTTTCAAAAGTGACTTCAGCATGAACGACCTTTCAACTTATGATAGGGAGCTCGTTCTTCTCGCTATGTGCTGCGAGGCATGTGATATGCTCTCTTGGATCTATCCGGCATCAAAAGTGCTCTCAAGTCGCCTCCCGTGATCATCTATCCCTATTCGAGGACAACTCATCCATCTAAGACGCCCTACCCGCTAATCCAATCAAAAGACCCGATCGATCGCTCGCTCCAAAAACAACACAAAAGAATCTCTTACCCTCATTCAAGCCTCCCTCCCCCTCCGATCCCTCCTCGCCTCCTTCATCAAATCCACCTTCTCCTGCCGGATACACCACAAACTCCAAAGCACGCCCACCACCGACGAGCAGAGCGTAACATAGTACGCGCTCGCGTAACAGTTTCTTCCTTCATCGCACGTCCTCTCGCCTCCGTTATCGCCAGGTCCACTCTTAAAGGCCGAGTGGCGATCGAGGATGATGCCGTATGCGAGGTTGTAGACGTTTCCTGACAGGACGGGCGCCCAGGTCATGCAGCCCCAGTTGATGCCGAGACCGCCTGCGCCGAAGGCATCGGCGACGAGGGCTGGGTAGACTCCGAAAAGGACGCCGTAGGCGAGGCCTGTGAGTCCGGAGAGCCAGAAGAGGTGGTGGGGGTTCTCGAGGGTGAGGGCTATGACTTGGGCGCCGACGAAGATGGAGGCAGAGGCGACGAGTGTCCAGAAACGCGAGGCGTGGCGGTGGATGAGGAAGTCAGAGCCGATTCCTGAGGCGAGGCGGCCGAGGAATGAGCAGAAGGAGAGGATGCTGACGTGGGTGAGTTGGCGTTTGAGGATGAAGTCTTTGCTGGCGGAGTCGTCGTAGTGGTGCCACAGGGCTTTGGCGTTGTTTCCTATATTGTTGATGGTCATGAGGCCGACGCCGCAGAGGAGGGATAGCATGACGAAGAGCTGCCAGAATTTCGGTGTTCGTAGAAGTGCCCAGCCGGTGATCTCAGGGCGGTTGTGGGCGTGAAAGGGGTTCTTCGTTTCCGGGCCAATGTCTCCAGGACCTTCTTCGTCAGAGCCCATCAACGAGGACACTTCAGAAGCTGGTTCGTTACGGACGCTACCCTTGCTCCCGCCTCTTGAATGCGACTGACGAGAATTCGTTCTATGCATCCTCGTGCTCTCACCAAAAGAGTCGTTCCTCTTCGCACTCGCTTGTTCGTCCTCTGGCACAACTCCATACGCTCCAGACTCGTCTCCTGGTACCGCAGGCACAATCGTGAGGAAGATCATGCCAAAGGCCGTCATGGCAGTCGTTCCAAAAGCCAGCAGTTCCAACATTCCACTGGTGTCCCCATTGAACAGCAATGCCGCAAGGCTCGTATAGAAGAAAGCGCTCAATCCAAACGCACTCAATGGAAACGCCGTCGCCGTCCCTCGATGTTGCGGCCAATTGCTTGCACTCGCCTTGATTGCCGCGCTGAACGCAGTGCATCCTCCCATGCCCGTCAAGAGCCCAAAGAAACACAGCAATGGCACACTCATACTGCCGGGTCCATTATCGTACGCGCTCTTCAAAGGGAAGTATCCTGCAGCGAGACATATGCAGCCCATCACAACTCCCCATCTCGGTCCTCTTGAGTCTATCAGGATCCCGCCGGGTATGCCCATGGCGTACATGCCTATGTTCCCGGCATTGCCAATCAGATTGATGTCGGTCGCGGAGAGTTGGAGGCGGTCGGCGAACTGAGGGGCCCAGGCGGAGAAGCCATAGTTGGTGCCTGTGGAATGCCATTAGCAATGCAATTGATTGACCTGATACCGAGGAACATACCGCAGCTCAACGCAATAATCGTCGCCGCAACGGAGGCCAATATTCTCGAACTCCGATGGGTTTGCTCCGCCGGGGATTGTTGAGCGTGCATCTTGAGTAGTTGTAGGTTTAGGTGTCGAAGGAGAGAGAAATCAAAGACTCATCCAGCGAGTCGTCGGAGTTCCAATTGACGTCAAGAAAGCGTGCGCGCTATCGTCAATCCGTATCAGGCCGTGCGTGCCGTGGTGCGTATGCTCATACGTAGACGTGGCCACGCATTGGAGTGCCGAACGTTGAGAAGTCGTGGTCGCAGGGAAAGAGAAGAGAACATGAAGGTCAAGAAGACATAGTGACGACTGGATTGATTGCCGGGTCACGACAGGCAGGCGAGGACGGTATCAGCACGCAAGCACCAAACGACTGACTGAGATGTGAGCCGCGAGTGAGGGAGCGTGAAAGTTGGCCGCGGATTGTCGCGAATGGCCGAGATAGGAAGGATCATGGCGGCACTGACTTCCGAAGCTCGGCATTGGTCGTGGTCGAGGCAAGGGCAAGGGCAGGGGTTGAAAGAAGGGTCTCCGATATCTCTGAATGTCGATGACCGTCTCTACAACAACATCGGTACTTCATCTTCAATATTGTCCCATGGACGGCAGCGTCCCATTTTCAAGTGAGGAGATCGAAGCAACCAATGTGCACCTATCCGGCACTCAACAGTTTGCTAGTCAGGTACCCGAACCGAAGTGGTGTGCAGCATGCCTGTCGGTAGCACGTGAGCTGCTTCAAGGTACATATACGTACCCTTCAACGCATATGACATTGAGTATGGAAAGCACAAAACATCAAAAAGCATCTCACAGAACTCTGCAGAAGCCGTGAAACGAGACCAGAACTGCTCCATCGACTCGAGATCTCGATTCGGCTCTCATATTCTCATCATCATAACACCGTTCGTTCATAACATACATATTGTATCCTTCCTCCCTTCTCATACACACACCCTATCCCACCAACCCCCTCCCCCCTCTCTACCTCCTCACAATCTCCACCTCCAACCCATGCCACTTCGTCGGAAAGCTCCCCCTCTCACACCAAACCCCACCCCCAGGCCCGGGCTTCCCATCCAACTCATTCAACACCCTCAAATCAAAATTCAAATAAAAGCTCGCCAGCACCTTGCTCATACTCACCCACACCGTGTGCATGCCAATACACTTGCGACTCGGGCCGCCGAAACTCAGATTTCGCGTCTCCATGTCGTTGCGGCGCGCTTTGTCGGCTTCGAGCCAGCGTTCGGGTTTGAAGGACTCGGTGTCCGGGCCGAAGATGGTAGTGTTGAGGCCGAGTTGTTTGGAGTTCATGCCGACGGTGTAGCCCGAGGGGATGTAGTGGCCGTCGATTTCGATGCCTTCGGAGGGGGCCGTGCGTGGGAGGGAGATGGCGACGTTGGGCCAGAGGCGGAGGGCTTCGTGCAGGCAGGCTTGGAGGTAGGGGAGTTTGGCTGCTGCGTCGTAGGGGACGGGCGTGTCTTTGCTGATGTGTCCGCCGGCGACTGCGGCGTCGAGTTCGGAGCGCAGACGGGCTAGGACGGGTGGGTTGCTGCTGATGCCGACGACTGCGGCGGCGAGCGTCCAGGACATGGTGTCGACGCCGGCGCCGAGATCTGTCAATGCGAGGCGGGTGCCCCAGTTCTCGATGAAGGCTGGCTGGGTTTTGGAGAGGCGGCGGAAGTCGTCCAAGATGCAAGGCTTCGTGTCCTTGCCCTCAGCCGTCGCCTGGCCATGCGCAATGATCTTGCCGACGCAGTACTATCAATCATCAAATCAGCATCTCTCCTGACCATCCCATCGATCCCAACGCAAGACTCACTGGAAACACAGGCAAATTGATACTACTCCCACTAAAAATCACCTTCCTCGGCATAAACCTCTTATCAAACTCATTCAGCCAAGGCAGATACCCCATCCATCCCCACCACTCCCACATCTTATCCATGCCATGCATATGCCCATCATCGCTGCCCTTCTCGACCGCCCCATACTCCTTCCCAAACGTCATCTCCGTCATAACATCCACATTCATAATCTCCCACTCATAATACACATCCACCACTTTCCCCTCCCCACCGACACTACTCAACCGCGTCACCATCCGCCGGATATTGTTATCCACGTAATGTTCGTGCTTCTTCGCATTCGCCACCGCGTACACCGGCGCCGCGTAGCGTTTCTGCGTGCGCAGCTTCGCGATGTTCATCTCGGGCAGCATGTCCAGTTTCTCCCAGTCCTCCGGCTGGGACATGTCGGTGGGCGCTTCGTAGAACCTGCCCTTTTGGAACCTCGTCCCGGCGCCATAGACGGTCTTGAAGTAGGCTGGGTTGGAGAAGATGATTTCATCCGGGCTGATGCGCACGACGGAGCCGTATTGCTTGTGGAGGTCGATGTCGAGGCGGGGACGGCGGGCGTTGTAGCCTTGCCAGGTGATCCAGAGGGGTGTGAGGCTTGCGAGGAGGGGGCCGGGGACTTTGGAGAGGGGGTGGAGGTAGCGGTTGTAGAGGAAGTAGGCGAGGAGGAGGGCGACGGGGAGGTAGAGGAACCACATTTTTCTTTTGCGTGGAGTGGGGAGAAGGAGAGCACAGGAGGAGGTCGCAGCGAAGACAGAGCAAGAAGATCAAAGGGAATCTCACAGAGCACTGTTTACTATATCAAGAAAACAGTGCGCTTACCTATAAACCTTTCGTCAGTACGCAGCTCCCAAGCAAGAAGAGAAAGCCACCGCCAATGAAGAAGGATCTCCTAGGCCCGCCGCCGTCGGTATTTCGCTCGTTCTTCTTACTCCAAGAAGGCTATACGCGCTCCAAGCAGGGTAGATGTAGAGTGTAGTCTGGAGCTGAAGGCTTGTTGATCCTGAGGGTTATCCGTACGGCTGAAGTGGTAAGAGTGGTGTAGTAACAAGCTCCGACCACATCCGCTAATGGCTCGTGGTTTGGTAGGGCAGACTCTTGGGTTCTCGCGTTGTCTTGTTCGCGAACCACTACTACTCCGAGTTTCGCAGGATGTTATAGGATCGGGATGCCTTGGAAATTCTAGTAGTAGGACGCCGCATCTCGCTCTCTGGTCACGGCCGAATATCCGCTGTACGACACAAGGAGTCCCAGTAGCCGTCTCGCAGGTATTGAACCCATCTGGTGTGTATTCGTGTGATATATCGGCATCGCTGCCAAAGGGGTATCTGTTCAAGACATCCATCCTACCGCCGAATCAACACCCCCAAGACAATCAAAAATAATCGCCAAACTTCCCCAGGACATCGCCACCCTTCAACTCGCCATGCAGACCATTCAACGCATCAAAATGAGCAGCAAACTCATGTCCACGGAGTCGCTCAGCCTCCATATCCTCCCACGTCCAATCATCCTCGGTGCTCTCTGCACTCTTGCTCACATCTGCGAGCTTCGAGCTGAGTTCGTCAGCATTCGCACCTGTGGTGCCGTTTGCGGCAGGTGTCGCAGGGGTGAATATCGCCGGCGTGTCCGACACGGATTCGGATCTTGGAGGGTATCCCACGCCGGCCGGTCGAGGTGGTAGGAGTCGAGACCTCTCCAGTACGATCTCCGGGTTGACCGTGAGTCGGCCCTTCTTGAAGACGTATCGCGACACACTCGTCGCGAAGATGTGTTTCGAAAGGTCCTGCTCTTCTTTCCTCTGCGCTGCGCGTTGCTTCTTCGAGTTCTTCCACGGTTGCAGAACGTACGAGTCTGGCTTAATCACGCCCTTCTTCACGATGTGCGAGACTAGATATAGCCATTTCCGATCCCATGACAGAACTCTTGTGTATATCTCAAACCCTTGCAAGGGCTCAATCTGTTTCTGGAAGAAGCAGCTCACGGCTCCCAAAGCCACGACATAGTTGCCCTTGACTTCTATTTGAGAAGTGGGTAGACCCTCCTCATCACCAGCATTCAATCTCGCCAGTCCAGTGCGTATCAAAGCCCCCACGGCGTGAGCACGCGAGACGTCGAGATCGGCAAAGTACGTCGAATTCGACTTGTGAAAGTTGTAATCCGTATCGTAGAGCGTATTATATGACTCCGTGACCATAGGAGCGAAGAGGTGCTTCGGCGGTATAGGACGGCGTTGGAAGTAGATTTGGTATATGATGCCTCGCAGTACTCGGATCTCCCATAGTCAGCATTCCCCGTCCACAAGAATCACTCAACCTTTCTGCTCCTGTAGACTCACATGCCAAACCCCCGGAATATTCTTGAAATTCACCAACGCCGCTCCGGCGACCAATGCCTTGAGCATATTCGAGCTCGCCGACGTCCCCAGGTACTCGACGAGGAGTTCTTGCACGGCAGGGTTTCTCCACGCCGCGATGATGGCTGCTGTGATGGCTAGGGTCCCGCCGACCACCGGTAACCTGGTCGAGGCCGACATTCCTTTAAACGAGAGTGTGTTGAAAGAATGTAGTTTCTTGGGGACGACGATATGGCTCGGCAAAGGTCCGTTCCAGTTACCGGGTTATCGATCTGCCGGATGACGTGAACGCGTTGACGCGGAGGACAGAGCGAGTGAGGCGTTTGTTCAACTGGGGAGACGTTGATATATGATGCTATTCTTCACCATAGCAGTCTCTCGACCTTCATCAAGTCGGTCCATAAGCCGAAGAGGCCATGGTACGAAAGCGACGGGCCCGGCCATTAAGTCGGGCACTTCGGTCGTGAACGATCACGTTCAGCGTATCAGCTTTCGCTGGCGCTGAGCCTCGGCATGTGTTTAGGGAGCGATGGCTCTATTAGTTCCTCCGGGAGCCGTCGTTTACATAGAAACAGTTGAAATAGCAGTTCGTCTATATTGATACGGAAGAACGAGAACGATGACGATGAAAAGAAGGGCACGACGCCCTCAAGGAACGACTGTCGAGGCTTACAAGTCTGGTTCATGACAGCGTCCTTGTCGTGCTCGCGACGCAGTCTTCGTTCACCCACTTTTAATGACGGACGCTGTTGTCCCGAACAAGTGATGTTGATGTTCACTGGAGACCTTAGTACACTGGAGAACGTGGTTGTGAAGTCAGGTGTCACCAGTTGACTGTATTCCGTAGCACCGCAAGTAGCCGCAAGGCCGTGAAGCAAACAAGTCACAGAGGCGTCACTTCAAAATACCCCCCAGTACTAACCAACAGACCCAATTGCCAATCAACCCTCCGACCATGGCAACAACCCTCCTAACACTACCCGCAGAGCTCCGCAACAGAATCTACGAGTTCATCATTCGCCCGTTCGACGACTCAAATGGATACACGTCCTTCAGCGAGGCGATTCAACAACAGCCCGCGCTGCTTCATACATGTCGACAGCTACGCAACGAGCTACGGCCTATGTACTTCTCCAGCCTGAGGCTTGTCGTCAAAGTCACAGCGCCGGAGATCCAGAACTTCATATGTTTCCTGCAAGCCGCCGACGAGCGCATGATCTCAACATTGCGGAGGCTGAGCTCGACTTTGCCGTGCGCCGGATACCCCGAGTTCAGTCACATGCAGCGGTGCGTTCAACCACACAGCGTGCTATACGACATCGAAGCCTCAGCAACAGGACGATTCGAGTTGACCGAGCACCATGGGTTTTGGCTCGGGGAAGCCGCGCGGTTGAGTTTCGGCGCCATGATGCATCGTACTGATAAGTTGGGATACTCAACGTGTTCCAACTGGGGTGTGTTGCCGGTTCGAGTCGAAGGTTGGAAGGGCGGCCGCTTTCGAACGAAGGTGCTGCTGGCGCTCATCGATGGCCTCTGCGCCGACAAAATGGTGGCCCCAGGTCTAGCACAACGAGCAAGAACCACATCGACATAGACCATGAATACCACGCCCAGCGCGTCTGTTCATAGAGTGGAGATTCTTCGTCCTGCACTTCATGTCACTTTCCCCCAAACCAACCCATCCACCCCTTCCCAGCACCCTCCCTCTTCTCCCCCTCAGCAATAGCATGCACCTTCGTCGCCTCCAAAATCTCCGGCCTCGGCGCCCTCAACTCCTCCTCCTGATGCCTCGTAACCTCCGTACTCCCACCCTGCTCTTCAATCGCCAATCTCCTCGCCCTCGCGGCCAGTCTCCTCTCCTTCAATCTTGCCAGCTCCTCTGCAATGTCCTCTCTGTCGAAGGGGATGTCGTGTGTTTGGCTTCGCTTGGGCCAGAAATCGGGCACGGCGAATCGTGAGTCGAGGTTGATGCCGAAGTAGTACATGAAGCCGATGGGGAACATGATGTACATGCCGAACTGCGATTTGATGTTAGTTGGGAGTGATGGCTTTTGGCGTGAGGATTTGACTGACTTTGAATACTTCGAGATTGGGGCCGCCCATTTTGAAAAATTGCGATGGTGATTGCTGGACGTGATTGTGGATAGGGAGGAGCGGGGGGAAGAATGGATGTATTGAAGAAGTCGATGACCTGACGATTGGCTGATGATTCGCGAGAGCTTGGTCCGTGCTTGGAAACACAGACCTCACCTTGTCCTACTCACATGGCTACGAATATTTATGCGAGCTGAGTCTGGTTCATCAGATGGAATCTCATGGCTATACTGCTTATTCTGATGGGAATTCATGCTTGTTATGGCGCTTTCGATGCCCTGTTCCATCTCATGTCTGTAAAAGCAGGAACCCGTGTTGACTTCTGCTCCCTCGCTCCCACGCACAGAGCAAACAAACTCTCTCTGGTAGGTAGCATACTTGCTACTAGAAACTCATGCCCGCCCTTCCTATCCCTGCCTTTGATCTACTCTCTCTTCCAGAAACTCCTCGGGCGCGATCATACTGGACTTCTGGCTTAGGTCCTCAGTCCTTGTATATCACGCCTTTCTTCGTGCTCGGATCCTCCACTCCATAGTCTTCCGTCGTGCAGAACAGCAAAGCATCTCCGAGCTCCTGATGAAAGGCGACACCAGCAAGTTTGATGTCGAACATTTCGGCTCTTGGGAGGAAGATGCAGCTGCTGTCCCCATGTCCCTCAGTTTCAAATTCTTGACTCATCTTGTCGCACATCTCCACGATGTCTCTGATTCGCAATCCCATCTGTCTACGGACGACGATGATGCGGCCTCCACAACGAAGCTTGACGGCGTTCGCTGGAGGCTGGCACAAGAACATGTCGAGGTAAGAAGGCTCCAAGAATGAATTAGAGTATTTTGCCGTTTGCGTGATGAATGCAAGTAAGTCTTTGCTTGCGACAACGATGAGCTCACCACAGTCAGCCCTGTTGTGTGGGTGGCTGTCACTATCGAATGTCGAAGTGACCTTGAACAGTGGATTGAGAGAGGCCTGCAGCGCAACTCTCATGCCAGGTTCCACGGTGTCCAGAGCAACGGATTCCACCGCATAGGTTCGGAACCAGTAGTCGAACATGCACTCTTCATCATCGGCGTACTCATCGTCCAAGTATTCGAACTTTCGGAAAGCACGCTTGGCCACAGCAGGTGTGAAGAACAGCTTCTTTTGAATCTCCTTGCTCCCAGCAATCGTAGCTTTCCACTGCTTGCTCACACGCTGACTCGTGAGCAGTGTCTTCAAGGGGACGTCGACGAGGATCTTCTCGATGAGTTCGGCTGTGTTGAAGACGGCGTCCGCTGCGATGCCATCGTACTCAGGCGGTTCTTCAGTGGTCGCCTTGGGAGTCTTGGATGGTGGTGGTGGTGGTGGTGATGGATCTGGAGCCATGACGTTGGACCTCGAGGGGCTTGGACGTGGTGTGCGATGTTGAGCGGGGTTGAAGAGGTTTGAGAGCTTGAAGTAGGCTCGGGAGGTGCCGCTGTTTGCATGTGAGCGTGAGTGAAGCAAAATTGGCCAGTGCGCCTTCAAAAGACTTGCATGTGACTGGCTTGTGACAAGCCCGTCTCAAGGCTTCGTTGGATTTGCAAAACAGGTGTGAACCGAACAAGAGAGGCACGAATGAAGGTACCTTCCGCAAAGGCTCACCTTACCATGTCCAAATCTATCTTCCAGTGCTCAAGGCATACGACTTGGGGTGTGGTTGTGATATTGGCGACCTTGGTGGCGGGCGCGACATCTGGAGCGGCAGGTTTGCTCGAATGTGGCCAATGTCTGGTGCTCTTGATCACTGCTTCCACGACGGCTTGCCCCAGCGTTCATGTGGCTTCACGTTCCTCCGTCATAGTCCTCGTCACTCGTGTCCCAAGCAGCCTCTCATGATCGACCTTTGTCGACTAGGTACGACGGAAGAGGTCATGGTTTATCAGGTCATATCTTCAATCCTCCACACCCGCTCATCTCAGCACTTGACTCGCACTCCCCACCCAACGCGCACCAGCACTGGCCTGTCCCTCCTTCTTGGGCGGTCCCTCAGACATCAACCTCTCCAACCCAAGATCCCTCCACGCCGGTTCACGAGCCTTGTTCTGCGCCCTCTGAATGCCAAATGCAGCGTGCTGATCCGGGACTACATCGTCCTCATCATCTGGGTTGATCGGCTGGTGCTGGGCGGCGACATTGATCTCCTCGGCGGGCAGTTTGATGCGTGTGAAGTCCGCGAGCAGATCGGCATGGTGGGCAGCGTGGAGGTGCAGGTGGGTGAAGGAGGAATCGCGCGACTGATATGACTGCATATTAGCACGGCAATGGTCTATTTACAGACGAGGCTTTGCTGTACCATGTTGGAGTCGTTCCTTAGTTGTTGTTTGATGTGAAGTCGAGATCCCAGATCCCTGCGTCGCCGCTTGACGACCTGCGTTCTCGCTCGGTGGTGGTTGCTATTGATGTCGCCACACGCAATGTTTGTTTTAGGTACGTACAATACGTACTTGTCGCGGTTGAGATGGACCAACCGGTCGCGTAAAGTACCTGCACGCTACAGCGTACCCGGACGCCACTGGCGCTGTTTGCGGTTAAGACGTCTCGAGCTGCCAAGAACAGTTACGCAAGCTCGCGACTGCTGATGAGCTCCTGAGCGGCGAATGGCCGCCAAATTTCTTCAATTGTGCGCACCCCCAATCGCAGCGCCGCCGTCGAGCAGAATCAGTAATCGTGCCGTACCTGCGGTAATTGGCGCGTATTGCGTGTGGATTCTGGCCCTTCGCGAATCGGTTGAATTGCTCGCGGCTGTGGTGCAGGGGCTCGAGCGTTGCGTGCGGCTCCTCCACCACCAACCTCTCACAGTCCACCTCTCTCTCCAGGGAGACTTTGCGGACCCCAGCAGCAGCCACACCACCATCACCGCCGCCGACGGACAGCACCACGACGTTCACGCTTTGCACCACCCCTTCATCGCCTCGTTACGATTGATGCGGCCACGATAGCGACGCCATCGCAGTCCTTACGCCTCGCTCCTTCCAGTCGCTCGTTACACCTCGCCCTCCAGCCGCATTTGCGCTGAGCATCCACGAGCGCAAGCCCTTCCTGCAGCAAACATCGCCTGCACGACTGGTCGAGCGGCCTTTGCGACTGACAACACGCCCAATCTTGGCCCATCAGGGCCCCATCCGCTGCCATGGACGTGCTAAAAGGGATCCAAAAACGCCTACCCTCTACAGACGACTTGCCGACCCTCAAGGCGTTACAATACTCATCGCTCAAGGATGCATCAGGCAAGATCGCGCCGAGGCTGTCCTTCTTCAAGAAGAGGATACGCATCCGCGGCAACAGCAAATTCAGCATACCGCTCTATCTGGTTCTGCTGTTCCCTTGTATAGTAGTCATAGTAATATTGCTTCTCTTCTTGCGGCATCCTGCATCGCCCGGGAGCAGGCTAATACCAACCGGCGCACCGCCGAGCATACGAAAGATCAGCGAAAAGCACGACAAGGTCTTCGTCAACGGCTGCTTAGACCCCAAGATCACCGCCAAGGAGCACCCCCGAGCAAACGCAGCATTTGTTGTCCTGGCACGGAACAAGGAGTTGGACGGTGTGATTGAGAGTTTGAAGAGCGTGGAAAGACACTTCAATCGCTGGTTCCACTACCCATACGTCTTCCTCAACGATGGCGAGTTCAACAGCACCTTCAAGGAGACAGTGACAAATTATACCAGTTCGCCTGTCGAGTTTGGCACAATTGGACCAGAACATTGGGGATATCCAAACTGGACAGACGCGAATGTCGCCAAGGAGGGTATCCGCAAGCAGGGTGACCAGGCTATCATGTACGGTGGCATGGAATCATATCACCACATGTGTCGATTCTACTCTGGCTTCTTCTACAAACACGAACTGCTTCAGAAGTACGAATGGTATTGGCGAGTGGAGCCCGAGATCAAGTACTTTTGCGACATCACCTACGACCCCTTCATCCATATGGCTCGCAACAACAAGACGTATGGTTTTACCATTGCCGTCAAGGAGCTGAAAGAGACTGTCCCAAACATCTTCAGATACGCATCTGCGTATAAGAGGAAGCACAACTTGAAGTCGCAGGGTCTGTGGGAGATGTTTGTCGAGCCAAAGGAGGGCTACAACCAAGATGGCACGCCAAAGCCAGGTACCATCCCACCTGAGGAGTTGCCCAAGGAAGATCCGAAGTACCAGGACGAGAAGCACAAGCCATTGCCAGAAGACATTCTGCGTACAGAGCCTGGACAAGGATCTCTTCCTGACATTGACCCTGAAGCCATGGAGGGCGAGATCTACAACATGTGCCATTTCTGGTCCAACTTTGAGATTGCACGCCTCGACTTCTTCCGCAGTCAGGAGTACGAAGACTTCTTCAACATGATGGACCGATCAGGTGGGTTCTGGATGGAAAGAGTAAGTCGAGTCTACATCATATCACGGTATGCACGAGCTAATTAATTCCAGTGGGGTGACGCACCAATCCACTCCCTCGCCGCTGGTGCCCTTCTGTCACCCAAGGACATCCACTACTTCCGCGATTTCGGCTACAGACACACCACCATCCAGCACTGCCCCGCGAATGCGCCGGCACGTCAGCTAGAAAGAGAACCATATCTCGAGACGACGACCACAGACGAGAAAGCACGACGAGAAGAAGACGACTACTGGGCGAAATGGGATACACCTCAAGAGAACGGAGTCGGCTGCAGATGTCGCTGCGATACAGACATTGTCGACGTGGAAGGTAAAGAGGGCAGCTGCATACCCGAATGGGTGGAAATCGCAGGCGGATATATCACACCTCAAGGACCCGGCTGAACGCAGTGATGATGCAAACGTAATGGCAGGAGAAACCAGATATACCAACGAATCGTCAGAATTGGGAAAGGCAAGGGGAAAGTGTCGGCGTTTGAGAATTGTGAATTGCCTCTTTGATGTGTGTTCCCCCCATCATCATCATCGTTGCTTTGCTGCTGCTGCACCGTCGTGTTGTCGTTTTTGCAAGCGAATCATCTTTGCATTGGGTTGGCGTGTCAAATGGGATTTCTAGGATTGTTTGTTCTTTGGGATGTTTCTCTCCCAGAACAATCTGTCCTCCGATGTGTACAGGCAGGCTAAAGGGTTATTAGTACTACTACTACCATCACTGGTGGACTTTGTTGGTTGCTTCTTCGTTATCTGCGCTCTACTACTATACTACTGCTAGCTTTTATTCAGAACAGTTACGGTCCTTCTATCTGCGTGGGAAGCAGCGCAGGTAGAGGGGGGAAATCTTGAGAGAGAAAAGGATATTAGTTTGCTTCATGAACGTTATCTTGAGTGTTAATTCCTTTGAGACTGGTGATGTTAACAAGAAGACTAGAATGTGCTTGCAACATGCAGCGTCGAGGGCAACATGAAGTTACTGCAGTGAGACGTAAGGCCATCAAGGTCGCGAAAGCAGTAAGGTATCTTATTGTGGTTCGTGACTTCACGTCTATTTGGTCTACTATACTCTCTACTTTCTTCGTCTCTTACCTAGGAGGTACACGTCCCAAGGGAACGACCTGGCCTGGCTCTCGTAAGCCCAAGAACATCGACTCCTACGTCTTCCCTCCCATGCGGCATTTCTTCGCCTCATCCTCCCTGAACGTCTGAACGTCAGTCTTCCTAGCGACTCTCTCCCTCCTCGCATTCCCAAGCCTCGAAACTCGCATATACCACTCCTATCTACCGGCACGACGGGAATTGCTTTCCTAGGTTATTATGCACCTGTCATCTTGTCGTCATGGAGCAGTGTTCTTATCAAGCAGCGCCCTCATCAAGCAGCATGCATGTCTTGCATCAACGGATCACGGAGGAATGCCATGTGCGCACAGCAGGGAGCCAGCAGCCGATCCACCTATCACTTTCACTCAGCGAGCTTGGGTCTTGATGTCCGGGGGAAGTTCTTGCGATGGGTGATGGGTGATGGGATGCGGTGGAGTAGAGGTTGAGGACAGCATGGCTGGGCCACGAAGACCAGACAACAACGGATTCCCGCGAAGAAACAACAACGACTCCGCCCAGCGACGTCGGCTGCCACCACGTTCCACGGCATTATCTCGCAGACCCGGATGCCAATCTCCACGCCTCCATAAGAAGTCGAAGTGCAGGAGCCGGTTGCAGCAAAACTGCAATGATCCCATTGGGAGGTAGCTTACTGCTTCAGGCAAGGCCGACTACCTCCTCGCAGAGGCCTAGCTTACCAGAGAGCTGCAGAAAGCTTGCTTGCTGTGATCTCATGCAGCAGCAGAGGACTGGAGGAGCTCTCTGCTGGTTGTTTCACTGGGACATGGCTTTTCCTGAGTTGGACCTGACCGGAGCTACCTATACAACAAGGTTATGTGGACGGATGGTATCGATCGCACCCAGCCGCGGAGACACGGGAAGAGGGTCAGGCAGGATATAAATTGGTTGGTGAGGTCGCTCTCAGTTGTCTCGTTTCT